TACTTTTTATTAACTGGGCAAATGTCTTAAAACTACAAAAAGAAGATAACAGAAGATTCCTATATTTAAGCTACCTCAACCATGGATGGCAAAGCGAACATGCCTCCATGGTTTCAACTAACTCAGCCTAGAAAAATGGAATAATATGACTGAAATGCCAGTAATGATATTAGAACAAAGTCAAAAACCACTAAGCAGGAAAAAAGAAAAAAGTGCAGCAACTAAATTAGAAGATTGCTAGCAGCTACGTCAGCTCTTAACACTTATAACTCCATGGGTGAAACCTACACTATCTGAAGAGGGTTCATAGCAGAGGTTCTCCCACCTCACCTAAAAGCAACATTTAAAACTCCATTCAGCACTAAACAACAGTTTATATTAAGAGATGTCCTAATACAAGAATACTACCCCAAGGCATCTCCATTTAGATTTCTGGCCACCTTTGGGAATCAGATCTTCCAATATCCAACAATTGTGCAGTAAATCCTACAAGGAAAGAAAAATTATGTAAATACAATCAATAGTGCATGTCAAATCTTAGGAATGGAAAATACCAACAAATGCAACTTAAGCAGTTATGAACAAATGACAAAGGATAAGGAATGGTACTTCTGCCCAGTCACACCTTTGCTCAGGAGCTTCTCTTCTCCTCAAATCTCATTTTAAACTCATTCAATAGAATAATTGTTCTTGACAGACTCTCCATTTATACCGATCAAATGGAACCCAATAAACTCAGACGGGCTGTCCTGGAGGCAAATAATTTATAAAGAGCATTTAAAACAGGCAGTTGCAAATTGATTCATATAAAAAATAAATTGAGTTATAAATTTGCCTCAAGCAATATTGTGTGCAGTTAAGTTCTGCATTCCTTGATACCAAAAGGTCCAGAACAACAAAAAAAAATGATGCAACCCCAAAAAGAAATTATATCATACCCTCTCAAATGATATTGACCCAGCCTGAAAACCCATCCTTTGTGGCATATACTGCACCTTGGCTTATATAAACGGCTGAACATGGTTTCCTCTAGAGGACGCACGCGTGCTGATAGCAAAGCACATCTTAAATGCATGCGTGACTGGATTTAACAGAGATGGAACATTCCTGCTGTCTCATTGCCCTTTGACACCAAACTCTAAGTTCTTCCATTACTCACCTCTAAAAACAAACCAGCACTACTCAGTCCCGGACGGCCTCAGTACATCCAAAGAGCCATTTATAACACATGTTGTAAAATGAAAAGATAAGCCTTGTTCAAATCTCAATTCAGAGAAGATGCACCTTAACAAATATAGAAGGGCTAATCTCCACACAAGCCCTTTCTGGATTGCTAGACGAACATCATCCCAACTATCCACTTTGAAGCCATAGGTTGCCCTCTCACGGGTTGACACCCTGGTCTTAACGATTATCGTAAAAGGTCCAACACAATTACCGGCAGAATAACTATCATATGTTAAAAGAATGCTACAAGAAACTAGTTACTTCAAATTTCCACATGGATAAAAGACAAGTTTTTTTCAAACCAAGAAAAATTTTTAATATTAAAAGTAGTATTATTCAATATGTTCACATTTTCAGAGAGCTTTCGCAACGTAAGTAAGTGTGAGAGCTCATAATCAAGCTTTTTGTCAAGTATGTTATAGTTACCTCGAAAAATGTGCTTGGAAACGCCATTCATTTCCATGCCCAAATCCCTTCGCAAAACCAATTCCTGAGTTGGTGCTGCCTTGACATATCCTATCATGCACCCCAAAAATAAACATCAAGTTTTTTTTTATAGGTTCAACTAAATTAAAGAAATTTGAAAAAAAAAAAAAAAAGGGCACAGGAATTCACTATTTATGCCAGACTTGATACTAACCAGAGGTGGGCAGACATTCAACAGCATGTCGGCCTTAAGCACAGAAAAATCCCACCCATGGAGTGCTTGTGTCTGATGCAGTCAAAGTTTTTTACAAAATGATATGCACATTGAAATCGGGAGTGGAGGAGGTTGGGGAAGCTGCTTTCCTCAACAGCATTCTCATCCTTGCTAAAAAATTTAAAAACCATTAAATTATTCAGAAAAATACAGTTTCCAAATTTAACATCACTTACTTTGGATAGCAGCCAATCATCATCAGATTAAGTCACAATGGAAAACGGCACTTACTTATGGGCTTCAGAACCAGTGTCACTTGGGGCATACACCTCGTCCGATATTCTGTTCGGCCTACATGTTTGCAACATCAGACTAGTCCAGATTTCGCAAAACCCTTCTTAACAAACTAAAACACCACACTACTTTCAACAGGACGTTGATTAAACGCGACATAAGATTCTTTGGAATGAGAGAAGACTTATACCGGCATCTGCTGGTCGGCCACCTCTCATTTGTTGACGCTCTCAACCTAAACCCATTCAACAAGCAACCAAAATTTAACCCAGAAAATCCAAGTCAGGGAACAACAAAAACGCGGTATTGATAAAATATCTTCCAAAAATTCAAACACCCTACTCTGGGCTTGCATTAGCGACCAGAAACCCCTTCAAAAAACAGTGCATTGAAAATTTGATTATACAAATAGACACCGAGAAATCTCAAGAGCAGAGAAATTAGAACCTTTCGTAAGTTGCAACAGGGGCATAATTAAAGGGAAAGATCCACTTGAAAAAATACTATTGGAGAACTTAGAGTCAGGAATGAATGAAAACCGGACCTTGAGAGATATCGATGGCCTCAGGAACCAGTGTCACTTGGGCATACACCTCGTCCGTATCTGGTTCGGCCTACAATCAACAGTTGCAACATCAGACAAAGTCCAGATTCGCAAAACCCTCTTAACAAACTAAAACACCACACTACCTTCAACAGGACGTTGATAACGCGACATAAGATCTTTGATGGAAGACAATATACCGGCATCTGCTGGTCGGCCACTTGATTTGTTGACGCCTCAACCTAACCCATCAACAGCAACCAAAATTAACCCAGAAATCAAGTCAGGGAACAACAAAAACGCGGTATGATAAAATATCTTCCAAAATTCAAACACCCTACTCTGGGCTTGCATTAGCGACCAGAAACCCCTCAAAAAACAGTGCATTGAAATTTTGATAATACAAATAGACACCAGAAATCTCAAGAGCAGAGAAATTAAACCTTCGAAAGTGCAAAGGGGCATAATTAAAGGAAAATCCACTGAAAAATACTATTGGAGAACTAGAGTAGGAAGAATGAACCGGACCTGTTCGATGTGTCCCTGAGGAAAGTAGAACACGCGCTCACCTTCACGAGGAACGGTTACCAAGGGACCGGCACAGGCATGCCACAGCTCAGTATACAACGCAGTTTCAGCGTCTGCACAACACGCGCCGCCACGGAGTTAGGAAACACAGCAAAATGCGGAAAATGTCAATATAAATTACTCAGATCACACAAAATTCACCAAAACTTGACAAAATCTGCAGGAATTTTACCTCTTGCCGATGCCTGACGTCTAGAATGACCTTTCTGCCCCTCCATGGCGTTAGGCTCGCTATAACCAGGAGAGAAGCTCTCTCCCCCTACGTTTCCACTGTTACCCTTTATTGGTATCTCCTTTTTGCAACACCTAATGTAAACAATGGGTAAAAACAAACAGAAAATCTTAATATAATATAAATTTTCTGATTATGAGCCAATTAGATTGAATTAGGTTTCAATTCAAGCAACCTGAGTCAACGCTTCCAAACTCGTAAAGCTAATTTTCGCAATTGAGTTTTATTTTTTTATTATATTACGTTACATTTCATGATAGATCACCAATCGAAAAACTTTGAATTTTATATACAAACATATTATGTATATTTTTTAAAATGCATTAGAAAAAAAAGGAAATAAAAAAAAGTGCAGGCCACCTTCGTTTATAGCCAGAAACAGCTAATTCCACAGCACACGCAGTGGCTATGAAAATGAAGAATTTAAAAGATTAGATGGATAAGAAGCAGCCAGTGCTTCACACTCCTTGTTTTTTTGTTTTTGACCCTTTGCACTTAGTGGCTTGGGTTGACCGCCTTTTGAAATGGCAACCGCACTCATATTATTTCTTACAGTATTTCCATTATCATTGTAATGGTAAAAATAGAAAAATGAGAATTGTATTTGGATTAGAGAATTGAATTATTGTAATCTGCGGTCTGAAAAGTCTGAGATAACTAACGAGCGAGATTTTTAAATTTTAAATATATAATAAATGTTGATTTTTTTATCAAACATCGTATATTCTCAAATGATTGATTCTTAATAATTTATCTAAGGATAATAAATGTTAATTTGAAAATAAAGTTATACATTTATGAGAAAGGAAAAATATAATTAATCAACTAATTAATGAGAAAATAAACAATTAACGAGTGATTCTATAAAAAAAGATGGATTTCCTTTTGTGGTGAATGATTTCAAAGGTGAAGTTGTAAGTCCCCATTTCATGTGCTATACAATCAATTGCTTGTAAACGAAATAGTGTTTTGTTCTAACACGCCACTGGAAAACGAAAGACAATATGCATGAATTTGCATCGTCGACCAACCACACACCATTTTTATATTTTTATGTTACTCCAACATTTAAATTTCCCCGTATGAATTTTTTTTTTTTTAAAGACGCATTTTCTCATATTTTATAACATTATTGTTAAATTATTTTTTTAATAATATCGGATTCTAATTAATAAGAAGAGATTATTTAAATTTAGTATGTAGGTATATAGTCCTTTTATATTAAAAATATATTTAATTATATTAGATTATAGTTTATTACGGTTATAGTTTTTAGTCTCTCTCCCTCAAATTCGAAACTGCAGCATTGATGGATTACATTTATGTGGACTTGGCAGCCCATTGATCATTTATGTTAAACACGCGGGCCTGTAAGGTTTTGGACATCGAAGACTTTGCGAATGGGTCTCGAATTTGGGCTAGGCCCAATTGAACTGTCAGCTGCTAGCGGGAGATCTAATGGCGTCGCTTTACCAGGCTACACAGCCTATGCTGTACGCTTGAGGACATCGAAAGCTCTATGCTCCTCTTTCCCCACCATTACAGCCACCGTAGTCTGCGGTCTCCATTGGAATTCACAAAATAATGGGTCTAATCCCATACAAAAATTTACAGTTCTTCAAGAATCGACACCGAAATGTAATTTCAAGACTCAGAATCCGCTGTCTCAAATTCATCTCGTATAGTACCAGTAACCAAAACGACAGCACGGTCAAAGAAATCACTGGATTATTGAAGGAAAACAACTGGCAACACCTCATAGAATCTTCTACTTTATCAAGTAGGTTAAACCCAGATGTAGTTATTTCGGTTCTCAAACAAAACCTGGTGAATGATCCTAAGCGCCTGTTTGGTTTCTTCAACTGGGTCCATTCGAGAGTTGGTATACCTCAAAATCTTTATTCCTTTTCAATTACTGCAGTAATTCTATGCAATTCACAGCAGTTTGTTCCTGCAAATATCGTTTTGGAACGAATAATTGAGGCCCGAATGCCGCATTTGAAGATTTTGGATTCAATTATTACGTGCTTTAGAGAGTTTAATTGGAATAATTCAGTGGTTTTCGAAATATTGATTAATGCTTACAAAAAGAAGGGGTTTTTGAATGAGGCTGCTGGTGTGTTTTTAGGAGCTAAAAACCATGGCTTTGTGGTTGGTTTGGTTTGTTGTAATTCTTTGTTGAAGGATTTGTTGAAGGGGAATAGATTGGAGTTGTTTTGGGATGTGTATAATGGGATGTTAGAGGCTAAGGTGGTTCCTGATGTATACACTTATACAAATTTAATTAATGCATATTGCAGAGCAGGAAATGTTAAGGCGGGTAAAAGCATACTTTTTGATATGGAAGAGAAGGGTTGTAATCCTAGTTTGGTTACTTACAATGTGTTGCTTGGAGGGTTCTGCAGAGCTGGAGATGTTGATGAAGCTTTTAAGCTAAAGAGGACTATGGTTGATAAGGGTTTGTTCCCTGATAATTATACTTATGGTGCACTTATTGATGGATTTTGTAAACAAAAGAGATCTAGAGAGGCGAGATTGATGTTGAAAGAGATGTATAGCGTGGGTTTGAAACCTGATCCTATTGCTTATACTTCTTTGATTGATGGGTTTATGAAACAGGGTGATATTAGAGAAGCTTTTCAGGTTAAGGAGGAGATGCTTGCTCATGGAATTAAGCTAAATCTTTTCACATATAATGCACTTATTCATGGGATGTGTAAGGTTGTTGAGATGGAGAAAGCGGAAGCACTTTTTAGTGAAATGATTGCAATGGGAATAAAACCTGATACCCAGACTTATAATTGCTTGATAGAAGGGTATTATAAGGAACAGAATGAGGCAAAGGCAAATGAGTTACTGAATGAGATGATGAAAAGTAACTTGGCACCCACTGTATACACTTGTGGTGTGATAATCAATGCTTTGTGCTGCTCTGGAGAACTTGGAAGGGCAACCAATGTGTTTCGGTATATGATTTCTAAGGGTTTGAAACCAAATGTTGTGTTGTACACTACTTTAATAAAAAAGCTTGTCCAGGAAGGTGCATTTGAAGGGGCAATAAAGATCTTAGAGGTTATGGAGGAGCAAGGAGTAGTGCCAGATGTCTTCTGCTATAATACTGTTATAATTGGCCTCTGCAAGGCTGGGAAGATGGAAGATGCAAGGAAGTACCTGGTTGAAATGGCTAAGAAGGGATTAAAGCCAAATGTTTATACTTATGGGGCTTTTATTCATGGATATTGCAAGACTGGAGCAATGCAAGAAGCTGACAGGTACTTTACAGAGATGCTAGGTTGTGGTATAGACCCAAATCATGTTGTTTATTCGGCCTTGATTGATGGGCATTGCAAGGAGGGCAATACTGCTGCATCCTTTGCAAAGTTTAGATGTATGCTTGAGCAACAAGTGCTTCCTGATGTGCAGATATATTGTATTCTCATCCATGGCCTCTTAAGGAATGGGAAACTGCAGGAAGCAACAGGGGTTTTCTCTGAACTCCTTGACAAAGGCCTGGTGCCTGATGTATTTACATACAACGCTCTTATTTCTGGCTTTTGTAAGCAAGGTGATTTAAAGAGAGCCTTTGAGCTTTATGAGGAGATGTTTCAAAAAGGCATAAATCCAAACATTGTTTCTTACAATGCCCTGATCAATGGGCTTTGCAAGTTTGGTGACATCGAGAGAGCTCGTGAACTGTTTGATGGAATTCCGAGTAAGGGTTTGGTTCGCAATGGTGTGACTTATTCTACGATTATAGATGGATATTGCAAATCTGGAAATTTAAATGAGGCATTCCAGTTGTTTGATGGGATGGCAATGGAGGGGGTTCCACCAGATAGCTTTGTTTACTGCGCCCTAATTGATGGATGTTGCAAAGAAGGAAGTTTGGAGAAGGCTCAGTCCTTATTCTCACAAATGGTGGAGAAAGGCTTGGCCTCTATTTCTGCTTTCAATGCCTTGATCGATGGCTTTTGCAGGTCAGGAAAACTGATTGAGGCTTATCAGCTATTTGAAGACCAGTTTGATAAGCATATCACTCCAAATCATGTGACCTACACAATTTTGATTGAATATCATTGCCGGGTAGGAAGAATGAAGGAAGCGAAGAAGCTCTTCCTGGAAATGCAAAAGAGGAATTTGATGCCAAATATTTTAACTTACACAACACTGTTACAAGGCTACAACCGTATAGGGAGCAGATCTGAGATGCATACCCTATTTGATGAGATGATTGCAAGGGATATTGAGCCTGATGATATGCTTTGGAGTGTGATGATTGATGCTTACCTGCAAGAAGGTAACTGGATTAAAGCTTTAAAGCTGGTGGATGACATATTGTTGAAGGATGTGAATGTGGGCAAAAACGTGTATAATGTACTAACTGATATCCTATGCACGTATAATAATGTTCCCAAACTCTTGAAATTACTTAATGAAATTGAAGAGCAAGGATATAATCTCAATCTTGCTACTTGTAGAGTTCTAGTTTGTTGTTTTCACAGAGCAGGAAGGACAGACGAAGCAGTGAAGGTTCTAGATAGAATGGTCAGGTTTGGATGGGTCCCAGCCTCCACTGATATATGTGATTTTATCAATGAAGACAGTAAAAAGTCTGACAATATTGATGATTTCTCAAAGCAAACAGTACCTGGAATTGCTTGTCAGGCGCAAGCCTGATTGTTGCAGAAGAGAGTTTGAATTGTGTCTGGACAAGGTGTTACCGGAGTCAAGATTAAACTGATAATCATATGCCTTCAGAAAATTGTGGTAGCCCTTTGGTTTAGACAATGTGCAGCTTCCTTCTTGTGAAACAAATCAAGGTGGAGATTTGTCGAATGAAAGTCACTGGGTACTCAAAAAGGTACTAACACTTTCAGTATTCTGCATCTCTTCTTCAACTGAGTTCCCCCCTCTGTGTTTTAGCAGAAAAGTTACCATTGGGCAATTACCCACTGGTTGAATGGCGACGTTGTCGTTTAAAAGATCATCAAGTCAAACTGTAAATTAGTATTCTCCCTCACCCTTGATGAAGAAAAATGGAGAAAAATAGCTGCAAAGTTATTGCTTAGCAAAGTTTATTTAAATCAGCAATGATTCTTTTAAAGCTTTTTTCTGCCTTCAGTATAGATATTACATTCGCCCTTGCAACTATAGTGATTCTACTTTTTTCAGAAACCTATTTCTAGCACAAAAAGATTATAAGAAATGTTATCCATTATAGAATCCAGTCCCCTCTTGAATTATAAAATGCGTTCTCTAACTCTCAAGTCTTTCGTAGTCAGATTTGTAGTTACTGATCCTTTGCCTTTAAGTCATCTGCAGAAGATTGGTTGTCTCTGTGGGTTCCTTTTTGTGAATGTTTTAATCATCTATAAAATTTGGTATGGTAATTTTATTTCTTATATCACAGCAAAATTGACCTTTCTGTTGGTTATTGGCTTATTGCTGCATTTTTTTCACTACTGGATTGGTTTAACAGTGAGGTTGTCATGTTTGAAGTATATATACCTAGGCGCATACTTGATTCGTGGTTTTATAGGTATTTCTTCTAACTGATGTTTCACTAGGAAGAGATTAAGTGGGGAAGGAGTAAGAAGATAAGAGAGCAGGTGAACAGGAGGTCAAGAGACAGTGAAGTCGATTTGGTTATGTTGTCAAATGCCTCAGATGAAGATGGTGATAGTGTTGCCGGTGGCATAGGGCAGCAAACATGAATTTTGCAGATGGGGCTGCTCAAGCAGTAACCGAGAATGTCACCACCCAGAACATGTTCTTGATCTTAGTTTTCACTTTATGTAGCATCTTCTATCTATGGCTTTTACCAAGTTGTTTATTCTCTTGCATTTAAGAGAGTGCCGTTATTCATTTTTCATTTGTAACGTCTGGGTTTCCTGCAATATTTAATCTGATAGTGTAAGCATGGAAGTAATGCAATAATAGCACAATGCATTTACCTCTTCTCAGCATGTCTTGTTCTTAGCTTTTCTTTTTTGCCTTACCGACTTTGCTGTCATTACTTGAAACCATTTTATTCTCCGGCTCTGGTACAGTGGTATTCTTTCCTCAGAGCAAGACTCAAGAGTAACAGTTGTCAATACTTCTGGAATCACCGGGTGAAAAATTTCCAGTAGAATATTGGATTTTCAATTTGTTGTAATAATACACATTAAGCAGTTTAAGATAACGGCATATCATAACTAGTTCATACTTTGAAAATTAAATTGTTTTGCTCAGTACATTCTTTGAGCTGAAATGCCAATAGAGACCTATATGTTATCCTCCAAACTACCCTCACTGCGCAGCATCGTTAAATGCAGAAGTTTCAGAAGAGTCCTGTTAATCTAAGTACTGGTCTTCAGATCCCTTGTTACTGGAACTCTCAGATAACTTATATACAACTGTATAATAAACTATAAAAGTGCAACCTACCAGAAGCTCTGATGGGAAAACGGAGGCAACCTGAAAGGAAGGCACCTATATACAGAGACTGAACTCATATATACTTGTGGGGGGTGAAAGATTATACATGACCTACCAATCATCTTGCCAATTGCTGGAACAACAAAGGAACCAAGTCTATGGTTTCTAGCATTCAATACAAAATATCCCTTCAATCTGCTTTCGGATGCCTAGATTCTCTGATCTTGAGCAGTCATAGTTTACTTTGTTAAAAGAACAACCAGCTCACAATCATCAAGGGGTGATTCTGACAAAAGCTGAAATGCATTATTTCCTGATGTATCAACAGCTTGTGGATCTGCGCCCCTGCGTTCATCGGATTGGTAAAATCTTTGAGCAGCTATTTTCAACTTTTAAGGAAGATAATTGAATAATTAAGGTGTGAACATTAGAAAATGGGAGAAATATAGGACCTGAAACCTCTTCTCCACGAATGCTAAATGGAACTGCAGCCTTAAATAATGGTAATAAATAAGAACTGCTTGCCAAGACTATTCTATTATTTTTCATAGGCAACTAGGCAACCTGTGATCCTCCATATAATTATCTCTAGGTGAATGAACTGAACCAATCGAATTGGTTACTAAGGCCTTATGTTAACTGTCTTAGGCTATTGTTTGAATCCTCCCTTATTCTGGTGATGGTTGAACAGATTGTGAAGGATCAAATTACTATTTATTGTGTTGCATTCACATTTTTCTAAATTGACAGTAATTTTGTTTAATAGAAAAAGAGGATGCAAAAGATCCTTCTTATACCTATGCAGTCTACCATCTAGATTTTGCATTTCAATAGGTTTCACTACCTATAGATCTATTAGAGAGGCAACATTGGGTATAGTCTTTTGATTCCTAATCATATAGGCTCCTTTACACAGAATTGGAAGCTGAGAACTTCACAACATGGAAACAAGAGCCACCAAATATTGGTTGAAATCCTAGCCAAGCCTAAAATGTTTAGCAATATGAAGAACAAGTTGATCACCAGGTGGAGGATGGAACAAATTTATTACCAAAATGCAAAAAGCAAAGGCATGAGAATCTGAAGAATCACCTTGTGAGAAGCAACTTTGCAATTACAGGTCTCTGACTAATGATGCATTGATGCAGTGGCGTCTGACCTTTCGAATTAGAAGAATTTATATTTGCACCATATTGTAGGAGTAGCTCTACCATGCCAATGTCAGCAGTTATGCAGGCGAGGTGAAGCAGAGAACATCCATCAGAAAAATCCTTTATGTTCTGATCTTCATTTTTATTTAATGGTGTTCCATAGCTTGCAAAGGGCTTGTCTGAAGTGTCACCTGCAAATCAGTCAAACTTGAGGTCAAGGTTTTCTTTATCTTCCTACTGGATTACAAAGGTTAGAGATGAGGATGTACTAAATGATGCTTGCCCATGGATGGCATTGACATCAGCCAGTGAGCAGACAATATGGCGGTAGACTGCTTTCTTGTCATTGGCATGGACACTTTCCCACATTTGTTGTGCTGCCAAAAGGAGATTCTGTTTGTCCTTGATCTTGTGAGTAAATATTTTTTCTGCATACTGCATCATGAGGAAACTGTCAATTTTGGCTCTTAAATTATTTTATCAGGTTACTGCCATAGAGGTAAAGTAATAAAAATAAAAAAAAGTTTTGTCCTCTAATGTGATTAAACTTGATGCAAACATTGTAGAGCACATCCATAACCATAACAGGCACAGAACAACTGAAGGCTGAGGAGAGGCAAATACGAAATGTAAATTGCAAGGAATTATAGGCATTTAGTGTTAGGGATTCTCACTCTCGTATTTTCATTAAATCTTTGTATGTCTGTGTGTTCTCCGTGCAAGTGCAAATGGTTTACCAGTAATATGAATGAAAGTGACAAAATCAATGATAAGAAACCACAAAGACATCGTGTATGACAGCTAAATATTTGTCGCTTTACAACTCAGTTTACATGCATTCAGAAACAACAGGAAACAGAAAATAATTGTGATTAAGGCAGTATATGTGAAACGTAAGTTTGCCTTGAGTGGGAAGCAGTCCCAGCTTCAGATCCAGGCAATTTGCTTAGCTTAAGATGAAAGTATTTATGTTTTGATCAGATTTGTAGGCCCATCGTTTGACCCTCGATGGTCTAGAAGAATCCAAAAAGGTAGCAGCCTAGAGCTTCTATTCGTATCCTAGAAGGAGGCAAATCATACCTATGATCCTTAACTATGTTGAACCCAGTTAAATACATACATATATATATATATATATATATATAAAATACAAGTTTCAGGCTATAACAATAAGGAAATCAACTAGTTCATCAGACTCCAGAGCAGCCCAGTTCAAATAAGCAATAACAAATTATTTTACTTGAAAATTGTCATGTGTCCTTCAGATGATGTTAGATATATCTTCTCTTTGATAAAAAGAAAAATCCATGGTTATAGGAGCAAGGAGACGATATGTTATTTTTTTACGATCATATTGCCATTGCCTGGTTGGTTTACGTAGGTACATTAAAGTGATAATGAAAGTGTTCAAAGGGGAAAGGGACAAAGAAACAAGAATTGTCCAACGGGAGTATTGGAACTATTCAGAATATTACCTTTGCATGAATAAAATGCTCCTTAACAGAAATAGGATCATCATGACTTGGTTTTCTCAGATGGAAAAGCTTCTGTTTTTCAGATCCTGAAAAACTAAATCACAAAAGCAACCAACTCTTAGCATAAAAACCAAAAAAAAAAAAAAAAATTGAAAGAAGAGAAAACAGTTCTAATCATATCAAATGATGCACAACTTACTCTTTAAGCATTTCATCAGCAGTAAAAGGAGTTCCTGATTGTAGTAACTCCTCCCAAATTGAGTTTGCATAAAGGTTGCCTATTGACTGAAACAAATTTAAGACGGATGGTTCCCACACTTTGACATCAAGCGTCAGTGATCTCACCTGCATTGAAAGTTGTACAAATGAATGAGCAAACAGAAAACAATGGTGATCACTGACACCAAAGAGATCCACGCCAATATATACAAAACAAATAAAAGTTACCAAAAGCAAGTTGACCATTTCTTTTCTTTTTCTTAAAAAAGGAACAAATTCTTCCTTTGTTGCTTTCTTTCTTTTCTTTCTTTTTTTAATTTAATTTTATTTTATTTTTTAAATCCAATTACTGATTGATGAAGGACTACATTAAAACAAGACTGTTACAAGGTTTGCATCTCAGGAAACCAGAAGGTCCTGATGCCTATACTCGAGCTTTTACGGAGAAAAAGTGAAGACAACCTATTTGACTATGTAAAAAGCAATATGGTTCTATATGCGAAGCTTGATAGATTACCTTTGATACATGTACACCAAGATTACGATGAACACCTGAACATTCAATGCACATGAGAACACCAAGGTTTAAGGATGCCCAGTCCGGCTCAGGTGCACCACAATCAACACATTTGTCATTTCCAGGTACTCTTCTCAATATGTCAATCGGCTTCTCACTTCTCATAACAAATTCCTGCTGTTGTGAATTTTTAGATGAATGAAAATGACTTCTGCTGGTGACATCATCAACCTCTGACTGATCAATGTCAGAAGAATCAACCATTGAGCTGCTATCACTGACAGAAAGACGATCAGCATTTCCCGCAGAAAGATGCTGACAAATAATTGATTTCTGCTGATTAACAAGTATATAATCACAGGTTAAATTTTAATAGAAAAAAAAGTTATCAATATTTACTCCTTCAGCTACTTGAAAACTCAATAATGAGGTAATCACTCCAGTAATCTTTTCAATCCAGTCCATCTGGTCCAGTGCATTCTCTGCCTGCACAGGAAGAACATACAATTGCGAATCTGGGAATCTGAATGTGCAAGAAGAAAGAGGTAACATTAAATTTATCGATGAGTTTTGAGACGAATGTTCATGCTGAACTTTAAAAAAGCACCTGCAAAGTGTAAACTTTCGTTGGTGAAATAATTCTGAAGCAGAATCTTAAATCTGACTGATCTGCGTCAACCTTTATTGTTGAGGTTAACAGGTTTACAGTGTGACGTGCAACAGATTTTTCATCATGCAATCCACCATGATAATGAGCAGAAAGCCATCGACTCAGCAACCCAGGGCCATTTTCAGTGGAAACACTCCTCTGCACAGAAGATTGACTTCCACCTGTCTGAAATAGGGTGCTCAGTGTTCAGGGAACTGCTTATGAGGCCACAATTGATGGACTTGAACAGCCCACAACATACAAGCTATCTTTCATCTAGTGACTTACAGATACCCAGCTGAAAGGTTTGCGATAATAGTAGAGCATCCCTCGACTATCAAGGACAAAAAATCTTCTCTTCCAATCACCTCTCAAATTTGAGGAACGTTTTGATAAATATCCTTGTCGAATGGTTTGAACCTGTACAAAATGTAGTCTTAGTGAGCCCCTTAATTCAAACTACTTTACCAATGCTCAGAAAATCTAACCAATTCATGAAGAAATAATATTAAAGAGAAATAGGTAATATCCACTATAGAACTACCTTCCCTTTTGCTGCAGATTGCATGGCTGCCTCTATCACTTTATTTGAACTCCTAGGGAAAGGTCGCAAACACTCTCCATTGGGAGAACTGAGGCCTCCATTTAAGGAGTGCTTACTTTCTCGATCAATCTGCCTCATGTACTCTTGCACCCTTTCATTAAGAGATGCTTGCTCATAGTTGGAGCATTCTCTGGACTGTTGTGCATAAGCCAAGACCTGTAGCATAACATCCCAGGCTTTAGTAAATTAACATGTCAGAATAGAAAAGTTTTCAGGTAGAACTTGATGCTAATAGTCAACTTTCAATAGTATCTCCTTGGGAAAGATCAACAAGGAGAGAGAACAATTTGCTGGCCTTAATCAGATCTCATGGCAACAGACAACCAGAAACTGAACAGGCAAGGAGACCCACAATTTACTGCGTGATCAGAATCCGAAATAAAAGAGAAATTTAGTTCCTTTTATGGGTAGGGCAGAGTCGGTCAGGAAAGAGTAGGGTGAAAAGTTAGAGCAGTTACTGCAATAAAATCCGCGATTTGAAACTACCCGCCAGTAAACCAAAGAACAAGGACTTGTGTGTATTTTGTCATTTATCCTTACTCCTTTTCCATTAAAAAAAAAAAGCCCTATCTCAGGTCTATATGGACAGAGTCCCAGGTTCTGATGGTTCAAAGGTAACAATTATGGAATCTTAATCATCCTCGTGACATGCTTTTTCCAGTTACTTACAATAAAATCCAATGCACAAGGCGGTTTTCAACAGCATAAACTGGTTTCAAGCTAAAAGAACGACCTGAGAAGTAAGTTGTTAAACTTTGTCTTGGTATTACTTTCTTATTTATTTATTTATTTATTTATCACTTCTTCAAAAGCACAGACACATTTGGAGATTTTACATATGGGCCTATTCTGAAAATGGAAGAACGGAAAAAACTTCTTAGCATTTTACTTAGTGAGTTTTGTTAGTCCAGGAGAGATTTAACTGTTTAGAAATACTTTATACTTTCCTCTATGCTAAGAAACTAAACTTATTCTATTACAAATTTGACAGAACACAAGAAAACTTTGAAAAACCTGGTTAATAAAAGGCTCCAGCTGATGCAATAGCTCATACCCCTGAAAGAATTGAAAATTTTCAAGTCAAGCATATGCAAAATCATACCTTCGGAAGAATCATAGAATGATTATCATATGATCATACAGAAGGATACCTGCTTGAAGTATCGAAGGTGAGCATCCATTGTTCCACTAACAGCCTCTAGAAACTCAAATCTTTTCTTGGCCTCAACAATAGAAAGAGCACTAACCTGGAAATAGAAAAACATGCAGCATATTTGATATGAAACAGCTTCTGCATTGTAGATTTATTTGATTTGCATATTCTTGTATGAATCTACTTCTACTTACCAAGTGAAAACGTGCTTGCTCAAAAGAAGATCTTGCATTGTGTTGTTCCTGGAATGTCTCTCCACCAAATTAGATGTACACTGACAGTCTACCATAATTAACTATTGATAACTTATGTACCAGAATGAATAGCGATTAGAAGTTATAAGTAGGCTCCTAATGCATATACCTCCTCTATAGTAGTAGCTACATCCATCTTTGTGCTCTTTTTCAATGACAGAAACTTATCTCGTGCCTGTGCTACAACATGCCATTGGCATTAAGCATTGCAGCCAAGGAGTCATTGGTTAATATGAATCTTCAAAATTTAAATTGCATTGATAAGATATGATTATTACAACAAATATACAATCAAAAAGAGAAGCAGCTGTAAGAAAGGAAATACCAGACCATTTTACCATAAGGAAGTAGAGATTATTTGAACACAGGTTTAGCAAGAATCAACTTAAAGATCAAGTCTTTTTGCTGCTAGAGAGATTTTAAAATTTAAAAGATATTTGAATATATATCTATCACTTAAGGTCCCTAATTCTCTAAGTTCAATTTTCTTTCCAGTTCTGGATGGTAACCAGCACCTTAAAGATACTTCTACATTAAATGAATTGCATAAAACCATGTAAGGTCCCTAATCCTATCAGTTAGTTTTTCCTTCTCATTCTGGACCTTAACCAGAATCTTAGAGATCCACCTATGGTAGAAGTGTTCAATTCAGTGAAAAACAAAGTTTTCAAGGCTATGCAACCATGTATGGCAGAAAACATCAAAATGCTTGCGTACATCCATGGAATTCAAAGAACAAAGAAGTTGTGAAAGAGATAAACAACAAAAAATAGATAAATTGGAGTCACATAACAGAAGCTTGAGACACAATACCAACCTGATCATATACGAGGGAAGCTTTGTCAAAACGTTTTCGAGCTTCCTGCACCAAATGCAACATTCTTATTGCTATAAATTTGAATCAGAGAAAATCTTCAATAACTAACCTAGTCCAAATATTGATTACAAAAAAAGCATTAGTAACAAAGTTATTCATGGATTTTTGACCTAAAAGATATGATTAAATAGCATTAGTGGGCCCAATTGAGCAACCTTTGTCATGCCAATCACTCAAATATCTCAACTCTGAAACTGCTATTTGGAATAAAAATTTGAAATGAGATGTTTAACATTGAAAAGTCAACGATCGTCTGTTTTGCATAGGAGATAATGGCCACAAGAGTTTGTGCTGGTTTTATATTTATACATATAAATGCACTACATTTTTAACACAGATATGATTACGGTAGAAAGAAAGACAGACAATAACATTACACATACAAGAAAGCATCCATGCCATAAGATATACACAGTACCTTGATGTCTTGTAGGTCAACGCTCACAAATTGTAGCAAACGATCGTTTAGAATGTGCTCAATCTGACAAATACAATTAATAATGTTAGAAAAGGAAATCAGTTTCAACAGTTTTCCATCTTCTATAACATACTTTAAAGAATATTACTCTTCTTTGGAATATGATACCTGAGACCTAAGAACTTCCTTGTATGTCCCAATTTCTCTCAAAGCAATTGTAAATTTGCTCATCACTGGGCCTAAGATAAACAGAAACATAATTCTATGATTATCAGCAAAAAAATATATACATTGAGCTATTTATTTGGCTCCTGTGGTTGTATAAAGTAAACCATAGATGTAGATGCTCGAATCAATGTAAAAAACTAGATACCTCCAAAAGCAACACAAATAGGATCATTATGCCCTCCTCCAAAAGCTTCAAGAGCACTAGCAAAAGCAACGTCGGCATCATAACCCTCTCCAAGCCCTTCTCTGAAAATTTGAGAAACCAAGTATATATAAGATCCTTCAACGCATTTTCTACAATGAAATATCAGGTCAAGAAAAGAGAAATCCAAATTTACAAAAATGGACTTACGTGTACTTTCGAGATCCTTTGACGAATTTTAAACATCGTCCTCTCAATAGCTCTGCACTTTCTTCCATGCATTGTATCTATTTGGTCAAACAATCCATCAAATGATCAAAATAAGCTACACATAACAAAATACAATATGCATAGACTTAAGAACACAGACGTCGAATTACAAAATAAACGATAAAGAGAAATACGTGTACATGCAATGTACTTAGCATAAGAAAATGCAAGATCAGTCTAAAAAGTAAACAAAAAGTTTAAACTAACGAGAAACACAATACATTGACCATTAATTTCATGGAAAAAGAAGAAGAGCACCTGTTGCCGAAACATCGGCGAATCGTCTAGTTTCGCGAAAAGCATTTCAGATTCTGTGGAGCAATTCGTCTTGCTCGTCGTTTTTGCTGTTGTTTTCAGGGAAATGGAAGGTTGAGAGAGAGGGAAGGAAGGAAAGTAAAGCAAAAAGGAGAAACAGAGAAACAGAGTTTTTGGTTTTTTTTATATAAAATTGTTTGGTTTGGGATATGCTGTGTTTTAGTGTCGAGTGACTTTTCTTTTTTGGATAAATGGGCGCAATCTAAGGAAGGAAGAAGGTTTGTTTTTAGTGTTTTGCTTAGATTAGAGTGTTTCTGTTTGCGAACTTTCATGGCGTCGCTGAAAAAATATACCCACACCCGCCTTTTGTAACCAGGAAAAAAATAATCGATCAGGAAGGCAAAATTTGGCCCATTGATATGTGTCCGAGCCCATTTTGTTTAGCCACGTGGTGGCCGAAAACGGCATTATCTTTCATTTTTTGTGTGCCAGTTACCAGCTTTCCTCTTTTTCCTCTTCTTCATCTTCCATATTTTGTTTTTTAGAAGACCTGCTTTCTTCTTCAGACTAAAATGAACTAAACTTTGCCAAGTTTGGCAACCGTTTTCCTGTCTCTTAATCTTTTAGTTTCAGAAAAAGGGTGGACATGAGAAAAGGTCAGTCATTTTTTATTTTTCTTTAGTTATTTAACTATTTAGCTGGTTCCATGTATAATTACTATCTTGATCTTTTTCATAAATTATGCCAATACATATAATACAGCTAGCTTAGTGAAGTTTATATGCTTGTTAGCTTTAGCTCTTATTTGATTTTTGGGTTTGTTTTGCATTTTCAATTTGGAGTGACAGAAAGAGAAAGAACCGGTGTCTTATATGTTTCTTCCATTTGGCCATCACTTCAACAAAATATAGATATTTGCTTTTGGGTTTTACTGTGTTGCATGGTTATTTCAATGTTGAACTATTTCCACTTTTATTGTCCATTTGGTTGAGGATTACAAAAAGGGGAGGGGATACGGGTGTGCTATATGTTGATTTGATCCGTCGAAACTGGAAAGCTTGCAAAAGGGTTATTGGTGGAAAGATAATTGCTTTAACTTAGAATATGAAAGTGATGTTTGATTTCATCTCATCTTCTTATGGGTAACATGTTGTTTTACTCTCCAAATTCTGGTAACATTTTAGTAGTTATGATATTTTCTATGGTTTTGGTACCATAATCATCCCAAATTCCAATGCATGAAAGAAGAGTATGAAAACTTTTCCTTTCTCCTGATTTTAATACTTAAATTTTTCTTATTTTCTTTTAACTGTTTCTTGCCAACTTCAGCCCAGCCAACTGGTACTTAGTTTTCATGCTCTGAAGTTGAATGCTAGAAGTTGCTCATGGCTTATCTAGAAATTATTTTGATGTTCTTTTAGAACTAGCATTTGAAATAAGGAACAAGGTAAGAATCAAGGAATGCTGGAGGCTCTTGGAGAAAAAGAGGTGGCTGAGCAGATGATGATTTGCAATGACTTTGCCAATGCCAGAGAGCATTTTCTTCGATTGCATCAGCATTTCCCTGTGAATGAAAACATTGATTCTATGTTAAGTTTATGTGACATACTAACTGCTGCCAGAGTGGAGCTTCCAGGTTGCGGAATTGATCATTACTGGGTCCTTCAGGTTTGCCCTCTTCTACAATTGATGATATTAGGTGCCGATACCAGAAGCTTGTCACCTTGTTGCAGCCTATCAGCACAAAATTCCCTTGCACCCAATTGGCTCTGAAACTTATAAAGGATGCATTTATAGTGCTTACAGACCATAAAAAGCGTTCTGAATTTGATTTGAAAAGAATTACAAGTTGGGAGAATTATAAATCTTTTGATTTGCAAGCATCAAGCTATCAAATTAGCCTAAATAAAGAGATAATAAGTACTTATCAAAATTATTCAAGTCAAGTTTGTGATGGGGGTGTTAAACCATCTGAAATGCTTCCAAAGGATGATCAAGTAAATTTGCAAGGCTTGGATAAACAACAATTTGAAATTAATGTTGGAGAAATAAATTTGTCTCTTGCTAATCTGAAGTCTGCAAGAAATATTCAGGTAGATATAGATAAAAGTGTGGACTTTGTAAAATTGCCTACTGCATTGCAGCCTACAAGTTTGGAGGAGATTTGTTCTTCAAAAGCTACGCTGCAGCAAAGGTCTTTCCATGAATTCTACAACTTTGACAGTGATAGAAGATTTCAGAATTTTGAGGTAGGTCAAATATGGGCTGCAAATTACAGAGCTAATCTGTGTCATAATTATCGGTATGCTCGAATTGATTCAACATCAAAAGCAGCAACTTTTGTTACATGGTTGAAACCAATCCCAATTAGTTATAGTGAGAGAAGGTGGTGTGACGCAGGCATGCCTGTTGCTTGTGGATCATTTGAATTGAGTTCAGAAATGCGGATGAGCATTGAGGTCAGATGGCCAGAGATTGTATCGTACAAATGTTCTTGGACTTGTGGTGCAATGGACGAACAATTTGAAATCTACCCTAGAAAAGGTGAAATTTGGGCAGTTTATAAGGATTGGATCTTGAGGATTGGTCTTACAATCCTGACTCTGTCAAAGGGTGCAAATTTGAGTTAATTGAAATGATTTGAGATTTTTCAAAATGTTTAGGGGCATAAGGAGCATGTTTGGTTAAAGTAGATGGTTTTAAATGCATCTTTGAGAGACAAACAATTGGAGGAAACCCTGTTAGCTTTTATATTCCTCCAAACAATCTGTATATTTTCTCTCATAAGATTCTAGCATATAGGTTCAAGGGCAGGGAGCTTGATAAGGTGGAGGAAGGAATGTATGAGCTTGATCGCTCAGCCTTGCCAGATTATGTTATTCAAGATGCAAAGATAAAATATTTATCTAACTTTACGTTTCAAAAACAACTAACTCCATTCAAGTCATCTCCAGAGAACAAAATTTTGATGCCCAACTGGTCTCACAACGACTTCATTTCAGGTGAGGTTTGGGCTGTGTACTTGGGAGAGGATAATACGCCGCAAAAATATGTGAGAGTAAATAATGTAACATCAGAGAATCAGGTGTGTGTCACTTTCTTAGAACCTCTACCTGTTCTTGAACATGAAATTGAATGGACAAGACAGGACCTACCTATGGTGTGTGGGATATTTAAAGTTGGTGAAAGGAGTGCCAATATAGAAATATCTCTTTTCTGTTCTGATATTTAAAGTTGGTGTGTGGGCATCAAGTGCAGAGAAAGCACAAGCGATTCTTGCTACAAAATTTACCCACTAAAAGGAGAAATATGGACTACATATAAGGGGTGGAATACCAAATGGAAGACGGTTGACTATAAAAGTTACCAATGCCAAATTGTCCAAATTGTATCAGAGTTTTCAGAAGGTGATGAAATAACAGTATCCAGGCTGGAGAAGTTAAAGGTTGCTTGACTTTCTTCCATGCGCAAAAATATGATGGATTTGACTTGATTCATAGAGTTTCAATAGCAGACGTTCTTAGTTTTTCCCATCAGATTCCAGCTTTCACAGTTCCTGGAATTGGCCAGTATGGATAGCGGAAAGTTCTTGGCATTTGGGACCACTTGCTTTGCCCAGGATGACTGGAAGATAAATTTCGGATTATCCTGCTTTATTTTATTTCAGATAGTAGTTACAAAAATATCATTTCTAAAGTGGTCTTTATTATATATGTAGAGTAAGAAGCAGGATGGGGGAACTAGTTTCCAACCTTTCATGCAGTGTCCAATTATTTCACAGTAACTCGTCAATCATCGTGATCAACCATTGATGAACTCTTTTTTTTCTGATGATGACAATAACAATTGATGAGCTTAACATAACTTACAATATAACAAATGACTTTCCGTTCACAAAGGAAACATGTTAAATTAATTAACCAATATTTTTAAATGCACAAATATTAAAAGTGCTAAACAATAGGAGAATCTATTTTAAAGCTTCCCAAGTATGATAGAAAGTGAGTGTCAGACTTTCAACTGTTAAGCGATTCCTGAGGTTTTAACTCTCTGAAATTTAATTCACTCTTCCATTTCAGGGCCAAAAAATTTAACATGCTATAACATTCCGTTCTGCTTGTTCATTGAAATCTGCATAAGCCCAAAATTTTTCAAATAACCCAAAATTAAAAAGGTCAGTCCTTGACAACAATGCAAAACCTCAAAATCCCATATCAAAGTATTCACTTGCAGCTTTTTCTCCTGGATCAGAGCCTGCTCTACAAAACTCATCGCCAGAGCCTACTTATGAAGCCTTTCTTGTCCTTCTTCATCCTGTTTTCAATAGATGGGAAATCGATATAATTATAGGCAAGGTCTAGAATGATGGGATTGCGAGGTATTGCTCGGAAGGCTGGAGGAAAGACTTCAATACGTGGAGGAGCTTTCACATGGGGATCGCCGACTACAGACTCATAGACATCAAGTTTCTCAAGCAGGTATTTCTCCACCTGATACATTTAGATTAGCATTCAAACCAAGGTTAGGCCTATATACAGCAGAGACGCATTGATATTTACTCCAATATAATGCAAGTATGAAAAATATACAGATTGCTTCACTAGACTCTGTTAAGCTGACGTATGGAAGTAAAATGCACTGACAAATCACAATTATCAATTATTTCATCATATAATATGTCATGCTTCCCCACTTTGGAATCACCCCGAATTTTCAACTTGTTCTAAGTAGCTGCAAAAGACGTGATACAAAAGGCATCAAAAGTATTACTTTCAAAACGCTAAATAATCATTACACTATAATTTTCCACCTGCTACTCTAAACATATATAGACCATATTTTGGATATCATTATGTGAAAAACAACATTAATTCAAACCTTATCAAGACCATATAAACCACCTAATACTTCTCAGAATCAAATATTGTCTCACTAACACAAATTGATCCACAAGAGTGGATGGCCACGCAATTAAGTTCCTTCAACATTGAACTGGCATTATTTATGCCAGCAGTCTGATAAAGTCCAGTTTTCAAGCATGCAAATCTGTACAGGTCAAAGATGGGAACAGACTGGTTTCATAGAGATCATAACATACATATAGCAGACCGCGTAGCTAGTACATGAAACTTAAAGCATTATTTAAGTTGAGGGTAACTTGGAACTATTAAAATGTCAGCTTATGTTCCATAGGACATTAATAAACTCATGTATAGTGATAAATATACCATGTTCCTCCATCTAAGCTAGCCATCACTTTTGCTACACAATTATAGAATTCAGAATAAATAGGTTTGGTTAAATTTATAAGCAATAAAAGTAAAAAAGGCTCAAATTCTACCTTCTTGTCACCCCCACTTAATGATATAGCAGAAACTTTTTTGGAAAGGTTCTCTGGAGCCTTCTCTTCCTCCATAATTCCTGATGCATGCTCTATGCAAATATTAGATCTGCTCTCGTTGTATAATGCCTTCAGCTCTTTGATCATTACCTGTGATATAAAATGATTAAATAATCAGATAATTCATAGAACAAGCGATATGGCACAGAAATGATATAAAATCCATGAAGCATTACTAGCTATTTTTCTAGATGACTTTTCCCTGAAAGTACAGAATCCACAGCCACAATAAAAACCGACCGCTGATTTCAGTTAATAACGCAAAATAGTCAAAAAAAAGAAAGTTATAGTTCCCTTTTCAAGAAAAATCACCTCATCGGTGTTACTAAGAGATTGAAACTTTTGTAAAGCATTCTCAGCAAGGGAACGAGCTTGGCAGTATAAAGCATATGCTTCTGGTCTCTTTCCAGCTAAACTGTAAGACTTTGCTAGGTAGAAGCACCTGCAAAGGAATAAGAAAGATAAAAGTAACTCATAAATGGTCACCTTGTTGTCTAGACCTCAAACAGAAACAGAATTCATTAAATCACATCCTTTTCTCTTGGAAAAGAAATGTTGACATAAATGTCTTCATCTAAAACAAAATGGCATGAAAATGAGCAGAAATAATATTATGAGTAACAGGAACACATTGAGAAGAAGCTCACAGAAATTTCACGGCAAAGACTTGCAGCTCACAATAGCAAGAGATCTAGAAAATAAACTTGAAAACAGGTCCAATTAAATGAAGGCAAAAGATGGTAAAGATCAATGTGTTAACAAAAGACATGCCCATCTTTGAACAAAATTATAGAATATAATGACCATACCAGACCCAAAATAGACAGATTAAGATGATTTAGTGAGACGTGTATGAAATACAGACAACACAGTGAAATTAGTAGCAATATGTCATATTAGTAGGAGCTCAGGTATAACCTTTGTGCTCGAAAAGCCAAACTTCTAAGTTCACAGTCTTCAGAAAATGCAACTTCCTCAGGTTTTGTATCTCTTCCAGAACTAACTAAGTCAGAAAGATCAGATGTATTCTGCCAAAGGTAACATGGTTAAACAGGTTAGCTACTTAATTTGGGGTAGCGACATATATCACTTGCAGCATCTGAATCAATCCTTAGGAAGAAAGCATTTTGACAATAATAGTACAGAAAGATTGTTGACCTGTAATAAAAGATCATACAAGCGAACAAGCTCCTCAGGCTTAGTAACTTTCTCATTTTTGTCATCACGGCGCCTAGTAAGTTTACTCTTTGCAATGCTAACCAACAGCTGATTACGTTCGATTGTCCGTTGTCCTAGTACAGCACTAACAGCTTTATCAAGGCCACTTAAGTCATCTTTTACGCTATCAGCATTACCTGCACTGGCCTAGAAATGTAATATGTCAGGATACAAGTCCAAAAGATTGAAAGAATGAATCACACAGCTAAAAGGCTAAGAAAAACATTAAAAAAAAAAAAAAAAAAAGGTTTCTTGACAATGCAATACAATAAGAAGAACAAAAACATCTATTGTTAAATAAAATATAGTAGAACTACAGGCTGAAATTCCATACCAAGTCACTGCGAATGCAGCTTCTAGCCTCATGATATGCAGTAAAAATTTTGTCAAAGATGGCTAATTTTTTCTCTGCTGGGAGTGAATCAGCTGCAGGACCATGCAAATCCTTCTCCAGTTCTTGAGCTGATGAGATCATCAAACAACAAACAGAATTTGAGGATTGCTCAACCAATAAAAACAATTGCAGTGGAACAAAGACATGCAAGTATCACGCATCCAACCAACTCCAAATAAGCTTCTCTGATTAGAGCAACATAAAGACAAAGATACTTATTCCTCATTTTCATTCATAGTTTGATGTTCATTCATAGTTTGCTACTCATCAAAAGACAATAGAGGAGGAGAAACAATTGCAGATCAAATACTATGGTTCTGAAGGATGAACTGGATATGGACAGTTCCAATAAGATTTCTTTCTTGAACAAAAATCCATTTTTTGATTTAGCAATTATATTACTCTGAGACAACCTTTTAAAATGGAGACCCGGGTTTTTGCATTGGATATTGGAAATTTGTGACCAAGCCAATGAAACTCTGTCAGGGAAGCTGCCTGTTGGGACCTTGCCTCTGCCATAACAGCCTAAAAAACAAGGTAAAAAAATTAAAAAAGAACACGTAGGAAATCAATTCACATAAAGTTCTCAAATCAGAATTAACATGATAGGAAAATACAAAAGTCAGAAAGCTAGAGTTGTCAAAATTATTCATTTTTTATCTAGATCAGTGATAACAAAATCATCCATTCGATATTGATGAGGCTCAGTGTGAAGTTGGTTCAATTTAAAATCTTGCTTACACTGTTCAAGAATGTAAGATAAGTTTCATTATTGAATCTATAAGGTGACCAACTACAAGATATAGTTTTTTTTTTTTTTTTAAATAAGCAGCACAAGCAGACCAGCTGCTTTGAGAACATCTTAAGCAGACTAGAGAACATAAGAAATTGCATTGAAGACCAAAAAAGGAAAAAGAAAAAAGGAAAAGATTTGGCATCACAATTGAATTCCTGCTAAAATATCAATCTCACCTCCAATTTAGATTTGAAGAGGTCTAGTGCAGGACCTTCCATCTCACCAATTTGTAGAAGGTCAGAAGTTTTAATATTTGACTCGCCAATTTTGTGTCTGCAGTATCGAATACTGGGCTCCAGCTCCTCAACACGCTCACGGCATAAAAGCTGATTCTCTAGGTCTCCATATTTCCCAAGTTCCTCATAAACAGCTCTACATGAAACATCGATCAATTCAGTCAAGAACAACACCATTTTGTCCTTTTATTGTGGTAACTAATTCATGATACAGGACCACTGTCAGTGATTTAGATTTAAGGTTGATTAGTTAAAGTGGATGACACGACAGATAAAAACACAAAGGAAGACAAACACTATCACTCTGTCTATGACAAGTGTGCCAGAATTCAACTCAACAGATTCTATAACAGAATTCCCATGTTTGGATAAATCCTAATATGGTAAAATGCAATTTAACTCGATGGTTTAGAATAAAAGAGAAGTGAATTGAATATACAGTCTCCTACAAAACTTCTACTTAGAAAAAAGAGATTTAAAGGGCATTGTATTATTTCTGTTAAACCCATAACTTAACCCAATGAATTGAACTCTTAAAAATCTAGCAAAACAAACATGATAGAGGTCTCAAGGTTCATATATTTGACTCTTTACAATTGCCACAGTGTAGACGCTCGAGTATGCCTCCCACAAAAACCCATGCTTCCCATAACCCCACCCAAATAAGTTTCTGGTTACACCAAACACTAGCTATACAATTCTAACATGAAAGCAGCAATAAAGATCATTATGAAGGATGGACCTGGCACTTATGAAATTCTTCAATGCCGTGTCCCAATTCCGATCCTGTTCAAACAATAGATTGCCATTCATATACGCAGCATATGCCTGCAAAATCGGAAAATTCAAACTTTGTTGATTTAGGATGGATAAGTAATGTCATACTTTAGCTGAAGTATAAGAAGGCTCCAGATAGGGGTTACAAATCCAGCAGAACTAGTAGAAGAATATAAGATTTTTAGAACATTTTGGTTCTATTACACAATCAAGCAGATGACTAAGGGGTGCAGAATTCACATATCCTTTGAATCCTCAAACTCATTGAAATATTACATAATTGTGACAGAATTATAAAGAATGAACTGTTAACGCAAATGCCAGAGATGCTTGAGACTTGTCTCTTAAAGCTCTAATGCATAACTGGAGCTTATTATGGTTGTTTGCTCATGAATCCATCACCAGTGGTTCAAACTCAGACAACCCCCTAGTTAGTTACCATTCAACAGCAAAGCAATGCAATTAACTATTTATGATGATTGTAACCCCAAAAGTGTCACAAAAGTGCAATGAACGGCTAGTTCATAACTAGAATTGAGCTAGCCAACAGAAAGAAAGAAGCAACATCAACCATTAGCAACCATTGGAAAAAAAAATTCAATATTAAATTCATTGAGCTTCTAACAACAAGTGCTATCCAATGAAATGGTAAAATCACTAATGCTATGCTTGGGAAGATGGAGGAAGTAAAATAAGAGTGTAAAATGACACTACTCACTTTCCTCCCAAAATGGAGAGAAAATTAGACTAGAAAGATGTAAAATAATTTATTTTACATCCTCCTTAACATTTTCAACCAAAACAAATAAGGGATTTTGAAAATTCCAATGCATTTTCACCCTCTATTTTAACATTCACCTATGTTTTACCTCCATCCAAACAGCCCATAAACGCTCAAAACTCATGCACATTATTTGCACAAAATTTTATTACAATAGTTACAGAGATACCAGAGACCAAAAAATTGCAGAAATGAGTTGAAATAACCAAAGCAAAGGCACACCTCAGCTTCCAAAGATGTTCTGGAATCTCCCTTGGCAGCACACAACCGAGAGAACAGGTCAGCCCATTTTACTGCCTTCCTCAATCTCCCAATCAAATATATGCGTTGCCGTGCATTTGGACCATCTGGAAGCTGTCGTTTCTCCATGGCATGGCTCCAAGCTCTCTCCGCCATATAAAAAACCAGATGCAGAAACCTATTTCTCTTTCAAATAAATAAATTATAAACCCAAAATAGAATTTTACTCTCACTATTTCACAAACATTAACACCAATAAACTCAAAAGGTTCACTTCCAATTTAAGAAACCAATTAGCCATAACCTTCTCCAGAAAAGGGTTTTCTTGTGATGGAATTAGGCATTGTGATAAGAAATTACCCTCAAACACATGAACTTCATATTTTTATGAGTTTTGACCCTTACTTCTGGATTAAAATTACCTCAGAACTTCTTGGCATTACAGTTTATGATTTGCAAAGATGGGAAAAAGAAAAATAAAATGAGCATTTCATTTTACTGTTGACAACATGGATCCCAACATAGAAAGCTTTTTTATGAGAATATAATGGATAATCAGCTACCAGCCTAACAAAACTGAAAAATTGGCCCAAGTCAAGTTCTAAAAATAATTACCCAAAAATGAATGAGAACTCATTCAGTAGGGTTATAAGAAGCATAAAGAGAGAGAGAAAAAAAGGTGCAAGCAAAAATGGAATCACATATACAGTGTTTGAGAAGAGCAGAATACAAGCTAAATCAACAAGACATACCTAACTTCAGTAACAGTGGATTCAGTTATAGCTCTACGACTGTATTTACCACGTCCATGGGTAAACTTCAATGATTTATATAACCTCCTCAGCCGAGCAGAACAATACCTCCTGCGCTTGAATCAAATTACTAAATTCAATCACAAAAACCTCACTACAAAAAGCTCATATCAAACAACCAGACCAATAAGCAATCCATATACCGATAGCGTGTATAATCCCCATGCCGCAAGCCATGCTGCATCTGCGCAGACTTCAAGAGCTGCAACACTGATTTTGTCAAAAAGAAAAAAATATATATTAATACCTCAAAAATGCCAATGAAATGTTAATCCATAAAAAGAGGGTCGCAATGTATTTCTGTTTATAAAGAGGAAGTTACCGTTGATTGAATATCTAGGATTGATCTGATCAGAACTGTTCGATTTTTGAGCATCAATTTCCATGGCCGTGGTTTCGCTTTCCTTCCCCATCAATCCTTCAACTGAACATTCACCAGACAAAATCACATTAATCGAAGAGGAAATGAACAATAATCAGTACTGCTATTTTATATGCGATGCATAGAGCAACAAAATTAAAGCAAAAAGAAAAGAGAAAAGGGAGATTTGATCGTTGCAGTATTGCACAGCTGTAAGATCTAATCAAATTTGGTGTGTACGTACCTGTTCCTAGGGATTCAAATGGTGGTATTGTTCTTCTGCAACTGCTGTTCTGGGACTTTGTGTAGCGTTTGTGCTATGGGTTTCAACTTTGTTATGTGCAGTGATAAGATGCAAAACGGTACCCTGCAATGCAACGTCAAGGACTGAGACGAGTCGGATCAAGCGGACAACTACGTAAACGACTAGTCATCCGTCGAAAACCGAGTTTTTGTTAAAACTGACGCGATGGAAAAGTTTCTCCACCTTGCAACTAGAGCAAAGTTTATCGGTCGTTAAGCCTCCTTTCTAACGAGTCTTGAACTAGAGCTTGCTTGGTCACGTGATCCGTAGGACTTAAGCACTTGAGCCCGAGAATGATTCGACCATGGGCCGATCGTTTGAGCAGGCTGGAAGTGGTAATTTACCGAACGACATCAACAAAAACCGCTAGATTCGGCACGGTTGATTCTCATCAATGTAGTTGTCGTTTCTTAAAATAAAGGCCGACCGTTTTGAGCGGATAATAAACGAGACGCGCCGACATATATGATATATAACAATCACTAAATTAAAACATTTATGAGAATTATGTTAATGTGGTGGTCTGGTTAGTCTTTTCAGAGATTTACGGTTATTTTTACCAATTTAGTGAGTGAAATTGAGCACTATCCACATATTTCAATCCATAAAAACTTCAAATGAATTAAAAGAAATACATTAAGTTGTCAAGAGCCATCTTTAGATCAATAACTACTTCTTAACTGAAATTAGATTTTGTTTGGCTGGTGAGAATTTAATAGAAATGAGAACAAAATATAAAGAAAAGGGACTGCCAATCAGACACTAATTTCTTGAGCATACCTAGCTAGGTTTCAATTTTTAATTGATTCTAGATCCATAATTTAACTAGAAAGAAAAAAAAATGATGATCTTGCTTCCTCATTTGTGTTTAAAAAATGAGATATGGAGAAAAATGCAATAATAAGTTTATGAAGATCAAATCAACTGAAATTTATTAATACATATAGAGAATTTACAAGCTTTTTAGTTTTGATCAACGTTCTAAGAACTTGGACCTAGACTGAATGTTTTTTGCCCTGTAGTTGATCATTTCTATTCAAAGTCAATAAGGAAGGTGCGGATTTCCATTGGAGCAAGTTCAACAGCTAATGTTAATGGATCTACAGGTCCTCCCCTCTTCACCTTGGGATTGTTTCCAAAAGAGCCTTCTACTTTCCAAACTAGTCTCTTCCTCTCCATTTCCGACCTTTCTTGGTTTGCAGATAAACTTGTTTCTGTTACTTTGTTTATCTGTTAGACATAGAAGATTGAATAAGTATTCTTTATCAGCTATAAGCAAATCAAGTTATTATCAGGAAGTCATTTTTCTACCTTCTTGTATGAGAACACCTTTTTCAATTCTACACTTGCCAAGACTGACAGATCCTTGTCCTCTCCAACCTTGAAATTAAAGCATCAAAGGAAACACAGTTTTCAGGATTCAGAATGAATTGGGAAAGAATGAAAATCAGTCTGTAAAAGGGAAAATACTGCCTAAGTAATTGATGAACTCATTCAGAGTAATCAAAACCATTATTTGAATTGTCTTCCTCATAATTGGATTTTATTGAAAGAAACAAGACATTAGACAACTTGATCAACATTTTGAAGCTGGTATGATCGATATATAAGTATGGAAGAGAAACTCCAAACCTCATACAAGTGTGCCAACCGAATCAAAACTTTTCCATCATCCAGTTCCTGCAGAGTTACAGAAAAAGTAAACTCTTCAACTAAAGAATGCAGAATCATGTATTTTTATTATTTTCGTCTTAAAAATATACTAGTCCCGTAATTGTTTCAATCGGGGAGTAGAGAGGACTTGATGATTCACTCAAAGGAACACTTATCCTCTTTGTTTATTGTTCTACAGAAATCGCGTTTCACTACTTTTTTACTTCTGGTAATTTATTTCTTCAAACAGCTTTAGGAAAACAGTTCCTCAGAACACAGAACAGTTCTCTCTCTCTCTCTCTCTTTTAATGGTAAATAAACAGGTTTATTTTGTAGTTGTTTTTGAAAAAGAACAATTTAATACTTCTGATTTCTGAGAGAAAAGGAAAAATGTTTTACCAACCAAACAGCCCTAGTAGTTGTCTTCACCCTTCCCCTATTGTCCCCACTAGCAAACTAACCCAAGGAAAAAGAAATGTGTTATATAACAAGGGGAAGAGAGAAAAACACCTGTAGAGTTATTATTGCGACATTATCTGGAAAAACATAGGAGGAATCCATTGCAGAAAAGGTTGTTACATGAGAGTTTGTCCAATTGTCTCCATTCTGGAAAAGGAGGATAATATGTGTATGAGTTACAAATAAACCCAAAAACAGGAACAAGAATGACTCAATGTCTTATATTCACCTGCTCTGCAAAGGCTAGGAGTAAGGGAGAATATATCTCCTGACCATATGATCGACGCCACTTTGCACCCTCACTTAATGGATCTATTCTTAAATAGTACTTCCCTGCGACCTGTAAATTTATGCTCATCAAGTAAGCTACATGTCACAAAATGAAAATGCACTAGAATTCAAATACTGTGCAAAATCTAAAAGCTAAAATGATTTAGCGTGTGCTTACAGTCAATCCTGTGCATTTATCAAGAACACAAACTGTTTCATTCAGTGCTTCTCCCACTCCTCGAGAATCATCTTTAACTAATCTCCTATGGGGGATTAAAAAACTTCATATTTAAATATACCCAGATTATGTCATCTGATACTCACCAATACAATATAAATATAAAATCAATTTTTCCATAAACAATAAAGCACAAGCAGCAGGAAAAAGGAATAAACCTGTGGAGCATTAGTTCCAATTGCCCATCCACGATACTCGATCCACCAACAGGCCTATCAACTAAGACTGAGAGCTCTGAACTACCATCTTTCATATAAATTCCAAGATTAATCTGAATGGAGAATAAAAATACCATGTAACTTGGTGGCCGAGGAGAATGGTCAACCATACACATCCATCTACTGTATACATGTATTAAACTTCAAATTTAATGCTTTGAGCTGTCAAGTATCAGGAAGAGGCTAAAATATTTTTTAATCACTTAATTGAAGTTACCCATGCATGCTAGGATAACAAGTTATGACGTTGTCATTCTTCTTGATCTTTCCTATAGTACTCAACAATCATAATCACAACTTGTTTATGTCTTGGAGGGACATAAGCCCATTTAATTTTGAAAAATTGAAATCAGTTTATTCAAGACGTATTCAGTATCCACCCGTGAAGATAGATTGTGTTATGAAACTTTTTTTCCCATGTAAAGATCGCGATCTAACTTTTTACAGTTGTTGAAATTTAAGAGTAAACATACAGGGTAATAATTTCCTGCAACAGGTTGATTCACTTGAAGGTCCCAGTCTTTCCTGTAGTCACGAATCTGCAAAGGAATGCTTTCTCTAAGACATATGCACAACTACACAGTTCAAAATTCCTAGAAAGAAAGTCATAAACATACCCTTTCTACAAAATCACGACCGTTTGAATCTGTATAAAATGTTTTGTTGTTTTCCAGTGTTGTTGTGATCTTGGCTATGACCTCTTTGCCAATTCCATCACCAATTGATATTGGCCCAACCTGAACTTAAGAACAGCGTTGATAAATAACAATTCCTATATGAATAAATGGCTCTTCAAAAGATTTTGCTTATAACAAGAACAAAACCACTTACAATGAACTCAACTTCAGCATGTTCTTTCTCCTTGTACACTCTGGTTATCTGTTTATTTCATGTGAGTGTCAGTTTCAGATACATCCCTCGAAGTTCTGACATTTGCAATCTAGGAGAAACTACAAGTTCATAGTTCTACATTTCTCTATCATATGCAGCGCAGGAACTTGAGGATCACTAGTGCCAATAAGAAAAATTACAGCCAAGTTTATCTGATGAGATAAATTACCTGATATATCCATGAGTTGATCCTCAGATGTAGTTCATGCAATAGAGGTCCTCGCAAAACAGTGAAAGCAACCTGAAATTGTCCAGCTCCTTAGTTTCTTGGTTTACAGTGAATATAAGCAATTTAGTCTCTGATCAAGCACTTGAGAGAGGACCATGTGTACCTCCCCTTTGGAGTCAATGGGATATGAACCATTTGGGCGAAATATGTATGCTCCTGAGGCCTTCAATAAGTTAAGCAAATAGTTACTAATAGTTTTCCACGCTTTACCATATCTAATCACTCAACAATAATATACCCATAAATCATGGTAGCAAGGAGACATGAAAAACCAATGTCAGAAGCTCCAACAAAAGGAACATAATACCTGTAAATCCTTGCTTCCATCATCTCCAGCATAATAGCTATATGATTGCTCTACGGATGCTTTGATCTTCAATTGTAAATTAAAACAAAAACTAAAGGCGGGTAAATTTTATGTATAACTAACAAATTTATCATGTTACTTAACGTTGAAGACTGAATCATTTGAGTTAATTTGCCATTTGGAAATGCCCATACAAACTGAGCCAATTTTACGTACCGAGCTTCTGCTATTTATATACCGAGTAAGTTTTCCTTGAATCCCAGAATATATTAGTTTCAAGTTCCCGGGCCCTATTTCAATTGCATCATTTTGGGTCACTTGTGTCTTGTATACTTTTTGACTCTTTGAAACAGCAGCTGTAGTCAGAAGTAGATAAACATGAACTTACATTCTCTTTCAATATAATGGGAAATTTGACTGCACAATTTTCTATCCTAGAATGAGGTTTCAAACAGAGCAGTTGCCATTCTGACCTGCTCGTTCAGTGGCTGAGGCGGAATTGGAAATAATGTAAGTGCTAAAACCAAGAGGGGGTACAAATGCAGAAAATGCCAGCCAGTACTTAGGGGTCACATTTGGGTAGCTACCCAAGTATGCCAAAGTATGGTAATTTCTTAAGCCAACAGACACATCCATCAGAGGCAATAGCTGTGATTCAACTTCTCTTCCTTCAGAATCCTTGACATTGACGTTTTCATTAATAACCTACACCAAGTTATGTAGGTTAGCTGATAAGCATAAAAATCTATATGTTACAAAATGAAGTGGTTTTTACGTGAAAAATTGGTTTCTGCATATCGCTTTCAGAACAGATACTTTATGTGTAGCTTGATGAAGAACACAATCAGAGACGTACGCATGCACATGTATTAAAGGAAACTGAAAGAAAAATGTTTTTAAGGCATCTTTCAAACTGCTATACTAGCTAAAGATCGTGAAAATGATCAAAACAAAAGCACTCACAGGAATTCTTATAACATCCTGTCTTTTCCACCCCAGAGAATTGTAGACAACCACCACCTACAGAAGAGGGTCCATCAAGGATGATATAATCCAGGTGAACTACAAATTATATGTTCTTTTCTATTTTATCTAAAAATAAGTGCAAGAAACAAAATTTCATTGACATTCTCCTTACCAGGCTTTTTCCATTTGACAGATCAACTTCTGATGCAGGACAGTAGCTTATATTCAGCAGGGGACACTGAAATAGTGAAATAAAAATAAATAAATAAAGGAAAACAAATATGAACAGATATACATGCTAATTTCTCAAGTTATATACATGCCAATTTCTCAAGTTGCGTGTATATATATAAGGCGGAGCACTGAATAGGGTGAAGATAAAAGTTAGAGATAAAGGTAAGACGGAAACCACAATATCGAATCAGATTTATACATGCTAATTTCTCAAGTTATTACATGCCAATTTATTATGCTCAAGTGTTGCGTGGATATATAATATGATAGTATTAGTATATACTATAGTATGATAGGTATATCAAATTTGGTGTTTTTGTATTGTACTTTGCCTTGTTGAAAGCTTTGTTTGTTATATTATACATCTGTGCAATCGCAGCTCCCTGTGAATTTGGACATGCACGTGTGCCATTGAGGAAAAGTGAGGGACGTGCGCCCAACTGAACCCGTCACCGTCAGGCCTGCAAAGAAACCACATAAGTATTATTTGTTTTGAACTAAAAGCATAGCAACCAGAAACATCAAGGAGAATACAGAAAGAATTCGGAAGTTAAACGCTCGCTTATATACCTATTGACACAGACCTTTGCATAATCAGTTCAGCCACATGCTTTGCATTTCTCGGCGTACCCAGTAACTGCATCGATGAATGTTCCGAGGCAATTGCCAACGCTTCGAGCGCTCCCATGGAGAAGTGCTGCTAGTTTGAGCCCTTGCCTTTACTACCTTACCCTAAAGCTGTTCCATAAATTGTCTTGCTGCCTAGTTTTTTCTTCAAGTGCTCTGTAAAGAATCATTTAATCTCAATTTGCTGCCAAAGATACAGTCAGCATACAAAGTCTTTAACCAAATAGTTAACCACTCATTTTCTACATAGCCTGTTGGAGTAGGGCAGGCCCTACTTGAAAAGTAACCGCTCAGGGTCCAGGTAAAGTCATTTGACAGTCGTTCCCTGCATATGTCTGAACATTTTGAACAGTCAAATAGTAAAACGTGCTTGCGAACAGAAAAGATTTATGCAGCTTAAAAGTGTTTAATTGCAATGGAGCAAATTCCAAAATTTTACACCACCAGTTAGGGAAATAATCATCTGTCTTTAGCCAAGGCCCAGGAACTCTTTTGAGTTGCATGATGTTTAGCATGCCCGCTGTAATATTGATGGAGTTGAATAACAAGGCAATTCACACGCCCATGCCTGCGGAAATTCACATAGCCGGAGTACTTCCATTAAGCATTGCAAAATATCTTTGAGCAAATTTGAAATCAATGTGCAAAAACTAAAGTGAAACAAAAATTGTATTCATATGACGAAGATAGAGAAGATATCAGTTCTCACTAAGAAAATTTAGTCAATCCGGGGCAGACATATACATTTTCAGAGTTCTTCCTATCTAAAGCATTACACAGAAAACCACGTGAATTTCCCACTTGAAAGGCTGAAGAACCGAATAGCAATAAAACAAGCCTATTCCCTGCAAACAAATGCGACCATCTGCAATATTCAGGCGTCTGCCGCTAGGGCTAGTTTAGTGGGCACAACGACGATCTCCAGGGAAAACGTAACGTTGAATTAGGTAATGAATAAATTTGTCCATTGTGCTGCTTGAACCACGTGTGAGCATACTGGGTACTTTAGAAATCAGTCGCCCATAGTCCACATAATAGGTGATTTGTTCGAGCTTATGTTAGCCCTGGAAAAATAAGATAAAGAGCAGCTGTGATATGCCTTAAACTAAATTATTCAGAACTCCTTTTTCAGTTAGATATTCTCATATATATCAATTTTGTGTTTTTAGTATTGTATTTGCCTGTTGAAACTTGTTTGTTATATCTGTGCAATCAGTCCTTGAATTTGACTCTGCCATGCAGGAAAGTGATGCTCCAACTACCCTCTCAGCCTGCAAAGAAACAATTATATATTTTGTTTTGAACTAAAGCATAGCAACAGAAACTATCAAGAGAATACAGAAGAATTCGAAGTTAAACCTCCTTATATCCTATTGACAGACGCTTTGCATAATCATCAGCCACATGCTGCTTCTCCGTCCCAGTAACTGCATCATGATGTTGAGCAATTGCCAAAGCTTCGCCCAGAGAATCTGTATTTAGCCTTGCTTTACTCCTTCCCTTAAAGTGTTCCAATTGTCTTGCTGCCTGTTTTTTTCAAGTGCTCGGTAAGAATCATTTATTCAATTTCTGCCAAGATACAGTCACATAAGTCTTACCAAATAGTAGCCACTCATTTTTCTAACATAGCCTTTGATAGCAGGCCTACTTGAAAAGTACCCAGTCCAGTAAGCATTTACATCGTCTGCATATCTGACATTTTCAACAGTCAAATAGTAAATGCTTCGACAGAAAAGATTAGCAGCTAAATGTTACTCAAAGCAATTTCCAAATTTTACACTCACGGAAAATAATCATCTGTCTTTAGCGGCCAGGAATCTTTTGTTGCATATTTAGCATCCGTGTATATTGATGGAGTTGAATACAAGGCATTCACACGCCCATCCTGCGGAAATTCCAATCCAGTACTTCCATTAACATTGCAAAATATCTTGAGCAAATTGAAATCAATGTGCAAAACAAAGCTGAAACAAAATGTAAGACGAAGAATAGAGAAGAACAGGTTCTCTAAGAAAATTTAGTCAACCTTCAGAACATCACATTTTCAATTCTTTCTAAACATTACACATAACCACGTGAATTTCCCACTTGAAGAACCAATAGCATAAAATCAAGCCTATTCTGCAATCAAATGCGACATCTGAATATTCAGCGTCTCCCTAGCTATTTAGTGCACAAGTACGATCTCAGGGAAAACTAACTTGATTCACGTAATGAATAAATTTGTCCATCTGCTTGAACCACGTGTGAGCATACTGGTACTTGAAATCCGTCCCCATAGTCCACATAATGTGATTTGTTCGAGTTATGTTAGCCTGGAAAAAATAAGATAAAGAGCAGCTGTGATATGCCTTAACTAATTTGAACTCTTTCATTAAATATTCTCAACACAAATCTCTTTCTAGCTTGCAAATCCGATTTTCTAACACAAGAGTAGCTTCAAAATAAAAGAAATGAAATCTCATTGAAGAGCATCATTAAGGCAATGGTAATAAAAATTTGGAAGGTAGGTGACAAATTAACACCATAATCTTACTTGAGTCATTGCAGCAGATACAAATTCATTTACACGATCAGGCACATTGTAGTCAAACAAATTGACATCATCCTTCAAGATAACAGAACAATAAAATCACGTAAATAGTACACTAATATGCATCAAACGTGCCATCAACGCTAAGCTAATGATTTACCTGAACAATGGGAGACTCATCATCAACTTCAAAGTAGAAGTTGTCACTTGGAGGTTCATAATTCTTAGGGAATGCGCCTGCAAATATCTAAAAGAAAGTAATTTGGTGAGAGAACACACAAATCCATATCAAGAAAACAAGTTGGATTACAAAAAAAAAGTTCAATTGCATTAAAAAGAAACTGAACAAAACAATCATTTTCTTTAATGTCCACATTTAAACAGGTTCAATTTTATGATAAAACAGAATTAGAATAATTAGAAATATTCACCTGTGCAGAGGAACCGAGACTTTTAGAGCCTTGCCATACAACTTCGAGACTCTTCTTGTCCTTCCGCTTAGCTCTGTCTTGATAGTCGATTCGCGCAAAAAACAAAGAGTCAAATCCGACCTGAGCCAACAACAGTATTATCAAATAAATTAGTAGATAATGGGCGTGAAAGTGAAACTTCACAGGGCTTGTATTTTGTGAATTTACTTCCAAATTATTTGGTCCAATGTCTCATAACTTCAGCAAAAGAAAAAGTCCTAGCATCACAAACTGTTGAATTATACAAAAATGTATATACTGTTTAATATTGACCTGGTTGGAACCAAGATTTGTGGAGAAAACCATACCTCTGCCCCCAACAAATATGACTGCACTGCAGAATGTCCAAAAGGATCAATTTGCCAACCAATTCTTGGTGTCACATTAAATTCTTGTTTGATAAATCGATGCCCTAAAGTTGTTTGATCAATCATATCAATGTAATGTGTAGTAGCCTCATCATGCATGCAATAGCCCCCATTTCTGCGCACCAAAATTTGGAAACCACAAACCAAATGACGAATGCCAAGAAATTTCATTAATACATGTCCAATATCAAGCAGTGAATGAAATAAAAGTTAATGGAAGCCGCCTTGATGGGTCTCCTCACTATTTTGTTTTTGGGGAGAGCCTCACCACTCTACCCATAAGGCTTTGCAGACACAACTTAAATGCATTAAAATATACAATTGGGTGAATGAGTTCTGTTCTATACACTACATTAACTCAAGTTGACCAGAGCCGACAAGCTTCTTGACTATAGTTTGAACATCCTCGCTCTGCTCTCTCCACCAACGCTGGAAAAATGCCTGCATTTGTGGGCAAAGGGAATTTTCATGGATTTTATTATCTGCCATTTCAAGGGATTAAAAAAACTTGAAAGTATTTTTCTTCTTTCAAATTCAATGCCTCAGAGAACAAAAATTTTTCAAGTTGACAAAGTGTAATTATAGTAACCTGTTCAACATATATGAACTTGCGATTTTTATCTGCCAGCAATGCTGGCACTAAAGAATCTAATACATTTTGCACACATGCTCCCTGCACAACATTGAGCAAATACTCAGAATCTGAACAAAATGAATCGCTATCAAAATCAATTCACATACTCCAAATCAAAAGAAAGTTATACCTGAATAGAATTGTTAGATCCAACGTAGTACTGATCAATAGTCTTTAACCAGCCAACATCATCATGCGTGTGAGGCACCAAATGAACATTGATCTTCCCTGGAACAATGCCCGACGTGGTATTGTAAGATATATACTTGGATTCCACATATAAAAAGCTTGATAATATCATCAAGAAACATGCTTGAATTTCCATTATGATCGTTGTTGCTTATGAGTGATCAAAGCAGTTTCCTATAAAATACAGAGGAGAGTCAGGAAAGTAATGGTAACAGCATCAAATCCAGCGCATATCAAAGAAGACCCACACAACTATGCAATTATGTAATTTCTTTTGTTTGTTTGTTGTTGTTTGAAGACAGTAAGTGGAATTTTATTGGTACATGAAGAATAATACATCACTTCCAACAAAAAAGGACCATAGGGGTATATGAAAAAATGCTATAAAGAAATGGCTTGTTTTGTAAGTTTCTGCTGCATGTTTCAGTCTAATATAGCCAAGCTTTGTCGTCGATGGTTGACTCAAAGTATGACGTAACCAGTTAATCTTATCTAATCTACTCGAGACTCGGTCATTCCAGCTCACTCACTTCTTCACTGATTTATCTTTTAAAGTTAGTTTCGGTTAAAACGCCGGCAACAGAGGACCAACAACGACCATCGTCGGTTGGAGCCGGTGCGCGCCACAACCCTTTAACCTTTGAATACGTAATTAAGCTCAATCGTCTACTTGAAGCATTATTAATTAAGTGTATTAATTAATCAAACGCATAAATTGAAAGTGGGACCCATGAGAATCGAGAGTGATAACTCATCTTATCCGGTCCGCACAAGATAATGAAAATATCATCAAAAGATTACCAACGAACCATTTCTCCAATCTCCACGTATCTACCCTCTCCTCGCCGGCCGGAGAGAGAACAACTAAAATGGCGTATACGTCGTCTCTATTCGCTCCAAATACTTTCCACACTAACAACCTGAGATTCTCTCCGCTTTCTCCCAAACCAAAAACAAATAGAAGCATAACTGTAGCCGCCATTCCGCCTCTTACTACTGCCTCTGCGGCAGACCTATCTTCATTCGACAGTACAACACTCGCCGTCATAGGTGGAGGCTCCGTGGCTGCTTTAGCCGCGGCGTTATCCCTCACTGACCCCGAGCGTCGGCGACGGCTCCAGGCAGAGGAGGTCGGGGGCGGCGACAAGGAAGTGGTTAAGGAGTACTTCAACAACTCTGGCTTCCAGCGGTGGAAGAAGATTTACGGAGAGACTGATGATGTTAATCGAGTGCAGCGCGACATTAGGCTTGGCCATTCAAAGACGGTGGAGAATGTATTAATGATGTTGAAAGACGAAGGCTCGCTGGAAGGAATTACTGTTTGTGACGCTGGTTGTGGGACCGGATGTCTAGCGATTCCATTGGCGAAAGAAGGAGCGATTGTTTCGGCCAGCGACATCTCGGCTGCTATGGTGGCTGAAGCTGAGAAGCAAGTAAGTGGTCTCCGTAATTTCCCCAATATTTTCCCATAATTTGGATAAATTACAGAAAAACAAGTACGTAAATTATTTTGGATAATTGCATAAATATATCTAACAAGTAAGAAATCTGATACTGAGGTGTCTCCGTAAAGGAATGTTATAAGGATAGCTTTTATAATCTATTTATATATAATTTTTGTAGGCAAAAGAGCAGCTTCAAGCAGTAAACGAAAATGCATCACCTATATTACCGAAATTTTATGTGAAAGATTTAGAGAGCTTAGATGGGAAGTATGACACAGTGATCTGCCTAGATGTTTTGATACATTATCCACAGAGTAAAGCAGATGGGATGATTGCCCATCTCGCATCATTGGCAGATAAGCGACTAATTTTGAGTTTTGCACCAAAAACATTTTACTATGATCTACTGAAGAGAATAGGAGAGTTGTTTCCAGGGCCTTCAAAGGCAACCAGAGCATATCTACATGCAGAGGCGGACGTGGAGAGAGCACTGAAGAAAGTTGGGTGGAGAATAAGAAAGAGAGGTCTAATTACTACACAATTTTACTTTGCGAGACTCGTTGAAGCAATTCCTGCATAAAAAGGAAGAGAGGTTAGATTTGAATTTTTGCTTTTATTATCTTGTTGGTAGAAAATGTTAGAAAGTTAATTATTTTTGTAAAGCCCTGAATTTTACTTGTTTCACCATCATATGCTTGTATTATTTGTATCTTTAGTGTATTTTTAGATGCTCATGTATCTCATATGCAATGCACCAGGGCAAAGTTTTTTTGCCATTCACCATTAACTTGCTTATTGTCCTGGTAATAAATCCATGACATGAAACTACTCTAAGAAAGCCATCAATCCTTTTTTTATTTTCTGTTTCAACTTTCTGCTTGCCATTTAGGTGCAAGATAACTGATTCCTTGGGATTCTTAAGAACCGTACTACTGAACATAACTTGTGTTGATGAAAATAATCTCTGATACCGACACATATCATATTGGTTATTACATGAATCAGAAACCAAAAGATAGTCCAGTTTACATTGATAGGTTCATAATGATCAATTGCAATCCCTTAAAATGTATGTTCCTATGAGTTGCTTATAACTTCTCAGCAATTCTTATTAGACCATCTGTGAGTTTCTGGAGAACACCAACTAAGCTAGCGTTTTGCTCCTTCCTTTCATGCCTGTCCAGTTCAAGATTTATGTTCCGAGCTTCTAGCTGAGCACTTAGCAGGTTGCCATTCCTCTCGAAGACTTTGATCAATCGATCTGTGAGATTGGTGTCCTCACATTCATATGATGATAGTGGCCTCTTCTTCCATCCTTTCTGGGATATCAATGTACCAGGATTTTGTTCTTTGATTGTGCCTGCAGGAGAGTAGAACATATGTTTCTTATGTGCTCTGAGGCTTTAGCCCTTAGTTTGTGACCAGGGTTTAAAAAGGAGAATTTTGTATTAGTAAAAAAGGGAATGGTCTGTTTAGTTGGCAATTCAGACAAGAGTGAAGAAAATGAACGGGAAACTTACTTGAAATTGAGTTACCAGATGTCGGCTGTGTCCTTCTGGGATCCTCAGCAACAACAGTTTCCTTCTTAGAGGTCCAGCAAATTTCATCCTGCTCTAATTCTTTATAATCTGAAAATAAACCATCTACTGTAGCCTCTTCATCCTCTTCTTTCTCTGCAGCTGTCAATCTGGCTGCTACCTCATCTCCATAAGCATTCTTCATTTCTGTTTCTACAGTAATAAGTCTCAAGGGGATTGCTTCAGTAGCAAATGGCCTTCCATCCAAGAGATTATAAACTTCCCTGTCAAAGAAACCAGGCAGCCTCCTTTCTCTCCTGAGTTCATTCCTCATCTTCCAAAATGTTTCATCCTCATCTTTCCTATGCAACTCCCAATTTTTTATTTTCTTAAAATCACAGAGCAAATTACTCCATCTTTTCCGGCATTGCTCGGGTCCTCTATTGACAGCATGCTGTTTACAATATGATGAGACAGAATCCCACTTAGGTTCAATCTGATCTAACCCCAATGTAGAACTGGATCTACAACTCCGGTAAACTCGGTTTTCAACAACTTTCTTTCCCTTTATGAGAATGAAGGTTTCTTCCTTACTCCATCGAGGATGTCTTGTGGCTTTAAGTCCATTATCAAATGCCTGTTGTTGAATTTTATCAGATAGTGATGTCAACTGTTGTGCGTCAACTGAATCTGGTGCCATCACAAATGGGCTTCAGTGTCGCAAATTTGACTGCCAGGATGTTAAAAGAGTTTACTTAACTTGCAGCTCGAGTGTCTGGGAAATACAAGGTGGGTGGGGGGCAGGTATTTGGTTTGGTGCCCTTAGGAAAGGCTAAAATGGAACCTGTAACATCAAATTTAACTTCCTACTATAAATTGAACTTCACCTGCCCCATAAGTAATTAAGAGTCCAAATAAGGTTGGCAAAACTGAATGGGCACTCCACCATTCTGTCACTAGTGAATTTTTTAGCACAAATGAGAAAACTGAGGGCTAATGTAATGAAATTTCTAAATAGAGACATCACTTTCTTTTATTCCGGGGGTGGAGGAGAGTGTTGAATCTGTGAAATTAATATAATACTATCTTTAGAAAATGTATAATGGAAATGTCCTTTGAGGTTGTTTTACGATGTAGATTTTTGGCGTTACCTGTAGTTAAATTTTATGCTATAAATACGATATATATTGTCCGTTACTTCAGAATTTTCAATCTTGCTTCCATGTATGGCCCTCCTTTGTCCGTTTGTTATGCCTGTAGTTAATGAAGAAACCTTTTCAGGGGAGGGAAACCTTTTCAGCCATGTTTTCCTATGTTCTGAGGTTTTTCCCTCTGGAGGTCGCTCACAAAAAACTAAAGCTTTGTTGGAAAGAGAGAATTTTTTGGATGAGATAAAATAAATCTCTCTAAATTGGAAAGAAATCACATTGCTCGATATGAAATACAACATATTTCATTTTGTAGAGAATTATGAATAATTTTTCATTAATTAGTTGAAAGATATTCAAACTAACAACAACAAAAAAAATGGTGATACTTCTTATAAGAGTTTTTTTTTTCTTTTTTTCTTTTTTTTTTCTTTTTTTCTTTTTTTTTTTAAAAAAAGCGACTTCTAATAAATTTATTTATTGTACACTTCAATCATGTTTTACAAATTTTTACCTTTTTTTTTTTCTTTGAGATTTACAAATCTATTATTCAGAAGCTGCAAATTGGTATGTGATAGTTTTGTAAGTAACTAGATGGGCAGACAGATATATAAACTCATTCCCAGAGAAATTTATTGTATCTAATTTTATACATAAAATACTAATTTTATGTGTGATTAACATAAAATTTTAAACTAACACTTTTTAAATTTTTTAATCATATTAACCTGATTTTATAAATTAAAATATTTGAATAATCAAAATAACTGTTGAAAATATAATAAAATTAAAATAATAAAATTGAAGTGTAAATTCATAAGCATCGTTGTTAGAATAAATAAATTATCAATAAAACAAAACAAACTATTCATTGTATCATATGTCAAGAAATAGATACTTTCGCACAGATAATAATTGCTTACACCTGGCGTAGGAGACCGTTCATATATCAAGCTAGTAATTAAAAAAGGTTGTAACGCTTTTTTTTTTTTTTTTTTAGTTGTTAGCTGATATGACATACGGATCTTTCAGAAACTAAAGGTATAATCGGAATGAAAATGTATTTCAAATTCTTTAAATGATAATATGTATATGACTTTGTTATCATCTATAATCGGACGCATAATGTATTGTAATGAATTTCTTCTGCGTAGTTGACACACCAACTTTAGTTGAGGATATTAGGTATTCGACTTACGAGCCCAAATGAGGAATCGGTCATCTCGTTACTCACTTTTCTATATATAAGAGGAGGCATGTTGGTTTCTCTATGTTGGTGGTAAGCGGAAACTCCAGAGGAAAACCTCAGAACATAAGGAGAATGTGACTACATGAATATTCATCCACGCGACACTTGCTCTGAATTAACGGTTATTGTTATGACCTTACTATTTATCTAACAGGTATAAAATATATCTTTTATCTTTATATGGTGAGTGGGCTCCACTATATGTCAAATGGTAATCTCAGCAAAAGATTGAAAATTCTGAGTATAGTAACGATGTCTATACACCATAAGAAATTTTGTTTTGAACCAGGTTTTTCGTACATTTTAATTGAGAGAGCAATGTAAATTAAATATGTGTTTTAACTTTACTGTGTATAACGCCAAAATTTCTTAACCAATCGTAAAACAAACCCTCAAAGGACATTTTTATTCCATTAGATACAATTTATCACAATTAAAAAAAGCTATATATTAATATTGGAATATTTCAACACAGGAATAAACAAACAGCTCTCCCGCAGTGCAGCCCGAATACGCTCCTCCTCACGGAGAAATATAGAAAATGTAGAGTGATGTCGCATAGTAAAGGATAGAATTTTCAATATCTCACATTCATGGCTCCTCATTCTTTATCACTCCAATTCTTTGTCTGACTAACAAAAAAGCTTGCACGAGTGGATAGAGATAGGCTTGGATATGGTGCGTCTCTGAAGTTCTACGCGTATAAGAAACTATGCACAGGGATTGAATTAATATTTTGTTAGAGCCCAAAATATTTTAATCATGTCATGACGGCATAGCCCCAAGGCGGGATATTAGCTTACCTCCAGTCTGTATCCTAGACACTCCGCTCAGCCACTATGTGCACGTAGTGTTATAAGCAGAGTGAGTGAGTGTATGCCACGACACTAGTAAAGCCACGATTGTGTGGAGGCACCAATGATCGAGTGAGCGCATATTTTCATGCTCAAGGAGCCACGACAAATCATGGACAGGTACATGTGGAATTAGCAATAGCATTCACAACACTTACACTTGCGTGGAGGCAGATCACACACATAGATCGGACGAGAGGAGAAAGATAAGTATAGAGAAACCGACGTACCGGAGGCTGTGAGATTCTGAGACGAAAGAAAGGATCATCTACTATACAGTGTGCTCCCAGGAGGAAAATCGCATGCATTAGAGGTATTGTGAAATTACCGTAAAGAGCGTAGAGAGTAATAGTTATCTTGCTGAAATTGTTAAAAAAAGGATAGAAGGCGGAGAGTAGCACATAGTAGCAAGATAGAACGGAATGGAAACCATAGATTAATGAAAGTTATGATTACACTCACGAGAGTCAAAGAGAGGCGCAGGTGAGTGTTCTGAGAGCAATGGGAAACACAGGCTAGCTGAAGTTCCTTCTTTGGATGAGTGAGACACATTTGTCTCTTACTTAAGAAAAGCAACACTCTCACTTGAGCACTTATTTGTCACAAGTTTGTATAAGAATACGAGTAAATATATATGAATGGCTTGTTATTGTATATATATTATAAGAGTGTAGCAAGACGCAGATGACAGCTGCAAGAGCAAAATGAGCAGAAGTTGGATTAGAAGCAAGTGTTACAGTACGATGGTGTTATTTGATACATTTGATTACAAGACATAGAGCTAGAAGAAATTTTATAGCAACACTCGGAATCTTCTCTAAAGAAGAGAAACTGTTAGTATGCGAAGTCGACCGAGAAAGAGGAAACAGCCGACTATGATTAACACACTCATTTTCAAAGGATAAGATTATTTCGCCCACGGAGTCATCATATTTCCTTCACCTTAGATCTCTGAATTGACCAGACTAAATAGACCATCCATCACCATTTTATTAGATACTAATAACAATTCCTCACTTATTAAACTCTGGTTTCAAAAAGCTAAGAAAGGAGTTGAAAGCCTCAGATTCACATAAGAAAACTAGTGTTATTGACATCTCGCTGTCCGTGCAACAATACAAAGAGAATCTACGAAAGATAATCTCGGTACCATAAGAGTATCCACACAAAAAAGGATGGATAGAAGAGGACCCAATATACATCAATAGTAATTGGGGTATCGGAAGGATCATCCAATCATCAGAGGGGTCAGATTAGAGAGAGAGAGTATCATTCGAGAGGGAAATAGGCAAAATCCTGCTAGAAGAATTGGTTTCATAGCAGGATCAACTATGAGAAGCTCGAGAACACCATAAATCTGAATCGAGAAACTGGAGACCAAAGTACGAAGACTATGGTCAACAGAAAGGAATGGAGCAACAGACGCTACTTAGTTGGTGGTTTACTTCCAGACAACATATGCGACTAGATTGTGCTAATAGAGTGCAAAAAGTGCTGAGAAAAAGTATATAACAACTCTCAATAGGATCATTACATAGTTTAAAGGGATTGCATAATTCGATTCTTCATTGCACTAGCAAAGACACTATAAATATATGTCGAATTGATAACACACGCATAGCATCGTGTAGGTAGACCGCGTTGCATATATCAAGCTAGTAATTAAAAAAGGTTGTAACGCCTTTTTTTTTTTTTTTTTTAATCTCAGCTCCATCTATTAAACCACCTCAAACTCAAAGCGAAGAAATTGATCGTTAAACTCCGGATTTTCAAAAAGGAATAAAATGGAGGAATAGAATAAATAAATATTGAGTATTTTTTCAGCATCGAAACGGGCGTAGAATTCCTGCGCTTATGAGCGCGAGTAAACGGCGTGGTTAAATGCGGATTTGCCGCGTCAATTTTTTTTTTTTTTTTTTAATCTCAGCTCCATCTATTAACCACCTCAAACTCAAAGCAGAAATTCTTACTCCGGATTTTCAAAAAGGATAAAATAAATAAATAAATAAATATTAGTTTTTTCAAGCATCGAAACGGCGTAGAATTCCTGCGCTTTATAGCGCGAGTAAACGGCGTGTTAAATCGGTTCCCGCGCAATTCCCTCTTTTTACGATGGATAATTGATGAATTAAACCTAGATCAAAATGGAAGGAGGACATGGAAGCGATGCGGAGAGAGAAGAGGACGATTCCGTAAGCGAGCTGCTTCGAGACCGATTCAGGCTCTCGACCATCTCTATCGCTGAAGCTGAAGGTTCAGTTTCTTTACCTGAAACTCTTTGGCTTAATACTTTCCTTAGCAATCGAGTAGATTTCTTTTTCCTGGTCCAATTTCACTAGCTGGAAATAATCTATTGCAACCAGCAAAGAAAATTGGAATGGACATATCTGAACAGATAATTGCTTGCATCTCCGATTTAGCCTTCAAATATACAGGTAAAATCTCGAGCTAAACCTACTGTTTTAACTATTTCTTTTGTTAGTACAATTTTCCATGTACGGAACTAGAGATTTCCGATATTGCTCTGCCCCTATCAGTTGCGCATTTTATCTTTTTCCTGTACATATTTTAATATTTCTGTATGATAAGTTTCTTTCGATGTATAAAACTTTAGCCTATGCAACTTGGCGTTTGTCTACTTCTGACATTTGCGAGGAATGTCCGTTGTTGACTGAAGTTTGGTGATTACCTTTAGTTGCAAATATAGAAGTTTAATTATGATTGAAAATGATATGTTTACTGAGAGTGACTTTGGATTTAAATTTGATGAACTCCAATTATTTATTGAAGTTCCCTATATAGAAAGATTGATGAGATTTTAACCTTGCCGATAATTATAAGGTGGGAAATCCCGCATAATAAACCTTCAAAAGAAGATTAAGATGATAATAAATAGATAATTCAAACTATGATTATGCATTTTATGTGCACATTTATTTCAAAGGTGAGAAAGGTGTTTCCTTGATGTTCGATCTTTGTTCACATTACTGCTTTGGATTAAGTTAATGACCGCTGTACTTTTTTTGGCAATCAGAACAACTGGCAAAGGACCTTGAGCTTTTTGCACAGCATGCTGGTCGTAAATCTGTGAACATGGAAGATGTCATACTTTCCAGTAAGTTTTCTTAGTCATCCAGTTTGCATTGAACATTAATCTAATTAAAACCTTGTGGACCTCTTAATTTTCTAGTTTGATTGATCACCCCATCATATGGGTTCTTCAATGTTCTTTGGTCTAAATTACTCTGCATTTTGTTATGATGGTGATAATATAGAAAATTCGAATAGGTTTATGGAGTTGTACAGGGAGAAACTCATTTCTTATCAAAGTCGATCTCTCTGTCCTTATCCATGTCAAAAGAGGTTTGGAAGGAGAAAATCCTTTTCCCCCAACTTCTTTAACATTGATAAAGTAGCTTCCTTTGGTACCTTGGATCTGCTGACACCTCTTCTTTGGTTTCAGCTCATAGAAACGAGCATCTAGCTGCCTCAATGAGGTCCTTCTCCAATGATTTGAAAGCAAAAGAACCCCAGTCTGAGAAAAAAAGGAAGAAAATGTTGAAGAAGGAAGACAAAGCAACTACAAGTACAGTACATATTCCTGATATTTAGGAAATGGTACATATCTTTTTTTTTTTTTTTCTTTTTTTTTTTTTGCAGTACATATTCCAGATATTTAGGAAATGGTAACATATCTTTTTTTTTTTTTTTCTTTTTTTTTTTTGAGAGAAAATTGTTTTTTTTTTTTTTTTCTTTTTTTTTTTTTGAGAAAATTGTGTGTTATTGCATGCTAATTGTTGAATACAAAAGCTCACTACCTCAGTGCCAAACCTAGACTTAATGCTTCTGTGCTTTTAAGCAATTGGACTTTCCATCAATATTCTGCGTCTGTCTTTGGTCTATAGCTTTATGTTGACCTAGTGGATCCAGCCTTTTGATGATCAACTTGCACAAGAATGCAGGTGTGTAGTCCTCAACAGCTTTTGCCCTGCCAAAGTTATTTTTCTTTTATAGTTGAGACCTCTTTTGCAAACCTTGAATTCACCCATGCTATTGATGAATAACTCATCGACCTCTTACATTAATTACATATTGGCTAAAATTCTCTTACTGAATGATACTTGCAATTTCTCCATCTATTTTGTCTCAAGGAATTCTTGCATTGCAGAAGGTGAGGGAACTCAAATTCGGGTATAGAAAGTCTCTTATCTCTAATCTAATACTCAGTATGTGCACTGTTGTTGCAAGTTTGAATGCCTTGAATTACCCAATTTTTGGGCCAACGCCATACATTTGCAGTAATATATATTCTGTTCTGGCCTTTCTATTTTTGATTTGTGCCCCTTGCCTAATTCTTGCTTTGGGCCTAGGCAGGGAGGTATTGTGATCGTGTCAGCGTCCAGGGTCCATCACTCCACCTAATGAAAGGGAAAATGGTAGCGATTTGTAGTTTGTTTTTTTTTTTTTTTTTTTTTTTTTTTTTTCAAAAATAATATTTTACATTAATCTTTTTTTTTTTTCATTTGGGGAAATAAATCATTGGCCTTTTACTAACTTCATAAAGATGCGCTACTTTTCAGAAATCATTATGAACCAATGTACTTTGGTTGTGCAGTCAAGGGGATGGCCATTAGAAAATGCCAACTTGATTTTTTGGTGACAAGAAGTTGTCACCTTGACAAGGCCAACAGTAAAACAAAACACTTACTTCTGTTCACATGATGCAACTTGCGTACTCTCTAAAACAATTTGGAATCAAACTTCCATGATGATATGAAATTCCCGTGAAAGAAACTTGTAAGTACTAATATCATAATGGAAAATTATATATATTATATTTGTTACCTAATTTCTTTCCTAGGATTTCCGACTTACATGTACATAAACAATCAAATTTCTTGTAAAAATAAAAGTTAGAGGTGAAATGGTTAACGCGTGCGGTTAATCAGCGACATTGATTGATTGATTCTGAAATGAGAAAGGGCGGGAAAATTGTTTGCAGTTTGTTTTTAAAGCCGCGACTGCGACTCAGTCAGTCCCAAGACCAAAAAATCTTGAAACAAGAAGGGATTTGGATGTAGTAGTACTGTAGTAGTAGTAGGTAAAGAGTAGTAGTACTAGAAGGAGAGTGCAGAATCTGAATTTTTTTTGGCATTTTCTCGAAAGCCAGCAGAAATAGCAGAATCAGAGAAAGCAAGAGTCACAAATACTAGAAGACAATTGAGGATAAAAAGTCTTTTCAGTTTTCCTCCAAACGTCACTCTTCCTCCCCACTTCAGCGCCTAAGATGAATAGATAGAGGTACTTTCCTTCTTTTTTTTTTCTGCATGATATCAGATTGAAAAAAAAAAACAAAGGAGTTAAATAATAAGTTTAATTTGTGAAATTTAACCTACTTAATTACTTAAGCTCTCTAGTTTAGTAAATACATTGTTACTTCAAACTTGATAACTTTCAAAAAAAAAAAAAAAAAAAAATTGGGAAAAAAAAAAAAAAAATTGGGTTCTGTTTAGCACTTTATGATGCACTTTTACAACTTTATCTGCTGCTTTATTAGTCTTACAGTAATTGCTTTACACATTGCATAATCAATAAAACAGTGAGGTATTGTCCTGTTCTCATCTCGGGGCGCATTCTACAGGAAGGTCCAATGATTTCAATCACATGGCAAATGGTACTGTTTTAAAGTACTACTTATATATTTATATATTTAGTATAATATAATATATATATAGTATGATATATATATATACTATATATAAAGTGTATCAAGTTAAACATATCAACTAACTGGGATGGGTGGAAGTTTTGACGTTCTAACAAAACAAATTTAATAATAATTCATAGTTCTTAACACTTTATATTAATTGAGTAGATAAGATACCTGGGCCCATTAAGAGCTGGAGGGACCAAATTTTTAGGGGCCTGTGAATATTATTTGCTGCAAAACTTTTTATTGTATATATAAGTGTCATCAATTAAACATATCAACTAACTGGATGTGGAAGTTTGAAGTTCTAAACAAAACAAATAATAATAATTCATAGTTTTAACACTTTTATATTAATTGGAGTAGATAAGATAACCTTGGCCCATTAGAGCTGGAGGGACCAAATTTTAGGGCCTGATGATATTTATTTGCTCAAAACCTTTTTATTTACTTTTATAGTACTATCTTTTTTTTTCTTTCTTTCTTAGTTATAATGGAGGAAAACGATAAGGAGCGGACTCAATGTAATGCATAAGGACCTTTACCGCCAAACTAAAACCTACTTTCCGATTATTTAGTACTTTAATTTCCCTAATTAATTAATATTTAATATGCACTTGACAAATGATTGATTTGATGGCATTGTTTTGCTATTGTATCGTGTTCTGGTTTCGCATTGTCCCTTTCTGATTTGATGTACACCAAAGAAAAATTCAGTTCCTTTTTTCATATTTTGAGCAAAAAATAAATTTAAAAACAGTATTTTTAATCTCATAAAAATTCCCAGCAAAACCAATTTTGCCTTCTTTTTTTTTTTTTTCTTTTACCTTCTCTAAATTATAACTATTTAAATTAAAACTTAAAGAATTTTAATTGAATATCACTTTTGGAACAAATGTGAAATTACAAAATATGACTAAATAAAATAATAAAAATTTAATAGTATAATGTTAATTATATTAATACAAAATTACTGAATTGAATAACATATTCAATATTCTCCGATCTCCACCCTTCCTTTAACAGGCGAATGGTTGGACTATGAATGATAGCCCATGCCTTCTTGAGAATAAAAGATCGTGCCACTAATTAAGTGACGCGTGGATAAAACCTCTTTTTTGAAATGTCAAAAAATTGTTCTCACTCGGCTCCATAAAAAATAATGCCCACTCGGCTGTCGTTTTCATGCAATACAACCAGCTTGTAAATCTAAGACTCATCACGCCACCATTACCACGTGAACCTTTCTATCTTTAACCGTCTCTCTTTAATTCTTTTCTTTTTCCCCTCTCTCTATCGCTTTCATAACAACCGTCCGATGCGCCGGAAATTTGTTAGAAGCTGCAATTTCCAGACCTTTGCCTGTCTTATATATGCCCTAGCAGAACAAAACAATCAAATGCGGAACATGTTGTGTGCATATATTTGTATATAATAAATATTAAAAGGATACTGTAAATTTTTATAATCAAATCCCAATTTGCTAATTAAGCCAACTCTCACAATTAAATTCAAGGAACAATGGAGCTTAATTCTCCATGACTTGTTTGAAGTTTTCTACCGTAGGATCACACTGATGTAACTTTGCTTTTGCTTTAATCTCATCTTCTTTTCAAAAAAAATTCAAGGAACAATGGAGATTTTTTTTTCTTTTTTTTGCCTTATTGTCTTTTAAATAATATGATAAAGAGATTCAAATCGGTCATGACTAAATTTTATATGTATTTACGATTAAATTATATTATTATTTAATTTATCATATGCATTACAGGTGGTTGCCAAAATCAGATTGGTCTCATTAATTATTATTTATTAGACATATGATTAACACCAAGTCTAATTTCTATCTAATTTATTTATTCATTTAGAAAATTCCATTTAAGTGGCTTTCATAAAATAAAGGTAGAAAACAAGGTTAAAGGCTCAATGAACTTTCAAAATTTTCATTTGTTCATTTAAACATACTTTTAGGCCTAATTAGAATTGATAGACTATAATTAATATACTAAGGACTAGTCTGTAAATGTACAAAAATATTAAATGTAAAATAATATGATACCTCTATTTACATATTCAAAGGATTTTGTAAAACTCGGTCAAAGAATATTTTAAACGTCCGAGTGCTGCTCAGTCATTAAGCTTATGTCGAGCTCAGAATAATGATTATATACTTTCTCTATAAAAGCTTCACTGCACTCTATATGCAATAATTATTTATTCAATTTAAATTAACTAAATCTAATATTCAAAATAAAAATGATTTTAAGAGTATTACCAAATGAAAGTATTTAATAGCTATATATCAATTAAAAAAAAAATGAATCGCTGGATTTTTAATTCAATTATTCACATTAATTAATTCAGTTTGGTTATTCATATTAACTGATTTACTTCAACTTATAGTCTTAAATAATTTTTACTTTTCAGTTTTTGAGTTATTTAAAATAAATCCAATTTATCTACAAAATTTCGGTTCAGTTGATTTCAATTTAATTTCAACAACGAACCCACAATTTCACCTCCCTAAATTTATTTAATCCTTTCCCCAAAAGATAATGTCCCCATATGATCTGGCAACTCAAGACACCTGGCAGATACACAGCATAATCTATATTTTTTTATCCAACGGTTTAAATTTAAATTTATTACTAAATCCTGAGGGCTTCAATGCTTCATCATATTATCAAGAACCAAAACAAAACCCAAAAGGCAGATAAAGAATTTTTTTTTTTAGCAAATCATTATTTTTATAGTATAATAATAATAATAATTAAAAGGGGTGGATTTGCAGAGGGAAATATGAAAAGTCATTGGGTCCCATGTTTTATTTAGATCTCTCTGGCCTAACTATTTTGAGAAAAATACTAAATTTGTAATTGCAACCATATATAAAGTTAATATACTTGGTATTTCATAAAGTATTTAAAATAAATAATTTTTAAATCGTACTAATGTTTTAAAAATAAATAGTGGTTCTTTTCTTAACTTATTAAGTTCAATTAATAAAACTAAAACAAAATTAGAATTAAACCGATTCGATTATTATCCATGTCGTTAATTGGGTTTAATGTTGAAACTGATAATTTTACTAACTGGGTGAATTTAGTAACTTATCTTGACCGATCAATTAAGGAGTTTGTTTGTTAAGTAAGAACTCGAACTTGCTATTCATTGACAAGTTTCATAGTTTTCAAATGATTGATAATGTGCTCTTTGCCTTAGAAAAGGAATAAAGGATGAAAAGGATTGCAATTTCATTCAAAGAGAGCAAATACTTCAAAGAAGAGGTAATGTTGATAGGTCTAACTAACACTCCCATGTCACTAAAATAGTTAAAATGGAAATACTAATATACATAGATAAAATTTTTTTATTATAGAAACAATACCAAAAATATTTTTTGAATTTATGTAAGATTTAATTAAAATTAAATTTTTAAATCAACTTTAATGTAAAATTTCAATAAAAATACTAATTTATACTCTTTTTTAGCGGTTTAAATAAGTGTGAAATATAATAATTAATAAGAAAAATGTCAATAATTTACAGATATTAAATGATTTAGTCAATGCTCGTATTAAAGTAAAAATATGAATTAATTAATTTTTTAATTGAAAATTGATAAAAAATTATCAAATAAATTAAAAAAATTAACGTTAATTTAAATTAGAGAAAAGAAATCACAGCCACCGAGGAGACAAAAAAGTAAAGTGAATATGTGATCCTTTTTACTTAAAAACAAAAGAAAAGATTGTAGAGACAGAGTATCATAACTCTTTGAAGTTTCTTAAACAGCTTTCTAATTATATTAGCCAATAAAAGAAAAACACGTGGAATCCTGGAGTACAGTACCGCGAATAAATGCTTCTCTAATCCATTACGCAGTGACCAGCATTCAAAAATTTATGTGGGGCCCTGCCCTTTGACGACGGCTCGGCCTGGCTCTCTGCTTTAACGGCTAACGGCTTCACATTCTCTTTCTTTCCTTTCTTTTGGAGCAAAAGACAGCCTCATATGATCGGATCGGATCGGATCGGTTTGGTTATTAGGTGGCGATTGGGTATGTAAACACGTTAAAGATATAATAAAACTGATAGCTAAGCTTTTGGTAAATTGCAAACAGCCAAATCCCATTATTTGGAATTGGATTACGTTGTTCATGTTCATGTGTTGAACCATTATTCGTCCTTGCCATTTGTCATCAACACAGCACCACCTTAATTGGACTTGGAGCAGCAAAAATCTCCTTAAGAGGCCCACTTAAACCATACACATGCTCACGGAAGGACAATTTTTAAATTATTAATGAAGTTTAAAAAATCAATTTTAATTAATTCTTAAATTCAATTTTTTTTTTTAATATACGAAATCAAAATTAAAATTATCGCATTAAGTTATTTTTAAAAATAACTTTAGTAAACCAAAACTGTGGATCTATTAAACTGCCATGTTACAGGTGGCCATGCTTATATGGCAATTATTTAAAAAAAAAAAATTACTGTTTGTAGAACAGAGTGAGATTAATTTTTTAAACTATTCAGAACATGATAAGAATTGACAATCTACCAACAAATTATTAAAAATAAAATACTACGAAAAGCTGGTCCCTGCTTAATTAATCTAGTGCTTTTGGGTGTGAATTGTTAACATCTATATAGACATGTCGGATGGGGACGGCATTATGATTTTTTTAGGCAATTAAAATTACCAAGATACACAAAATTTATAAGAAATAATTAAAATAATATGCTGTCAAATATTCAACATGTAAAAAAAAAAAAAGAAAAAAGAATTATTTACGAGTCAACCTAAAATGATTGGTACTAATAATTTTTTATATTAACAATAAAAAAGAAAGAGATTGGGCATCTTAGAGGTTGGTAAGTGTCATGAAATGTTGCCAGCGATAATGGGTTTTATGTCCACACAAAGTGATAAAGATTAAAAAAAAAAAAAGTATAAAGTCCTTTAATAAATTAATTTTTATATAAATTAATATTTTTTAATACAAATGAAGGTATTCTTCGTAGAGTACACATGAGGAAGGATCCTAAAACGACAGCCTCATGAGTTTGTTCTCAAATCTATATACATTTCGTACACGACACTCATTTTGTGCAGTTTTTAGAAAGATAATGGCACGCTTTACAATTCACAAGTTTATGGATATATATTTTTTTTTTCCCTTCAACTTTTTTTTTTTAATATTTATGTATTTGAAATATAAAATAAAAGCAAATGAATTTAATATTTTTAAATTATTTTAAATATAGAAAATTTATTTAGAAATAAATTCAATCTAAAATTTTGTATTTTCAATTCATTTATATTAAATAAAATATTTATTTTTTTCCAGAAAAATAGTTTTAAATTTTGATGCGAAGCATATTCTAGTTTGTCCGACAGTGAAATCATAATGTGTTTGTTTGTTAAATGCAGAAGACATACAAATGGCATGTGACTTTATAAATTGTAACTGCCCATACCAAACTCATCCAATTTCTTAATGACTCTCTTTCTTGCATAAGTGTGGAAGAAACTCTTTCTCCCAACGACTGTGACTCACGGTTTATACCATTTTAGCATTTTTGCTCAATTTCAGGCTCGGTAGGTTTTAATTGTCTTTCTTCTTTTTATAGTTTTGTCTAATACCGTTTACCCATTTGCATTTATCGTATGCAAACTAGAAAAAAAAAAAAAAAAGCTTTTTATAGTTGTCTACTACGTTTACCATTTGCATTTATCGTGATGCAACTCACGAGAAAAAAAAAAAAAAAAAGTCTTTAAAAAAAAAAAAAAAAAAAGTCTTTAGTGGTTAGAAGTTGGAATGCAAGATAACATTTTTAAATTTGAACCTTAACGATTTTCACATACTAAGTTATTTATTCGTAATTGCTTAAGTTATTTTTACAAAGTTAAAAAAAAAAAAACTGCAATTAACGGTCTTAATCACACGTTAAAATTCATTATAATAAGTCTTATGTAATAATTAACGTAATTGACATTTCACGTACATAGAGATTTGTAACTTTGTAGTTTTAGTGTTCACACATTGTAGAGTTGTAGCTTGCATTGATTAACAATTTAACACGCAGACACGAAAAAGAAATATCTTACTAACAATTTTTTTTTTTATCATTGTCCAGTAAGGAGATATTTGATTTCTTAAAAATAAATAAAAAAACTATTTGAAGCAACAATAGAAAGTCAAAGCTCCATAAATATAATTTCAACTTGTTACTTGTTTTAAATGCTTCCGTAACTGTATAGAAAGAGTTAAGTGTAATAAAAACTTATCGTCAAAAAAAAAAACTTATCCATATTTATTAAAATTAAATTTTTTATTTTTAATTTAGCGGTAAATCATACGACGATAAAGAAATATTTATTTATAGTATGCTTTTCAATTGTTTACAAATAAAATTAAATTAAGTAAATATTCATTAGCAGTTTTAACTTAACTAAAGATAAAATCAATTATAAGGAGATAATAGCTGTAAATTTAATTATAAAATTTAATTTCAAAATGGGATTTCATATTTTATGAAATTGTTGTAATATATCTGATTTCATTTAAATTTGAGAATCTTGTAAAATTGTTATTAATACTTAATTATTCATTCATATTATTAGGAAAATAGGAGCTGTTAAATTATTTTAGAACGACTTGGACCGGTCGAAAACCAACTCATCGAAAATAAAAAAACATTTTCGTGATTTTAAAGCATTAAAAAAATAAATAAAATAATTAGCTCGATCAAGCCAAGAAAGAAGCCACTCATCAGCTCAAAACTAGCTGGCAGTGGTCAGTACAGCCAGCCAAACACGCAAGTGTAACGCCGTCAATTTAAACGGACCCGAATCTAGGAGCACTCGACTTTCAAGGGAACGGGTCTGCGTCTGATATAATTCACTTCCGTTTATCCACAATTTCATCCACAACGCCCAACCCCCACCCCCAACCCCACACCCGCCTATTTCTTTTCTCTTCTGTCTTGTTTTCAAAGCCAACTAACATTAACATAACATAACCTCTCTTCTCCCTCTCCCTTACTGACCAAAAACCTCTCTCTAGAATTTAGCAACTTGCCGGCGAGAGGGAAATCTCGCCGGAAATTTCGTACTGACGTCTCCGGAATCTTCGTAGCTGCCGATTTCCAGCTCTGTATCGCTGGCTACGAATGATGCTGCTTCAAAAGAGAGAATAAAAGTGAATTCTGCTAATTTTGATTTTCTCTCTCTTTTTCTCTTGTTTTTTCTTTTTTAATAATTATGATTAGATAAAACTTAGAAGAAAACAAAAAGGGAAATATTCTCTTTCTTGTGTGGTGAGCAATATAGCTTGCAATGCAGGGGAAAAAGAGGTTCTCTTAGGGCACATATCGGAGATCCATTGCTCTCTCTTCTTTTTCCTTCCATTTTTATCTCCTTCTTCTTGATCCCTACTGCTTAATTGACCTTCTTCTTTCTTATTTTGTACTTCTGTCTTTCTGCACCTTCCTAATCGCGTAGTTTTGCTCAATTTCGGAGAGAGACAGATTAGTGATGATGGAGATGTATAATTTTTTTCAAGGTGCGTTTATCTTCTGTACTCTAGGTCAAATTATAGTCAAAAAACGAAACTCTTTTTTTTTATTATTGTTTTCTGCTAATAATTAATAAGTCAGAAAATTTTAGCTTAATTTTGAGACAGTTTCTGCATAATTCTGTTCTTTTAGTGGATTTCGGATCAGATCGGATTGGGGATTAGTTGAATTTAGTTCTTTAGCATCTCGGTTGCTGAATTATGTTTTTAAAATAGAAGCTGAAGTTTCCCCAACTCCCTTTTGTCTTTTAAAAGATCCCTTAATTTTTCTTTAAAATAAAAACCGTTGTTTTCCTCCATGTCTTAATTTCTGGAAATGGAAAATCTACTTCAATTGAGTCTTAAAGGTGTATGGTGGACATTTGTGGTTTTGTCTACTTTTCGTTTCTTTTTTTTTTTTATTCTTCTTTTTGTTTTCCACAAATAACTAGTAATTTGAGAATTATAAATTCTATTTAATTTCCCTTTTCCATTTTTCTCAGCAAACAAACGGTGTATTTGAGTTTGAGTTTGGTCGTTGGTTGGTAAGCCAGTGGCTTTCGTTTTCATAACACTATCCTGATCTATGGTCTTCTTAAGTTGTTAAAGAAACACGCTTTATTTTGGTATCTAACCCTTTTAGGTTGCCAATTTAATTATAAAGTGCCTACCTTTGTTCCAAGAAGAGTCACAAATTTTGGGTTTGTGCTTTCTTAAATTAAATTACAGTTTTCTTATTTTCACAAGGTTATGTTATGTTCCTGTATTGGATCGTTTGAAAGCACCGGTATTACTCTACTGTTCAAGTCTTGTTTGAATCAAAGTCTTTGTTAGCTTCATGATTTACCAGTTTGAAGATATTGATCTTCGAGTCCTTATGCAGATGAAGGGCAATGAACGTTGGACAGAGCCTGCAAATTTGATACAGCATCTCCATTGAAGTTATTGAAATTTTTGGGCGTTTAAATCACGCTATGCATTTTGAAATTATGGATGAAAGGGGTGGAAATGCCTCGTCTCACTTTTTCGAGGACTTCCAGACTCCTGCTGAGGTACTTTTAACTCGGGCAAATTTGTTTTTGATGTAATTTTTGACTTCTTTCTGCCCTTATGTGCTTGTAGCTAGCTAGTTCTCTGTGTTCCGTTGGATTATTCTCTCTGTCATTGCACCTCAAATAAGTACTCTCTCATCCTTATTTATGGGTTTAAGTAATCTGTTAGCAACTTGTATTGGGCAGAGACAAATTGGGTTTTGGAAGCCGCATTCGATGCCTGATCACCAAAGTGAGTGCCATTCAGTTTACTTTCTGAACTAATTCAATCTACAATGGTCTTTTTTTAAATGTATTCCCCAATCGTAATTGCCTTTTGATCTGAGCCCGAGCAATTTTGCTAAAGTTGGGTGTTGGGCCTTTTAGATGTGAGAAAGTAAAGTCACTAGAAACCGTGCATGTCCATACTGGATGGACTTTTTTCTATAATGACTATGGACAGTTCTGTCTAAATCATTTTAACCTCTAAATAGAATGATTAAGTGTCCGTAGTAGTTCGTTCATAAGTTTTAATGGCATTTATATGGTTAAGTAAAACTCAAAGTTATTTGTTCTTATTTAACATCTTACTGCCATTTAGGTTTACTTAGGCTTGCTATTCATGCAAGCTACTACACTAGATGAATCTTCCAGGTTGTTTTCCTGCTCCTGTTTCTGTGTTCTGTGTTCTGTAGGATCCATAATGTCTGTAGACTATATGAAATTTTACATTTCTGATCATTGAATACATGCTGGCCTTCCAGTAGGAACAGGTGGAATGGTACCGATTTCTAACAGCAAGTTGGTTGCTTCATCACCTTTCGAAAAACTTTCTCCTGGTGGGCCACTGTCTGTGGATTGTGTGCAGCTGCCACAGTCAATTCTAGCTATGGATCAAAAGGAAAAGCTATCTATTGGGGAAGGAAGTGCCTGCATGTTGAAGAATTCATGGAATTCTGTGGATCATCATACAAAGTCATGGTCAAGTTTGTCTGTGCAGCCTCCATCTTATAGTTTGGGTGGAAATAGGATGGGTATTAGTGCAACTCGTTGGGAAAGCAGCCTGTTCTCAAGTTCATTGTCTGAAGTATTTAGTGGAAAGTGTAAGTTCACCTTTTCATAATGCTAAGCTTTTTATTTGCAATTTGTGCTTTGATGCATGCTCTTCAATATCATTATTATAATGGGAAAGCTGTAGTTATTACCATCATGACCTGGTAAACACGTGTAAAACAAGCAAACATTCCCCCTATCATTCTGAATTTTTTACATGTCAAATTGGATCCCATGTCTTTTTTTAAATCTATTTCGTTTATACATTTTTTTTATGCATCTTCTGTTATAATCATTCCCTCACACATCTTCTGTTATAAACATTTTTTTTGTGCTCTCTCAAAATTTTGTATTGCTCAATGCCATCCCCTATTGCTATTTGTTCAATAATTATTCAATGCATATCTGCAGTGACATTATCGGAGAATGATGTGCAATCTCATCATTCTGCCAAACCTGTTGCTTCACCACACAAGGAAGACCAGCCTTTTGAATCTCTTGAAGAACTCGAGGCTCAGACTATTGGAAATCTCCTTCCTGCTGAAGATGATCTATTTTCTGGAGTGCCTGATGAATTGGGGCATAATGCTCATGCAAATAATGGGGATGATCTGGAAGACTTTGACCTGTTTATCACTGGAGGAGGCATGGAATTAGAAGGGGATGACCGTTTCAGCACGGGACAAAGAAACTCTGATTATGTTGGGGGAGTTAACAATGGTCAAGGAGGTTCTAATGGTTCAGTTGTTGGTGAGCATCCTTATGGTGAACACCCTTCTAGAACACTTTTTGTCAGAAACATCAATAGCAATGTTGAAGATTCTGAGCTGAAGGCTCTTTTTGAGGTGCATTTTATTCTATTTTTGTTTGGTCTTCATGCGAGTGAGCCAATCCAGCTTATCTTGTATGCTAATTTGGCTTTTGCACTTTGTTCTATCAGCAATATGGAGATATCCGAACACTGTATACAGCCTGTAAGCATCGTGGTTTTGTTATGATTTCTTACTATGACATAAGGGCAGCTCGAAATGCAATGAGATCTCTTCAGAATAAGCCATTGCGGCGTAGGAAACTTGACATACATTACTCAATCCCAAAGGTGCATTGCTTCTGTGATTATTCTTCTCTTAAACATCAGTATTCTTGACTTTGTTGTTATTTCTGTAGCTGCTTTTGTTTAAATGGAATTTCTCCTTTTTGTATTTCCATCTGACAGTTTCTTGGTGCTTTTTGGCATTCTGTTATAATCAGGACAATCCATCTGAGAAAGATATTAATCAGGGCACTCTAGTGATCTTCAATCTTGATTCTTCTGTTTCAACTGAGGAGCTATACAAGATATTTGGAGTTTATGGAGAAATTAAAGAAGTAATTTTATGAACTGAACATCATTTGCATTTTATTGAAAATAGATAAAAAGTATATCCGATTTATGCAGTTATTATTTGTGGTTAGCAGATCCGTGAGACTCCACACAAACGCCATCACAAATTCATAGAATATTATGATATTAGAGCTGCAGAAGCAGCCCTTTCTGCCTTAAACAGGAGCGACATTGGTGGGAAGCAGATCAAGCTTGAGCCAAGCCGACCTGGGGGCACAAGACGGTATGGTCACTTTTATACTTAATAGTATTTAATTATAATTAACCCTGCTAAATCTTTTGTGGGTTGTTGTTCCTGGATTTCATATTTTATTTCTGAATTCAGACGAGAAAACAATGGATTATTTCTTGCTTTATGTTTCTTTAACTTTATTGCTTCTGCCTTTGTTATGCTGTAATTTCTTGGTGACTGATGTAGCTACTTGATTGCAAGCTACATTAATACGCTACTAAGACATTTCAAATGGTTCTGTACCCTCCCAATCTCTCCTTTATTTATCTCTCTGTATACTGGTCATTAATTAAATTTTGTTTTACAGTTTGGTGCCAAAGCCTGAGCAGGAGCAAGATGAAACCAATCTTTGTCAAATCTCTTTTGATGACTTACCATCTGGACAATTGGGTAGCTGATTCTCTTTAAATTTTTGTTCATGTTTAAAAAGCTCATCTTTTTCAAAACAAAAAATTTTCCTTGTCCTCATACTCTGTCTTCTCACAGCATCATTTTCTCCTGGAGTAATTGCATCTAGCTGCGTGGATAATGGATCGACCCAAGTTTTTCCTTCTGCTATACAGTCGCCTGTGGGTTCATTTGTTGAATCTCATCGCAGTTCTAGTGTTCCAAATAACTTGCCCTCTCCAGTGACAATAGCCTCTGTTGGCAAACAATTTGGTCTTCCTGAACTTAAGCACTCTGTGGATGAAATGATGTTTGGCAACTCATGCATTCCAAGTTTCCACCCTCATTCATTGCCAGAGCATCATGACAGTTTGGCCAATGGTATTCCATATAACTCCCCAAGCTCTATTGGAGGCATGGCTCGGAGTGTTGGTTCCAAAGTCACAGAAGGAATCAATGGCAGGCACATTCAAGGAATAGGCTCAAATGGGCACCTGTTGGAACTTAATGGAGGGGGTAAGTTCAGATTATTATGTGCCTGGTTCTATTCCATATTGCTTCTTTTCCTGCATTTCTATGATGACAAGGGATGAAAGTGACTCACTAAAGGTAATCAGGAGATAGATTTTAAGGTCTTAATAGTGAAGACAGCTATTGGCTGTAAAACTGTGGTATTTGTCTCTAAAACGCGCAGAGGTGCGTTTGGTGTATGGAGATGTGAACAAGTAACGAATATGAACACACATCAGAGACATCAGATTGATGCAAGTGGGGAAATTTTTTTAACGGGAACCTAGATACCTAAAATTGCTTTCTCAACTGCTTAGATTAAGCCTGCTGAATTGAAAATGTGTCCTCAAATTAGTTTGTTTTTCAGTTGAAAATGGTTCATGGGAGCAGGAGTTATTCATCTGATCTATAATTCATGTTTAACAATTCAAGTTGCCATTCTACTGCAGAACGTGCTTGAACTTTTCTGTGACGTGTGTAATTTATAGCGGTTGCATTTTGTTGCCTTGGATATAATGTCTCTTAAGTGGTTTGCACCGGAAGTAAGCTCAAAAAGCTGTGGTCTAGTGTTTCGGAAGTGGGATTGTTTAACCTGTATATGTAGTGCACATCTGTAGTTGGCTAAAATTGTTTCAAATTTTTTGGTCGTATTAATTTCCTGTAAGATGGAGTGCAATTAATTAGAGTGTACTTTAGGGAAGTTATTGATGCAGGGTAGCGTTTTGTACCTAACATGTTATTTTACTATATAATTCAGCATCAAGATTTTAGTAGACCAAAAAGGTGCTTCTCTTGTGGGATTAAAAATCCTTATAAGAATGTGTAATTTAGACTTAAAGATGGAATGTTTCATTAATCCTACTATGCAATGAATTTGAGGCCTCTTCATTCCAAATTTACTGTTGACTCTTTATTACTCTGTATTTTCTGAAATTTTTAATGCTTTCTGAATTGAATTCGGCTATGTGATAAATGGAGTTAGAGTTTATTGTGGCTTATATCTCACTTGCCCTTTCAGTTAATTGGAATCCACCATAGCAGGGGATTAATTCTATGGGATATCATACTCTATTCTTAAGCTAATTATGTTTCTTGGGTGAGATGTTGATGCCTGAAAACAAAGCCTACTTTCTTCTTTTGTTTGTTGTAGATAGCAGAAATTTAGGACCAAAGGTCCATTATCTTTCTCTAGTGCTTATATTTTTATTGTAACTACTTGGGAAATTAATATTTTTCTGCCTTGGATATCATTTCACTTTGTAGATATGTGTAATTTTTAATTGAACCCATTATATATTCTTCAAAGAAAATTTAATTCAGTTTACTTTTGTTATTGGAGTTTTAAGTAGATAGCCTCATCTCCAGATTTACTGATCATTTTAGTAATTGTTTCTTGTCTCTCTGTAGGTTTTGGATCTTCTGGAAATGGGAGTTGCACTCTTCCTGGACATCATTATATGTGGAACAATTCCAACTCAGGTCAACAACATCATTCGAACCGTATGATTTGGCCAAATTCACCATCATTTCCCAGCGGTGTTCATGCTCATCACCTTCCACATATGGCTGGATTCCATAGAGCACCTCCAGTTATGCTCAACACAGTACCCGCACATCATCACATTGGATCTGCGCCAGCTGTCAATCCCTCGTTGTGGGAAAGGCGACAAACTTATTCTGGGGAATCTCCCGAAGCTTCTAGTTTCCATATTGGTTCTCTTGGGAGTGTGGGTTTTCCTGGTAGCTCTCCCCCACATCCTATGGAAATTGCTTCTCATAACATATTCTCTCATGTCAGTGGAAATTGTATGGATGTAACTAAAAATGGTGGATTACGCACTGCTCAGCCGATGTGCCACATTTTCTCAGGGAGGAATCCGATGATCTCAATGCCGGCCTCTTTTGATTCTCCTAATGAACGTGTGAGAAATCTCTCACACCGTCGAATTGAATCAACATCTAATAATTCAGATAAGAAACAATATGAACTTGATATTGACCGGATTTTACATGGTGAAGACAATCGAACCACATTGATGATAAAGAACATTCCAAACAAGTAAGGAAAAAGCATCCTCCATATTGTGAAATTTAGCTTAAAATGTGATTAAACTAAATATTTCTATCTGCCGTGATTTTATCATTTTAATAATAAATATGTTGGCACTTGGCTTGATGCTTTGTCTTATTGTCTTTGGAGTTGTTGGCTCACTTATTTTTCTGGTAGGGAATCCCCAGTTTTCAGAGGGTGCTTGATATCATTGAGATCCTGCTGTTCAGATAAAGGACCAAACCAAAAATGAACTAATTGAGAATAGAATAGTTTTTGGTGCTATACATCCCATTTCAATTATCTATCTCTAGTATTTTATTGTCAATGGTCATCCACTTCAATCATTTTGAACATAAGTTAAAACTTTTATTAAGTACATGGTGGTTAACATTTTATTGTAAGCCATGATTTACTTTGTTAGGTCTTTTATTTTTCTTGCCAATGGAACTTGGAGGAGCTTAGGCTGTTAAAACATGCATCTCCTTTTTCTGTCTTCTGTTGTTTCATCTTTTGATTTCTTTCCAGGTATACTTCTAAGATGTTACTGGCTGCAATAGATGAGCACTGTCGAGGAACTTATGACTTCATTTACTTGCCCATTGATTTCAAGGCAAGTGAACTTTCTGGTGGATCCTTTCACATAGACATGTATACAGTGCATTTTTATTTTAAATATTTCATTTATGTACATAATTTGAATTAACAATTATGGTTTAACAGAACAAATGCAATGTGGGCTATGCATTCATCAACATGATTGATCCTCAACAGATTATTCCATTCCACAAGGTTTGATGCAGGCTTTAGTTAAGCGATAGTAGTGTATTTCATGACCAAAGGAAGTTAAAAAGCTAACAGTATAGGCAAAAAAATCTTTTGCAGGCATTTAATGGGAAAAAATGGGAGAAGTTCAACAGTGAAAAGGTGGCTTCTCTTGCATATGCTCGAATTCAGGGAAAAGCTGCTCTTATTGCTCATTTCCAGAACTCTAGTTTGATGAATGAGGATAAGCGCTGCCGCCCTATACTCTTCCATACTGATGGTCCAAATGCTGGTGATCCGGTATGACGTTGCAATTATGCAATGTTGCTCTTGATGATATCTTAAGATCTTCTAAATGGATCACATGATTAATATTTGCGTTTATGGCTTTCTAATAGAAGAAATTATTTGTACATTGTTATGAAACAAATTTTCTCATCTATGTAGGAACCATTCCCTATGGGTACCAATATCCGATCAAGATTGGGCAAACCTCGAACAAGTGGCACTGAGGAGAACCACCACCAGGGGAACCCTTCTACTTCAGCAAATGGAGAGGATTACAATGGAACAGACTCATCATCAGGTTCCGATTGAGCTGTATGTATCCTCCAAGACGCTAACTCTAAAATCTTGTATAAGACTACAGAAGAACCATATCCACCCCAATTCTGTAAATTAGGGGTGGGCTGACAACTCTCTTTTTGGCTATAGAGAAGCTCTTTTACAAAGTTCTGGATGCCAAAGTGCACATTCAGAGCCAAGTGGGCTACATCAAAAGTTTCTGTTACAAAAATTTTCCTATCTAGGCCAAATATGAGTATAGAGAATGGCTTAACAAAGGCTTAAAATTTTGGGTAGTCATTGACTAAACAATATTGCGATGTACAGAAAGTTCCCCTAGTTGTAAACAGGCTTAAGAGGGATCTTCTGTGTCATCGTCTTCAGTTTTGTATCTCTGTGTCTCTGTAATTTCAATTTTCCCCGAGGTGTTCTGTGTCTTTGGTTCGGTTTTTGTTTATGGCCAGGTGTGATTGCTCAAGTTCAAGGAGGGTCACAACACATCAATGTATGTACCCTGGTTGTGGAAATTTTTGAACTACTCTTCTCTATTATAACCATGATGATACTATTTAACATTTTATCAACTCTTGACATCTTCTTTGGTTGCTTACTGATTCTTCATAGCCTAGGTGTATGCCTGTATTTCCTGTTCGATATCTGTGTTGGGATTTGCACGATACATGAGTATAAACACAATGCTTGCAACAAGGGAACTGCCAGTATGCTTTTATATCATTCTATTTTTCACAATATAAATGTATACACACATGCACCCAATTTTGTTAAAATGTATTATTATGTTAAAATCCTTGATATATATTAAAATAATTTACTAGGTTTTTTAATTTTTTGAAATTATGCAGCACATTGCCAAATATTGTTTTAAGTTAAAAGGATTTCACTTGGATTCATTCCGTTCCTTTTTTTATTACTTTATTTTGACTTAGTAATGAGTAATAATATCTTAAATTTTAAGGTTCATTACAATTGTATTTTACATTTTTTTTTAATTCATTAGAAGCTCAATAAATCAAAATATCATCATGTCGAGAAAATTTGAACTTGAGATCTCTTATTTTTTACATAAATAAATATATTCTAAATAAATTTGAAATCAATTACATTCCACCTTTAAAATTCATAATAAAAGAATTGTTAAAATGTGAGTTTCACGATTAAATTTGGATTGATTTAACTAGAGATGGTTACTAGGTGAAGATGTTGTGTGGAGGTCGTATTTTATCATACACATATATATATGAAGATGTTGTGGTGGAGGTTCCGTATTTATCATACACATATATAATATATATTATATATAATATATATATATATTATATATATATATATATATATATATATATATATATTATGTGTCGGCAAATGACTCGGAGGTTTGTAAGAGCGGGTTTGATTTTTTTTTTTTTTCGGTCCAATATGTTGGGCCCGTTCCCATTGGAATATGGTAATAAGTTTTTTTACCTGTTTACGTTTAGGCGGGTGTAATGGGATGGCTAAAATGAAGCATCACTTAACACCCTGACTGAGCTTGTAAACCAAATGGCACCCCTGGTAGGAAAATTAACATGGCAGTACAACCTTTTAAGCAAAGCCGAAAAGAGGGCAAAAACCCCCTGCCATTAGAGGACCCCAAGAACCCGTAAAAATCAACAAACTCATTCTTTCCTTAAGTTGCGCTCTTCTCTTTTTTGATGGTCTCTTCTTCTTTCAATTCTATATATTATTACAAACCAGTAGTAATCGATCAGTCCCTGTATATACTCAGTCTCAATTATTTTTTATACCTCTATTTTTTTCTTTTCCTTTTTCTATTTTCTTTTTTTTTCAATTTTGAGTTGATTTCAATTTACTATTTTTTGGTCGGTAAAACAAAGTTTGGATCGTTTATTGGAATCCTAGATTATTTGGGCTTTTGTACCGTGGGGAATTTCCTTCAATTTAATGACGTCTAAAATTTAGGTTATTTCCAGTTGGTTCGCTTTGCTGTTTGAATAAAAAGTTCTTAAACAACTCCCCATTTTTGAAGATTCATTTTTTTTTTCTTTTTTTGATTACTTGAAGTGGAAACATATACCCAGTTTGTTTAGAATCTATTTGACCTCGCCCCGCTACTTCATTTTGAAGTATTAATGGCTTATCGGGTTTTCCATTTTGACCAAATTGGGTATTGTAGATTTTTGTGGGTGCATAAGTTTACGAGGTTAGGAATGGTGGATGTTTTCAGTTGAAACGACAACAATCCCAGAACATAGCCTCTCTCGGTATGTATTCAACAGAATTCTGCTACTATGGGCTACTGCATTGTAGCGATAAGTCCTATAGTGTTTCCTAATTAAAGCAGACGGAACCTTGAAGGGATCGCATAACTTTTTGTTTCTTTCCTTTTTTTTTGATGCCGTGTCGTCTTCTTATATAGCCGAGATACCAATGTCCACCGTGCACAGAATGTCGTAGCCTTTGGCAGTTCGTGTGACGCTTAAGAGACGCTTTAGACGGAGTTCATAATTTATAGACCCGTCCATGTATATTTTTGAGGGTCTTTGTATAACATCCGATTGGAGGACTTCACCTTGCAATATATATATAAGGGTCGCAACACCCGTAAATATAGAGCTTCAAAGCCTTGTGCATCTCAGACAGGCATAAGAAGTCCTATACCCGCAAAGAATCACTTGCTTGAGAGATGCCGAACTATAAGCCCTCTTGCCCAATAGTGGGCCGCTAAACAAGCTCTTTCTCTTCGGAGACATCAGCCCCTTTTTGATAGACACGGAATGCCTCACACCTTTTAGCTCACTAGAAGGTCTGCGTACTGAGGCCCGGGGTGGCAAGAGAGCAAATACCCAGGTCTTCCTCTCATATCTTGGGTCCCAAATACACCAATTTCAGACGTGCTAATGCTTGGTATCAGCTTAAATTTTGGTAATTTGGCTTCTACCTCTTTCTATCAAGCGAAGTTCCCAGCAATTATTCCACAGCAAAAAATGCAGAGAAAGGATTCTATCTCACATTTCTTCCTCCAAAAGAAACTGCATTCCCGTTTTAATCAAAACCTATTTTTATCTCATCTGAAACAACTCTACCGCTAGGGTCGCACAGAGATTACCTCTCTAACACAGACATACCCAAGCCTCGCAGAGACCAAGTCAGAAAGAAAGCCATATCTGACTCCAATGAAAGTGTTTAAATTCCCGAAGAGCAAAAGCAAGGAAAAGAAGCTAGAAAGTCCAGCCTTGTCCCCGGAATGCTAGCATCCACTGCATGATAATGGATTATTAGTCCCTGAACTTGTTTTCGAGGTGGCTCACCGGAGTTTTATACGAGCTCGAAGGAAATCGCTCCTTTGTGGTCTGACTAAGCTTGTTTTTAACGTCATTCCGGTTCAACGATGCAAGGTATCAATTCAACTTTTTGAGGGTTAGGGTTTTTTTTTACTTAATAGGATTAATTTCATTAACTAAAATTCGCCGGGATTCCTTGTGCTTGAAAGTTGAAATTGAACATTTCCTTAATCTTCAATGGTGTATTGGTCTTAGGTTCTGCATGAAGTTCAATAATTGGGCCATGTTTGGTACATGAAATTAGAACATGCACTGGTCAGGAAGTGGTTCGAGAAGTAAAGTAACTCCATGTTTGGAGAAGAGGAGGAGTGGCATGATGTAGTCCTTTTCCCTAAAATGCCTTTCCATCTCTATGACCGTGTGGGGTAAGCCCGTAAGAGTTAGGGCAACGATGAGAGGCATAGTGTCCCCTACTCCCGCCATTGTAGAGCTTCTTGGTATACCTGGAGTAGAAACCTTGAAAATAAACCTCTAACAAAGGATGGAGGACAAAGCCTGTATATATTCTATTTGAGGAAGAATAGTAGATTTTGAAGCTTAGCAGTAAGAAAAATATCAAATGAGGCAGTACAAGAAATTCAATTTCGGGAACTGAATTTGAATGGAGTAAACAACAATTTCAAGTTTGGAGAAGGATTCTGATTGTTGAAGGAATCACAAATGAATAAATTTGAACTGACTTGAAGGTTTTAAGCATTGGGACAATGGAACCTATATGGTTTGGAAAATGATTTGCCAGGAGCTAAGAAGATTGGAATAAAATATACCGTGTTTAACTTGTGATATTGTCCTGAAGTTTTTTCAGGTATTTGGATCCTAAAGGACATAACAGGTCAAGGGATGTGCAAAGGCAACGGCAAAGCACCAGGCTCGGTTGATGGTTCAACATGGGCTTGGCAAGAAGCACTAATGAGGATCTATGTTGGTCCAAATTAACGTTTTTTGGCATGTTTCTAAGAATCCGAAACGGTCGTCTTTTGGATACAAAGTTTGAAGAAGGTATTATGCAAGGCTTCCGCTGTGCGAATAGAGCCTATGCGTGCAGGCTGGTGCACCTGTTCCCAGATCAAATCGGAGTATGAATGAGGATTGGATGTTTGTTTTCTTCTGAGAGAGAATGAAGTTGATCTTGTTGCGCCTGAAATGCTGTTTTTTATGTTGGTAAAATGCCCATGTATTCAGAAGCTTAACAAGCTTGGTGGACGAAGAAATTTTTGTGTTTTAAATACTTGTATACGCCATGTAAACACATCTAATAAAAAATTTTAGTTTGGATTAATGCTGTGATGTAAATATTTAGTAATCTCCTAATTAATAGATTTATTTGTAATTCGAAATTCATTCTAAAACGTATAAAATAAATAAAAATCTTTTTTTTAATTGACTTTTATTATTAATTTTTTCTGGTTCTTTAATTCTTGCTGGAGTCCATGGAACTATAAATTTTTTTTTTTTTCCAATTTCATCTGATATATTTTTATAACAAAATAATTTTGGTAAACTTTAAATGTACTTATATTAATTTAATAAAAAAAATTTTATCAAAACCCCCTAATAAACATGATACAAATATATATAATATCCTTATTTAATTGAATAGAAATTTGATTATTATTTCTGTTTCTTTTTATATGAGAAAAATATATTTTTGTCAAGCCAATATTGGAAGATCGGTATCTTTGTTTTTTCCCTCTCAAAGATTTAGATAGAAAGGCTTATATATGTGTCGCAATGACTCGAGTTGTAGAGCGGGTTGATTTTTTTTTTTTTTCGGTCCAATATGTGCCCGTCCCATTGGAATATGGTATAAGTTTTACCTGTTACGTTTAGGCGGGTGTAATGGATGGGCTAAAATGAAGCATCACTTAACACCTGACTGAGCTTGTACCAAAATGGCACCCCTGTAAGAAAATTACATGGCAGTACACCTTAAAGCAAAGCCAGAAGAGGGCAAAAACCTGCCATTAGAGACCCAAACCGTAAAAATACAAACTCATTCTTTCCTTAGTTGCGCTCCCTTTCTCTTTTGATGGTCTCTTCTTCTTTCAATTTCTATTATATTATCTACAAACCAGTAGTATCGATCAGTCCCGTATATATCAGTCTCATTATTTTTATACCTCTATTTTCTTTTTCTTTTTCTTTTTCTTTTTTCAATTTTGAGTTGATTCATTTACTATTTTTTGTCGGTAACAAGTTGATTCGTTTATTGATCTAGATTATTTGGGCTTTTGTACCGTGGGATTCTTCAATTTATTGACTCTATTTAGGTTATTTCCAGTTGGTTCGCTTTCTGTTTGATAAAAGTTCTTAAACACTCCCCATTTTTGAAGATTCATTTTTTTTTTCTTTTTTGGATTACTTGGAAGTGAAACATATACCCAGTTGTTAGAATCTATTTGACCTCGCCCGCTACTTCATTTTGAAGTATTAATGCTTATGGGTTTTCATTTTGACAAATGGGTATTGTAGATTTTGTGGTGCATAAGTTACGAGGTTAGTGCATGGTGATGTTTCAGTTTGACGAACAATCCAGAACATGCTCTCTCGGGTATGTATTCACAGATTCTGCTACTCTGCTACTGCCATTGTAGCGATAGTCCTATAGTGTTTCTAATTAAGCAGACGGAACCTTGAAGGGATCGCATAACTTTTGTTTCTTTCCTTTTTTTGATGCCGTGTCGTCTTCTTATATACCGAGATACCAAATGTCACCGTGCCAGAATGTCGTAGCCTTTGGCATTCGTGTGACGCTTAGAGACGCTTAGACGGAGTTCATAATTTAGACCCGTCATGTATATTTTGAGGGTCTTTGTATAACATCCGATTGGAGGACTCACCTTGCAATATATATATAAGGGTCTGCACACCGTATAAGAGCTCAAAGCCTTAGTGCATCTCAGACAGCATAAGAGTGCCTATACCCAAAAATCACTTGCTGAGAGATGCGAACTATAGCCCTCTTGCCCTATAGTGGCCCTAAAGCTCTTTCTCTTCGGAGACATCAGCCCCTTTTGATAGAACACGATGCTCACACCTTAGCTCACTAGAAGGTCCTGCGTACTGAGCCCCGGGGTGGCAGAGAGCAATACCCAGGTCTCTCCTCTCATATTCTTGGTCCAAATACCAATTCAACGTGCTATTCTTGGTATCAGCTTAAATTTTGGTAATTTGGCTCTACCTCTTCTATCAAGCGAAGTCCCAGCAATTATTCCACCAGCAAAAAATGCAGAGAAGGATTCTATCTCACCATTTCTTCTCCAAAAGACTGCATTCCCGTTTTAATCAAAACCTATTTTTCTCATCTGAAACAACTCTAACCCTAGGGTCGCACAGAGATGATCCTCTCTACACAGACATACCCAAGCCTCGCAGAGACAAGTCAGAAAGAAAGCCATATCTGACTCCAATGAAAGTGTTAATCCGAAGAGCAAAGCAAGAGAAAGAAGCTAGAAAAGTCCAGCCTTGTCGGATGCTAGAGCATCCACCTGATAATGGATTATTAGTCCCTGAACTTGTCGAGGTGGCTCACCGAGTTTATCGAGCTCGAGAATCGCTCCTTTGTGGTCTGACTAAGCTTGTTAACGTCATTCCGGTTCAACGATGCAGGTATCAATTCAATTTTGAGGTTAGGGTTTTTTACTTATAGGATTAATTTCATTAACTAAATTGCCGATTCTTGTGCTTGAAAGTTGAAATTTGATTCCTTAATTCAATGGTGTTGCTCTTAGGTTCTGCCATGAAGTTCATATTGGGCATGTTGGTCATGAAATTAGAACATGCACTGGTCCAGGAAGTGGTTCGAGGAGTAGTACTCATGTTTGGAGAAGAGGAGGAGTGCATGATGTAGTCTTTTTCCCTAAATGCTTCCATCTCTATGACCGTGTGGGTAAGCCGAGAGTTAGGCACGATGAGAGGCATAGTGTCCCTAAACTCCCTGCCATTGTAGAGCTTTGTATACAAGCTGGAGTAGACCTTGAAAAGTACCCTACAAGGAGGAGGACAAAGCCTGTATATTCTATTGAAGGAAGAATAGTAGATTTTGAGCTAGCAGTAGAAAAATATCAAATGAGCAGTACAGAATCTAATTTCGGGACTGAATTTGATGGAGTAACAACAAATTTCAAGTTGGAGAAGGATTCTGATTGTTTGAAGGAATCAAATGATAAATTTACTGACTTGAAGGTTTTAAGCATTGGGACAATGGACTTATGGTTTGAAATGATTTCAGGAGCTAAGAAGATCATGGATAAATATACCGTGTTAACTTGTGGATATTGTCCTGAGGTTCAGGTTGGTCCTAAAGGACATAAGGTCAGGATGTGCAAGGCAACCAAGCACCAGGCTCGTGATGGTCAACATGCTTGGCAAGAAGCAACTATGGAGGATCTTGTTGGTCCAAATTACGTTTGGCATGTTCTAGATCCGAATGGTCGTCTTTTGGATAACAAGTTGAAGAGGTATTATGGCAAGGCTCCGGCTGTGATAGAGCTATGCGTGCAGGCTGGTGCACCTGTTCCAGATCAATATCGGAGTATGATGAGATTGGATGTTGTTCCTCCTGAGAGAGATGAAGTTGATCTTGTTGCCTGAAATGCTGTTTTATGTTGGTAAAATGCCCATGTATTTCAAAGCTTAAACAAGCTGTGGACGAAGAAATTTTGTGTTTAAATACTTGTATACGCCATGTAAACACATCTAATAAAAATTTGTTGGATTAATTTCTGTGATGTAAATTTTAGTAATCTCTAAATTAATAAAATTTATTGTAATTCGAATTCATTCTAAACGTATCAAAAAATAAAAATCTTTTTTTAATTGATTTATTATTATTTTTTCTGTTCTTTATTCTTGCTGGAGTCATGGAACTATAAATTTTTTTTTTCCATTTCATCCTGATATATTTTACAAAATAATTTGGTAAAACTTATTACTTATATTAATTTAAATAAAAAAAATTTTATCAAAAACCCCCTAATAAAATATAAAAATATATATAATATCTTATTTTTGATAGAAATTTGATTATTTTTCTGTTCTTTTATATGAGAAAATATATTTTGTCAAGCCATATTGGAAGATCGGTATCTGTTTTTCTCCAAAGATTTAGATACGAAGGCTAAAAATTTTATCATTGGCCTATTGTTATTTTCTCTCACTGGAAATAAAAAACCACGATTGGGTTTCCTCTGCCACGTGCCCACTACTATATAGTTTCAAACTCCGTCATTTCTCTCGCGCTAGCCGAGCAAAAGCAAAAAGCTACTGTACAAAAGCAAACACGAAGAATTTCAGTTTTTCCAGAGAGAAAGGAGCGATTTATGAGCGCGGCTCCTCCGATTTTCAAAAAGCCTAAAGTAGAGCAAGACGGCGACGGGGAAGAGTTAGTCGAAAACGCCAAGTCTATGGCTGAACAAGAGAACGGAGGAGAAGGTGAAGAAGGTACGAGCAGAGAAGAGCAAGAGGAGGCTTTGGTTGCCTTGATCGAGCACCGTACTAAAGAAGTAGAACATCTCAAGAAACGTATCTCCTATTACAAATCTCAGGTTGTTTTCTTTTCTAACCTTTATGGTGGTATTGCGCTTTGGCATTTAATGGAGTCTGCAATTACATTTTGGGGTTTTTGCAATGCTGCTATTATAATGCGATCGCTACTATATTCTTATGTTAATAAGTCAGCAAGAGTAGCTTTATAATTCAATAACTCGATTAATATCATATATACTATCAATGTTAAGTTAAATCAATATAACAACAATAACAACTAAGTCTTAATCCCAAACTAGTTGGGTAGGCTATATGAATCCTTTATTTTCATTCTGCTTTGTTCATAATTAAGTTTACGTTGATGCCTTTGAGACAGTTTCCCTCTACGTGGCCCTTTGTACTAAATTTTGATATCTGATAAGGATGATATGTTACAGTGAAACTGTTTTTTCAACTAATTTTGTTATGTTGATTAATGAAAAAAAAACAGAAGATATTGTTATGGAGGGTGTACGCCGGTGCTAGTTTATGAAGTTTAATGAATTAACATGGCAAAATCTGCATAATTTTTGAGGAAATTATTGGCTACTTATTATTCCTTTGGAAATGGTTGCAGCTCCAGGAAGCAGAGAAGAGGTTGGAAGATACAGAAGCTCGATTGGCTCGCCTACGTGGAAAAAGCAATTCAATGTCATCTAAAGCTTCTCAAGGAAATGGGACTAAAAGTTTGAAGATGGAGGGAAGTAGATCAATCAGCCCTATCCATGTTACTGAATGTTCTTCTGAGAACCAATCTCAATCCAGAACAGAACTTTTAATTCCTGCTGCAAGTCCGAAGATCTTCCAACCTATAAAATCATCAGGGTCTGTTGCCAAAGCTTCTGGTGTCTCTAGCACACAGTCAAGTCCTTCCATCCACATTTCAAAAGTAAAAGCAGAAAAGTCTTACAGAAGTTCTCCTGATGTTGAAGAAAGGGGAACAAAAAGGAAGCATGGTAATACTGTCATTGGATGTATGGTCTGTTTTTATTTCATGAATCTGGTTTTTTTTCTTTTTGGATACTGGTGGTGTCATATATATGGAATTGCATTGTGGCATTTGGCATCACAGGTACTCTGTTAAATGTCTCGAATTTGTTGTTTCCAAGATTCACTAAAATTTTCTGTATATTTTTTCAGAACCGAAAGAAATACAGAAAGAACACAAGGAACTGATCCCATTGCTACGCAGTAGCACTTCACCATGCACAATCCGCTGCTATACAAACAATCACATCCCTAGTCAGCACAAGAGAAAGTTGAGAAGTCTTGCACTTTGTCCGGTAAATGATAAGCTTTTTGTGACCAGGTGATTTACCACACGACCTGAGTAATATGTGAGAGAGAAAAAGAAACTATAAATAAGTGGAATTTATGTTGTTGTGACATTATTGAAGACCTGTGAATTTGTTGTTCTCACTTTGTATTTCTAGGTAACTACCAACCAAATAACAGAAAAGGAAAAGAAAATATTGACTCCATTTCCATATTTTTTGTATCCTTTCACTTTCTGTGACTTTGATATCACTTTCCACATAACCACATGCTGTCCAACGTCCAGTGGAAAATATGTATACAATTATTCTTTTAGTTCTGAACTTATAGAACTATAAAGCACTAGGCAATGATGGTTGTCAGAAAGGTGAAATGAGTCAGCAAGACTCTGAGAAGTGCATCATAATTCAGTGGAGAAGTTGATGATCTTTGTTAGTGTTACATGTCTGTTCACATTCTGCTATTCTATTGAGGTGAAAAGGGGAACGAGGAGATGTATTAGAATTTTAAATGGATATGGAAATATATGTTTGTGATATTCAAATTCATTTGTCTTTGAATTACTGAAATCTTAGGTTAATTGTAACTCATCAAGTGCACTTGCACTCATGTTTGAACTTGAAATGGAGTTTTGTTTCTTTTAGAAGCTTTATAGTAATAGGAAGAATATACATAACTGCTTGTGGTTTAAGGAGGGGTAATTTACCTCAGGATCATGGATGTTTTCCTGTTACTGAATGCCTTTTCAGCTTATAATGTTTGCTATATGAATGTGAACAATAAACTTTTCTGGTTTTTACTTTTCTTATTCTCATGTATCTACATTGACTTCTATTGTTTTGGAATATATACAGTGCTTTGGATGGAATGATCCACTTATGGGAAGTTCAATCTCGAGGGTAAGTGTGAAATTTGGTTGTGGTTTATGCATAGTTACTTTGGTTTTTTTATTTCTCTTTTGTTTCCCCTTAAAATAGCAATTGGATAAGGATACTTGGATAGGTAACCTTTGATACCTTGAATTTATGGGAAATCTATAAATTGGAAATCGGGGTAACCTGACACCTGAATGCATTACCCTATTTCATATCTGAGTTCAAGTAGAACAGACTTCATGTACATTTTCCTGTAGAAGCCCATATAATTGCTTGACAGATGGATATGCATATTAGTGAAAAAGCACATTTACTTTCCAGTTAGTTAACTTATAGAGAAATATGTACTCCATGCTCAACTCTTTCCTAGTTATCTGGATTCTGAATAACGTGATAAGTAAACTAGTGGAATTTTGAGTGATGTTTGGCCAATAAATTTGCTAGGTTTGCTTACATGTTTTAGGAGGTTGAATAAAGGAATATGAGTTGAATCCAAGTCTGCACCACTCTTGTGGACCTTTTCTTTTCTGATTGCTAGTTAATGTTTTACTATTCAGAGTTTGGTTGATTTGGTTTTCAGTGATATGATCTATTGGTGCTTGAATTGATGACCAATTGGTTTTCTCCACTTTTCTGTTAAAGGAACTCACTCAATGAAGAAATCTTCATCCCTTTCAAGAACCCAGTTTTATGATGAATTTCATAATTATACAAGCCTCTGCTCTATTTGTCTATAGTTTCAGTGTACTAGTCTAGATCAATTATAACTTGTGAAGAAAAGCTTCCTTAACAGAAGCTAGTGCTAGGATCAACCATTTTAAAATTTTCTTTTGTAGGCTACTATCTATCCTAAAATTCTGAATAGTTGTTTTTTCTGTTTAGGTGAAACACAACGAATAAATTTCCAATTCTTCTCAAGCTTTTTTTGCATCTTTGGGACACTTCATTATCGTTGTGCTATTTGTCTCTTTGTTGACAGTGGGTGATTGGTTATAGAGAGGAACTCGTGGCATAATATTGATTTCTGTCAACTAGACAAGCATATTTATGGATTTCAGCAATGGAAGCCTCAGTTTGGCTCAGACATGCATACATTACCTAGTGACCAGATTGCAGTATCTTTCACAATTGATTTATATTCTTAGAGCTAGGGAGTGAAAATAGTATGTTAAAAATATTGCTGTTATGTACATGCTAAACAAGAGGAAGCACATAATTGCTGCAGTGTGCAAGGTAAAGAAAGGATGTTCATAATTACATTCCTACCCAAAAAAACATGCTAACTTTCCTTTCCTTTCCTCTCTGTTTTTAGTTTTCCTAATTCTAACGAGGGCTTTGTAAATGCCATTTAAAAGCTTAAAGTAAACACCGATTTTTCATTTGCGTCTAATGCATCTATAATTCTACATGCACTCTATCAGTCTGATAAGTATGAATCACTTTCTGCATGCATTTGAAGCCTTTCGATGTTTAGTAATTTTGCAGTTTTGTGATGCAGAGATTCTCATTTCCCATTTTTGTTTTTCACATAAATTGCAGATCAGGTGCCTCTCTTCTTAGTTCTACTGATTGCATGTCTTCAAAGCATAGGCGATGGCCTGAAGATATTGTTTGGCACCCATCAGGAAACAGCTTATTCTCTGTTTACAGTGCTGATGGTGGGGATTCTCAGATATCAATCCTAAATTTGAATAAAACGCAAGGGGTATGGATCCTGGCTGAGATTTTATTTCTGAATAAATATGCTAGTGGCATTTGTAAATTGTGTTCAATAACTTCTTGTACAATGATGGAGTTGACATATCCTCGATTCAAGCAATTATAAAAATTTGACCATTCTACATCCATCTAAATAGGCTTCATTTTCAGTTTAATGAATTCTTTCTATGTATTTGCTTTGGCAGAAGGCCCGTGTAACTTACTTAGAGGATAAGCCTCATCTTAAGGGCATTATTAACAGCATAGTTTTCACGCCCTGGGACAATGCCTGTTTTGCCACTGGTGGCAGTGATCACGCTGTTATACTATGGAATGAGAAAGATGACATCTCATGGAAGCCAAAGGCATTGCACAGAAATATGCATTCTTCAGCTGTCATGGGAGTTGCTGGGTTGCAGCAAAAACATATTGTACTGTCTGCTGGTGCAGACAAGAGAATTATAGGGTTTGATGTTCAAGTAGGAAGAGCTGACTTCAAGCACCAATTAGATAACAAATGTATGAGTGTTCTGCCAAACCCATGCGATTTCAATCTATTCATGGTCCAAACAGGGTGAGTTCATCCTCATTGTTTTTTTGACTTGTGCAGCTGTACCATCTTTGACTAATTTGCTGATTAATGTTCGGCCTTGCTAGTTCTTTCAGAAATCTACGTAATTAACACACTGGCTGCTCTTCCATCTGGTGTTTTAATAAGGCATGTTAGCTTTAGATTTGGAAACTGATGCCATTTTAAGATGGTAAAATTTGGGAGTTATGTTTGGTCTCTAAGTAATCCAAAGCACGCAACACATAAATTATCTTAGAGATTGCAGATTCATGAATGAAATTTATTTCCATCTTTATTTATGTCCATCTTTCCAAGAGAGAGCTTTCCTCTGTTACAGTTTTCTGGTTTTTGTCTGTCACTCGGAAGTTCTAACCTAAGAAGTGTCATGTGCAGGACCCCTGAGAAGCAGCTGAGATTGTTTGATATTAGACTTAGGCAGACAGAGCTTCATTCTTTTGGGTTTAAGCAAGAAAGCAGCGACTCTCAATCGGCTTTGATCAATCAGGCATGGTCTCCTGATGGTTTGTATCTGACATCTGGTTCAGTAGACCCTGTGATTCATGTGTTTGATATCAGGTATAATTCCAATAAGCCATCCCAATCTATAAGAGCTCATCAGAAACGGGTTTTTAAAGCAGTCTGGCATTACTCTCTCCCACTTATGATTTCTATATCTTCTGATCTGCACATTGGGTTGCACAAGATCACATGAAAGCTTTGCCAGCATTTTGGAACCTTAAGGCAATTTCTTTCATTACGTATTTTTTCTTTGATGCGCCTCCTTTTGAGAAAGTTGGGCTTTAAGAACAGCAGCCGGGAGCATGATTGGGCTAGTCTTTCAAATTTTACCTTTTGGGTGTAGGATAAGGTTACAGAAATTTTTGAGAATGAACAAATAGTTCAAAAGGGATAGATGTTAGTTGTTATTGTGGATAGCTATTCTAGGTTGCCACATGATTTGACAGGCAATTGAAACTTAGTTTACTGTAGTGCTAGATGTATTTTACTTTTCTTTTGGAAAAAAATATAGACATTTTTACTTTTCTTTTGGAAGAAAAGATACGCAATCTCAATCTCATGGAACATGTTCCTTGCACATATACCGTGCAGAAACAAGAATAGCTTGATACTGGGCCTGCTTTGAAAGTATTTCCTCGATCCTTTGCTACTCTCTCTAAATTGCTTATTCTCTCTCTAACAGAACCCACGTATGATTTCCTGAATCTCTAACTTTTATTTTGTCCTATCAAGCCTTCTTATGATATAACTAGTTACAAATATTCAGTATAAATATGAAACAATTAAGTTCAAATTGATGAAAAAATTACCAGTTGTATTTATACTTCATATTTGCATTTAAAGTAATCGCCAAAACTGAGATTTTACTAATGCCTAAAGTAGTGGTCCATTCTTAAAACTTGAAGCGAAAGAAACAGGAAAGCAATGATCTCTAACGCACGTTAAAAGGCCGTTTAAAAAGAGGGCCAGAAAACTGGAGCGACGAACGACGTTAAATGACGTCATTTTTTAAGAAGAAATAAGTTCTTTTTAAAGAAGGAACGGAAAGTACAGATAGCAAACGACGTTTTATCTTGAGCAAAGTCGTGGGTCGTTTCCAGGGGGCATCGGACTTGAATTTTTTGTACGACATGAATGACGGAAACGTGCGAACGAGGCACGTTTACTTTTTCCTACAAGTATTAACAGTGACCTATCCCCTTTGAAAAAAAAAAAAAAAATTGTCGCTTTAAGAAACGACATTCATATATAGGTTTGGTTGTTTCGTTCTAGTTTATTAAACCACGCTCCTTTTCACCCATTTCCTTCGCGCTTAAACCGTTACTGCACAGTCGCGAACCTGAAAGCTTCTCCTTCAGCCTCAGGTAATTCCTTTTGCCCTTAGTTTGTTGCTTATATTTTCTACCATTCTAAATTTTTGCTTGTATTCTCGTTCTCTTCCTGCAAAGATGGTGAGATATTTTTTGCAGTGCGTCGTTTGATGAATTGCCTTTTTGAACTCGATTGATTGGTGCCTTTAGTCCACCTATTTAGCCAAAAAAAGGGGAAAATTGAAACGGAAGCACTGGGCAGGGGTTTATTGCGCATTGTTTAAAATAAACTTGAGGAATGCTTGTCGTTTGCTATATAATATAGGGTGTTTGATTGGTTTCACAATTATAATATGGAGTACAACACAGGGGTGCTTCTGCAGTATGTAGATTTCCTGCTCTTTTCATCTGCTTTAACAATCTAGGGCAACATAAAATTTCTGTTAAGATGGCCAACTGCTTTGCAGCATGAAACGCTTTCCCATTTGTTTTATGAATTGGTGCAACAAAAGCATAAAATTATCACTTTCTTTCTCTTTCTTGCATGCTGATTTGTGTAGTTGCATGACATTATTTTGATTATTTTTGGTAATGCATCTAGCAATTGGCTAGCTAGATTGCAGAATCCAAAAATGTATAAACCATTCTGATGTGCTAAAAACATGGTTTACATGGTGAAGCTCGTCAATCAAAGATTAAGGAGTTGTTTAGTGAAGAGAAAAAAATGTGGGCTTGTGTTTGTTTGTGGAGGATGATAGGTCTGCTGGAGAAAATAGACTCTTAATTCTGCTGTATGAGAAGCTCTTGGAGTCTGTATGATCTTTTTTTTCCCCTTGTGCTGATTTCTTCTTCATCCTTGCAGCCTGCTAAGGGCAGCTTCTAGATAGTTTGCTTGCTTATCAGCAGTAATAATTATTTTAAGTGGTCATTGTGTTTAAGGATTCTTTTTATTTTTCCTACTTACTTGTGAGAATTCATATTCTCTCAACCTTTCCTGGTCATAGTTTCACGTCTTTTCCTCCCTAATCATTTTGTTTATTAACTTTATTCTGCTTATGTTCGCCTTACTGATTCCTGGTTTTCATAATATTGACAGTTTCATCCAACAATGAGAAATGGAAGGTTGCAAGCCCCCTAATTGCCAAACAAACGGTATAGACTGAAGATAAGAAGATTCATTCTCTTCGGTCTAAACGTTTGTGTGCCCCAGTTCCTGATTTTCATGCCAGTGTGGTGTGAATGCACTGGAAGAATATAAGCTATGGACAAACTTTCTGGTTTTATATTTTTGTGTAATGGAAAAACAAAGCCAGAGTGTTACATGTACCGTGTTTTTGGGCTTCCGGAGGGACAAAAGGAAGTTGTAGAGAAGATCAAACCAGGGATGAGGCTTTTTCTTTTTGACTTTGAACTGAAGCTTCTCTATGGTCCATATGAAGCAAACTCTGTTGGAAAGCTGAACTTGGAACCTTCTGCTTTTGGTGGAAAGTTTCCTGCTCAGGTATTATTTATTTTTAGTGCACATATAAAACTGTGAGCTGTTGTTGTTTAAGATCTAAGCATAAGAAAAACAATTACCTTTCAACTTCCACACTTAATGATTTCTAAAAGTGCTTGAGGCATCATGCTGGTACATTACGATGATACACTTGTAGAGTTCAATTTCTATCTTCTTTTTTTTTTTTCCCTTTTTTGCACAGGCAACTCCTTTAGAAATTAAAAAGCATTAACCCAGTGATGGGCTCTTCAAAGATGCAAAGCAGGGTTCTATGAACATAAAATTGGTTGTTAAACAGTATGTGTTATGTGTATTTGGTACTGTGCCAATATGAGGCTTCAGGCTTTATCATCTGGCTTGCAATATCCTGTTGGGACTTTGTTCTGGGACTGCATGGGATGAATTTGTTTGGGAGACTGACCTGTTGCCATTTGTGTGACAATGAACTTAAGGTAATAAAAGGATCTTATCATAAGAATAGTGGCTAGCTAGAATGACTTTACATCTTGGAGGTTGGTGTCTTTCTAGAAATGCCGCTTAAAGGTTGTTTTTTATTCTATATTTTAATACCGTTGTGCCAAATAAAAAAAGGCAGTCAATTTATTTTATTATCATTTAGAGATTCTTTCCTGCTTGATATTTCTATCTTTTCTTTTTCTGTTTCCCCATTTCAGTTAGGTTGGAGTACACATCTCTTTGCAATCCACTTGAATGGATTTTAAGTCTCTTGACCATTTTCCTTTTGACCCTTTGCTCAGGTGAGCTTCAGAATTTGCAAGGATTATTTCCCTTTGCCTGAGAGCTACTTCAGACATGCTATCCAAGATAATTACCGTAAGGGAAAATTTAAACAGGAACTAGATGACCAGCAAGTAAGTTGCATTATCAAGTGTGATCACATGTAATTGAATTTTATCATTATTGGTAGGGATGTCTTCTGTTATTTATTTGTTGTACCTTTTAATCTAATAGCATTTGCTGTTGTTGTGCAGGTAAGGAGTCTCTTGTCGTTGTTTCGTCCACTTTTTCCATCTGGAGCAACACCTGTTCCTCCTAAATTGCCTAGTGTATCCATGCCGTTGGCAATACCGCTTCCATCCATAGAGAATCGGTTTCAGCCCCAAGGAACTCTCCCTTCACGAAATGCTCCATACGTAGCTGGGATGCAACTTGGTCATAACCCATCATTCTTGGAGTCTCAACATGCTCCATTGACGTTGCAAGGCCCACAATATCCTTGTTCTGGATCCTCAAGACAGGAACATCTATCAATGAAACTACAATCTCTGCTAGCTCCAACACTGTGTATGGAAGATCCATATGTTGCTATGATGCAGCATCATCATGCCCCACAAGCTTCAGTGAGTCATCATACTGACCAGAGGGTCTTACCAACACAACCTGCTTCATATGGAGCCAAGAGGAACATGGGCTATGGCCATCATACTATGGAGCCACAAACTCTACCAGTTCCAACTGCCTCATATTACTTCCCAGACGCTCAACAAGCATATTTGCAAGGGAACCCATACTACAGGTATTTTGTCCCCATATTAAATAGGGAAGTTAAATTTTGTATCTTGCAACCAAGCATACTAGTTTGAGGATCAAATCAGTTTTGATAATGGATTCTATAAGATGTATTTTTGTTTGATAAATTACACTGAGAATTGATCATAGTTGCGGGGCCTTCACATTGTAGGCATTTCAAAGTAATACATTTGATGTTTCAGGATGCATATGAATTTCTGAAGTTTAAGTTAATGAATGAAAAGCTAAGCAATCAGTATCTAAGCAAAGTATTCTAATGCTTTCATTCTCTACGTAATTCTGTACGAGGAAATCTTTTGAATCTTTACCTGCTTGCTTAGTTTTCAGAATAGCATGTCACGTAAAATGCATTTCTTTTCTTTTTCATTTGTTTTTATGGAACCTTTTTATATGAAAGTGATTTTTTAGTATTTCCAGTTATGGCAGGCATGGGCCTGGTGGAGAGACCTTTTATAACAATCAATACCTTGGCTCTACAAATACACATAATCAATTGTCCCAGAGGAAGCAAGGATTTATAATGCATCAGGAAAACACTGTTCAGAACTATGGTCTCAACTTGCCTGCAACTGCACATACTGTACAACATGTGCAATTGGACACCCAAGCATCAATGTCTGGACAGGCAATAGGGAATATTCCTATTCTTCCTTCATATTCACATGGTGAGGTCACTTCGACGCATTATCTTACAAGTTGAGTTTTGACCAGGCCCTCAATTTCCTGGAATATGATTTTGCCAGTTACATCTACTTTAATTTCATTACTCTACCAAACAGTGAAACTAAAGAACTCCTCCCTACCTTTAACATTAGATAGCTTATTGTGCCCCCAGCCCCCTATTGTAAATTTCCATATTCATGGGAGTTGATGTTTATACCTAGGAACTATGTAGCAATTTCTAGCAAGTAAATATATTAGTGGCCCAATTGTGGTTTTTGAAACTGAAAATCTCTACAGTACATTAATGGACCTTGACCAAGATACTGACTCAGCTTGACACAAGCCATTTTCTTCTCCTAGGTGAAGATGGAAGACTTTGGTCTCTTTAAGGACTTGACTTCAAATTAGTGCGTCAAGATTTATTTGGCCTTCTTTCCACTAGAAGCCAAAAATGAGATAGGAAATGAGATAATGTTCTAATCCAACATGAAGTTAATGACCTTAAGCCAGTCAGTGTAACTTCTAGTGGTTGACTCCTGACCTTTGTGCTCATTGACTCTGACAATTTTGGAAACGTCAAACAACCTTAACCTGCATTACCTGTTCACTTGATTTGCTGATCAGTGCAAGAATATTGCAGGGGCTTATATCTGAATGATATTTCCTCACTAGATTTGAAGTTATGATTAGATAATAAGTGGGCCATATATGCCGTGGGCAATGCTTCTGACTGAAGAATTAATCCATCCATTTATCCCACCATGCAATATTATTGTTGTTAAATGGCAAATGGGGTCAAGTTATTATGTTATGCTTTTAGGGTATTAGTAGTTAGCATGATACTGATTTGGACACCCTATCTCTCACAGATGCTTTAGCTGTATCTTGTCATGTCTGCTGTCTCCCTCCTTTTCCATATTTAAAATTTAATTTAGATTGAGAAAAAGTAAACAGGAACTTCATTGTTGGCTTAGCTTGTGGCCCCAATTTCAATTTGTTGTCCATCTCCCTAATGCTTGCCTCTTAGCAAGCACAACCTCATTCTCATTGACTTCCAGCGGCAAATGCTTGCATGCTAAAACATTTTAACTTGCCCTTTACTCGTGCTCATAGAAAACCACAAAGAAGAACAAAAGTCATGCATTGCACCTCATCATTGTCTTGTATCCTAATTGTCCAAATTAGCTGCCAACAAATTAGAACCTATTGATATAGCCTTTTATTTTGGGGTGTGGCCTCAAATTATTTTACTTGACATAGCCGCAAACCTATTGTCTTAACACTAAGTACAGCGGAGGGTTCATTTTTGTTGTCTATTTGTTGTTCCAACAATATGATTATCGTTTACGCTTTACATTTTATCATGAGCTTGCAAAAGAGATGTAGTAGTGGACACTGTACATGCCATTGCTATTATTCTCTCCTCTCTTCTTTTTAATTAATCATGAGACTTAAATATGAAATCTCATAATTTTGAAGGCTTTGAGTTGTAACTCATTGATATACATCTCCTATTTTAAGGTCCAACACGCAGGCAATGTGTGCGGCGTGGGTTTTTTGGTGTGACTTGGAAGTTATCTGTTCGAGCTATTGAACCAGTCACTGTAAATGTAGGGGAAAAGAATACATACGTTAACTTTTCTCAGAACCTATATTTAATATGAGATATTCCATGCATGAAATATGTTAATTAAAAAATAAATAAATAAATAAAACTATGTCATGTCTGCTTGTGAAGAATTTTTCTTCATTTTAGTTTCCGGTTACTGAGAAGGGGAGATGCAGGGTTAAATAGTTTTTTTTTTTTTTGTTTACTCGTATATTTTTATGTCTAAATCGAGAATGATATTTAAATAATAATTAACAGTCTTCTCGCTAGTTATGGAATCGGAATCCTAAGTTTGATGAATAAAATGATTAAATATTGGTGATTTGGTACAGTTTTCAGGTGAGGGTTCCACTAATTGCACCTATTATGAATCAAGACATGTGATTAATATTTAATTTATGATTTTAATGGATGGTTTTGAACTTCCTATTGTAATAAGAGTCTCTGCTTTTCTATCTATATTTTAAAGACCTGGAAAAGGTGAAGTCATTTTAAAATAAGTTGCAAAGATTATTGTATTGACAAATTGAGTTTTTCCCATTACTTTTTTTTTTCTTTTTTACAATAGACATTATAGTTAACTATTTTAATGGCCCACTTAGGTATAAAATAACACAAATTGAGTAATTTCCTTTGGAAACCATAAGCTTCATGTTAAATTAATTTTTAACCTTCTCAAAAAAAAAAAAAAAAAAAAAAATATAGTTAAACTATTTTTAATGGCACCACTAGGTATAAAAATAACACAAATGAGTAATTTCCTGGAAACCATTAAGACTTTTTTTTTTTTTTTTTCATGTTAAAATTAATAACCTTCTCAAAAAAAAAAAAAAAAAAAAAAAAAAAAAAAAAAAAAAAAAAAAAAAATTTGCACCTCTTAATTTTAATTAAATCTTATACTAGAACTTTGAAAATTTATATTTTAACTAATAAACTTAAATAATTTTCTATCACAAATATACCTATTTTAGATTAAGATAGCATCTGTTTGGGAAGATTGATTAGGTCAGGATTTCATTTCTATAAATGAATTTAAAATATAAAATTTATTTGGAAATAAATTCTAGTGTTAATGAATTTTTATGTTTAGTATGAATAATTTAAAACGTGTAATTCAATTAAATTCTGCATAATCATGTATGAAATAAATTTATAATTGAAAATCTATTTGCATTTATTTACCAAAATATCATTGAAATATTAATTTCACAAAAATAAATAATAAATACCCATTATATTTATGGTATGCTATATATTTTTTTATATTTTTATTAAAATAAAGATATTAAATAAAAACAACACTAATAAAATTATTACATTTAATTTAATTATAAATATGTATATTTAACTTAAATCTCTCACATCAATAGTAATAGTAAAAATTTACCAATCGCCAATTGCCAATCGGTCCATTTCACGCCGTCGGCTATTTACCGAGCAATCGTCGGAGCCAATTTCTGTCTTTCATTAGTCAGTCAAACTTCAAGTCGTTGAAGCGCGTTAATCGGTCATAAGTCCAAAGACGGTTAATTTTTTCCTTGCCCACTCACTTTGTGCGAACTCAGGGTTAAACAAGTAAATTCGAGCAAGGTATATAGAATCTTTGAGCTACTATTCATGCCACATGGCATAATATAAATGGTTTATTTGATGAAACCTCAGATCCATCTAGATTCCAGCCCGTAGGTGATCAGAACGTACAGTCTTCTCTGCATCTAGGAAATACCATATCAGTAATCACGTTACGTACCAAATGCGCGTTTGTGTCTTTGTGCTCTCGACAAACGCGTTTTGTTTTTTTAAAAAAGTACTGCAAACGGATAGACCAAGACAGGACCAGGGAGAGAGGGAGGGACCCGCAAATGCATCAAACTTCACTAACTACACAATTCACAGATTGGATACTCTGTTTTTCTCTTTCTTCCTTACTGCCATTTTCTATTTTCTTTTGTTTATTTTTTCTTTTTAGTTTTCGTTTTCTACTATAATTGGATATTTTTTTATCGTACTACGCATATATATATTTGGGAGCTAAGCTGCTGAGTTGTGTTTAGAACCGGTGGGATGGGGAATTGTTGCTCGGACGAAGCCGGCGGGAGGGCTGCCGTCGGTGGTACGGGTACTGCTTCCGCCGGCCATACCACTACTGCTAATGACGCTATTGATTACTACCTCAAGTCTCGTGGCTTCCGTGGCATGTTCTTTCAAATCGAGGTAGTTACTAGTTTTTGACTCTTTAAGTATTTTCGGTTATTTCGTTAATAAGCTTGGATGAGGTGGTTTGAAGGTTGGTTCGGTGTAATTGGATCGGAAGCTGCAAGTAGTTATATTCTACTACTAATAAGGTTTTTGGAGTACATTTTGGAGTTGTAATTAGCTGAATCGGAAATCTAGATGTATAGGAGCGGCGTTCTATATCTCCATGTAGCGCATTGTGTAACCAAATAGAAACGGAAGATATCAAGCGGAGTGGCGTTCGGAATTTTTTATTCTTACTATTTTTGGATAGATAGCGTGGTTTTGATATAATTATCAATTTGATTACTCATGTAATAGGATAATTGTTTGATTGTTTAGCATACAAAAATTTATTTTAATTGAAATAACCTTCCGAGCTATCAAGTTTGGAGTAGAACTATAATTAACTTACTAAATTATGATTTTTCTTTAAATTAACGACGACAAATTTGGGGTGGAGTCTAATGTATTAGCATGTCAAGCTCACTTTGTGATAGCAAGGAAAACTTGTTACGCATTCATTTTCCAAAGTATTTTCGTTATTTCAATCTACGCATTGATTTCGTCTTTAGCTTACTCTTTGCATGTTTTGACCCCTTCCTGTAAAACCCGTATATATGCAGCTATCATTTTCTGCTACAAATTTGCGGGACCGGGACGTGCTATCCAAGGTTTGTTGCCTTTCTTCTAATTGCATTTTGATTGATAATTTTTTTCCTGTGCTACTGATGGATATGATGAATTTATAGTTTGTCATAAAAATTACTTGTTTAATCTTTAATATGCAGCCGTGTAATTTCCCTTGAAAAAAACTCTCACTTTTCAACTGACACAGGATTTTATTTGTTGGGAGCTCTTGGCCTTTTGCATTTCAATGCAAAGTTTACTTGATATTCTGTTATAGTGGACCTTTGAATAATTTTGAGATATTAAATTGGATGGAAGAATTCAGAAGTTCTATGACGATTTCACATGTTTGATGGATGGAGGGAACTAATTGTCTTGCGTCCCAAGCTCATCACTGGTTCTAGTGTAACATGAATGGAATGTGCTTGTACATTTGGGCCAGAAGCCTAAATCTATGTTTTAGCAGCCTAGCTAATTGCTAAAAAAAGAACAACTGTTCAGTTAATATTTGATGCTGTGTTGGAGGAAATTATTAGTTCTACAAGGCACTATAAAACATTGTTCTGTGACTCTCAGTAAAAAAGCTAAGATATCATATTATATGAAGACCGCAAGGTAACATATGTGAGAATTATCCAAATCTTCATCTTGGTTTGGCTTTTATTTCCATTTTTCATGTCCTATATAGACCTAAGAAGAAGTTCTGCCACATTATTGTACTAGTTACCCTTAACATAACACCAGATATATATTCTGGAGCTCATTTGTCTCTAACATGATGCTCTATCTCATGATATGGCCCTTGAATATGGATTTTATTAATTATTTATTATAGAAACTATAGGTGCATTATGACTTGTCACTGCTACTTATCGAGCAAGCACCAAAGATAAAAAGAATGTTGGCATTGGCTTAATCACCATAACCTCATGTTTACTCAGTTGCCATTCAAAATTTAACTCCAGATTTATTAATATTTTAGGAATTATCTTTTGTTTTTCCCTCTCGAGTTTGAATCTTCGGGAATTTGTTATTGAACTTATAGGTGGTTGTCCAACAAGAGAAGCTGTATGTAAACTCCTTTTGTGCAGACATTTTATGGCAATAGCTTTTAAGTGTTGTCCATTGCATGAGATTCTAATATACTCATTGAGGGCCGAATGCCGTCTCATTTTGTTTTTATTTTATCATTTTTTTCATATGATGATTGCATTGAGTCCTCATAAGAATCTGAAGTCAGCTTGGAAAGCTAATCTTCTGACTTTTGTTTTTCTGGGAGGAAAACCTGAAGTTGCTGTGCCCATTATCTGGACTTGATTATAAGAAAAGAGCTATATCACTAATATTGAGATCATTATTTTTGTACACTCTTAAATTGTGCAATTGCCCAAATGTTTTTTCACTGTTCTGTATCTTTTGTTTCTTATCGTATAAGTTTTATTTGCTTTAGAGTGATCCTATGGTGGTTGTTTATACTAAAGGAAGAGATGAACCACCAACAGAAGTTTTCCGCACTGAGGTAGTTCTTAATTCATTGAATCCCACATGGATTACGAAATACTCTATCACGTTCCAATTTGAAGTTGTACAAACTTTGCAGTAAGTTCAGAATGTGAAACTCATATTTTTCTCAACCAAATATGTACTTTATTGGTTTGACTATGAATTAATTGTGCAATTTACCACAGGTTTCATGTATATGATGTTGATACGCAGTTTCACAATGTAGACGTAAAGGTATATTTTTATTGTTGTGTTTTCTCTTTATTCTGTCCTTGTTATTGAAATGGAAATTGTTGTGGACGTCATGTTATCATGAAATGTATGTGAAACTATAATCTAGCTGCTCAAATTAAGTCCATTCATAAGATTTCTAAAAAAAAAATCTTAAGATGCAACTTAAAGATTCTGTGTTTCCTTTTTTTTTTTTTTTTTTTATGATGGGGGACGTCATGTTATTCATGAAATGGTATGGTTGAAAACCTATAAAACTAGGTGGTACGTAATTCTTTGGGCTGGCCACAAAATAAGACCCGGCCCATTCAATAAGGATTTCCTTAAAAAAAAAATCCCTTAGATGCAACCCCTTAAAGATTCTGTGTTTCCTTTTTTTCATATATTTTTTGTTTTTTTTTTTCCTGCTGGCAAGGGGAAGTAAGAAGCTATGGTGACTGGCCTTGTGCATCATGATGTACCTTCAGAGTCCTTGCAAGTTCATGAATGTCCATTTTTTATTCTATCAAATTGGGTGATTGGAAGCCAACTTCATTTGATTTGAATCATGAGCATGAGCATTAGATGAATGATCATTAATAATATGATATTTTTTCTTCCTTTTTCCTTTGGAGAAAGACCTATATTATGGGACTTAGTTCACATAAGTGGAGTGTCTTTGTGGCCATAATTTAGTTTTTGCTTGCTTGTTCTTGTGGATGTAATTAAGTTGTTGGCCAAGCAGAACAAATGTTTTAGGCTAATGTGTTGTGAAATGTTATATGTAGAACAAAAGTCTGTTGGAGACATTCTAAAGTTGACTGCTAAATTTTCTTTTACATCAGGTGATATTAAATTGGCATTTTGACATGGAATTAGCAAAATGTTGGCCGGTATAATTCCATCAGCTATATTTATCTTATCTGTCTACTGATTATGGCCTCCCAAGTGATTACTGTTTAAGTTACAATGTAGTTTTATATGCAATGTACTACTGAAATCAAGAGAATAAATTTCAATGAAAAACCTTTTTTTTTTTTTTTTTTCCTTTGATGATATGTCTGCTTTGTAAAATATACTGACCTATTTAATGTCATTTTTATTCTATCAAATTGGTGATTGTGAAGCCAACTTCATTGATTTGAATCATGAGCATGAGATAGATGAATGATCATTAATATGAGTGATATTTTTTCTTCCTTTTTCTTTGGAGAAGACCTATATATGGACTTAGTCTGACATAAGGTGAGTGTCTTTGTGCCATAATTTAGTTTTTGTTGCTTGTTCTTTGTGGATGTAATGTAAGTTTGCAGAACATGTTAAGCTATGTGAAAATGTTATATGTAGAACAAAATCTGTTGAACATTCTTAAAGATGGCTAAATTTTCTTTACATCAGGTGATATTAATTTGGCATTTTTAGACATGAATTAGCAAATGTTGGGGTAATTTCCTGTGATTTATCTTTCTACTGATTATGGCCTCCCCAAGTGATTACTGTTTAAGTTACAATGTAGTTTTATATGCATGTACTACTTGAATATCAAGAGAATAAATTCAATGAAAAATATTTTCCAATTAACTCTGCTGAAAGAGTTCTGTTACTATCATTTCAGTGAATAAATAACAAATGATTTAACAAATGCAGATGCTCAAGCTAGATGAGCAACAATTTCTCGGTGAAGCATCTTGTGTTTTGTCTGAGGTATAACATTCTGCTTTCTTGTAGAATTATTAATGAATGAGAACTTTTATGTCAGTTTACTGAGATGTGGAAATCCCTGTAATTTTAATTTATCCAGAGAGACTTTTACATTCCATGATCAAAGCTGAGATCTCATTCTACATTGGGTAGACCATGAGTCCATGATAAAATGTAATGTAATAAAGAAATGAAGAAGAATAATGAAGAGGAAATCATTACATTACATTACATTCCATTACACTCTATTGTAGTCTTAACAAACATGTTGTAAGCATTTTCAGTTCTCAGTAACCAGGATCCATATATAACATTTAAATCATTGTACTGAAATTCATTTTGAATTGATTAATAATCTATAATATTGTCTCTGTCTGTCAAGATTGTGACCAGACCAAATCGAACGCTGACTTTAGATCTTGTACACAAAGATTCTACAATATCAAGCCAACCCCGATGTGGGCAGCTTGTTGTGCATGCCGAGGAATGCATTAGCTCAAAGACTACAACACAGATGACATTAAGGTGTTCGGATTTGGAACACAAGGATCTGTTCTCAAGAATTGTATGGATTACTAATTTGTATTTCTAATTATTCTGTATGATATTTTATGAGAAAGATTTATAATTTTTGGTGCATATTTTATCTGCAGAACCCTTTTCTGGTAATCTCAAAAACTGTCGAGAGTGGGATGCCCATTCCAGTGTGTAAGACAGAAGTCCTGAAGAATGATCACAGCCCAGTATGGAAACCAGTGTTTTTGAATATTCAACAAGTTGGAAGCAAGGTAAAAACAATTATTTGCTTTCAGGTTGTGATTCTGCATTACCTGGTAAAAATCCAACATCCTGTTGTTCAGGCATACCATTTTCAGAAGAAAAAGTGAAAAACAAAAAACGGAAAATGAAATTTTTAAGCATGCTTTTTTGGATTGTGGAACTTTTGATTGGTTATTTCCAATGGACATGCCTTGATTGGAATGCTAAACAATAAATTGGTCCTTCCATTTCTTTGCACTCTCTTTTTCATCGTAAAATTCCATGAGACGGAAATGGGATGTAACATTTTCTGAAACAAAATGTATTTGGAGTTCTGAATTGGCAAACAGATTTAAAAGTTCAGATTTTATTTTATCATAATCATTGGTTTTGATTTGTGCTGAATCACCTGTTATTGGTGAAGTTCTCAATTTTCCTTTATAATTTAACCTGCAGGATAGTCCATTGGTGATAGAATGCTACAACTTTAATAGCAGTGGCAAACATGATTTGATTGGGTAGACAGAGAGCTCCCTTTTCTTCTTTGATTTCTTTTGCTCAACTCTTTCTGCCTAAATGTTGATGTTGCTTCCATGGTTTTGTTAATTCACAGAGAAGTTCGAAAATCCTTAGCAGACTTGGAAAAGCTTTGTTCTACTGGGGCTGGTCAAAATTTATTTTTACAAACAGCTGTTGGGCATGATCACAGCAAGGTTCGATTATATAAGCATATTAGTTTGAATACTGAGGCTTTCTGTCTTTAGCTTAAACTTCTCAAGTGTGCAGGCACTAAAGAGCCAGCTATTTGTGGATAATTTTTCCGAAAGCATTCAATATACTTTTCTGGATTATTTGAAAGGAGGATGTGAACTGAACTTCATGGTGGCCATTGATTTCACAGGTACATGTCTTTTTAACTTAGTGTAGAATTAAAATGCCTGAATTTTTTTTTGCTACAGATTAAACTATCTTGCTCTTAACAACTTTGATCCTATAATGAAAATTATTTTTTGTTCTTTTGGTTTTACTTAGGTCCTGAATTATACATAAGCATTCTTGTGTTTTATTTTATGCTCGCTAGCTTCCTTTCGGCTCTGCCATTTCTTCTTATTTCATCTCTTGATTTGCAAAACTTGAACTGCAAAATGATCCAAATTGCTTATCATTACATATGGGAATTCAGTAATGATCCAAACGGCTTACCATTAAACATGGGGATTTGTTATATTTCATCCATAACCATTCTTTTGACATGACTGGTGGGTTATAAGTTCCCTAATATGCTATTAATGCTTTTCATTTTCATCTTCAGCTTCAAATGGAAATCCCCGCCTTCCTGATTCCTTGCATTATATTGATCCTTCAGGGCGGCCAAATGCTTATCAGCAAGTAAGAAATTCTTGCCTTCCATATTTAATTTATTTTTTTATAGCTATTATTAGTGGCCAAAATACAAACAACACTAACACAAAGAAGAACAAACAGAAATTACAGATAGAGAGGAAAAGAAGTGAGACGCTATAAAACTTTTACATGGGTCTATGAGGTGCCCAAGTCCAAAATGCCACTTACATTATTTTTGCATTTGAACTGTGAAGGAGAAAATTACAATGTCCTTACAAAGTCTATGGCTTTTCCCTTTTTTTACAGACATGTAGGGGAAAACCTGCAATTACAAAATTACTTTCATTATTAAAATCGCATCATGTTTTGCCCCTCTAACCGAAAACCCCTTCACCCAATGCTTAATTATATTCTCTAAATATGAACCACAACCTAACATGGGAATTTGTATTCAAGCAATTCTAACATGTTTATTTTGCATCCAGGCAATCCTAGAAGTTGGAGAAGTGCTGCAGTTTTATGATTCAGACAAGCGCTTTCCTGCCTGGGGATTTGGAGCACGGCCAATTGATGGTCCCGTGTCTCATTGTTTTAACTTGAGTGGAAGTACTAATCACTGTGAGGTGAAATACCTAGCACTTGTTTTATCATCCCTGATGTTCCTACTTGTACTCACTGCATGCCTATTTATTAAGCATCATATCTCTCAGGTTGAAGGAATCCAAGGAATTATGACATCATATACTAGTGCTCTCTTCAATGTTTCTTTAGCAGGTCCTACGCTTTTTGGACCTGTGATAAGCAATGCTGCACACATTGCTGGCCAGTCTATTGCAAATGGAGGGAAAAAATACTTTGTTTTGTTAATAATTACGGTTAGTGTTTTTTCTCTGTCTAACATGATTATCAAATTCCATATGATGAAATTTAGTAGCAATTTCCACTAGTAAAATTTCCACCTTTTTAAATTCTTGCACCGATTATTTGCTCTGGATATGTTGAATGCACCACTTTTAATTTGTGCACTATTATTGGCGTCTTTAGGATGGAGTTGTAACAGATCTCCAGGAAACCAAAGACGCCATAGTGAAGGCATCTGACCTACCATTGTCAATCCTCATTGTGGGAGTTGGAGGAGCTGACTTCAAAGAAATGGAGGTATCTCTCGGACGCCACTTTGAATATTTCCATTTCCATGCTGGAATATGTGATTATACAAGTTATAATGTTTTCTTTACATTCTAGATGCTGAAGTAGAAACCCAATTATCTTATTGAATTCCTCAAGATTTCTGAAGTTTTTACTGTTGTTACACAGATTTTAGATGCTGATAAAGGAGAAAGACTGGAAAGTTCTACCGGACGTGTTGCTTCACGTGATATAGTTCAGTTCGTACCATTTCGAAGTATTCAAAGTAAGAAATTTTATTATTCTGACAAATGAAAGGTCAACGATTAGTTTCAGTTCATTGGTAACACATAATAATATATTTGCAGGTCAACAAATTTCTGTGGTTCAAGCACTTCTAGCTGAATTACCAACCCAGTTTTTAACCTATATGCGATCCAGGAATATTCAACCAAATATTTGATTTGTAAAGTTGTACATATGGAAATTAATTGTCACTGTGTGGATTTCATGCAATGATTTTCCTTTTTTAAGGCCGTGGTGCCAAATGCAATCATGGTTTGTAGGTAATGAGAGGCCTCATCGTCATCTTTCTGGAAGAGGTAATATATGCAATTTTCACAGGTTTATCAATTCAACGAGACCTCATGGCAATTGGCTAGGGTTAGCTGCACCGTCTTTTGTCATGTTCATAAGGGCTGGACAAATTTTAAATTGTTGCCAGCTTGAAATGGTGGCAGCTCTTCTTTGCTCAGAACAGATTGAAATGGTGGCTTTTCTAGAGTTACAATCAGGTTATAGAACAATCATGGAAGAACTGATGCACTGAAACCAGCTAATGAACGATCAGAGAACACCCTACTCTTTGTAAGAAGGGGGAACTGAGTGGCCACCCTTACCCTTATCTTGCATAGCAAAAAAGAAAAATGTTTTGCTTTCATTGATGCCTTTTGGCGATTTGTAGTCCAAATATTTCTTGTTTTTGTCCTAAATCCACATACATTGTTCAGTTTGAAAATGATCCACTAATTTCTGTTCCACGCCTTCTTCTGTCTCCCTTAACTTTCTTTTTAATGTCATTTTTCCCTCAGTTCAATCTTTCTGAAAGTCCTTATTAATTCATACTGCTCCTTCAAAGGTTTAATTATATTATTCTAATCTTGAGGGACATTTTTCTGTTTTAGTTTGATCTCACTAGCTTCAATACAAGTTGGCAACACAGTAATTATAATTTTGGTATCGTACCTGGTTATGGATTTCTGCAGTGGATTACACTTCTTTTACATGTAAATTAGGGTAGAGGCTTCTAATATAGAAAACTCAATTAATAACCTCTTTTCTTTGCAATTCACTTGATATTTTTATTTCAAAAAATATATATTAATTAAAATTTTCTTCTTTTCTCGTGTTAATTTTAGTGTAGATTAATGAAAAAATTGTTGAAATTTGAGTAGATAGACGAAATAAAGAGAAATTTAATTAAATTAAAATATATTTTATTATAATTTTAATCGACTTAATATTTTCTACCCATCGCATAAAAACTTTAAACATCCAAATGACATGTAAAATGGTTAAGTTGACTCTATTTTCTTTTTTTTTTTTTTTTTCACCTTGAGTGGCCAGCCTCCATTTTACCTCGCTTATCTATGTCACTATAGCAAAAGGAAATTGAACATGTCTTTTGCTCTTTCCGATTGATGCCTTTTGGCGATTGTAAGTCCAAAATAATTCTTGTTTCTTCGTTCCCATACTGAATAACCACGAGTGACAAATGTTAGTTGTGAAAAATTGATAATCCACTAAATTTCTAGTTTCACGTCCTTCTTCTGTCTCCACTTTAACTTTCTTTTTAATGTCAATTTTTCCCTCAGTTTCCACATCCTTCTGAAAAATTTTCCTTATTAAAAAGGTTATAAAGCGGCCTCCTACCAAAGGAATTTTTTAATTTTAATATTATATGATATTCCTAAATCCGTTGAAGAGAGAACATTGTTTTTACTGTTTTAGTTTTTTATGAATTTTCAACAAGATTGCCACAATACCAAGTATTGCCAAACACACTAATATAATAAGTTTTATGTAAATTCATATTTAAATGGTCAAATTAGCGGACAAGAAATATATGCACTACCTTGGTGTTAGTGGATTTCTGCAGTGGATTTTTTACAAACTTCTTTTTTACATGTATAGTAGCTCGTGAGGTTAAGAGGTCTGTGTTTCGTGATATTGAGAAAATCATCAAAGTTTCAAATAACCCCTCTTTTCGTGTTGCATATTCTCACGTTCGATATTTTTTAATTTCAAAAAAAATATATATCTTGTAATTTATAAATATTTGATTCTCATTTGTCTGAACTGTTAATTTATTAGATTAATGAAAAAAATTTGTTTGAAATTTGAGTAGATAACGAAATAAAGAGAAATTTAATTAAATTAAAATTATTTTATTATAATTTAATCGACTTAATATTTTCATACCCATCGCATAAAAACTTTAAACATCCAAAATGGACATGTAAAATGGTTAAGGTTGACCTCTATGTTTACTTTTTTATTTTTTTTTGTCTTTTTTTTTTTTTTTTTGAGTATTGGGAGATAAATTGGTTCTATCGTTTTTGAGTATTTAGGGGGCAGAGTTTTGAATTTAAATCTATTTTTAAATCGTATATACACTCACCACTGAATTATGTCTTAGTGTAATGAGTTCACTCCATCGTTAATATTCTGTTATCGTCCCAAAAATACGGTAATGGCGTGTGTAACACATTACCAGCATATTTATATTTGGTTAATTTGAGTATGACTTGCGAAGTTGGTCGATTCCAGTGCGAGGACTTTGAACTTTGAACAAATTTTGGATCCCGTTTCCACGTCTTATTATTTGGTCTTTCATTCATGTTAAAAAAAAAAAAAAAAAAAAAAAAAAAAAAAAAAAAAAAAAAAAAAAAAAAAAAAATAACTCTTATTTTAATTTGAGATATAATTTGAGGGCTTGATTTTGCTCTTTTTTTTTTTTTTTTTTTTTTTTTTCAAACCGAGGTTTAGGTTACAAGCTATCGTCAAAGTGTCGAGACATATACAAAACTTTAAGGGCAAAGCGACGCCTTGAAATGTGAAGGAACGTTTTCGCAAGTAATTTTTTTTTTTTTTTTTTTTTTTCAAACCGAAGGTTTAGGTTCAAGGCTGATCGTCAAGTGTCAGCATATACAAAACTTTAAGCAAAGCGACGCTTGAATGTGAAGGAACTTTTCGCAAGTAATTAAATAAAGTTGAAAGCTGCTTTCAATAATAAATATAATGTTTAATTCAAATGTCAAAAAATAATAAATATAATGTTGAAAGTTAAGTTCCACGTACGACGTCGTAAATGTAGCAAATGTGCGTAATCAGTGACCAAATACTTTACATTTTTCTAAAAACCGAGTGGTGCACGCTCAACAATCATGTTCATGCCTTTTTCGACAATTGCTGCACCGTTCAAAGTTTCAAGTTTACGTCGCTTGCATTTTAAACTTTTTTTCCTCTTAGCAATTGGAGAGTAAATTCAAATCTAGATTTATAATTAAATTATTTATATATTTATTATTAAACTATATCTTAATATGTCCATCAGCTAATAATTGATTTATATTTATATTATATATTTAGACTCTATTAAGATTGCAAAAATAACAACCATTAATTTTCTTTTATCAATATTTTTATATGATAATTTTACTTATAATTATTTAAAAATAATAAATAATTAGTAAATATTATTACAAAATTCAGTGAATATTTTTATTTTTACAACATAATTTATTTACCTTAAAAGTTAAAAATAATATATAAGATACATGATAATTTATGAAAATAATTAGAACTTTAACACTTATCTCATGCTTAAACAGTAAATAAAATTTTACTAAATAACAAGTATTTATCAACTAAAAGTTATTAGCAAGTAAATAAAATTCTGAATAGAAAAACGCATAAAACAAACGGAGATTGGAAATTTTTTTTTATTTTTTTGCCTCATAATTACTCAATCATATGTATATACATATGACATATATATCCATCCCAAGCAAGCATGGTTTCAAGTTAGAAATTTGATTTTTAAATTTTAATTAATTATGACATTATATTACTTTAAATTTAAAATATAATTCACCTACAAGCATGGTAACACAGGCTGAGCGTATGGGAAGAACTCTTCCCGAATTTATTGTCCACTAAACGCATTTACAGGGAAGGACGAATAGTTTTAACTGTGACTAAATTCCAAGTCAGATTAGACGGTCCCTAATGGGTCCGGATAGCGGTGATTACACCCAATAAAAATTCACCATATAACTCTACAATGATTTCAAGTGATGGCCCAGCTCACAAGCATAATAATGTTATTTCTCCATGTTTCATGTAAAAATAAATTAAAATGGGATCATAATCAAGTTATGATCGCTTAAAGTTTACATGCTACACAAATTTTCTGTATACAACATGTATAATCAGTTCATCATGTCACTTAATTTCAGTTTTTTTTTTTTCTTGAAACAAAGGTCTTTTTTTTTTTATTCCTGATATTATAAGTATATACTGGCTCTACGAGAATATTAGATTACAAAGAAATAAGATTTATTATTTTTAGAGGGTGAAATATAAAATAGTAAGAGTCTGTTCTTTCTTAATTAGAAATTTCGGTTTCGAATTTCAAGTATAAAGTATTTTTAAATCTCAAGAAAGACCATTTCGCAACTCTTTGGAAACTTATCAAAAGTGAAATTGGATTAATCGAATTAGTGTATTTTGGATAAGGGGCTGTAATAAGTATATATAAATATAATATTTATGTCTTCTATTTTAAAATTCTTTTATTTTTTCTGTTCTTTTTTTGAAAATTAAAAATTCTTATTATTAAAAAATGGGAAAAAAATTTAAGAGAATATATCTAAATCAACCAAGGCCTTCCTCTACACTTAATTTAAGATCGTAATATTAAGTGGAAAATATATTTTATTTAGTGAAGAAATATAGTAAGAGACATCAGACATGCATTATTTGAATGTAATGTCTTTCTTACTTCACAAATTTCTAATGACTTTTTATCTAATTACGTGAAATTACAAGTGTGATTCTTTTAATTTTTTTTTAGGATAACAGATCTTAAAATTTTTGTTCTAGATTAAAATGGAATCTAAACTGTTTTTGTAGCTAATGAATCTTACCATCCTTTATATATATATATATATATATATGTGATTCTTTAATTTTTTTAAGGATAACAGATCTTAAAAATATTTTGTTCTAGATTAAAGATGCGAAATCTAAACCTGTTTTTATGTAGCTAATGAAATCTTAACATCCTTTATAGGTATTAATATTATTATATGTGTGTGGTGTGTGTGGTGTGTAGTTTGTGGGTGTGTGTGTGCATACAGAATACAATCTAGTGTGTGTGTGTGTGTGTGTGTGTGCATACAAATACAATTAAGGATATCCATGAACCAACTTACCAAAATTATTGTGAAATTAATATTAAAAAAACAAACATACATAATTAAAAACTAAATATTAAAGAAAAAGCGTTATGTTTCTTTTTCTACTGAAAAAAATAAAAAGAGAAAAGAGAAAAGAGAAAAGAGAGAAAAGAAATGGCGATATTTTTTGAACTTAGACTTGGCTCTATTCGTGACTTTTGTTCACACCAATCCTTGGATTTGTAACATATATATCTAACGAAAGCCTTCAGCTATAGAGAAACCCTATCTTCTTCTTCTACGTCTTGTCCCACGACCTGCTTTGTCTTGACATGATAATTAAACCTAACAGGGCAAAATTAAATGTTTAGCAAGAAATAGTTGTGATTTTGTTTAAAGCTAGAGAGTAATATAGGAAAACTACAAAGTGGATCGTAATAATGGGAAAAGGGCCCTTCCATTCGATGAACCGGAGGAGAAAGAGGAAGATTACATCTTCCCAGTCTACTCGGCTCGATCTCAACAAGATATGACTGCAATGATCTCTGCCCTTGCTCAAGTTATGGGAAGTAGTACCCAAAATAATCCAATTCATGATATTCCATTAGCTATACCACAATCCAATACACAAGGGCTTCATCCACCACAACCACAGACAGTTCAAGACCAAGGTATAAATCTTGCACATTTATTTGATTTCCTCTATTTCTTACTTTGTATCTATGATCTCTTTTTAGAAGAAAATTTTCTTTATTAATTAATTGCTTTATGATTTCATGTGTTTCAAACTTATTACCTTCCTGTCTATGTTGCTTTTTTTTTCTTTTCAATTTTATTATTTTCACTTTAGTTCTTCTGTGTCTTATCTTTTAAAAGGAAATTAATTAGCATTCAATAATGGCTAGTAACTTTTAGAAACGTTGTTAAGTATTATTTATGAGACTTTTTTGCCCTAAATCTTCCATAATGAATAAAGATTGTCATCAAACAAGTGTGATTTATAGTTAGTACTATAAATGAGCTAAGCTTTATTGAGCTCGAGTTCGGCTTATTAAAGATATACTTGAATTTCATTAAAGATATACTCATATTTGATGTTGAGCTCAAGCAAGATCTCAAGCTCCATTTCTTTATAGTTTATAGATAGAAAAAAAAAAAAAAAAAAAAAAAAAAAAAAAAAAAAAAAAATCATGTATTTGAATGGTTGCAGCTTCAACAGATCTCAAAGCTCCATTTTCCTTTGTTAATTTAGTAGATAGAAAATAAAAAAAAAAAAAAAAAAAAAAAAAAAAAAAAAACAAAAGCCTCTTAAAGGCTTGAAGCTACAAGTACGTAGAGGCTCAAAAACTTGTTTAATAAAAAAAAAAAAAAAAAAAAAAAAAAAAAAAAAAAAAAAAAAAAGCCTCTTAAAGGCTTGAAGCTAAGTACGAGCTCAACTTGTTTAATTATCAAATGATTTTAATTCATTAAATTTATCGAACAAATTTGTCTGAATCAAGCCTGGATTGGCTTATGATGATTTCCAGCACTATTTATACCTAATATGCATCTATTGAGCCAGAAACTAAAAATGACTTGCCAGTACCTTATATTTAGTACTAACTATGAAAGGCAAAAACCATGCATGCGGTCTAATTTGATAGAAGGGAGCACACGGAGAAGACACTATAGAGGCGTGAGGCAAAGGCCGTGGGGCAAATGGGCTGCAGAGATAAGGGATCCAAATAAAGCAGCAAGAGTTTGGTTAGGTACTTTTGACACTGCAGAAGCTGCGGCACTCGCTTACGACGAAGCAGCTCTTAGGTTTAAAGGATGCAAAGCTAAGCTCAACTTTCCTGAAAGAGTGCAAGGCAGAACCCAGTCAGGTTTCTTGACTAATAATCGCCAACAACAACAACAACAACAACAACAAACCAATAACATTACACCTCCTCGACACCCACAATCACGACAAGAAGTTTTTCAGTATCCACAATATCTTCCAGGCGGCTTAATGAACTATTCTATGCCGCCTGTGGGTCCTTATTATAATGCTGGAAGAAATCCAGTTCCTTCAACAACTGCATCTTCCTCTTCAGCATCATCGGTACCTTCTCATCATGAACAAGAAGAGCTACTACTGAGACATTCTATGCAGTTTGGAAGTCCTTATTCTCATTCTAATCCTTCTACTGATCACTCATCAAGAGAATAGAAGGCAAGGGAGCTTCAAGTAATTTCTGATTATGATTTCATAGATGTTGTGTTTCCTTTAATTATCAGCTATTGCAATTTTTTGCTTTTTACCCCTTCCTAGTTCATGTATTCCCATTTGGGTAATTGAAGTCAAGAAGAGTGTTGTTTTTAGTTCCTGAGAAGAAAGAAAGAAAAAGCAGAGGCCACTACATATTGTGGTTCGTTTTTAAATGTTTGCTTCTATATGATATATGAAAATGCAGAAGATAAAAACATATATACTAGAATTAAATCTATTACCTCTATCACTTGCCTCTTTAACTTTGTTTGTGTACTTGGATATGTGCAAACTGAGACTCAAGTATGAACAGAGTCTTACTTTAAGCACTTTAACACAAACACGTAAGCGGCTGTCATCGCCATGCACTTAGAAAACCAGCTGAAAAGTAAATACACACCAACTTCTGTATATTTATATTCCCATAGCCATTCTTGCATTTAAAGTGCTTCCATGCAAGTATTTAAAGAGAGATATATATCGATCAAAGAGTATGTATATATTATATATACACATAACTCCGTATACACACACATATACATAAGTGTGTAATAGATATTTCGATCTTCTGGTATTGCAGAGTTTAGAGCTGAAAATGATGATATATAGACAGGGATTTGGTGTGAAAATCCTAAAATTGTCATGGAATTCGGCTGAGTTGACGAAGCTGAATTATTTTGATAGGACAAATGGCAAACGCGTTATGAGCGAAGTCAGCCCTTCTCACCAAGAATGACACTGAACATGCATGTGTCCAAAACATATACAACTTTAATCATTCTTCTTCTTCTTCTTCTTCTTCTATAATTTGAGCTTTTGACTACAACAGGGATTTTGTGAGATTTCTTTGGTTTCAACGTAAATATTTGTCCGATTAATAAAAAGATTAAGAGAAGACTGTTGTTTGTTAAAATATATTATGACATGTTTGAAATCAAAAACGAAAAATATGCAATAATAATTTAAATGCTTCGTGTGTTGCACATTCATCAAATTGAATAAAAAACGATATATATATGTTAGAATATGAAATCTATCGAACCCAGATATTGACCGTGTGTTTAATTAAATATAGACACACAGATAGTGCATCAATAGGAAGAATATAAAACTTAAACCTTAAGCAACTTGTTTAATAATACGAATAATTGAAGGTATTTTTTGACCGTTTAATTTCTTTTATTGGAATTAAATTTTTTCTATTTCCACATTCAAGAATATATTTATATAGTATGTTTTGACCGTTTTTAATCTTTTATTGGAATTAAATTTTTTCTAATTTCCAACATTCAAGAATATATTTATAATATATATATATATATATAATATATATAATATATATATTATATATATATAATAAGTTCATATAGAATTTCTTATAGTGGATATGGTCGAAACTAGTTTTGAAGTTGAATAATTTGACGTCAAATCTATATATTCATTAATTAAATTCTTATAGTGGATATGGTCCAAACTAGTTTTGAATTGAATAATTGACGTCAAATCATGTTTTTTTTTTTTTTTTAAAAGTTTCAAATCAAAATAGTTAAAACCTGAATATAATAATTTTTTTGTTTCAAAGCGAAATAGAAATATTTTTTAGACACTTTAATTTCAATTTCTTTGAGCAAGGATAATAAAATAATTGTGCTGAAACAATAGTAAAAAATTAATCAATACCACTAGAATCATCAAATTTTGCACCAAATCTTAAATGAATAAATTATTAATGTCAGCATCAATTGGAATATAATCTGAATTAGCAATCGTAATTATAATATTGGCATATGCATATATTAACCAAATGGATAAATACCCTTTAAAAGATTGTTATTTTTTTCTTGTGAAAAAAAATATTAATATCTACATTTATCTTATATATGTTTTTATTAAATTGGTTTGATAAACCATAGATAAGCTTTAGATATTGTGTAGAAGAATGTAATTTTTTTTATTTTTTTGGAAATAAAAAGTTGTGAAAGTGTAAGTGCATTTCCAAGGAACAATCAACATCCAATGCTACCTTTTCATTTTAGTCCTTTGTAATGTGAGTTTGGCAGTCCAAGTTTTTAATCAACGTTGTTGAAGGTTTACACTTACTTAAGGTAGCTTTTCGGCACCGCTCACTTTGAAAAGCAGAATAAGACGGTGAGATCGATAATATAAACGCTACACGTGGCATGCTTTTTTTTTTTTTTTTCTTTCTTTTAAAAAAAAATGAAAGAAAACTATCAAAATGGAAAAATAATTAATAAATTGATGAGATCCCAAATTCTGCCTTTCAATCATTATTATTTCCACATTTTAGCGTCCAAACCGCGTCAAATGCAGGAATCACGTCAACGGGTGGGTCGGAGCCGATTGTGCCTATCTTACTCTACTCTGAAATAGTTCAATTTCGTCTTGTCTTTGTCCCATACTTAGATGGGAATAAAAAAATTCCATTCACTTCTTACCCTAACAGGAAATTAAAATCCTGATTCGTAGGTCCTCTCCAATTTATTTTATAAAAAATAATAAGTTCAATTTATTACAATTTCATTTTATTTTGATATTTTTATAGATTTTATTCCAATTTTGATTTTTTATTTATTAAATTTTTATCAAAATCACATAATGATTTAATAATTGAAAATATATTTTAAATGTTTACGAATTTTCATATATTATATGTTGAAGAATGATCATCTTTTGTTTTGAACTCCAAAATGCAATCCATTGCAATAAGCTGAGAAAGCGGAAACGCCATTCACGAGACAAGTAGGCAGAAAGGTAAACTAGCGTCTTGCTTTTGAAAAAATTATAATGAATGTTTAATAGGAAGAGTCCTTTTTGCAGTTTCTTTAGGGTTTTGAGTTGGAACATGTCTTGCTTTTGAGTCGGATGTTCTAGATCCATTACATGTCCTGTCTGCTGTCTTTCACTTAACAATAGGCTTTGGTGATTTTCATGTTCCCTGCAAAGTTAATAAACTGGATGCTAAATGAACTAACTAGCTACCACTTATAACTTTTCTTTCGCTGTTTCAAATTCTGAATCTTTACTTGTTACAAGTTATTTTAAGACCAAGTTATAACTACGGTATTAAAACCTTGTACTAAAACGACCCAATAGGTTATCAAATTTCTATTTAAATAAAAACTTTGAAAGTCAAGAGTATTTTTTGGTTCTATAATAAAGTCTTCAAACTTCAAAAAAAAAAAAAAGTCTTCAATAGTACACATTTCTAGATTTCTTTTGTGTAAAAAAAAAATAAAAAGAAATGAGCAAAAGGATGAAGATTTTATAGAGACGTGTCACATAATGATTGGGTTATAGAAACAGATGGTGTAGTGGAATAATGTGGAACCAATTATGACTTGAGCAACCGCGGCGGCGCCTCTCACAGCCGGTTTATAGTGATAGTGTCGGTTTTAAAGTGTCAAATTTTGCGGCAGCTATTGACTTTGTTATTGTCCATATATTCTTGCAGTGTAATTTAAGTTTGGCTTTACCTTTTCAGCTTCAAATATCTTTAACTTAATTGTACAACTTTACAAGAGTTAAGTTTAATAGTTGAGGTTGTCTTTGGAGTTTGCCCTAAATCTAATGGGGTCCAATTTTCATATCATTAACAACTTTTACAGCACGTGCACCTTTCTAATTTTGATTATATAGCTATGTGCGACTTGTGACCTGTGTTTTCAATGCTATTAGGATATAAAAAAAAAAAAAAAAAAAAAAAAAAAAAAAAAAAAAAAAGATGGGTTGGCTTTGGAGTTTGCCCTAAAATCTAATGGGGTCCATTTCATGATCATGTAACAACTTTTACAGCACGTGCACGCTATTCTTAAATTTTGATTATATACGCTATGTTGCGACTTGTGACCTGTGTTTTCAATGCATTGAAGGATATGATAAAAAAAAAAAAAAAAAAAAAAAAAGAAAAAAAAAAAAAAAGTTATCTATGACCTATATGGTATGAATTCCATGTGAAAATACATCAATCTATGCTAGCTCAAGCAAACACCCGAAATAAAAATTTCAAATTTAAAACAATGTAATTTCATAAGCGTTTAAAAAGGCAAAAAAACACGAAAGAAAAAAAAAAAATATGAAGGCCCAGTGCATCCGCGTCCTCGGTCCTCCTCGCATGAACAGTCAGCAGGTTTCGACTTCACAGACCGTCGGTCCAATCTGCGACTTTTGAAACGAAGGTCGCGCAGGCTAGATTGCATGGCAATGGGTGAATGGGAACGAGCCAAGCCGAAAAGACTAAAGATACAACTTCAAGTTAAAAATAATGGTAATAAATCAAAAGACTAACAAGTCCGAAGCCCAAAGCCCCATCTGTTTTAAAACTGCTCCCTCAAAAAAAAAAAAAAAAAAAAAAAAAAAAAAAAAAAAAAAAGGTATCTATGACTATATGTATGATTCCATGTGAAACATCAATCTACTAGCTCAGAAACCCGAATAAAAAATTTCAAATTAATAACAATTTATTTCATAGCGTTAAAAGGCAAAAATACACGAAGAAAAAAGAAAAAATGAAGGCCCAGTGCTCCGCGTCCTCGTCCTCCTCCATGAACATCAGCATTCGACTTCACAGACGTCGGTCCAATCCACTTTTTGAACGGAAGCCCAGCTAATCAGGGAACGACGCAAGCCCAAAGACTAAGATACAACTTCAAGTTAAAAATATATGTAAAATCAAAAGACGTTAACAAGTCGAAGCCCAAAGCCCATCTGTTAAAACTGCCCCCTCAGTCAGCTCGTCTGGTTCTCCCTCCAAACGCAACTTTCCACCGGCAAGCTCATGCCCAATTAAAGGAATGCTTATGCAATATCATGAAATTAAAAGTCGGAAGATAAGTTATCAACATTTCCCGTCTCGCAAACTCTATTATCAACCAGCCATTTTTATAGCACTAGCAAGGAGTTCATAGCATTCACATGTTCCTCGGTCTATTAAAAGAAACTGGTTCTCTCAGGGCTATACCGCAGCACTAAAAATTTATTCCATTAATAGAGATTACAACCAAGGGAACAAAATTGTTTAAGAATTTAGCCTACGTAGCATTTGGTAGTCATGCTATAGTAAGATATTCGACTAACACCTATTAACTTTACATTATATCCCCAAGGTAAAGGAGAAATTTGATGAATGATAAATTCCTAGGATATCAAAAAGATGTGTAGATGCCACTTCGAACCAATGGACGCCTGAGGTGCAGACTGATGCAAAAACTCACGCATTAGTTGCGTTGTGGCTTTTCTTCTGGTACGCTGCTTCTAAGCATTCTTTGGCTCTATGAACTTTTGACTGGAGGTAAAAGCTTCCATTCTTGGCATTCTGCTCAAATAAGTTATCATATTTCTACATCCAAGCAAACAATATATTAGTACTCTAATGATAAAGAGTAACAATCAAAATGCAATTGCACCATTTTTAACACGGCTCCATGTTTATTATATATACCTTCAAGATCTCCTCCCATGTTGACTGTTCAGTGACACCTAAAATCTGCCTTGCCTCTGGTTCAGCCATGATTTCGCCTGCTCTCCTAATATTCTGCACTGTTTCTTGGGCAACACCAGATTTAGACGCATCTGCAATAGGTCATAAAGCAGTAACTTGTAAACCCAAAGAAAGCTGGAAGGTTCAAGCCAATGGACCAAAAATAAGCTTTGACAGTACACATCACTTATGAAGAGAAGTTGGCAAGAACCATACTTGCAAGTGCCTGTCGGTACCCTTGAACAAATGCCCTTGCCAAGATTCCAGAACCCATCACAAGCAAGTTCGCTAGAAGCTTAGCAGCCTGGATATAAAAATAAAATCACATTAATATATAATGATTTTTCTTCAATGTTCTCCCTTTGCTTCTGAAGTATCTGAATAGAAGCGTGCTATATCGTGCAAAACTAGAGATAAATGTAGCATCTCTATCACCAATGCTCACCCAGAAAGCGAATGACATAGTCCTACAGGAATGATAAACCAGTACTTTCCTTTCTTTCAAGGGATGGAGGATTCGCAGGTGGGTGTAGTGTAGGTTTGGATTTCTTTTTCTTTGGTTGATTGGGTGTGTATAAGTACTGTTTTCTTTTTTTTCTTTGGGGAGTTCTGGTGGTTGTAATTTAACAACTAATTACAATTGTCACAACAGTGGTTAAAAACAAACATAATAACACAAGCCAAACTAACAGAAAAATTACAAGTCATGCACAGATAACATATAACGAGGCCATATAAAATAACAACCACTTGAGATGCATAAAAGGGTGGACGCCTAAAGTTTCTTCCACCATGGATCATACTATGTGAACTTTTCACAATGCCCTTAACACTAGAGGGTGGTTCTAAATTGCTGTTCTATGAAGCAACAGCCAAGTAACTTGAAGAAAAAAGAGGCTTAAAACAGATACACCATTTGGCAGCTTACCAGCAGGCCAACAATATCTTAAACACAACCGGCAATGAAAGGAGATGGTGGGTGAAAAACCTAAAACCTATAACTGTGTCTATCAAAGTCAATAACAACCAGAGAAAAGAAGACAACGCATAGAGGGGTTTAAAGAAAAAGAAGAAAAATTTAACACATACCATCAGTTCAGGAGAAACAAATGCAACTGTTGGAACAGCAGGTACCAGAAAGATTGCTTTGAATTCTTGGAGCCTAAAACAGCACAGAAAACACATAAGCTAAGAATTTAAAATTGAATAATCAACAAACAGCAAATGTTTAAACCATGATAAGCACAACTGCAAGTTCCCCTTCGAAAACATGTTATGTTCAATCATTTTCTCTCACAATATTATCTGAATCAGGGAAGTAAGCCAACATGAAGCACCTAATAATCGCATCATAAGCCACAAAATTCAAGCTAAGCGGTTCCAACTACAATAATTGATAAAATATTTTCATGACAACGCGCATTTTTTAAATCGAATCAACTTCAAAACCAGAGAAGAAGCAACAAAGGTTAATCGTGCAAGTTCTCAGCAAAAAATAATTTAGCAAAAATCCCCAAAAAAAAAAAAAGAATGAAATCTAAAAAATAAAATAAAATTTAGATAAAAAAAAATTAAACAGAAATACAATGCATCGGAAATAGGCACAAAATGGCACTGCTTGGACGAAAGAAGCATAAAATTGCACTTACAGAAAATGCAAGTTTGAAGCTGTTTTTGGTGCTCCCTGTTGCTGATGATTTCCCTTTTTTTTTTTTTGCTTCATTAGGGTTTTAACTTTTAAGGGAACAACAACGTAGAAATGTCCGCCGAGCTATACAAGTAGAAGGGTTGTCCCCAAAAAGGCGGTTACTAACCGACCCGACCAGAGGTGAATGTATGCATGTGATTGTGCTATGTCCTGCGGGCCATATTTTTTCTTCTCGGGCTTGGACTCGTAACTTATTACCCATACGGAACAGAACCACAATTAACGTAAATAAAGGTAATGCCGCGAAATTTTTTGCCTACATTGGCAGTGTGTATTCACCTATATAACAAATTAAAATCATAAATAATGATTCGATTTAAGTGAGAGTATTTTAAATTATACACTGAAAAAAGGAAAAAATAAAACAGTAATATTTTAAAAAAAATCTTAAATTAATTTTTGTTTATCTAATTAAATGCAATTAATTTTTTATTTTTTTTCCAACCTCTTCTTACCAATTTAGCTCATTAAGCTGTTCCTTTTTAAAAGAGTAATTTAGTAAAATATTAGCCTATTAATTATCTTGCATGATTTTTTTAATCCTATTCCTAGGTGAAAAGTGCAAGAGAATCATCTAAATTTTTTCCCATTCTTGGAATGGTTTAAACTTTAGCAGAATGAAAAGTGCAGAGGTGATCGAAGTTATGCACACCTTTCACCACTTGAAAGAATATAGGGAGGGTTTATAATTAGGCCCCCATCCAGTGCTTTCCAGCCTAGTGGCCAGAGGAAAGAGAGTCCTGTAATCGCAGTATCCAGAGTCAAAAGTCAACAACTATTTGCTACCAATCTAGCAATCCTACAGCTTAATTACACAATATGGATTCAGGGAGTTATTCGCTTGTGTGAAACAGCTTGTTGAATTGCCACCGAAGGCGATGAGCCCAAAGGAATGCAAGAATTCAAGGGTGAAGTTCGCGGACCAAGCCCCTTCCTGCAACCTCTGGTAATTTGTCTGTGATCCAATGACAGCCTCATATCGACCAACTTAGGATGCCTGTTATTGCCGTCAAAGCATAGAAGCCCTTCGGGTCCCATGGGGCTTGCTAGTGCTTTATGTTTTCTTTTCTTCTTCAACAGATTCCATAATAGCTTCTCATCTTTTGCTTGCTTTCCCTCCATGCCTAAGAACTGAACAGAGAGAAGGAGAAAATCATGAAGCTTTTATACCTAAACAGGCATTAGTAAATCATGTATATGGATACAAGTATAAGTTTGTATGCTTACTAAGTAAAAGCATGTAGGACAGGGAACACCAACTCTTGTTGATTGATTCGTTTGAAATGACAGGCTTTACTCCCATTTTGATAATTTAATTTAAATATAAAACCAATAATCATAACTCATACAAGTAAACAAATTGGAAATCAGCATAAGAAATGGATCGGCTAGCCACTTGCCTTGTGCGGAGTAGAAGGTTCTGTAAATCCAGCTTCAGGAAGGGAAAAATGTCCTCTCATTCTCATCACTCTTTCTTCTATTGTCTTTAACTTGCATACAGCCTCAATTTTCCCTTCTTCTGCTACTCTGACTTTCTTCCTTGCATCCTCCAACTCAAGCCTTCCATTGCTTATCATTCTTTCCATCTCCTCCACCATAGCCAATAAGCGCACGCATGTTCCATTCTTCATATCATCTTTGAGGCTTTTCACATACTCCACCATTGGATTACACATCTTTTCTGCCAATTCCTGCATTAAGTTATTGACACCACCCTCAACTGAGCCAAGAATTGCATCGACATTGTTGAACATAACTTGAAGGAGATTCAATGTTGTGAGAAAATTGTCACGGTTTTGACTATGAACGTCAGATATATAATGAATAGCTTTCTGGAAGAGATTGTGAAGGGATGCACGGTGGTTGTCAAGGGTCTCGAAAATTTCATCTTGGTGACAGTTCACTTGGATTTCAACTTGTCTAAGGAGTTGCACTAGGTGTAACAAGTTTGTTTGTTGCTTCTCCATCAGTTCTTTGCCTGCTATGGTAGCTTTAGTAACATAACTTTCTCCCTGCAAAAATTTAGTGGATGAAACATATGAGGTGCAAGGTCAAAGAATCATTTTCTATGCTTGTCAGGTGGCCATTCTCTGACCAAGCTTAGCAATTATGAGCCTCCAGCTTTCAACAGAATTGTAGAGGCTCCAATTGCAATCTTCTAGGACCCAAAAGAAAACTTTCAGGATCAGATAACAATAGGAAATGGGCCAATATTTCCCAGCCCCAAAACAGTCAAATACTTCTTGCAGTGCATACCAAGTAAGCTAATGAGCTAAGAATCAAAGCCAGTTGGAATTTCTAATATTAGTCATAAGCAAAGATCTTAAAAGTAAAAGAAGTATGCTGCAGTGATAATATAATCATTTAACAAATAAAAAGATTACATGATTATTGAAAACATTAAGTTGAGTACTCTCAGAAAAGAAAAAATAAAACTAAATTGAGCAAAAATCAATTCCAATTTGTGGCATATGTCATAGCTCTCCTAAACTCAAAAACTAATTCTAGTATTTACCAACTGAATATCTGCATTAAAATCTTTCTTCTCCTTTATTGATTACAGGAATTTAAAATATTTACCTCCAATATTTCAATCTGATTCTCTCGCTCTCTTCTTGTAGTATCATCTAGCAATTGCGGTTCCAGTCCATTTCTCCGGCATCCCTGTCAAAAATTAAATACGATATTAAAGCCATTCTCAAATTAACTTATTTTTTTCACTAAACAGAAACTATTTACTTGAGAGAAATCATTATCAATGATAATGGTGGTTAAACGTCCTTCTTCAGCCATTTCCTTGGTTTTTAAACCAACCAGCTTTATCAACGGAACCGCCAAAGAAGCAAACACTTCTTCCGCCTGAAAAATTAAAATACCAGAGAATTTCGTGAAGAATTGAACACAAAAAACCACAAGCGAAATGAGATTAATAGGAAAATCCAACAGAGAGACGGCGAAAGCACTTCAAGTAAACCGGCGTTGATCTGAGTTTTGAGCTCGTGATAAGCGGTCTTCATTTGCTCGTGGCGAGATGTCAGCCTTTCCAGCTTGAAGAAAAGCTGTATCCTCGACGGAGACGAAGTGATTTGAGATCTCTGGTGTCGATTCACCATTTTTGGCGGGAATGAGCTCATCTATGCCCACTGCGGAATGTTTATTGAAGTCAATTTTCAAAATCGGGGGAAAAACTCATTTTGAATTCGATTCATTGGAACGGAAAGTAAAAACACAAAGGCCTACTTGTTAAATGGGCTTTTATTTTATTGGACCCAAATAAATGAGATTGACGTTCGCAAAATAACAATGAAAATAAAAAAAGCAGCATTCTGTCGTCGAACGCATTGTGTGAATTCAAAAAATACTGCAGTTTAAACGTTATGCCGTATAGTGATGGACACGTGTAGAAAAGATACGCATTCCTTTCCCTCGAATAAAAAACTTTTCCGACCACAAAAGTGCTTTTCCGTCTCCAATCCAATTGGTCCAGATACTGCCTTGCCCCAGCAGGGAAAATATCTATAGGTCAACGTCAACCTCGCAGGACCACTATTGTAATCCGATTCCGATGTGTTATTCTCTTATATTCTTGTTATTCACTTCAAACAATCATCAGAATTCAAAGAAACATCATTTCCATATCTCCTAATGGATAGTACAAACGAAGACGCTCTCCGCAGAGAGCTGGCGGAGAAACAAACGGCGATAGCGGCGCAAGCTGACGTCGTCAAGGAGCTAAAAGCGCAGGGAGCAGCGAAGGAGATTATCGATGCCACTATCGAAGCTTTAAAAGCATTGAAAGCTGAGAAGGCCTCAGTCGAGCGGCGGCTCCAAATTGTTATTCTAAGCAACACCGCTTACCAAAATGGCAACGCCTTCATTAACAAAGATGCTTTCCGTCAGGCTGTCGTTAATACTCTGGAACGGCGTCTCTTTTACATCCCTTCTTTTAATATATATGGCGGCGTTGCTGGGCTTTATGATTACGGTCCGCCTGGCTGTGGCGTTAAGTCTAACGTCCTTGCATTCTGGCGTCAGGTCAGCTTCTTTACTCCAATTGTGGAACGGTCTGATTTGACCTCAGGGAGTTTTGTGGTTAAGTTATTAAAGAATAGAAACAGCAACCGTTTCAATTCACAATGAATTTGGTTTAGAATTGTTTTAGTGTGAACTGTAAATTGTCGTCTCAATTTTGTAATTTTGTGCCGCTAATCTATGGTGGTATAATTTCAGCATTTTGTGCTGGAGGAAAACATGTTAGAGGTGGATTGCCCATGTGTGACGCCGGAAATTGTATTGAAAGCATCAGGTCATGTGGACAAATTTACTGACCTCATGGTCAAGGATGAAAAGACGGGGAATTGCTACCGTGCTGATCATTTGCTGAAGGATTTCTGCAAAGATAAGCTGGAGAAGGACCTTAGTATCAGTGCTGAGAAGGCAGCAGAATTGAATCATGTTCTTGCTATACTAGATGATCTTTCAGCTGAAGAATTAGGTAATAAAATTAAAGAGTATGGCATTACTGCTCCAGATACCAAGAACCAACTCTCTGAACCATATCCATTCAACTTGATGTTCCAAACCTCGATTGGGCCATCTGGTCTGAGCCCAGGGTAAGTATTGGTCTTTATAGATGCAAACATTAATTGTGACCTGCAAGGATTTTACATTCAGTGGTTTATGTTACTCATTTTAAATTCAGAATTATTTTTGCCCATTATTTCCACCAATGGTATGATCTGTACTAACGTGCAGATATATGCGCCCTGAGACAGCACAGGGCATTTTTGTGAACTTTAAGGACTTGTACTATTATAATGGGAGCAAGCTTCCTTTTGCTGCAGCTCAAATTGGTCAGGCTTTTAGAAATGAGGTACAAAACCAGAAACACTTTCATTTAGCATTCCATTTCAATGTGGGTCTATATATGTCCATTTATTTCATGGTCTCAGCTTATCTTACTTTGATCATTGAAAGTGATCTTGTTAATCAATTTTATGCCCCGCGCTTGTGGTGTGAAGGCTTTGCTACTTGACCTCTTCAACAAAAAGATTTTCACATGGCAGTGCTAGGATCAATGGAAGTTTTGTTGGTAGAATGTAGAAAGATGGTTATAAGAGTTCTAGCAGTATTAGTAGTTGTATCCGGTTCTTCATTTTTAGCCTGCACTTTTTTCGTTCAATCTCATTATAGTGTGCTGGAATTAGGACAGTTATATTTGTGTTATAACATTTTCACCATCACCGGCAGATATCTCCACGACAAGGCCTCCTTAGAGTGCGAGAATTTACACTTGCCGAGATTGAGCACTTTGTGGATCCTGATGACAAGTCACACCCAAAATTTCCTGAAGTTGAAAATTTGGAGTTTCTAATGTTCCCAAGGGAAGCACAAGTGTCTGGTCAATCAGCAAGAAGAATGCGCATTGGTGAAGCTGTTTCAAGGGTTAGTTTGATTTATTTCCACTTTAATTAGAGTAACACTCCCTTCATTTTTCAATTATTGCTCTGATAAGATTTTGTGGTACATCATTGACCAGGGCATCGTCAATAATGAGACATTGGGCTATTTCGTTGGGAGAGTATATCTTTTCTTAATATGTCTTGGTATTGGCAAGGAACGCTTGCGTTTCAGACAACACCTTGCAAATGAGATGGCCCACTACGCGACTGACTGTTGGGATGCTGAGATTGAATGCTCCTATGGGTGGATTGAATGTGTTGGTATTGCAGATAGATCTGCATATGATTTGCGCGCTCACACAGTGAGTGTTCAATATTTTAGAACTAGCGAGTGTTTAAAGCTTATCTTAACTTTGTCTCTACACACCAGTATTCTGTTTTTTATTTTATTTTGTCTGTTTTCTGTATGCTCATAGTGGATTTGGGATAGCAAACCCTAAATTACAGATAAATTGTTATTTTTGAATTTTATTTTTTTACTCCTGACCAGGATAAGAGTGGCGTTTCCTTGGTGGCACAGGAAAAATTTGCAGAACCCAGAGAAATAGAGGTATTTCTCACTCGATACTATCATGTTACATCCTAATAGAGTAATAATTTTATTATTTTGGACAGAATTCAATGTTTTATGCAAATGACAGGAACTTGTAATCTCTCCAGTGAAAAAGGAGGTGGGTCTTGCTTTTAAGGGTGATCAAAGGATGGTCATTGAAGCATTAGAGGTAAACAGCAAACAAGAGTAGAATCTATAATTTACAATTGTATTATTTGTTGCATATGTAGCCACTTGCCTTGGAATGACCATTTAGTGAACGGGTAAACATCTTTTAAAAAACAAGGAATCTAGTGATGCGGAACTCTAAGAATAGTGTTTTGACATCCCAAATCAGATTTGATATATAAATCTAAATCCCAAATTAGGAATTTCCTGTTAGATGGAATTGCAGATCTTGACCCACAATTCAACTAAAAGTATGAACCAAAGATATCAAGGTGAAAGATGAACGCCACAAGGATTAATTATCATTCGAAAACAAGTTCAATGAAGAACCACAGACAATTCGCCCCTCTTGAAATAAAACGCATAAATTGAATTATCCCACAATGCTTGATAGCTAAGTATTTATATGTAGGAAATCCTAAAACTAATTAAAATATAAAGCCCAATTGAAGTAGGCTCAATTATATTAATTTAAACATAAGCTAACTATAAGGCCTAAGGTCCATATATTTGGATCATGCGAACTAGCCTAGGATCTTCTTGCAAGTCGATCTCTTTATTTGGCACTTTATCATTAGGCTCAAATATCTTACCAATCCTTCAAATGTTTCCTTAACTTTCTAAGTCCTTGCCCTTGTAATAGGTCCATTTGAGAATAGAATATCCTCTTGTGCAATTAGGGTATGTGTGTTTGTATCATCTGGCTTGAGGTTATAATAGATCAAGTTATTTTTGTTTATAGAATATCCATCACTGAACTATGATCCTTCGCTGACTTTCTTTAGGCTATGGATGAAAGAGAAGCTATGAAAATGAAAGCTGCTTTGGAGTCCCATGGAGAGGTACGGTTCCGAATTTGCACTCTTGATAAGGATGTGACAATAAAGAAGAATATGGTGTCTATTTCCAAGGAAAGAAAGAAAGAACATCAGAGGGTTTTCACACCATCAGTGATTGAACCGTCTTTTGGTATTGGGCGGATTATTTACTGTCTTTACGAGCATTGTTTTTACACAAGGCCCAGTAAAGCTGGGGATGAACAGTTGAATGTTTTCCGTTTCCCTTCCCTTGTGGCACCTATCAAATGCACTGTGTTCCCACTGGTCCAGAACCCAGAATATGAGCAAGTTGCCAAACACATCGCCAAGCTATTGACTACTGCTGGAATTTCATATAAAATTGACATGACAGGTAAGTGCCCACGAGAACTATGACAAACACAGGAAGTTTCATTTTTCTAATGGATGAAAAGATAACCAACTACTAAATATCTTTGAAGAGAGGGCTAAATTGAACACCATATCTATGTTTTTGCTATCTGATAATTGACATGGTTGTAGAATTAGTCTGTCGTGCAATGTGGAGATAAGGTATGCCATAACTCAATAAGACTTATCTGAAGCAAGTTTTTCTTATTTGTCATGTCCCGTCCTCTTCAGGTACATCAATAGGGAAACGATATGCCAGGACAGATGAACTTGGAGTACCGTTTGCAATTACAGTGGATTCAACTTCATCGGTCACAATAAGGGAGAGGGACAGCAAAGTTCAGATCCGTGTTACTGTGGAGGAAGTAGCAAGTGTAATTAAAGAAGTTACCGATGGTCAAAGCACATGGACTGACGTACTGTATAAATACTATACTCCAGCGCCAGCACTTGTGTCTGAAGAGGATGAATGAAATATTGAGATTTGAAAGTTCTATACTTGAATTTTGTATCCGATTCTGTGTAAAATGACACTTTCGCGATCCAATTTTGCTATACATGCACATGACAGCACGTGTTGTTGGATTAGTCCTTTTAGCAGAAAGTATAGGCTTTCGCAGTTATGCCTTCTGTTTTGTCGTTATCAGTCAATAGTAATGCTGGGTCCTAGACTTTGACGTTAGTTCCCCTCATTTAAATGTACTAATTTAGTCAATAATTCATTAAAAAAGGAAAAAAAATGTAGTAAAATTATGAATATTCTAAAATCAATGATAATATTAATTGATTATAAGCGAAATAGTACTTACCCTTTTAAGTAGCACATTTTAAACTATGGATGTCAACTGCAACCATCCATCACAAGCCATTCATCCTAACCTACAACAATAAACAAACTGTTCTATACCTAACATATAAAGCCTTAGAAAGGCAAGTGATCGCCCCCACCAGAGACAGAGACAGAGCTAGAAGCAGTAGCACTATTGCGCTCTGCATGACAAAGTTGACGAAGCTTTGTAGGAACATACCAAATGGCTAAACGAGGATGTGCATTGAAAATGGCATCTATATCCCATCCTTGGCGTGCTGCGATGGCCACAAGTGGCTTGTAACATGCCTGTCTCCATGCTCCAACATTTTCTCCTCTCTCCTTGAAAACTCTCCTCAGTGCATTTGAGGCTTCCTCATCAAGACAGTGAAGGGCATAGCAATGCACATAGTGTCTCATTTTAGGCTTGTTGATGTAGCTCGCTCCTGCCTTCTTTGCGTACCTGAACACCTGATTCGTCACCTACATTAAAAAAAAAAATTATAGAACCAAAGACAAGTGTTAATGTAACAGTAAAGAGGAGATGACGTTTTCTGGTATGTCTGAGCAGGAAAATTTTCAATTTCAAAAAATTCTCTCTGTCGTAGAAAATCAATTATCTAATAATCATTTACATTCAATGCAGGTTTTTGTATGCTCTGTTATAGAAGCATTATAAAACCCAGCGGACAATGGATTCGGGCCCAATTCCACATCGCTGCAACAAAAGCGCTGTTAAAGCCTGAACGTGCCACGTCGTTGCACGGGCCGTAGAAAATCAAATGTTAATTGAAGAATTACAAGTAACCAATTTTCTGCAATTTAGGCCTGAAATAAATGACCGGCCCACCAGATCGTACATGACTTGTCACCTTTGCTTGGAACAGCTGTCCAAGTCTGTACCCTGGTTGTGGATCCATGAAAAGACTCGTCTTAAGGCCCATATGTGGGGCCCGGAAAAAGCAGAAATTTTAACGTCCCAGATGCGTTTTGTGTACCTTGGTGGGGCATTTTTCTCCGCGCTCTTTGGCAATGTTCTGGACTTGTATCAGGAAATCGCGACACTGTTCATAGAGATGGAAGAGGTAATCAAGACCGTTCTTTTTGCCACGTGCCACTTCCCCAGGCTCCGTCACGATAAATGGGTGCTCCCGCTGTCTCTCATACCCACCATTTTCGTCGTTCTCGTTTTCTTCATCTTGATCAATATCGACCGCCTTCCTCTGCCCTTTCCTCCGCCGCTGTTTCTGCTGTTGCTGTTTCTTTCTTTCTCCGCCTGCTACCACCTCCCATGTTCCCCCTCCGCCACTTCCCGCCGCTTCTTTCTCTTGCTGCACTGGTTCCTCTGATAACCCTGCCAGCCAAAGTAACACCACACCCACCCAAAACAAAAACAACAAGAAAATAAAAGAAAACAGAAATTAAGAAGATTAAACATACTTTTGTCGCTAAGAAAATATTTATACGTGATATATACGGTATTTATCCAAATGTAACAGTTCCGAGCTATTTTTCTAAGTATGAGAACATCGATAGCAAGACTAAGATGCAGCGCGTTGAAACTATGCAATCCAAAATAATATCAAAATATGAGATTGCACTATAATTCATTTCATAACGTAGTGTAGGTGTAACCTGAAAATTAAGCAAATAAGGAATTACTTCTAAGACTTGAATGATGCTACAAGCAACCAAATCAAGAAAGTAAAACTTTATAGCTGAAACCCTAAAGCATTTTAATTTGCATTCTTTAAAGAAAAAAAAAACTTAGATTGGTAAATGGTAACTAACCTTCTTGAGAGAGAGCATCAAGAGCAATAGTGGTATCTGCTGATAATAAATGCCTTCGCCGAGAATCTTCCTCCTCAAGCCGCCTCCTTTCAGCTCTAACCGCTGCCTTGATACCATATCTTTCTCCAACAAGAAGATCCCACCGGAAAATCTGACACAAGCTGTTCATCATCTCATCAAGCTCCTCATCTTTCATATTCAAGAGAGTGTTGACAGTGAAACCAAGCTCTGCTATCTTCGCTGCTGTGTAGTATCTTATCCCATACGCTTGAAACAACTCCTCCAGTCCACACAGCTCCCTTGGCTTCACTGCATACCCCGCCGCCGGCTGTGGCAGTTGAGCCACCGCTTCTAGCTGACGGTTTGGTGGTGGCACCAGTGCTCGGGGGTCCCACTTGAACCAACTCGCCGTGAATGCCTCTGGATCCATGTAAGTCTCTCTCTCTAAGTAAGTTGAACTGAAGATTTTGCTGCTATGAGGGTAGCCGAAGTGTGAACTGAGGATTGATAACGATATAAAGACAGGTGTTTGTTTTTGCGCCTTTATTTCCTAAACTACCCTTGTATGTTTTTTTTTTTTTTTGTTTTTTTTTTTTTTTGTTTTTTTGCGCCTTTAATTTTCCTAAAAACTAACCCTTGTAATGTTTTTTTTTTTTTTTTTGGGTTTTTTTTTTTTTTTTTGGTTTGTTTGGTTCTTGAAACTACAGAGTTGGAAGGCCTTGATGATGTTTTTTCGGTTTGTTTTTTTTTTTTTTTGGTTTTTTTTTTTTTTGGTTTGTTTGGTCTTGAAACTAACAGAGTTGGAGGCTTGATGATGTTTCGTTTGGACTTGACAGTTGAGATCGAACCAGTCAGATTGTATGTCATTCGGTTCCCTTGCAGTTAGTTACATTCTTTGCAAGGAAGTTCCAGTCTCCAGTCAGTTTTTTAACACCCAAGCTTCCTAATTGCTTTTTCATTTTACGTCCTCAGCTTTTGTACTTTAGTCAATTGAGTCCTTTTATTTTAATTCGATCCAATTACACCTCTCAAAATCAGACAACAAGACTTGATGAAACAATTACAGATTTTGGAAATAAAAAAAAAAAAAAAACAGAGTCCCTCTTGTACAAATATTTCTAAGTTTGATTAATATCAGAGAGGGCGATGACGTGTCTTCCTAGAGATTTAATTGACTAAGAGTATAGTTAACCTAAAATAAAATAAAAATATTTAAATGAAATTTCTGAAGGAAACTTTCTTTTTTCTTTTCCTTTTTTTATAATACACACTTGAAACATTTTAATTATTCTTTTATGGATTAACTAGACTCGAACAAGATCTAATTATTGTAGTTAAATGAACTAAGAATTCCTATGATAATACTAAAAAAATTAAACAAACGTAATCTTTTATGCATGTTTAAAACAAAGTTGATAACAAATAAAAAAAATTATCTTTATTTTTGTAAATAAAAAAAATCTTTTAGTTAAATTAGTTTGATCATGCATGTAAATTATATTTTGTTGCCATAGAAATTGAAATAAAATATAATCTTTAACAAATATTTTAAGCTTTATTTAGCTCAAAATTTTAATTTTTCTGAATTTTTTTTATCTAAATGATTTGAATTTATTTCAAAATGACATGGATTTTTAATATTATTATTTAATTTAGAGTAAAGTTTTTGTGATATTATGAAAATTTTGGTTGGACTGGCCCGTTTGATTGATTCTAGTTGTTCAGCGTATAAAACAGCTTTTTACTTTTTCGCCGTTGGATTGTTGACTGGACAGCTCAACAGTGAGATCTTAGGTTGCGGTTTACTGTAAGCATCATGCATCTCAGTGTCCCAGATAATGTCTCCTTGACTTTCTCGTTACGATATGGAGGTTTTCGATTTCGCTGGAGTTGCGTGGTCTGTCTTCGACGTCCTCGTTAGCCTTGTCAATCATTCCAAAGTGAACGAACGAAATTACCCTCTTCTTCAGACGACGACAATTTTTACCTCATCTCCCGCTCTTTTCTTTAGGACTGCAAGCAAGCTTATAAGATCTTATTTCAAAATTATATTGTAATTATCTATTTTTTTCTATTAATTATTATACTCAAAATAATTGATAATTTTAGTACTCAGAAAATCAAACTAGATTCCTAAAAGAAACACACATCTAGAGAAATAATTAATTGGTTTTGTAATTAAATAATAATTTTGTTTTGGATTTTTGGGCCTCTGGGGCCAAATTAAGAATTTTTGGGCCTTAGGGGCCAAATTGTGAATTTTTGGGCCTCTGTGGCCAGATTGGAAATTTTTGAGCCTCTGGGGCCAAATTAAGAATTTTTGGGCCTTAGGGGCCAAATTATGAATTTTTGGGCCTTTATGGCCAAAATGTAATTTTCCAGGTCTCAGGGACCAAAATGTAATTTTTCAAATCTCAGGGACCAAAATATGATTTTCCCGCTTTGAAATGGAATGTTTTTTTTGTGAAGTATGGGATGAATGCGTGAATGCGCACAACATCACGTCATAATCTGTTCATGATATTGAGAGTAAAATGAGCAAAAAAAGTAATTTTAATAGAAGTGAAATATGAATTTAATCATTATTTTTTGTTTATAAAAGTATAACAAATAAGGTCAAACTGTAATTTTAATTATTCTCTTTCAAATTTTTTTTTTAAATTTTTGTAAACCACCAATATCTAGATCCTATCATCATTAATAATATTTTAATATGTATCCGGATCCTATTATCAGGAATATTTTAATCTGGCTCAAAATTTAGTCACAATTAATGTTTTTCACTCCTCTCTTAGATATATTTAATAGGATCGATCGAACCTGATAGTTCTTCATATATGCTTAAACTGCGTTATCAACTGAATCACAAGCTATAGATTTAAATTTTCTTGTAAATTGGAGAGAAAATAAAATGTAGACTCCAAAATTTATTCTCCCTTCCTATTTTCTCCATTCTCAAACAAAGTTGTTTTCCTTTTCAATTTTCGTTTCTTCATTTTTACCATCAATCCAAACATAGTGATATCACAACCATGTTTGAATACAAAAGTACAAAATGGGCCTCTGAAAAGCCACTGTGACTGAAACTCTGTGCTAAATCTGCACAATCCATTTACTGGGCAAAGTTTGCCAATTATGGGGCTAAGAAGGTAATTGAACTATATATATATATATATATATATTATGGGGCTAAGAAGGTAATTGAAACTAATATATAATATATATATAATATTAATTTTTGTTTTTGTTGTCAATATGATTGAACTATATATATATATATATATAAATATTATTTTTGTTTTTTGTTGGTCAATAAAATTAAAGACATTTAAAAGTAAAATACTATTCCTTGGCTATGGAAAAATTAAAATGCAGACAAAGTACAGAAACCGTCAGGTGTTTCAGCTCAAGTCAGCTGCCGAAGCTCTTCCCGTCCCTGAAAAAGGCTGTTTTTGTACTTTCAATGAAAAAATCCAACAAAGCCAGTAATTCTTTGATTGATTTTCGTGCTGTAATCTACTACTCCCGAATCTACGTGAATCTTTGTATTAAATTCACATGTGTGGTTCATGATCTGGACTGTGCAATTATTTTGCCGCGTGTCAAAGTTTCAGTGGCCGTATCAGTGCACGGCTGCACGCTTAAGAACAAAAAAAAAACAAAAATATATCTTTTTCTATTTTTCAGAATAACAAAATCATTAGAAAAAGAAAAAAGAATAACAAAAAAAAATACAGTCAACCGCACAGTACTTCAGAACTGCCAATAGAATTACGACACGTCATGTCGCCTGTGATAGATGCTTACAACGTGACAGTTGCTTACGATGTGCCAGTTGCTCAGGCTAAAACACTAAATAGTACTCTCCCTTTTACCATCCCCTCTCTCTTCATTTTACAATATATATATAGGAAAGTATATCTTTTATGCAATTATAAGTTCACCCATCATGCTATATAAAATATATACATCTTCAACAATTTATAAGAAAAGAAGAGATGAAATATTGGAGATTTTATCCCCAGAAAAAATGACACACCCTGTAATGTTATAATTCTTAATTTATTTTTATAATTCTCATTTTTCTTTCCAATCCATTTATTTTCTTAAAAGAGCAATTTCCAATTTGACTCCTCTAAATTTTTTTTTCTCCTAATTTATTTTCAAATATAATATTATGATTTATATTAATAAAGGGTATGTTCTATCTTTATCATAGATATAACTTTTCTTAAAAAAAATTATGATATTCATATTTTAAATGAATCAATAAATAAATAAATGAGGAACAAAAATAAACAATGAAAAGACTAGTGGGCTACTAATAGCAAATTCTAAAACATAAACTTGAAAACTTTTTGAGTTTATGGGCTGCAACAAGTCAAGGGCCTAAAATGGCCCATTACTGGAAAGATCTATTCTTGTAGTCTTCCATTTCCTTCCCTCCCAAAGGACGGGCATGCAGAGGTACGGAGCAAGAAGACTCGCTGCTCAGACTCCTATGGCCATCAACAAATGGACCGGTTTCAACGATTCACTGTCATTCCCTCCTCACTCTCACCACGAAAACGGAGGTGCCCACTCGCGCTCTCTCTCTCTCTGTTTTTCGCAATCTACAACTGGGTTTATATGTATATAGTTTTTTTTTTTTATTCTTGCCTTTTCTAGAGTCAACTTTTGGTGATGGTTATGGTAATGGTATGGTTCTTAAAAATTCTTCCAGATCATCAATTGTTTTGCGATCTTCTTGAAGCATGCAAACTATCTCAAGATATAAGAACTGCAACTGAAACCCATACAAGAATCATTAGATTTGGTTATGGAACTAATTCATCTATTGCAGCTTCTCTGATTTCAACCTATGTAAATTGTAATCAACTTAATCTTGCTTATCAAGTTATCCGTCAAGTTTTCTCTTGGACCGTTAGTTTGGCGGGTTTGAATTTGGTTATTGATAGTTTCATGAGAATTGGAGAATATGAGATTGCGAAGAAGGTGTTTTGTAAAATGCCTGACCGAGATGTGGTTACATGGAATTCAATGATTGGAGGTTACGTTAGAAATGGAAAATTTGAGGAGGCACTGAGATCTTTTCAAGCCATGCTTAGCTCAAATGTTGAGCCAGATAAATTTACATTTGCATCCGTTATTACTGCATGTGCAAGGCTTGGAGCTCTTAACCATGCTCAATGGTTGCATGATTTGATGGTTCAGAAAAGAATAGAAGTTAACTTCATTTTGAGTTCTGCGTTGATAGATATGTATTCGAAGTGCGGTAGAATTGAAACTGCAAAGGAAGTTTTTGAAAGTGTCGAACGAAATGATGTTTCTGTTTGGAATTCATTGATCAACGGGTTAGCAGTTCATGGTCTTGCTTTAGATGCAATGATGGTATTCTCGAAGATGGAAGCAGAAAATGTTTTACCTGATTCTTTAACTTTTCTTGGGATTTTAAAAGCATGTAGCCATTGTGGTTTGGTTAAAGAGGGTCGCAAGTATTTTGATTTAATGGAAAATTATTATTCAATTAAGCCACAGCTTGAGCACTATGGAGCAATGGTTGATCTCTTGGGTCGAGCTGGGTTGCTAGATGAGGCTTATGCCATGATTACAGCAATGCCAATGGAGCCAGATGTTATTGTATGGAGAATACTTCTTAGTGCTTGTAGAACACACAGAAATACAGAGTTGGGGGAAGTTGCTGTTGCAAATATATCAGGCCCTAAGAGCGGAGACTATGTTTTATTGTCAAATATCTACTGTTCCCAGAATAGATGGGATAATGCTCAAGAAGTGAGAGAAATGATGAAAGAGGAGGGAGTTCGTAAGCGTCGGGGAAAGAGTTGGTTTGAATGGGAAGATGTGGTTCACCGATTTAGGGCAGGTGATAAATCTCATCCTGAAACAGAAGCATTATACAAGATATTGGAAGGTTTGATCCAAAGAACAAAGTTGGAGGGATTTGTGCCCTCAACAGAGTTAGTTATGATGGATGTTTCTGAGGAGGAAAAGGAGGAAAACTTGTATCATCACAGTGAAAAGCTGGCATTGGCCTATGGAATCTTGAAAACTAGCCCTGGAACAGAAATCAGGATTTATAAAAATCTTCGAATCTGCTATGACTGTCACAATTGGATAAAAATGGTTTCCGGGCTGTTAAGCAGAGTGATTATCATAAGGGATCGGATACGTTTTCACCGATTTGAAGGGGGCTCATGTTCTTGTGGAGACTATTGGTAGTGTGTTTTTGATAACCAGAGACAGCTTTAAGTCTTAACCAATGCTTGCACCAAAGTCTGAAATGGAAAGAAAGATTATTTTATTTCATTGATCACTTTGTCACTTGATCTGGCTTTTACAGTTTTACATAAGTGGTAGGAAGAGTTCAGAGATTGATTGAAGAGATCAATCCATGCTTCCTTTGTAGTCTATTTATACGCGCTCACAATGCATCCATGTGCTGTTTATTTATTTATTTTTTCTTGTTCAGCGTAGTATCGGACTCGACAGGTTGACCATCAAATCTATTGTTATATTTGATCAGATTCAGGATACATTTTGCTCATTGCATAGGCAAATCTTTCGAATATGGATTAATAGTTTCTTGATACACTTTATATACTACAGGATGCGGGTGGTTGATTGATTAGTTATCTTGGATAGGGACCAGTGACATTTTCCCTCCGTAGATCTCCGGAATTTGGCTCTCATCGATGTCTTCAAGTAGAGTGGACTTCAGCTTCTTGTTCTCCACAAATACTATCTGAGAGGACATCAAGGAACAGCCTCTTATTGTTAACAATCAGAAGACAGACACCTAAAATATTTCCTTTTTTTTTTTTTTTTGCCCCCTACCACATGGGAAATGGAAAATGTTTTTTTTTTTTTTTTTTTTTTTTTTAAAAAAAAAAAAAAAAAAAGAGAAATGTATTTTTTTTTTTTTTTTTTTTTTTCTAAAAAAAAAAAGAAAACTGTAATTGTTTTTTTTAAATTTCAGTTTTCATTTCAAAGAAACCCATTGTAATTTATCAAGTAAACAATCTTATGTCGCAATTCTTCTCCACAACAAAAAAAAAAAAAAAAGGAAAAAAAAAAAAAAAAAAAGGAGAGAGAGAACTCACCTTTTTCTTGGTGGTGTCGTCTATAAAGGGGTAAATGATTTTCCAAACTGCCATAAAAATGTGTGGTACATGAACCAGAAACAACTTTCCTAGCCTTTCTGGGTAGTAGTCCTGCAATAACCATTGAAAATAGTAAGTTCTTGTTTTTCTTTGCTTATAAGTTTCAAGTAAAGAAACCATAGTTACCGCCAAAATGGATAACGCAGCAAGATATCCACGAATATCGGTGTTCGCATATCCCCAACCTTCAAGATCTCCGATCCCAACAAATTTCTCTTCTCCTTCCGGCATCCTGATGCATCAAATTAATCAAGTCGTCGCATCAAATATATATATACCTCCAAAGAATATATACTAATCAAGGAATAATTAATTACCTTGAGCATACTTTATCCAGGCTGAACACTACATAACCTGCACATATGTACATACACAAGTATAATTATTAACAATATTTATAATTACTGTTTTGTTTTTACATATAACTAAATAAAAGATAATACGCTTGAATTCGTCTAAACTCTTTTTGTTTTGAAAATGTCTGGCACCAAAAACAACTGCGATAGGACGTCCTTTCTTGTCAGATCCTTGCAGAAACATTTTGTTCTGTGCAATTTCATTAGAAACTTCTGATAAAGAAATGAACCCATTTGGAACAAATTCATTTCTCCATTTAAGGTATTTGAGAAACATTACAGAAGCTTTCTGTATATCTAAATCACGTGCTCTCAGAAATCTTCTCAGTGTCAGGTCATCAACTTCCTGCACAAACATTGTAGGAATAATAAATTTATCTTCTTGTTCCTTAAAATGACAGTGAAGTTCGGTAGGTGGAAATTAAAACTACCTTTGAAGATGGATCACGAGCTTCAACTGTGTCTCTCATGAGACAGATTCTAGAGTGCTCAGTCTTTTGATAAATATCATCACTTTCTTGTTCCATTGTTGTTGTTTCTCTAGTCTTCAGTATTGGCATCATGCTTCTCTTCTTTGAAGAACAAGAGCTAGCTTGTATGGAAAAAATGCACTGATATATATATAGAGAGATTATAACATCAAAAAAAAAATGTGGTGTATTAATTTGTTGATCTCCACGTCGCAGAGTAGAAATGAGAAATTAATCCTGTTTTGTCGTGAGATGACATGTGATGTCGTATGCAAATTAAGTTCAACAGGATCCGGTCGTTAACTAGTTATTATTACTTGTCATTTATTTATTTATTTATTTATTATTTTGATATTTACAGTATGAGGGTCTTGGTTGGGTTTGATTAGATTTTTTTTCCAAGCCATTTAAGGACCTATCCTAAGCAATTTTAAGTGTATATACCCTCATATCCACTTTGTGCATTCAGAATTATTTTTTTCAAATAAATTTTAAATTAAATAATTTTTAATAAAATCTGAATCCTGAACCATAAGAAAGAGGAGCACCCATCTTTATCAATAAAAAATCCATTAAACGTAGTGATGACCGCAGGTACGAGAGCCATAAACACAATACTCTGATATTAATAGCGAAAAGGGTGGTGGTCTAGGAAATTGACAAAATTAGGTCTTGAAAGGTAACGAGTTGTTCGGTCATTTCCAACTGATTTTAATTACAAAATTAAAAAGGAAAATGACATGACAGAAAGGAGCTGAAAACAAATGGAACCAAAATTGGGTTGGAGCAACCAAGCTCCAGTGGTGTGGGACACAGTTTTCTTGCGTCCGTGAATCCAACTTTAGATTCATCAACTACCTCTACGTAAAGATATAAATGAGCTGACTCCACCTTTGTAGCTACTCACTATTTATGTAATTTTCGGACATTTTTACTTGTGTTTCAATTAATCCAAAATAGATTATGCAATTATATATATATATTTAAACAATTATATAATTGAGAGAATAATCGGTGAAATAAAAATTTATTGAAAAAAATTGTTTAATAGATTATGAAATAATCAGTCAAAACAATTATATTTTGGTTTATAGATTATGAAAAACATTGACAGTGAAATGAAAACAATTAAAAGTAATTGATTCAAAAACTTGGACCATTTGGTTTGTCCAACAGTCCATCCACCACCACACATATGTAAGCAGCAATTGCGTGGCCTTAGGCTTCAACCAATTAATGTGAGGATGGAAATGAAACAATTATTAATAATTAATTAATGGGCTGTTTTCCAAATTGCAATAAATTAATAGCTTGCAGTTGCAGATAGTTCAACAACCCACATTTTATGTCCTCTCATTTCTGCTTCTTATTATTGTGGTTGAGAGAGTAATCAGTTTTGCGATTAAAATTTTAATGCAGATATTTAAATTATATAGTCTTTTTTTTTTTTTACATGAATAATATAATTTTTTCAATTCATTTATTATTTTTTTCTTTGAGTTTGAAAGATTTTAATTTTATGAGCTCGAAAAGAAAATATTATATTTTTTTCAATTCACCCTTTTCAAATAAATAAAAATCTTTTCCCTTGATATTTTTCTCATATATTTTCTTTTCCAAGAGGAATATTTATTTTTTGCTTTTAATTTTAAAAACTAAAATATATATATTTCTTTATACGGTGTCAAATTAATTAAATTAGTTGGAAATTTATATGTTTAGGTCAGTTGCAGCCTTTTAGTCTCTGTTTGAATTGAATGAGTGGCATTCAAAACCAGCAGGCCCCCGTTCACGTATATGTATGAACTCAACAGCTCACGGCCTCATTTATAACGTACGAGTGTTGAAATTTTTTGGAAGTATTGTATGGATAATAAATGAAGTTTGATAAATAATATTAAAATTGTTTTTAAATTATAAATTGTGAGGGTTTGTCTCAAGTTAATATAAACAGGCTTAATATTTTCTTTTCTTTTTTTTTTAAATAGGGATTAAAGTCACTTGTAATAATTAAAACCTCTGCTTCTTAATGTAATAATATCTACGTAAATTTCTGTCAACCACCACGTGCATGTTGGTTACACTTTTTACAAACATGTGAAGACGAAATTCCTGCAAGTACGTGCGAGGAGAAAATTTTTAATTTGTTATTGTGAGCTTAGGAGCTGTTTGGGCCAGGAAAGAAAGGGAAGAATTACGGAAAGTCTATATGAATCTCAAAGTGGACCCAATAGAGTGAGAGAGCAAGCCCATTCTTTTTTGACCCAAACTAAAATGCATCACACATGTTCTCATGGCTGAGAAGGTGGCAGTGTCACCCGAAACTCGCAAACTGGACCCAAAATTAGCTAACGAGAATTTGACCAAGCACCGCCTCCCTCAAACCCCCATACACACAAATCAACAACATAACAGAGACAGAGGCACAGAGGCAAACAGCGTAGCCACTTGCCGGTGAGCAAAATATCACTGCAATTAATTAAGTTAGCACAGAAGAAAGAAAAAAATGGGAAGTAAAGAGCGAGCAAAGGAAAGGAGAGAAAAAAGACTCCAAGAGATTTCCCTTCTCCGTACCATTCCCTATTCCGATCACCAAAGGTACTTTTCTCCATTTTTTTTTTTTAATTTTCTTTTTCCTTTGGGGTTTCAGATCTGAAATTGTAATTTCTGTTTGGGGAAATATTCCTAGGTGGTGGTCCGCAGAAACAATTGCGGTGGTGACTGGTGCTAACAGAGGAATTGGGTTTGAGATTGTAAGACAACTTGCAGATCATGGATTGACAGTTATATTGACATCAAGAGAAAGTAGTGCTGGCCTTGAAGCTGCCAATATCTTGCAAGAATCAGGTCTTAATGTGGTATTTCATCAACTTGATATCTTAGATTCTTCGTCTATCCAACAGTTTACAGATTGGATACGAGAAACTTATGGTGGAATAGATATTCTGGTAATTGGGTTACTTTAAGCTACAATTTTTAGATGTTTATTCTCTTTTATCTGGCTGATTTTAGTTCTATTTTCGATGTTTCGCATCATTTTATTAGCTGAGAAACTATCTTGAATTTGTTTGATGTATTTATTGTTTATGTTTTGCAGGTGAATAATGCAGGTGTTAATTACAATCTTGGGTCTGATAATTCTGTTGAAAATGCCCGTATGGTTATTAATACCAACTATTATGGGACTAAAAATGTGATTAAAGCTATGATTCCATTGATGAGACCTTCAGTTGCAGGTGCTCGTATTGTTTGTGTAAGCTCACGGCTGGGTAAAGTAGGTGGAAGACGTAATGTAAGTAATGCTTTTTCATGTCTCGTATCACCCTTATATTTAAGAAATTATCTTTTAAGGGTCCTTAATGCCACATTCTCTGATCTAGCTTTATCTATACACTATTTACAACCTGCTTGCTTTGGGGGAAAATTTTGTATGTTTGATGCATGTGCAATAGAACTTTTAATAATTTATTTGGAATGGTAAATTCAAGCACATTCTGATGATGGGTTCTTGCAATTTAGTTGAATGTGTAATTTTTTGGTGCTGAATGGAAAACAGGAAGTCCATGTTCTTTATGGCGAATCACTTACCTCTCCATTCTGTTTGTCTCTTTAAAGAAAAGAGATTATGTGCTAGTTTGCTTGATGCTTTTAGTTTTAGATACCAATTGTTTAATCGCTAACTGTAGGTCACTTACCTGACAGAGGATTGGAGATGCAACTTTGAGGGAAGAATTAACTAACCTAGAAACACTATCAGAAGAACTCATTGATAGGACTGTATCTACTTTCCTTCAGCAAACAGACGATGGAAGTTGGACATCAGGCGGATGGCCTCAGAATTTCACTGATTACTCGGTGTCAAAACTTGCAGTTAATGCTTTCATTCGGTTAATGGCAAAGGAACTCTCAGACCGGCCTGATGGTCAAAAGATCTATATCAACTGCTACTGTCCTGGCTGGGTAAAGACTGCCATGACAGGTTGGGCTGGTAATGTATCAGCTGGGGACGGGGCTGATACTGGAGTATGGCTTGCCCTGCTTCCGGACCTGTCAATATCAGGAAAATTTTTTGCTGAGAGAAGGGAAATAAACTTCTGAGGCAATTATGGTGATTGCAATTGCAGGGTTTGTTGTCCAGTTCCCATCTCCTTAACTGAGAACAGATTTGTAACATTCAAAGGGGAAAGATGAAAACCAGTTAGCTTACATTTCTTGACCCCATATTTGAGAGTCTTCCCCTTTGGCTTTTATTTTTGTTCTTAATTGTTTTTCCTACCATCAATGTTCTCATTCATGCTCTGTATACAATGCAAGTGAAGGTTATTCATTTCTTCCTTAGATTTTAAAGAAATTTTACCACATAGTATGTGAAGACTATATATATATATATATATACACACACACACTTTTTATTGCAACAAAAAAGGTAAAACCAGGAAAAGACTCTGGCCCTAGCCTCATAAGGCTTCTGGACTGGTAAAAATGGACGTGGTTGCTTGCTTGATTGTACAGCAGGTTCAGTGTAGGCTTTTATTTTTCTTTGAAAGGCAAATCATATACCTTGTTAAAGGGTTAAATAAGAATATATGCAAATTTACAATTTTTTACACTAAGAATTGTACAAATTCAATTTATTCTTTTTAATAGCTTTTCATTCTCAATGTAATTCACATCCAAAAGCACGATTATCCCAAATCACACATAAAGGGAAATAAAAGAAAAATAATAATCCAAACTTATCCCAAAACACAAAAATAATGAAGAAAACATTAACTATATATTTTGGTGTATATATATGTAGTTTGTATCAGGAAAAAAAAAAAAATAGCGAAACACCCACATGGAGTGGAATTAAATTTTATGAGTGACACCGGACTTAATTCTTTGTGGATCAATTAAGGCCACGATGCGACGACCCCAACGAGGGCCTGCTAGCGGCTGCCTTCTCCGTTCCATTAAAGCCCACGACACAGCGTCTCCACGCCATCTCTTTCTCGCTTAAGATTTTAGTTTTGTAGCTCGTTTTCTGCAGAAATCACAAGTCGGATCAAGAAAAATGGCGAGCTTAAGGAAAGCTCTGGTTAGCGCCCACCGTGTCCTCAATTACTCCGCTACCCTGAGTCGGAGCTCGATTGCCACCCTCCCTCCCATTGGCGGAAGAACCCCTTTCAGGTATCAACCTAATTAATTCCCCCTCACAATTCGATATCTTGATTTGATCGTAATGAAGAAAAAGAATTTCGGTTAACTGAATTCATTTGTGTTTGTTTCTGCCAGGTCTCAATACGGTTGGTTATCCCCTTATTCAACTGTTAATGATAGTGAGACGCGATCTTTGGATATTGACCTCTCCAGTGAAGAAAGCAAAAGGCGTTTATTTAACAGGTTTATGTCGTTTAATTTATCGTTAGTTTAATTCTCTTCTGAAGAATTTGGATATTATACGCAGAAAACCTGATAATCCTGTTTTTGTGGTCTCTGTGTTAAAAGACTGTTGTATAGGAGTAAACAGAGAGGGTTCCTGGAGCTGGATTTGGTTTTGGGGAAATGGGTAGAAGAGCATATTTCTTCCATGGACGAAAATGGAATTAAAGCACTTGTTCATCTTCTTGACTTGGTAAAGTTTCTTATTTGCTCATGTCATAAATGAATTGTCTTTGCTTATTTATTTTTGTTATTTTGCTTTACTACTTAGATTATTTATTTTATTTTTCTCCCCAAACTGCATAAAGTTATTTGTTAAACTTATTAGTGAGTGTATGTGGATTCTGAAATACAAATTGCTTTAAATTTCTTTGAAGTAGATTCTCAAGCTGAACATTGGTCTGGCCTGATATCGTTATTCTTTAAGGTGGTTTTATGCCTCGAGGATTACATGATGGGTTGTTAATTCCTTGGAGAATGTATACATGCATAACTGCTTGTGCATTTAAATAATTCTTATTATCTAATTATGTGACCGTTTTTGGTGCTTAGATTGTGCTCTATTCATGCACTTGGAGAGTTGGAGTTTAAATTATAAGTTATAACTATAGGCCTTGGGCTAAATATGGGTCATAAGAGGCTCTTTCATTCAGTCTCTACCTCAATGTTGTGCTCGTATCTATGGGAGCCAGAGTATTCTATAAATGCATGCATATTAGGAAAATCCTTGCCTATACTGTTTGGAACTTGAAAAGTAGACCATTGAGCATTTCTGTCTTATCTGCATATTTGATTCCAGTAGCATTTCAGCTTGAAATATTTACTGATAAAAGAGAGAATTTTATGCTTGCTTTGACATTTTACTTTGAAATTGCCTTTGATGAATGTGAATCACTTCAAGAATAGAATTCCACACTATCATTCCTATCTGGTAAGGTTTCCTAGACGGGTTATGAGTTATGCCTTTGATGAAGGATTTAGTACGAGACGGGATTTTACTCCATTATATTTTATCCCTGCTTTAATATGTGGATTCTGTTATGCAGGAAAATCCAGATCTTTGGAAGTGGTTAACTTGTCAGGAGCAACCTCCAGAGGCAGTGAGCACAAATCCTGTGAGTTCCATTGGTGTTCATCTTGAATCTCTCTTTGCCTTGTATCATGCTGCATCCTTACGTTTTACATTTATTGCTGTAGGTGTTTTCTGCAGTTCGTGACAAGGTCATGAACAACCTCAACCGCCATGCTGCTCCAGAGACACGTGCAATACCCGGACAACCATGGGTGAGAGGGTGGGATGATATCAAGAAAAGTCCTGGCAGTCCTGTAGCTGGGAATCAGTAGCTGCCGGAATGTTAAGCTGGAAGATTATGGGTTGATACTTATCATTTGTAACAGAAGAAGATGAAGAATAGTATATAATTTGTCACATAATATCGTCTTTTCCTTCTCATAAATACTAATATGATATGAACAAGATAAATGCTGCTGGCTGTAGTGAAGCAAGAAATTTAGCAGCCTCACCTGTGGGCTCTGCCCATTTGCTAGTCAAATATATCGTTTTGTGAAATTTATGTTATGGGTTGATACTTATCATTTGTAACAGAAGAACATGAAGAGTATATAATTTGTCACATAATATCGTCTTTTCCTTCTCATAAATACTACTGTGATATGAACAAGATAAATGCTGCTGGCTGTAGTGAAGCAAGAAATTTAGCAGCCTCACCTATGGGCTCTGCCCATTTGCTAGTCAAATCCTCTTTTGAGATATCGTTTTGTGAAATAGATGTTATATTTCTCAAATTGCATGTCTTTGTTTATGCTAGTTCTCTGATTACCCACATTGTCATATTGTGAGAGGTGGCAATCCAAAATGGTTACAAGCGAGGCACAAACGGAGAAAATAAAATATCACAGGGCAATAGTATAAATAAGTCTAAATTTTGGGTGGGTAAAAATAGAAATTCTAATACTGGAACTCCTGGAACGGAAAATAGAAAAGAATTGCGAGGATAAAGCATAGACCCAATACGAGGAGAGGATAGCATATCCATGGCCTCAGTAATTAAACCGGTTTCCTTCTCTCTCCAAGTTCTTCTCTTGCTTTCCTTTTTCATTGTCTTCTCAGTAGCATCAAAGACTGCAGACCCAACACCAGCGCCATGGCCTCTCCAATTCCACTCGATACTCTTCATGAACGACAGCACCGGCCAGCTTCAGGTAACGGACCTCTGGTACGACTGGCCTAATGGCCGGAATTTCAATATAATCCAGAATCAACTAGGAAAGCTGCTTTATGACCTGGAATGGGATAATGGCACTTCGTATTACTACACCCTGGACTCCAATCAAGAATGCAAAGTCCGACATTTCCCGGTGGGTATTCTCCGACCGAACTTTCTGGACGGTGCTACCTATTTGGGTCAGAAGCAAGTTGATGGCTTTCTCTGTAACGTATGGGAGAAGGTTGATTTCATTTGGTACTATGAGGATGTGGTAACAAAGAGACCAGTGTACTGGGTCTTCTACACAGGTATTTATTATTATTATTACTATTCTGGAAACAAATAAATAGCTAAAATTTTTCATTAATTTAAATTTTATAATTGAGTGCCTTATTGGTAGTTTGTTTTTCAGGGATGGTTATTCATGTGATGACCTTCGAAGTGGGAGCAGTGCTAGAGGATGAAAAGTGGCAAGCTCCTGTTTACTGTTTTAAGGAGAACAATCCTTATCCTGTAATTGAATCTTTATCTACTGTTGGTAGTGGTGGATCTTTCAGGGGTTTGATGAGAGGAGCGTTTGATGATTAAATGGGGCAGTAATAGAATTTGCTTGTTTGTTTTCAGATTCATATCCAATGGCATTAACAGTTGCATCTTCGTAATCTATCTGTTTCAAATGAATAATAATTTTGCGTTGGACAATTGAAGACTTGAGAATATCATATTCCCAGAAGTAGGCCAAAATTGCACATAAGCCCACATTTACGGTTCAATTCTTGGCGATTCGCCAAATAATATGGAATAAAGAGAAAAATAATGATATAATTTTAGTTTAAATTTAAATGCGAAATAATTATTTAATAAAATAAATTTATAATCTTAATTATTAAATTCAAATTTACAATCAATAGACAATTTTATTTTAAAAATTTGTTCAAATTATCATAATCCTTGAATTGAAAAGTTTTAAAAAGGTTATAGATTAAAATCGCAAATACTCAAAGTTGGTTTATAAAAAAGGTGTCCTTCTCAAGGAAAACCAAAAAATTTTGGGGGGCGTAAACGTCATTCTGCAACCTAAAATGAAAGGATGAGAGCGGCCCAGGTAATCTGCCTCGCCAAGAAAAATGAAAGCTTGAGCCTTTGAAGTGGCTGACGAAGCCCAAAAGCACTTTCACTTGCTAGTCGACAATCAATTGCAGATTAATCTGGAATTACAACTGCTTACTTTCTGGTTTCATTGATCATTCAAACCAAATCCTCTTTTATCATTACAGTGGCAATCACATAAACACACAATTAGTTTGCAGTTTCTATTTCTTCGCCTCTTTGCAGCCGATTGTTTCGTTTTACGTTTCAGTTCAATTTTGGAGCTGAAGAAGCTAGTGGTTGGTGTTTATATGTGGGTTAGGATATAAAATTACTCAAAATGGGCTCGGGCTCGGATTCGGAGTCTAATGGATGGAGCCGAGCTCGAGGATTGGTGGTAAAGACGCTGGTTTTGATTGGAGGCGCGATTCTGGTTAAACGCCTAACTAAATCAACTACTCGTTGGGACCATACTCGAATTGTAACTCAATCACTTAGCGGCGAGAAGGTACTGTTTAATTATGCTATTGTCTTTTGTTTTTGGTTCATTATCACTTGCGTTGCTTTTCTAATTGAAGTGTAAATTTAATTTGTTGGGTTAGTTCTCGAGAGAACAAGCATCCAGAGATCCTGATAATTACTTCAATATTAGGTATATACATTGTCTCTCTCTTTTTTATCCTGAATTGTAATGAAATTTGATTAAGCGATGAGCCACTATCAGATTTTGCTTTGATGGTGGATTGTGGTGAGTACTTCCAATGTTTTAAGTTTTAGGAATTTTTATGTGCAGAATGCTTACTTGTCCAGCAGCGGATATGGTGGATGGTTCCAAGGTTTTATATTTTGAACGAGTTAGTTTAACAGACTCACTGCCTTCACTGATTTTTCTTTTTTGTTCATCTATTTAGTTATTTATTTATTTAGGAGATACTCCTTTTTCATTTTTTAAATTCAGTTGATCTTTTCCGTTTGGTTAGGCGTTCTGTAGGACTCCTCAAAAGCCCTTTCGACAGGTAATCTACCCCATTTTCATACTTTCGCATAAAGTTCTGAAATTTGAAAAGTTTATGGTTTGATCATGTAAATTTATGGCCATTGAATTTACATTTTGCTTATATTTGAACTTTTGATATCTTTATATCTTGATCATTCATTTTATTAAATTATGGAATTGGATGAGCTTCCAAGCAAGGATTTTGCTTGCTCTTAGCATTTTTTAATGACACTTTTTCAATAAAAAATTCTAATATACCTATATGGTTGCAGAGGTTTTATATGGTGAAGCCTTGTCCAAAGGAGTTGAAATGTGATGTTGAGGTGAGCTTATATTGCAGTTGATTGTTCTTTAAGAGCATTTTTTACCTGTTTGCCTGCATTGGGGATTAAGTACTTGAAAAATGTCTTTCCATCACATGCTAGGACTAACCCTAAGGAATCAACAGTGCTCCTAATATCATTGTTGCAATTGAAATGTCTTTCCTGGGCTAGTTATTAGTTGCAGTGTTCTTATGAATACCTCTTGTTTCCTCCTTTGCCCATTGCTGGGTTTAAATCATTCTCCTTTTTCTATTTCATGAGAGAGCATGAGAAAGTTTCTAGAAGCACATAAAACAACATGCAAATCATTTCATTCTTTCATTAATGGACAGGTGAGCTCATATGCCATTAGAGATGCAGAGGAGTACAAAAATTTCTGTGATCGCCCGAAGGACCAGCGTCCATTGCCTGAAGAAGTTATTGGTGTAAGCTTTCTAGAGACATTAAGATTTTGACTTTAATTCATCATCATTTTGGTATTTGATTCTGTTGAATGAGTTTCAGAACATTGTTAATTGTAAATACACTTTCTATCTTTCTTAGAGGTTTTAGATTAGGTACACTATCCTTCAAGTTTGAAAATAACTCTTGAACTTGCAAGTTTCAACCTCATCACCTTGAAGTTTAATTGGGTTACAAACTATGATTGTAACTGGGACAAATACTTTGAAACTTCTAACCAGCTCATATCAGTTGAAATTTTTTCTTTCTCAATAAATCCTTCAAGTATTTAAAAAGCACAGTATTTGTCCAAAATTACGTGTGACACATACCATGCTGTTGATGTCACAAATGAACATCCTTAACTTTGGGACTATTATGGAGCACTTTTAACAAGGACTTAATTGAGAAATCATTATAAATTTTGGAGGTTTTCAAGGGTATTTATGCTGGTTGTTATCTTTGATGCTACTGATGTGGACTATCAATGCCTGAAAGCATCTGTACTTCCTCTACAATGCCTATCTATTTCCATGCCCCATATTTTTTTCCTTGGTATATTCTTATTGTATATCCAAGTGAATCTGTGAAATAATCTTTTCATTTTGGTAGGCTTGTCCTTTAGGTTAATGCTGGTTGATAGGGATATTTTAGGTTCAGTCAAAATTTCCAGCAGTTGATTGTTGATAATAGCCTGTCTAATCCTTCGTTACCAAAATGGATACTATTCAATTCTGTGGGTGAATATGATAACTTGGCCTCTGCTTATTTAGTCTCATCAGTTGTCATTTTTGTGCAGGATATTGCAGAACATTTGACAACAATATATCTTAAACGTTGTGACCGTGGAAAACGCTGTTTATACGAAGGTTCTACTCCCCCTGGTGGATTCCCAAATTCATGGGTACTTGCATTTCACCCTTCCTGTTATCAATGAATTGATAATTTTCCAACATTTGCTTGTGGTTTCTGCACCTATCCCTGGAATTATAAATTGAAGATAATTGATTTTTGGAAGAAAGGGACAAGTTTAATTGTAGTCATCACTAATATTGACAGAATGGAGCAACCCACTGCACTTCTGAACTTGCAATTTTGAAAAACAATGAAATACACACCTGGGATAGGGGCTACGACGATGATGGAAATCAGGTCTGTTTCATGGCCTTGCTTTGTCTAGCGTAAAATCTATTTGAAAATGAAACGAAAGCTCATATTTTGCATTATTTTATTAAGATTGCCCCCGTCTGTAAGTTTGAAAGAGTCTATTCTGCTGGTTGCAGGTATGGGGAGTGAAGGATGGACCTTATGAGTTCAAGCCTGCACCTGCCTCTAGTGTTAATGGCATGCTTCCTGCTTTGAATTTCCCTCCTCCACATTCAATGGAGAAAAGAATAGAGGGTTCTTTTGTCTTGCAAGAATGATCACTTGCTTGCTACATATATAGCCCATGTGTAAAGTTGCAAACTTTAATTATTTTATCAAATTACAATTCTCTAACCAATAAGAGTATGTATCCCATCAATTTTTTGTTTTGTTGGGCTTGAGAGATTGTGACATTGGTGAAATCACAGACTGCATTAGTCATAGTGTTTGATAATGGAGATTTTTGAGAGATTCCAATCGTTAATAAGTTTGGGATTCTGGAGTTGTTTGATTTTTTATTTTCCTTCCAAATTACAAGATTGAAATTACTGAATCTCGGAACAAAGGCAAAATAGAAAAGGTTTATGAATTCCCTCTTATGGAATTAATAACAAGAATTGCTCTGTTCTATGAAAAACATTAACATGATAACACCTGCCATATTTCCTACGTGGATTCTGCTACCATTCAACCTTGAAAGCTACCGTTCAGGTAGAAGTATAAACCGGCAAGGGCTACAGCTCCAACTGCAATTCCTATTGGCAATGCTCGCCTGAGATAGTTTTCACGATATAAGATTCTGAATTTCAAAAAATAGTAAGTTAAAACCACAATAAGTTAGAATAACGCATACCCAATTGCCTCATCTCTCTGTAATTGTGCTTTACGTGCCTTTCGAACATCTGTTTGATTATCATTTTTGGTCACAGTAGGAGCGTAAGGCTTAAATCTCCTTTTAGGAGCACCACAAACTGCAGAAACCAAATACCGAATGGATAAGGAAGGCAATTTCAATAACCCATACGTAAAATTAATGGTACTCACCAGGGCAGAAGTACTTGTCAGGCAGTTTCTCGAAAGGAGTCCTCTCATTGTAAATATACCTGCAATTATCAGAAATTATAACTAATTAATAATTGTACAGAATAGAATTGAATCATATATGTATATATACTATTAAGCACCCGCAATCGCGACAAATATAAGCTTGCTTGGAAGCAACGCGCATGGAGTATCTCGGAGCAGAAGATGCCAGAGGCTGCTGGAGTTGATTAGAATTAGCAAGCGACAAGAGATAAAGAGAGGGAGAAAAGAAAGAAGATTTCAGGGCAAAACGATCAGATGGGGCCCGAAGACCAGCATTACTTCCATTTGGAGCTAAAAGAGAAGGAGAAGGCTTTCGAGCTTGAAGCCTCGTAGGTGCTTGCAGGGCCATTTTTTTTCCAGTTCTCTTCTCACTGAAAGAAGGAGAAGAAGAGATGTGGTGGAGATAAGACTTGAGAAATGAATAGAGAAGTAAAAATGAAATGAGTAGACAGTAGTGTGCTTTTGGCTAATTGGACAACACGTGGAAGCGTGGCTTTCACGTAGCCCACAGAAAAGACTTAGTTTTCTTTCTAGGCCTTTCTATCATTCCATTTCTATGTACGTGTCCAAGCTTTTTTGTCGCTATTTTCTTCTATTACTTTTGCCTCCCAATATTAAAAAACAAGAAGAATTTTATGTACGTCATGCATTTTTTTTTTTTTTTGGGGAAGAAAACTGATACTTGTATCAACCTGTTCCTGACATTATAGATAAACCTTTCATCTCGGTCTTCATTTCATTCTTGAAATTTCTAAAACTGGCTAAATTTAAGCATCAAGCATCCATGATCCATCCGTATGATTATGTGGTTAATACTTCAGCATGGATCGAGAGATTCAATATTCGTCTGACAATTCTGAGACCAGAATAAGACTTGACAAGCTTTCAAAGTTTTTAAGTCCAAGATCATCATAAGCTACAATGAGGTAACTAAATGAAGTAATCAGAGAGAATTAGCCCTGACGAGAAGTTCCTTTACATAAAACAAAATATTACAACCCACAACTTCTAGTAATGCCCCGAACCCTGCCAAACAATACTTTTGCATTATCCAACGTATCGTCACAGAATCAAGATTTACACTTTGTATAAGCTCTATGGGCAGCACCAAGGGAATGACTGCTCAGAATTTCTTCAAGAAACCTGATGTTATAGCTGCTACCACGGTTTCAGGTCACCAACAGGACCTGCAGTCCAGTTCAAGATCTTCTCACCTGGCTTCAAGTAAATACTTCTGTCATGTGGCAATTTACGTGCAAGTCCATTCAAAACTTGATGAAAAGCATCTCCTGGTTGGACAGGCTGTGGGAATAGCATTGCCTGTTTCATTGAGGGGTTTGCAAGCAATCTCTGCTTCCTCAGTATTACTTCAGGTGGGATTGAGGTGAGAATGGCATCTAAGTTGGGCACATCTTTCTCATCTACAAACACCCCAATTTGTTCCCATGGGATTGCATCCGCAAAAGGCAAAACAATGTCATCTGCTATGATAACAGGAATGCAACCAAATATGACAGCTTCAACCAATCTTGGACTCCATGGAGCCCAGCCAAGTGGACACAAACAAAATACAGCCCGTTGCATGTCTTCATAGTATGTTGATGGGTGCTCTGTGGATATGTCAAAAAGTGGGTTGTCCTTAAAGTTCTCCCACACTGCTGCTCGTGCGCCTCTGCAAGATTTTTAAAACATTCATTAGAGTTATACTGAAACGTCAAATGATTTATATTGAATCTTTCTTTAAATTGGACAGCTCAAGTCATAACTTCAAAGATAAGGTTTTTTACTGAGAAATTTCATCAATATGGTGCCAAAAATGAATTTGAGCCCTTCAGTGCTAGGAGAACAAAATGAAGTAATTTAAAAACATCTAACACTTTCCAGTTAAGATGTAAACTACATGTGAAATACCTTGCATAATAGCCACCTTCTGGGTCGTTTCCCACATCATAAAACAATCCTCTGAAGTATACAAAGATGGATCTAGGAGTTTTCTCAGGAATCAGGTGGGCTTGCATTTTCTGTGGAGGTGCATATGGAGGAATTGTGATTGAACCATCTTTTAAGCAAACGTGATTCCGCTGTCCAAAAGTTTGAACCAAGGTAGCGCGTTGGAGCAAGGGAAGAATTCCTCTTTCAATGGCCTTCTCTTCCTGCAAAAGCACATAGATGAGGAACCATTAAATAAGAGTAAGTACATAAGAACGAGAACCTGGCATAATATAATAACTTGATAAGGAGCACATTAGTACTATACATTGACAAATTTATACAGAACAGAGATTTGAAACAGTGTAGGGCTATCAGAATTCATAAAATCATGTCAGATTGGTTAAGATGTATTAAACAGCCTGTAGCCAGAATCTTGAGGATACAGTTACCAGGAAAGATGAACATGAAACAAATGGATTTGCTCACTTGATAATGGAAGCATGCTCCAAAGTCATGTGGTACTACAAAAAAGTGATCAGCTCCTTCAGTCCGATTCCAATATGGCCAGTTCGAAGAAATAAGCTGGATTGCACTTCTCATCATTCTTGGTGATTTGAAAGGCAAAGGGAGGCCATTTGGTGTCAAGTCACAAGTGGTGTATACAGGAGTATAAAACCAATCAGCTTCCTCGGGATTGAGAGTTCGAACAGGACTAGATAAGAGGAACCGATGCATAAAGATCTCAGCAGCAAACATGTGGGTGAGACATCTTGAATCCTTTTGTAGAATCTTCTTATTATATTTGCTTGGAAGTTCATAAACAAAAACTTTTAGTCTTCCAACAGGATCATCTTCCAAAACATCACCAGCACTACCTACATGTTACAAAACCCAATCACGCTTAAAGATTTCATGCATAGGACTTTACAGAGAGCACATTCAATCATTATCAACATAATAAACTTAACATATCCAAAAACATGCAAGTTTCGCTAGAAAGAATAAACCTCCATTTCCCTCTTTCCTTGCTTCCAGCTTTACCAAATCATGCATCCTTTCACTAGACGCGTACAGGTCTAATCAAAGATGTTTTTATGTCCACCACATAATTTTTTGATTCATAATCTCCAACTTAATACAAAATGAAGCATCAATGTAATATGGGCTTTCCAATGCTTTGGCACTTCATCTTCCTAGTTTAAGTAGTATGAAGAGCATTAAAGATGTAGGACGAAGAGCTACCTGTAGACGAAGAAAGGAAACCTATTCTCTTTTTTGCATAAACTCCTACAAATAGGCACCCATTAGCAGCGATTAACTACTGCTAGAATGGCACCATGGCATAATTAACTTGAGTTAAAATGAAATATGTACTCACTTGACATCATCTCCTTCCACCTATTTTCTTTTAGATACCTTTGTCTTCCTTAACTATATTGACACATTAAGTTTCATCCTCAATTACTATAACGCTAGATAAGTCACATTTTGTGAGGCCACTTTCAGTTAGTGGAGATGCAAACTGTGTTACTTCAGAGCTCCAAATTATTGCTATGTCATGGCAAAGAGAGGCATAGGCAGCCCACTGCTTACATGCATTCTAATTTTGGATCAGTGTTCCAAACTCGTACAATTCTTAAAGCTGCACTTAAGGAAAACGAATACATTTTTGTTTAAGAACTCATAAATTAATAACGAGACTTCAATCAAAGTCAACTGCAGAGAATATGCTTTGACTAGCGTTATACAGAAAATAAAGTAAAGCCAGTAATCAGAGCAAATCCTTAATTGAGCTTCAATTCAAGCCGATCCTCAAGAAGTCTACCATCCAAACAATATTACCTGAACTAAGAAACCAAAACCCTAACTTCAATTATTTAACCTATATCACAGCTAAAAGCTAGAAGAATAGCATAAATTCAACCATTGAAACTGCAAAATAGAGATTCATATACATTAAACATGATATATCTAACACCAAAGATATGTAGAGTACCTGAAATCCTTTCAGTGGGTTGACTCCTTCCCAACTTCACAGCACCAATACTCGATACAGTGGCCGCACATAAAAGAATACCAACAAAAGCCCATTTCCAAATCCTCATTCTTTCAAGCAGACGAGAAGGGAAATTAAAATATCAAAAGAAATCTGACGAAGAAACGGCTGAAAGAAGAATCCGAAGAAGCAGAAACGATGGTTCTCGAGGATATTAGCTGCGAGAGAAAGAAGAAGAGGAGATTACAGTTGAAATGTCACAAAAGCAGGTAGTTACAGGGGTTTTCTTTGAACTACAAGAAATGAGTTTCTTTCAATAATAGAGAAACAGAGACAGAGGAAGAGACTGATGGAGAAGGGCAAGCAAATTTTGGTTGAAGAAGATTCACATGCCGTTCTTCAATTTTTTTTTATTTAATTAATTATTTATTTATAACGGGCATTGTATTGCTTTTTATAATCTATGCGGTGGTTTGATTTGATGGAGAGTCCACCTCATTACCAGATCCCAGCTACGTTGTTCAACCTTCAACCTGCTCTCTCTCTCTCTCTGTCTCTCTCTCTCTCTCTCTCTGTCTCTTAATATATTTAATTAAATTTGCTATTTATTTTTTATTTTTTGTATTAGGAAAAGGAAAACTTTATCAAATCCAATCCATGTAATATATAGGAAAAGTATAAAATACTGGAAATGAATTACATTACACCATTTTTTTTATTTAATTGTAAAGTTCAAAGATATATTTGTTTAAAAGAGTTTAAATATAAAAAATAAAATTAATCTAAGTAATCAATTAGTTTAGAATTTAAAGGTTAAGATTACCGGCCCAAAACTTAGACCTTACCTTATTTAATAATTATAATATGTACATAATGTATAATAATATATTTAAAACCTTCAATATCAAGACATTTTGGAAAAAAAAAAAAAAAATAATAATTTAAAAACCTTCAATTATCAAGACATTTTGGAAAAAAAAAAAAAATAACTAATTAAAATTGCGGTTCAGTTGTCCACTCAATATATATATATAATATATATAATAATATATATATAATATATATATTATAGAATAAATGAAAATAAGGAAGATTCATTTAAAGTGTATTCATATAGATATGGGGAAAAATTTAATGAAAATACATATACAGTAAAACGGTCAAATTCAGACAGCTAAAATCTATTCATATACATAGGGAAAAAAATTGGTTTTTTAATTTTTAAAATTAAAAATCAATAACACAGAGTAAGAATCCAAATAAATAAGAACCAATAATATGTGCCCTACAAATGCATTTAAAACCTCAGTAATGAAAATTTTATATATTTAATATTAACTAAAACCATAAAAAATAATTTAGCTAACCTTGTAAATATTTTATTTTACATGTAAAAATAAAATAAGTTTGTGATTTTTTTATTTTTAAAAAGTAATTTAGATAACTATTTTGAACCTTTTTGTTTATAGTTTTTTCTCTTTTTTTTCTCTTTTTTTTTTTTTTTTTTTTTTTTTTTTTTCTCTTTTTTTTTTTTTTTTTGAAAGGAGACACATATTTTAAGTTATTTGATTAATAACATGTTATGTACATCAGCATACTATATACTTTCAATAATCCATCAAACATTTTACATTATTAGATGAGAATAATTTTTAAAAAATATAGATTTATTCATGTTCATAATTTATATATATATAAAAGATGTTGTTTGTTTCCGATTAAATTTATTGTTTTTCATTTTTTCTTTTAAAAAATAAACAAACATATTTATTTAAACTTGTTTAACTTTTTTTTTCTTTGATTTTGAGAAAACTGTTTTGAAAACAAAAAATAAATTTTATAAAACCACAAATAGTGGTTTAGAGAATTGTGTTTTATATTTTTAATTCTACATTTCTCTTTTTTTCACTTTATAAGATTTATCTTCGTAAAATTATTGTTGTCGTTGTTGTTATTATTACTATTATTTTCTATATCTATGTAAATCTAATGTCATTTTATTTATCAAAAATACACAAATATATATATTTTTATCTCTATTCAAATTTTCATTTTTTTCCATCTCTTCTCTATTTAGTATTATTTTTATATTTATTGTTATTTTCTCTATGTATATAGATCTAATGTCATTTAGTATTATTAATCTATTATAATATTTGGATATTATATTTTTATTCAATATAATAATCAATAGTTACTGTAACATTAAAATTTTAAAATTAAATTATAAAATATTTTAAATTATAAAATATTTTATAAATTATAAAATATTTTTAATTATTTCATTTGAAATTTTGGATTTTGTTTAAAATTTATTATTAACTAAAATCTTTAATGATTTAATAAGAGAATTTGATAATTAGAACAATTTTTCACGCTATGAATAACAAAAAAGACAAAAATAAATTTTAGGAAAAACATATCTGTTAGAAAATAAATAATCAAAAATAAAAAATTATTTCATATTTCTAATAAATAAAAAACTCAAAATAAACATCTACAAGAAAGGCGTTAATTACAATAATTCTAGAGATTAAAAGTTATTTTTCGTTTGACGAGGGAGTATGGACAACGACCTGCCCGTCATTTTCTATGAAAACGGAATGGTGGAAAAGACGGACACGCCAATTCAGCAATTAAAAGCCCCGGGCTGGTAGTGGTGGGAACTGGAAAGTGCAAACAAAGAAAGATTTGCTTCCTTCCTTACTTGGCGATTGCATTAACTACAGCTTCTATATATTGAACTGATAAGACTCTCCTCTTCTTATTTTTTTTGGTTAGAATTGGATATTCGAAATTCAGGAGCATACAATTCTCGTTTAATTTTGGGTACTTTTTCTGTTATCGGAGTTGTTTTATTTCTCAATTTTAAGTGAGTATAAACTGTGGGTTTCATTTCATTTGCTCTGTTTTCACTTCCATGGAAACTTGAAAGAATTCTGTTCTATTGCTCATCCCTTAAGTATGATCCTTCGCGTTGTTTTCCATACTCCATATTAGTCTGTTTGCTATTTTTGTTTAATTATGCTTGGTTGTTCTGTTTTAGATGTTGGATTTTCCTTTTTTTCTTTTAGTAGAGGTTATGGATAAGATGAAGTTCAATAACTGGTAACTTACTGAAATTTTTTTACTGAACTTTTACACCGCCTTTCTTTGTTAGAAATTTTGAAGGGAAAGACTTTGTCCTTCCCAAAAGGGGGGAAGGGGGGGGGGGGGGGGGGGGGGGGGAGAAGAAAAAAAATTTCTTTCAAGTGCTGAATTGGGGGGGGGGGGGGGGGGGGAGAAGAAAAAAATTTCTTTCAAGTGCTAATTTCGAATCTGTTGACTGTGTTTATACTTTCAATTAGATAATATGCAAATGTTCCTTGGACTAACCTCAGATATTGGAATTGGCAGGCATTATGGCACACCGGTTGACCGAGAGCTTGCTTCTGTTATCAATATTGATCTTGGCATGTGACACATTATACTCACAGGCCTTACTAGAAGAGGGAAGTAAGGTAAAGTCTGCCACTTTTCGATCCCCTATGTTTGTATTGGGACCAGGATCAGTTGAGAACAGATATTATTTCAATATTAACTTCCCAAGGGGTCATATTGCTATCAAGAGTTTTGATGCTGAAGTAGTTGATGCGGCTGGAAACCCTGTCCCCCTTCACGAAACATATCTGCACCACTGGGTTGTTGCCAAATACTATAAACGTTTGGATGTGGAAAATACTGATAAGGACAAGTATATTTCAGGAAACAACAGTGGAATATGCCAGGGTCGTGTTCTTAGACAGTATTTTGGCCTTGGATCTGAAACAAGAAGAACAGATACATATGTTCCTGATCCTTATGGAATAGAAATTGGTAATCCTGCTGAAATTCCTGTAGGATATGAAGAGAGATGGTTGCTTAATGTACATGCAATTGATACAAGAGGTGTTGAAGATAGGTTGGGATGCACTGAATGTCGGTGTGATCTATATAACGTCACAGTAGATGAATACGAACGTCCTTTGAGGTCAGATTATAACGGAGGGTTACTTTGTTGCTATGACCGTACACAATGCAGAGTAACAGCAGGTTTTGAGGGTGCCAGGAGGAAACTCTACCTCCGATATAAAGTGAAGTGGGTTGATTGGGATAGTTCCATTATTCCTGTCAAAATCTTTATCTTTGATGTCACTGACAACAGGGAAAAGCTTAATGGATCAACAGGAGTCAGTCTAAGGAATGGTTGCCAGGTAGACAACTTCATAGTGTTGTTACATGAAAATTTGATCTGGTTTTTACGTTTAATATTATATATGGTATTACGTCTAACTTCATATTGAAGTGAAATTCATGATAGATGCCCAGTATGTAAATATAGATCTGTCAAATGCAGACATACTAAATTTCCAATTGCAAGTTGTTACAGTCATATGTGAAAAGGCCTAGGCTTATTAAACGATCCTTTGTTTTATACTATATTATATATATGCTCTATCCTTGGTTTTGTAGTTTATGCGCTTTCTCCACGTATCTCTGGCCTCATGTTAAAAAATATCCATGGTGTTGTGGTGCAAGGAACATCAGTAGGATTCTGTACCATATATAGACTTCCATTATACAATGATGCAGAAGCAGTTGTAATTAGAAAAGAGTGATGGATAAGTCTATCGTTTGATTAATTGAAGAGGAGGGGTATTTAGTCTATACTCTATACAACTTAAACAGTAGTGAATTTACGTCTTGAAGTTCTAAGAAACAAACAGTAAAGACGGACTTTTTTTTTTCAACAGAGTAATTTATGTTCTATTGCACAATGAATCAACGAACTTTTTTCTTTTTGTTCAGATCGAGTATGAAGTTGAGGCTTGCAGCACAACTGGTGTGACCAGTAATGGGTGCACTGACATCAAAAGGACAAGCCTAACCATGCCAACAGGTGGTTTTGTCATATATGGTGTAGCGCACCAGCACAGTGGGGGCATTGGTTCAACGCTGTATCGGAAGGTGATTATGAAACTTAAATTTCTAGTTTTTAATGCTTCCACCTTCGTGTCTACTTAATTTATGATATTACAATACTAACAAGCTGTTTATACTTGCAGCAACATCCTTTGTATGTATGAATTAGGAAATTTCAGGTGCTTGATGTATAATTTTCTTATACTCATAAGACCATGACATCTTTTCTCTATCGTTTAACGTGGACTGGAAAATAAGGGCTTTTGAGGGATTGGCCACATCCACAACATACATTGCCATGTGGAATTTTCAATTTACTTTGATATCATTTTTTCTGTGTTTCCTAGTATATATGTTCTAGATATGTTTCAATGATTGCTCTTGGATGAATCTGATCCATACAAGTTCTACAAGAAAAGTTTACTTGATATTGATATTCCCCCTTTTCTCATGTGGAACAGAATAGGTTCACTTCGTAGTGGTCTTTGATGTTACCTTGTCCATCAATCATGATTTGTGCTCCCGGCCTACAATTGATCACACATCGTAGTATTCACTTCAGAGTTTCTGATGCCATATGATAGTAACATGCTAACATGATCTGTTTGGTGAATTCAGGATGGACGTGTTATATGCACCTCAGTACCAACATATGGGAATGGAACGGAGGCAGGAAATGAGGCAGGTTATATTGTAGGAATGTCCACCTGTTATCCTAAACCAGGGTCTGTCAAGATATCAGATGGGGAGAATCTGATTCTGGAATCTAAATACAGCAGTGCTCAAAGGCACACTGGAGTTATGGGGCTTTTCTATATTTTGGTTGCAGACCGAACACCAAGGCATTCGCCTTTCTAGATTCTCTTGCAGACTGAAAACACAACTGGCAATAACTGTTGCTTCTTGGTTAAAGAAGGGGCAAGATAATGGCTACCAACCGGTTACGATGTAAAGTTGGTGTGCAGTGCAGCCTAAATCTTCATTTGGCTTACTAGCATATGAACGTAAATAATGTCATTAAACTGCTTTTGCTCTTCCCTTCTGAGCTTTTTATTCTCTTCTATGAAAGCTATATTGTTTGCTGTATTTTCTTGGCTAAAACAGGAGCTAATGTGGTAAACATAAATAAATAAACTGTTGTGCAAGAGCTCATTCTTGGTCGTATGTTCTATCCTCCTCCCCAGCATTCTAATTGTAATTTGTAGTATCTGCCCTTATGGGTTGAGCTGCCCTTAATGGGCTTTAATGTAATTTACATTTGAGAATGGAAGTGTGTAAGTCTGCTTTAATTGCAGTACTGTCTGTAGAGATTGTAGAGTATCTCTTGTTCATAACAACTAATGGCAAAAAAAGAGAGCTCCTTCTTGACTGTTAGTAAAATGAGCTATATTAGCAGTAATGAATATGATATATTTCATTTATAATAATAAAAAATTAAAATTAATCATTTGGACTTAAACTGTAATTTTCTAATTTTAGTTTCTATTATAAAGATATTGCTGCCTTATTTCTGAAACTTTTAACAATAATAAGTTGAGAGATTTTGGGACAGGTTTTTGGCACAGGGAGTGCTCAATAATTTTAGCTGACATTTATGTATATAGGTACAAGTGCTGCTACAGGGTCAATGTTTCTTTATTACAACATAAATAGGAAAAGATATGAAATGAAAGTATTTTTAAATGAGAACTTAGGCTGGCCCAGAGCCTGCCACATACAACTGGCCCCAGCCACAAGGATATCCCGTTTCGGTCCCCTGCCTCTTGGCTTTGTACTGTGATTGAAGAACTAGCCAACTACAGCAAGGCGAAAGGACAACAACAAGGCAGTTCCTTTTCTCTATCTCACACACGCAAATGCACAAACACATGGAAGACGATAGACGTTGATTGAGTGTGCACTTTGTATTCAACCATAGCCCCATCCCTCATCAATTCCAATAAATCTCATCAATCACACGTGCCAATTGAAACTCCCGATTGACACGATACAATAGTAATAATATCTGCACAATATCACCACCTCTCTACCACCATCACCTCCACTTCCACCACCTCGCTCTCACCGCCATTTGCGCACGGACTATTGCCCATTTTCACTCGTTACATTGTAAAACGAACCTCCTTTCTTCTACATTTCCTTTTGACATTTTGACTCTTCCTTTCTTGTTCAAATTCACTAATTCGAGTCAAATTCAATATTTTTTTACTTAACTGGAAAGCCGTTTATGTTTTGATTTTGTCCTTATTAATTACCTGGTCAAACACTGAGATCTGTAGTTCTAACCACTTTTTTGATGCAACTCATGTCCACTGTTGGCGTTTAAGCAAATTTGGGAATTTTATCATGTCCGGAGCGGGTCACGCCGTGGAGCGCCGCGTTCCGTTTCCGGAGATGGAGGCAAACTCGGACAGCTGTGGTTGCTGTAACCCGGTTAAAAAGCCGGGTCCTATAACCATGGATCATGTGCTGTTGGCATTGCGAGAAACGAAAGAAGAGAGGGATGTGCGTATACGGAGTCTATTTAATTTCTTTGACGCCGGGAATACTGGATACTTGGATTATGCGCAGATCGAGGCTGGGCTGTCAGCGCTACAGATTCCAGCAGAGTATAAGTACGCCAAGGATTTATTGAAAGTTTGCGATGCAGATAGGGATGGAAGGGTGAATTATCAGGAGTTTAGGAGGTATATGGACGATAAAGAGCTGGAGTTGTACCGAATATTTCAGGCAATTGATGTGGAACACAATGGTTGCATTTTGCCTGAGGAGTTATATGATGCACTTGTTAAGGCTGGTATTAACTATATTTTTGACTTTAAAATGCTTGCTTTCTTTTGGGTACTGGGGATTACATTGATCAATCCCCTCGATAGTGAAACTATAATGTTAATTCATATAGCGTGTGATTCTACAATTGTTAATTATAAGTGTGTGATGATGATGGTATGGTACTATTCATATTATAATGTCCTGATGTTGTTTCATTTATGATTGAAAGGAAATTATCATTCTGTTTGTTGGAGCCACTTGCATCCATATTAAATTTGAAAACTTTATTTGTGATTGCTGCAGTTGATCATATTGCTAGATTAGATATTCAGAATAGAAGTATAAACTTTAGTATATTAATATTAGGGTAAAAGAAAAACAGGGACAATGATGGTTGCAGTTTTCATGTGGTTAGCAAAGTATGTGTATGTATTCTCTGCATATAAACATTTCTCTCTGTAACGAAGACTGAAGCTTTAGTTCTCCTAATATATATTTTTTTGGATGGCCTCTCAAATTTTGTTATTCATATGGATTATATGCTTACTTTCTTGCTTTACAATTAGTTGATGGTGCACCATAGGACATCATTTCTGGGTTTTTGCTACCAATTTGGTTGGCATGATCCATATTGTGAATTTGTTGTGTCTAAGCTGATTTCTATGTTTGTTTCATTACAAGATGGATAATGTTCCTTGTCACCTTGTGTATGAATGAGTGAATTCATTTTGTATGGTTTTTTTTTTAGAGCTGCTTGTTGCCATCACTTTCAGTCTTCTACATCCAATAGAAAATTTTCTCGTCATTTACCCAATTATGTAGTGATATATTCCAATGATAGAACTAAGCTGTTTTATTCAGGACCCTGGTCATTTGAGTAAGCTAAGTAGCCCCTGCTTTCACGTGCGGGTGTTTAGATGTAAAGCCAACAGTTCCCTCCTCTCTTTTCCATTTCCTTTCTACTAAAATATGCACAGTCCCGAAGATGATAGGACTCTGAAGAGGATTTTGCATGATATGGTGTTTGCAGTAGCAATTTGTTAGGTTATCTAGGAGTTGCCACTTTCTTCCTTCCTTTTTTTTTCATTCCTCTGGTGCTCTAAATTGAACCTTTCTATACAAGCTCTTTTTTCTTTTCTTCTCCCCATTTCTTATACTATTATTTTATTATACTGAATTAGATGTTTCAGCGATATAAGAGAGCAGTCAAGGATTAATATATTACCCTTGGTTGAAGATTTTAGTTAATACGTGCTGTATTCTTGATTTTCCTTTTTATTTTTCTCTTTTTTTGGATATTTCTGTGTAATCCAGTATGATACATTTTGATGTTAACATGTATTTCATAAAATGGATTTACACAGAATTAATGGGTATATAAACAAGAGAAACAATGTAGCACTTTGAGCTTATGCGGTAACTGGTAAAGTATCTCCATTGGTGCTTTTTGTCAATGCTTGCACAAGTTCTTTTGTGGCTACCTTGTTGCCGAATGCCTATAACATTCAATTCATGTCGATTGTGAGATGAGTTCAGTTTGTTTTCATATGGTCTTAAGGGCTTGGTATCTACAATTGGGCCATCCAACTCTTTCATGTGCTTGAATTTTCTTGATTTGAAGTGTGCTCTGTCATCTATTGTAGTTGTGTTGAACTTTTGGATTTTATAAGGTTTTAGTCTTGGATTCGGTTGGTGATTTTGACAAAATGCAATTTGGAAATTATTTTCATCTAGTGCTATGTTGAAGTTCTTCTGAGATCAGTATGTGGGAATTTTAGTTTATTTTGAGTTAATTGTGTTTTCTGCAGTGATGGATCCTTGTGATAACAATTACTACTTAGTCTATTATATGATTATCTGAACATGCCAGTTCTTTCTATGCTTTATTGCTAGCATTTGCTAGCCCCTGGCTTTGAACATATTTGTTGTTTTCATCTTATAAGCCCTGGCAGTTTTGCTTCACAGGGATTGAAATAGATGATGAGGAGCTTGCTCGTTTTGTAGAGCATGTTGATAAGGATAATAATGGAATTATTACTTTTGAAGAATGGAGAGATTTTCTTTTGCTCTATCCACACGAGGCTACAATTGAGAACATATATCAGCATTGGGAAAGGGTATGCCTTGTAGATATTGGAGAACAAGCTGTTATTCCAGAAGGCATAAGTAAGCATGTCCATAGGAGTAAATATTTTATTGCTGGGGGAATAGCTGGAGCTGCCTCTCGTACTGCAACTGCTCCTCTTGATCGCTTGAAGGTGGTTTTGCAAGTTCAGACAACCCATGCTCATATTGTTCCAGCTATAAAGAAGATATTGAGAGAGGATGGTTTCTTGGGTTTCTTCCGAGGTAATGGATTAAATGTTGTGAAGGTAGCACCTGAAAGTGCTATCAAGTTTTATGCTTATGAATTGCTAAAGAATGTTATTGGAGATATTAAGGGGGGAAGCCAAGATGTTATAGGTCCGGCTGAGAGACTTTTTGCTGGTGGTATGGCCGGTGCAGTGGCACAAACTGTAATCTATCCGTTGGATCTTGTGAAAACTCGATTACAAACTTATGTCTCTAAAGGTGGAAAGGCTCCGAAAGTTGGAGCACTAACAAAGGATATATGGGTTCAGGAAGGACCTCGAGCATTTTATAAAGGTCTTGTGCCATCTCTACTTGGGATTATCCCTTATGCTGGCATTGACCTTGCTGCCTATGAGACATTAAAAGACATGTCAAAGAAATATATTGTGCATGATAGTGGTACATTTTCTCACGTCTGTTGTTTACCTTCTCTCTAAGTTTTATGATTCTATTGACTGTTGGGAGTCATTATTCTGAAAGCTTTACATTTGCTATAGAACCGGGTCAACTTGTGCAATTGGGTTGTGGGACCATTTCTGGAGCCCTTGGAGCAACATGTGTTTACCCCTTGCAGGTTATCAGAACCAGGTATTTTATGTTGTCTTAAACGCTACAAAGTTTTCATTTTTTGGTTGGGAAGGTTGAATCTTCCATCTTTTCTCTGTTTGATTCCAACCCGTATTTATTACCTTTGTTATCCTTCTTGATGAAGTTACTTAGTTCTTTCTTTTCAAAAAGAAATCGCAATGCTTTATTTTTTTGCTTTGTTGTTTCCTCCTCAGATTGCAAGCTCAGCATTCTAATTCTGCAGCTGCTTATAAGGGCATGTCTGATGTCTTTTGGAGAACGCTCGAGAATGAAGGTTACAGAGGTTTCTATAAAGGACTCTTTCCAAATCTTCTGAAGGTTGTGCCAGCTGCAAGCATAACGTATTTGGTTTATGAAGCCATGAAAAAGAGTCTAGATCTTTGATTGGGGAGCACCGTAGTCTTGTCTCCGATTTGTGCCTGCTGCAAGCAAAACGTATTTGGTTTATGAAGCTATAAAAAACAATATAGCTTCTTTAATTGGAGAGCATTCTATTCATGTCTCCCATTGCAACTGAACTGTTGATGATGAAAATAAGAATAGGATTACTAGTCAAGTACGCAGTACAATTATTTGAGTAATAGAATAGACGGTAATCCCCTTTTATAAATTGGGGCAAATAGTTTTGTCAGTCGAAGAGTTCTTCCAGGAAGCTTATTTGGAGTGTTGGGAAACAACAATTATACAACTTCACAAATATCTGACTGCAAGGTGATGGGTCTTCCTTTTCCTTCCTAACCCGACCTACTTTGTTTCACACGTCTGATTAAACTTGCTCTAAGATGCAACGACTTAAACTTATTTTTCAGTGCTTTTTGATGTTGATGAAATATTAGAAGTTTTATGCATGCAGCCAGCAGTAAATGGTATGGCATGTGATGATATACCTGAATGGAAGATATAAAGCATATGGAATTGAATGTGACAGCCAGTTGTTGCATTTGATTTCCTATTGCCTTAAAATTGCTATTAGGTATTATTTGAGTTTGTACTACATTTGATCTGTTGAAATGATCGACAACCTCTATGGTTTTTGCTTAATTATATTTGCTTGTTCACATTTACAAGTAAAGTGTCATGTCCTTGATAAAATCTGGTTAACCACTTAACCTTGTACAAACATGCTGATCATTTTGATATGCTCATGATTCCATAGAAGGGTAAATTTAGTTGGATGCTTTGTCATATCACGTACATGTATTGGTGTTTCCCACGTGTAAAGCTCGATGACTTAAGGGGTTGCATTTTTTTTTTTTTAATGCATTTTTGTATTTTCATTTTTTTTTTTTTTTTTTTTTTTTTTTTTTTTTTTTTTAGGTGTTTTTTCCCACGTTGTAAAGCTCCGACATGCGAATCTTAATAGCGTGTGACATTTTTTTAATGACTTTTGTAGTTCATTTTCATTTTTTTTTTTTTTTTTTTTTTTTTTTTATTTTTTTTTTTTATGAACTTATTATAGTGCTGATACAAAGAGCAATCGCTATTGGCAGTTGCTGTTACAGTTTGGTACATGAGATAATCTTTCTGAATTCCTTGGTCGCTCCATTACCTATATGTTATAGCTTGTTGCTACTAGCAGCATTTGAAATTAAGTTATATGATTTCTTTTTTACCTTGTTAACGTTTCTCGTCGTTATGACGTATGGTTCGTATCCCGGCTTGAATAAAAAATTCAACTATTCCTTCTTCCATCAAAAGTGTAACAAGGAAAATTAAATTCTCAATTTAAACAAAAGTTTCAGTCTCATGTCTCTCTCCCCAAGTGTTGTTCTCTTAGTGTTTTACCCAGATGCTAAAATTTTTTGGTCTTGGAAATTACCCATGCGCGTGGCCCTACTCACTGTTTACCCAATATCATCGTCCGTTCATTTTTCACACCTCTGAACTAACATTAGACTTTGTCAGATACGTTTTAGCTTACGAGTTAAGCATGGCACACTAATACTCAACAGGACGACAGCAACTTTCTTGTGAGTGAGGACAGCCCCTTCATTTACTTTAAATGTGTTAACCATTTTGCAAAAGCAGGTTATATTCCAAAGGCTCCTAAATCTCACAAGCCCATATGGAATCGATAATTCTTTTTTCTTTTTAAATCTTCACCCCCATCCCCACCATAGTTAATGGCAAATGAAATTTCCCGTATTTCAATTTCAGTGATCCCGACGATAATAAATAATAAGTTGAATAATCAATTATTTTAAAAATTTGCATAATTAAGTCTAGAGAAATAGTGAATTCATAGAATAAATAAATTATTATCTATTATACAATTATAAAAAAAAAAAAATATTGACGTCCATTGTATCATCACCGAACATGCTTCCTAAATCCAAATCACACTCCGGAGCTTGGGATTCTAAAAAAAAAAAAAAAAAGATAGAAATAAATTAGATTTAGGTTGCTTGACCTGTTGCCTATATATATGGAGTTTGCGAAGTTTTTTTTGAAATCACCACTCCAAATAACACCGAAGAGATGATAGTATTTAGCATACAAATCAAAAATGCAATGCAAACATGGAGAAGCAGCCATCCGATAATTACAAAGCATACTATATGATACAACAGCTATTTCGTTACAAAGCACTTCGACAACTTCCGAGTCTACAATAGGCATAAAAGCCCCTAAGTCGCTATGTAACTATAATCAAAAAACAGGAGAATAAACATACAACCCGGAAGAAAGTCCCAATGACCTTCCCCTTTGCAAACTCTTTGACTGCCTTTTCCCCTTCTTCCATCCAACTATACGAAAGACGAGTAACAGCATAAGGCGGGGGGTGGAATACGCCTTACCATCTTCCTTCTTTTCTTCTATCCTCTTCCTCGACACATATTATTTTCGTTTGAGTCTACACCAAATAGCTTTAATTCACTTGTAGAGCAAGATAAAAATGATATTATTAAAGAACTGTGGGACACATTTAAGGGTTCTTTCTTCTAACATATCCATGGTGTATATATTTAGTGGCCTGTTCGAGCCTCAAAAGCAAACCCCTCAAAAGTGTTGAAAGAACGTAGATTTTCCAAAATTTATGTTTAAATTTAAAACTACACGATTAATACTTTCTTAAAAAGTCGTATAGTTATATCGATTTTTTATCGGATCCACCATTCACCCGCATTGATTTTTTAAACTCAAATTTTAAGTTTAATACCATTATTTAAAAAACAACATAGAATAGCTTCTACTAATAATTAAAATTAGAAATTAGGTAGGTCTTTCTCAGAAATTTGAGATAGCCTCCGAACGTCGGAGTTCCTCATCCAATTTTGTTCGAGTCCCATCCGAAGGGCTACTCTCTGTTGTATCAGCCCGCCCAAATTATATTCGCTCTAATTAAGAATCATCCCAAACCGTAAAGAACAACGAAGAAAAAAATTTCTCTTTTGTTTTGAAATAAATTTAAAACATATTCAATCATAATTTTTCTGAACTATTAAATTTGGCTCTTTATTGAATTACAGAACGGTCATTGTTTTAGAATATCGGAATTTAAAATATTTAGAAAAACCAAAAAGAGATTTTTAAAAAGAAAAATCAATACTGGAAATGGATATAAAGCATTTATTGCTCTTAATGGTAATGGGACACATGCTTACCCACTAAGAATTATTATCATCATTCTCTCTTTACACAAAATAAATTTAGCACTTGTTATAAACATAGGAGATTAATACCTAGTCTGTCCCATGTGGCAGTAAAAAGCAGCGTATTGAGCAAATGAGAGAGAGAGAAAGAGAGAAGAATCCCGTGATTGTAAAATGCGTGGGAAAAAACGGTAGGAACAAGGCAGGCCTCCGGCGCAAAAGAGACAAAGTAACTAGAAAAGAAAAAAAGAGGTATTAAAGGACGATTGAACAAGCGTAGACCTAGCAACCAAAGGAACGCACAATTCCCTTTCTTAAATTTTTCTCGTGAACGAAACGATAGTGGATCGAAGAGAGGGACCCCTGTGTTGTGAATGAACTCATCTCAGAAGGGTGCCGTACACCATCCGCCACGGCGTCAACCAATTGCAAGATATGTTCGAAGCTAGGGCATCCGCCGCGATAGAAGCAAACCATTCAAAGGAAGATAAGCCTATTGTGGAAAGGCTAGCTAAGTGAAAAAAAAAAAAAAAAAAGGGTACCGTAATTTCCAAAATTACGTGCTCGACAGGTAGGACCTTTATTCTATTCGTCATCAGAGTCTGTTGCGCGTACTTGATTGTTGGATGCACTCAATCTATCGTCGAGCCCTCATACTAAATATCTAATCGACAGGGGTCAGTCTCGTCTTTTCTCTCTTTCTTTTTATTATATTTCTTTATCTATCTCTTATAATATTCTATCTCTCTTCTATCTTCTTAATCTCTATATCTTCTATAAGCATGATTCTGATGCTTATATTTCTTACTTCTTCTCTTTCTTCGATCTCTCCTACCATTATTTCTATTATGCTTTCGTTATCTTCTTTCTCTTCATTCTCATCATCTCTCTCTGCTCTATATCAATTCTTCTTCTCTTGTTCTATCTCACTATCTCTCTATCTTCTATCTCTAATCTATCTACTCGCATTCTATTTTCTCTCCTTCCGAGCTCTCCTTCTATCAAAAATCACAAAATCTCACTTACAATCGCGAATACCTAATGTTCTTCTATCTTCTTCTCCTTGTCTTTCAAGACATTGTTTTGTTATAGGATAAAATTCAACCAGTTCTGTTCTTCAATATCTTATTCATAACTATTCTGTAAACTAATTCTCTTCTTAACTTATATATTTTTCATATACTTACTATCTAATATAATTATGTGGAATTTCATTGCTTTGTATCACATCTTTACTATCCATCTATACATTCCTTCGAATCATATATATGCTATCACAATCATCTCTCCGTATATAACCTGGATGGCAACTTCTCATTTTGACATCCTCACTGTATTAACTTCACGAAAATCATCCTATTATAGTCTCAGCCTCCTCATCCCTAACTCCTCCCTATTTCTCACGCATCTAAACAAAATCTCTTCGATACTATTGACACTCACTTCCTCAAATATTTACATTAAGAAATTGAAAAAATTCCACTATAATTATGAATTTTAGCTTGCCCCATACGCCAAGTCTGAAGAGTCCAAGGGCGAGAGCGATCAGTGAGGATGATGACTGGACTTCTTTCTTTCTTTTTCTTTTTTTTTTACTATTCTCAACCAGTGATAATTTATTTTAAATAACAGTTATTTGTTGCCTTGTTAGCATTTTTTTTTTTTTTTTTTTTTTTTTACATTCTCAACAGTAAATTTATTTTGAAATAACAGTTATTTGTTGCCTTGGTGTATGAATAGGTAAGTAATTTACTATTTATTTATCACTATTGGATTGGTTTGAGTCCACCCATAATGGAAGCCCAGCCCATTGACTCTATTTAATTGAATGACTGATAACTTGACAATCTGCCATGTGTAATTTGGTGGAAAAGCCCATAGTCAAACGCGGCCCAAATTCAATTTTAGCATAGAACAAGCACACACGCGCCAGTAATTTTGCTATGAACTTGAAATCTTGGAGGCTCTGCCAGCAATGAGAAGGAAGGCACAGAGAGCCAGGGCGAGAGAACACCTTAATGCAAATCATCGATCACTTACATATACATTTTCTTTCAATTAACAATCTCATCAAACAATGCAAAACGATTCACCATCTCCACCAACTCCACGCCAACGCTATCACCAATGGCTTCCTCTCTCTTAATTCTTCTTCTCAAAAAATTTTGACCAAAATTCTCTACTCCCTTAACGCCACTGCCACTTCTAAATCATCCACTTCTCTGTTGCAGTATGCGGTCTCAGTATTCAGTGCTATCACTAACCCATCACCTTTTTGCTACAATCTTGTCATTAGAGCCCACACCCTCCATTCCTCTCCTCTCTCTGCCCTCCGGTTCTTTCTCCAGATGCGCCGTTTCTCTATTCCTCCTGATTTCCACTCTTTCCCTTTTGTCTTCAAAGCTTGCTCACAGCTTCGCGTTTTTTTTTTGGCCAATTCCCTTCATTCTCAAGCTTTTAAATTTGGGTTTATGTCGGATTTGTATGTGGTAAACTCTCTCATTCATGTTTATTCAGTTTCTGATCGTTTATGCGACGCTTATCAGGTATTTGATGAAAGTCCTCGCAAAGATGTTGTCTCTTACAATGCAGTTATTGATGGGTTTGTTAAAGTTGGTGACGTGGAAAAAGCACGGAAACTATTTGATAGAATGCCTGTGCGAGATTCTGTGTCGTGGGGTACTATTATATCGGGGTATGCCCAAGGAAGCTATTGTAAAGAGGCAATTGAATTATTTAATCTTATGATGGATTTAAAGCTTAGACCTGATAATATTGCACTGGTGTCTGTTCTTTCTGCTTGTGCGCAACTAGGTGATCTGGAAAAAGGAAAGGAAGTTTATTATTATATTGAAAAAAAAAGGATTTTATTGGATTCTTTTCTGTCAACTGCCTTGGTTGATTTTTATGCAAAGTGCGGGTGTATTACCGCTGCTTTAAAGATTTTTGAATCGAGCCCTGAGAAGAGTTTGATTACATGGAACGCCATGCTAGTTGGCATTGCAATGCATGGTGATGGCCAGCTATTACTAAAGTACTTTTCAAGAATGGTGGAGGCTGGGGTTAAACCTGATGGAGTTAGCTTTTTAGGAGTTTTAGTAGGATGTAGCCATGGTGGTCTAGTAGATGAAGCCAGGAAGCTTTTTGATGAGATGGAATCTATTTATGGTGTCCCCAAAGAGCCCAAACATTATGGGTGTATGGCCGATTTGCTAGGGAGAGCAGGGTTGATCAAAGAAGCTGTAGAGATGATAAAGAGTTTGCCTATGGGTGGTGATATGTTTGCATGGAGTGGTTTGCTAGGAGGGTGTAGGATACATGGGAATATTGAAATTGCAGTGAAGGCAGCAAAGCAGGTAATGGAATTAAAACCTGAAGATGGCGGGGTTTATTCAATCTTGGCTAATGTGTATGCCAATGCAGAGCGATGGGAAGATGTAGTGAAGATTAGGAGGTCAATGAGTAGCAATAGGATAGTAAAGAAAAATGCTGGTTATAGCTTGATTCAATTAGATGGAGTTATACATGAGTTTCTCGCAGGGGATAGCTTACATGCACAAAGTGATGAGATATACTTGGTTTTAGATGGAATTAAGGAACATCAATGTTTTTAAGGCGAGGCAAAAAATACTGTTATACTAATAGTATGCTGCAGTTAGAAGATATCTTATCTTTAGTGGGAAAAAAGACGCTTTTTTTTTTTTGAAATGAACCGTAAAGAGATATCTTACTGAGGTGCAATTTCATGAAGCTTCGGTTTTGATACTGTACAATTCTCTAATGAGTAAATATTATTACTGAAGCTTCTAAATTGCCTTACGTGATTCCAGAGCTCTACCTCCCGCTGCCACCTTCTATAAATTCAAGAACATAGCTAAAAGGCAACTCCCATAAGCAAATCCAAGGATCCATAAGGAATTACTCTGATATAAAGTTGCTACTCTTTACAAACACATCTTTCTCCCTCATCTATCCCAATCATGGCTTTCAGGTTAACTGTAAGTCCTCAATAATAAATACTTACTCTTCTTGTTAATTATTATTGCATATTGTGCTTATAGTTTCTTACTTGGCTGCTATATGTTACTATAGGGTTACTGGAAATGGATGGTGAATCGCTTAAGAGGAAGTTCAACATATGGCACCTCAACCTCACCAAAAATGAAGGCATATGTCCCAACAGCTGATTTCAGCTATAATGTTGGCGAAGAGCATGGTAAGAGTAAGATACAACTGAAGGGTGATTTTGTGCCAGTGTATATAGCCCTTGGCTTGATAACTTTATCAACTATGATGGGTCTGCACACTGCAAAGCAGCAGCTCATGTATTCACCATCTGTGCGTGTAAAGAAGAAGTTAAGGGAGACAATTCCTGAAGTTGTGTATCCTGATAAAGTGGTGGATGAGGCCCATAAATTCATTGAGAAATCATTTTTTAGGAAGGTTGCCCATATTCAAGAGTTTGAAAGTGGCCTCCAGTCTATTCCTCATCCTATTTGTAAAGATTTTCATGCTCACCCACCTCGGGTTGAAACTCTCAAGTCTATTGGAATAGATCCCACCCTGCCCTGAATCCACTCTTTCTGCTGCTTTGTAAATTTGTTTCGAGTATTCATTTTCGTTTTTTTTTTTTTTTTTTTTATCTTTGTTTCGAGGATTCATATTCGTTTTTTTTTTTTTTTTCTACTCGCTTCTGTACACAACAAAATTCCTCTGAAAAAACGATTTTTGTTTTTTTTTTTTTTTTTTTCTAGCTCGTTCTGTACACAACAAAATTCCTGAATAAAACGATGCTGTTTCCTAAATCAATCAGTGTTATTATTTTTTATTATTTGCCAGATTGAAAGACTCAGTAAAAATTCTGATTTGCAAGTGGTTCTACTTCTTTCTATATATAAGGTTCATGACATGCAAACAAAAATAATGCTTCTGTCGTTACTCTTCTTCCTAATTTATGTATGGCGGCTGTTCCTTGTCCATGTTCTTATCCACAAGAAAATAAAATAATCTTTTATCCAAAAGCTACTGTAGCGGGATGTGACGTGTCGCTTCGTGAGCTTTCTAAGTTATGCTGTCAACTGTCACTTTCCGACAAGTGTCAATTACAAGTGTCACTCAATTTCTAGACTCTGAAACGTAGCTCCAGAATCTTCTTCTACAGATTACCCTCTGCTATATGTACCATCCCAATACTTAGCCCACGGTACCCTAACAAGAAATAAAAATTCTGTCTCGTCCAATATTTGCGATCATGGCTTTCAGATCAATGGTAGGTTTGATATCATTTAATTATCGCCTAATTTTTTAATTTTTGTTTCATTGTACTGTTAATTTCTGTAATTAAAATTTTGATGATACGATGATCTGCAGAATCTTTGGAAATCTATGGCTAATCGGTTGAGGGGAAATGCAACATATGCAACTTCAACTTCTCCAAAAATGGCGGCGTATGCTCCGACAGCAGATTTTGGTGATTCTCATCACCAAGAAAAGCATACGAAGAAGACGATAAAAGGAGAGTATGTGCCTGTTTATGTGGCGATAGGACTGATTGCTTTATCGGTCTCTCTGGGTCTGTACACTGCAAAGCAGCAGATATTGCACTCGCCGAATGTGCGCGTGAAGAAGAAGAGAAGGGAGACGATACCGGAGGTGGAAGACCCTGATAGTGTGGTGGATGAAGCTGATAAATTTCTGAAGAAGTCTTTCTTTAGGAAAGTAGCGCATGTTCAAGAGTTTGATAGTGGACTTCAAAGCTTGCCTGATGCTAATATTCATAGAGATGCATTTGCTTACAAGCCACACGCCGAGACTCTCAAGTCTGTTGGGATTGATCCTAAGCGGCATTGAGCTACGCGACATGTATACATGTTACTTTATTTCTCTTTTAAGTTTGGTTAGCCCTTAATTACCTTTTGCAGAAGAACGAGGAAGATGTGTATTTGAACTTCCTAATGTGATGTAATTACAAATTAATAATGTTTTTGTATATAATGGTGTTGCTTAGCACAGCATGTTTCTGCTAAATGGTGATTTCCTTTTCTATTACTTGTTAGATTGGAAATGATAACGATATCTCATCTTTTGGGACTAGGGCTCAGTTGTTGTTATGAATGGCAAAACCAAATGGGTTCTGTAATATTAAAAAAACAGAGAAATTCAGTTGCGGTTGCTAATGCCAAAAAGCCCAGTTGTTGATGGCAAAAAGCCAAATGAATCGATACGCGAATGGAATCGATAAAATGCGCATCCGGGGAATCGAACCCCGGTCAGTACCGTGGGAGGGTACTATGATACCACTACACCAGATGCGCCTTTGACGAGAACTACTTTCAGATAAAGATCATAATATCATAGGATAAAAGTAGAACCAGATACATTATCTTCAGAAAACTTTGCTAAAAGCATAAATCAAAATGTTAAATTGTGCAATTTTCAAATAGTTAACAAAAACTATGATGCTATGCGTACGGAATCTTTTTGGATTCTTTTTTTTTGGTTGTAAATGGGCTTTTTCTGTTGTTATAATATCATTTTATTTTGTTTTATTTATTTTAGACCGTTTTATTTTATTTTAATGAGACGAAAGTTTCGCTTCTAAGAAGAGTTTTATTATTTTCTTATTATATATTGTATTAGTGGTTGTTTTTTTATTGTATATATAAAAATTATAAAATACAGACTATAAATTAGAATGGGCACATTCATGCCATACAATAAATATTAGTTAAGTTCTTTTGCGAATAAGCTAAGAGAAAAAGAATGAAAGATACAATAATAATAAAGATATATAGAATAAAATTAGATAATTATTATAAATAAATGGAAACAAAAATTAAATTAAACTATCCAATCTAAAACTATAAAATATTCAAAAATTCAAATATAAATATGGATAATTATTTTAAATGAGTAATAATTTTAAACTTTAAACTAAAAAAGGTATCTTAATTTTCTAATATTTAGATAGTAAAATTAAAAAAAAAATAAGAATATAATTTTCATATAAATGGTAAAGTATCTGAATTTTTTAATTTATTAAATATATATTTGTTTAATTTATGAAATGTTATGTTATAAACTCCTTTCTTTATTTTAAATGTATTTAGTACAGTTAATGTTTCTTTTCTTTTTTTTTTTCCTTTTAAATTAATTATATAAATATTTACTTTGCTACATTTCGATGGTAAAGAGATCTCTCTTTAATCTTCTACACTCGGAAGCAAAATATATAAAAAATGTCATAAATAAAGAGAGACTAACCTTTCATTCACAAGTATAAAAATGACAAATAAGTATATATAGATATATGTGTATAGACGTAGATAAGAAAAAAAAGTCAAAAGTTGTAAATTCAAACATTAAAAAGTTTTAAAGTTTTAGATTATACATAGATTAGAATAAGAAAAATATAATAATGACAGTTTAACTAACGAACCATTGGAGCCTACCAACGAGCAAACTGCATAATGATAAAACTGAAAAAGAAGCAAAATTTCTATCCGGAGAAAAAATAAAAGAGGCATTAGGTCCTTTTATAATAGTAATAATGTCCTTCTCTAGCTTTTTCTGGAACAAAAACGAAGAAGAAAAACAGACTGCTCAACTTTTCTTTAAACGCAAGCATTTTCTATTAAGTTTGGTGGTTCCACCACACCAACTGATTCATTAAACCCGATTACTTACGGGTTTGTCAACTCTCACACCTAATATATCTTCTCCTTGTCATCCGTAGCACCTTACCTTACATATCTCATTACTGATATTCCAACCCAAATCTCTGCTGGCTAGTTTAAAGCTGAACTCAAAATTTTCATTTCTAGCCATTTGATGATAGCATAAATGAGAATTTCAAAAATTTCAGCAGGAAATTCAGATTATCGTATCTGGGTTCTTGGTTTTGCAGTGAGTGTAATTGCATTGATGGCAGTGTGGCAATCTTGGTTTAACGATGAGGTTTCAATTCCAAGTAATGAAGATTTTCAAGTTACAGTTACAAGTAATATCATCCCTTCAAAAGGGCATGGTTTTCCTCCTGTTCTTGCTTACTGGATTTGTGGTACTAAAGGGGATGGTAAAAGAATGCTAAGACTGTTGAAAGCAATTTATCATCCAAGAAATCAGTATCTATTGCAGTTGGATGCTGATTCATTTGACTATGAAAGGGCAGAGTTACTTGTTTCAATCCAATCGGAAACTCTATTTAGAGCTTTTGGAAATGTTAATGTTGTTGGAAGAAATTATGGTATTAACAAGGTGGGATCTTCTGCTCTTGCTGCAATACTGCATGCTGCTGCCTTGTTTCTCAAGCTAAATAAAGATTGGGATTGGTTTATTAATTTAAGCCCAGTTGATTACCCACTAATGACTCAAGATGGTTTGTATAATTATGAAATTCAATTTGCTATCATCTAATTATAGCATCTTTGATTTTAGATTAATGATGATTATATATAATTTTACGCTCAGATCTCCTCCATGCTATCGGTTCCTTACCAAAAGATCTCAACTTCATAAAATATCATTCAAGCCAATCAGAATGGAAAGAGTAAGTTTTGAACTGTGTTTTTCATTCTTCATATCTAAATTCTGAATTTTCATAATTGATTCTCTAGTTTGGCGCAGGAGGCGTAGTGTAGACCAAATTGTTATAGATCCTAGCTTATATCTTGAAAAGAGCAGTGATCTTTTTTATACTGTAGAGAGACGAAGACCAGACGCTTTTAAAATCTATGGAGGTTAGTAAATTTAGTAGTAATTACTCAATGCTAATGTCAACTTTCTCAATTAATATTCAATTACAGGTTCACCTTGGGTAATTCTTACAAGAGGTATCATGGAGTATTGTGTTCAAGGATGGGACAACCTGCCTAGAAAACTAGTAATGTATTTCAGCAATGTAGCATACCCAATCGAATCCTATTTCCATACAGTTTTATGCAACTCTCCAGAGTTAAAAAACAAAACAATAAACACTGATTTAAGCTACAATGTTGCGGAGGAGTCTGATTATGAGAAGATAGTAGTATCCAGTGGAGAAGCTGCATTTGCCAGACCATTTAAAGAAGGTGATTTAGTATTAAATAAGATTGATAATGACATCTTAAATCGCCCACTTAATGGAGTTGTGCCTGGGAATTGGTGCTTAGGCCAAGCTATAACTATGAATTATACAGAGGAGAAGAAGACAACAGAGAGTTGGAATTTATGTGAAACATGGGGCAATGTTGATGCTGTCAAGCCAGGCACTAGTGGTGTCAATCTTGCAGTTTTTTTGTCTAATCTACAAATTGATGCCAACAGTCACTGCCATCCAGAGTAGTAAAAAACTCTGCAAGATTTTCCTATACACTGGTGTAAACTTTTTTACACTAATGAAGAGCATATTTTTCTTTACCCAACTGAAGCATCCAATTTTAAAAGCACCATCAACAATGCCTATAGCAGTTCAGGCAACCAGAATAGAAAATTCTAAATGCTTTAAATTTCATTGTTGCAGCTGATAATCCAAGACATCTGTGTAAAGTCCTTCAGATGTTAAAACTTTATGAATTTGCATAATTGTGTTGTTTATGACGTCTATTTGACTATTTGATCCATCTTCAGCAAAGAATTCGTGAACAAAACCATTTATTTCAACAAAGGAGCAACCGGGTTGCTTATTTGTCTTTTGACGAGCCATACGCTTCCTTACTATGTTCATATCACCCCACCTTGAAGCTAAAGCATAAACATGGGATAGTAGAACATGTGCCTCAGACCTTCTTGGCTCCAATTCCTCAATTTTGTTGATTGCAACCTCTGCTGATTCTATATTCCCATGGCTCCTGCAAGCAAAGAGCAGGGATCGCCAGATAACAATATCAGGTTGAATAGGCATTTCCCTAATAAACTTTTTAGCCTCTATGATTAAGTTAGCACGGCCAAGAAGATCAATTATACACCCATAGTGTTCAATCCGAGGGGTAAGATGATGAGTTGCGCTCATAGCTTTGAAATATTGAAAACCTTGATCAACAAAACCACCATGACTACAAGCAGACAACACACCAAGGTATGTGACTTCATTTGGCTTAACATTGCCTGATGTTTCCATATGTTCAAACAGGTCCAATGCTTCAATGCAGTTCCCATTCATGGCTAAACCAGAAATCATTGCAGTCCATGAAAATACATCTCTTTTGATCATGTCATTGAAAATTTGGCGAGCCTTTTCAATATCTCCACATTTTGAATACATATCAATCAAAGCATTCCTGACAGAGAGGTTCATGTCAATGTCATTCCTTTCAGCGTAATTATGCACCCATTTTCCCAGATCCAGAGCTCCCATATGTCCACATGCAGAAATAACAGAAGCAACCAATGCAGCATCTGCAATTACTCCAGAAAGTTGCATCTCCCTGAATAACTGAATTGCTTTCTTAAACATATCCAACCTCGCATAACCTACTATGATAGAAGTCCAACAAACTAGATTTCTTTCAGGAATTTTGTCAAATACCTTCCTGGCATCCTCCGTTTGCCCACATTTTGCATACATGTCAATCAAAGAAGAACCCAAAAACACATCTAAAACAAACCTATTTACTATAATCAATGCATGAGTTTCTCTCCCTAAATCAAGAAATCCCAGCCTTCCACAAGCAGTGAGTGCATTAATCAACGTAACCTCATCAAACGTCACACAATTATCACCTATCAATTCACCAAATAACTTTAATGCTTCCCCATAACAATCACACTGTACATACCCAGAAATCATACTATTCCAAGAAACCACATCTCTAACAAAAATTGGAACTTCATCAAAAACTCTACGTGCTATTTTAAGTTTACCACAAAAAGAATACATTGAAACCAAAGCATTTTGCACAAACACATCATATTCAAGCCCCAGTTTAAGGCTCAAAGCGTGAACTTCTTGACCTTTATTCAGAGCCAAAAGACGCCCACATACCTTAAAAATGAATGGGAAAGTATAATTATCAGGGAAAGTTCCATTTTTTAGCATTAAATTGTAAAGAGTGATGGCTTCTACAGGAGTTGAGCTGTGAGAGTAGGCTTTGAACATGAAGTTATAGGCAAAGATATTTGGGTTTTGGATTTGAGAAAAGAGGGAGTGAGAGAAGGAGAGATCATGGGTTTTAGAAAGAGAATAGAAGAGGAGTTTGCTTGATATGAATGGGTCTGAGAAGAGACCCGAAACGATGGCATGAGATAGAATTTGATTGAAATGATCTTGGCATTTGATACTTTCTAAATTGAATTTATTACGGTTCGAGAGAAACGGGAGAGGAGCATATTTCCAAGATTTGCTCATAGATTGTGGATGCAAAGAAATCAACTCCCTAGCTATCAACTGAAAAAGAACTAAAAGCAAGTTTTAAGACATCTCCGATCTCATTCAAAGAGAATGGCGATAGGTGTACTAAAGAACGGCATGTCGTAGTATTCCCTTAATAATAACCAAATGCCGCTCGCCGGACTTGTCTTTCCACGACCATGAAAATAGGTTTATTGCAGAAAAAATGACGGAAGTTAACAGGCAGATGAAGTCAAGCTGATGCAGCTAGAATGACAAGTGATATATACCACCAAGGCAACGTCCTGTCGTTGGACGATTGGACAAGAAAAACAAAAGAACAGCACAAATCGCAAAAGAAAACCCAAAGACCGTGTTTGTTGAACGCTTGTCGTTTCAAGTTCTAGACTACGAAAGTTTGAATTTTTACCATCTCCGCGGTGTCGTCCAGTGCACGAACCCGACACCATTGAAGTGTTTATTTTACATCCAAGATAAAGTGGCCAGAATCAAACTTAGGGAGAGGGGGGGGGGGGGGGGAATTTTTACCATCTTCCGCGGTGTCGTCCAGTGCACGAACCCGACACCATTGAAGTTTTTATTTACATCAAGATAAAGTGGGCCAGAATCAAACTTAGGGAGAAGGGGGGGGAGGATTTTAATAAATTTAGGGATCAAATATTCCAGGGGGGGGGGGGGAGGATTTTAAAAAATTTAGGGATCAAATATCCAATCTTTTATTTATTTATTTATTTATTTTTGCAAAATCAGATTGGATGATTTGGCCAAACCCATAAAGGTTTCTCATTTGTTGCAAAATCAGAGTATCGCCCATGTTCAGGTTGTATTGCTATTTTGTTTCAATCTACAATATTAAACTATTTTTCATTTTTCATTTTTTCTTTTCCATTCGAATTTGATATCATTATCAACTTATTGTTTGTATTCCTGAAGAAAGCAATATGTGCAATTAAACCATGTGCTTCAGAAAAGATATAGCTGACTTTTGGCCCTTCAAGAGGGCATCTGTATGTTCTTGGCACACAAATTTAGTGGATATAGACTTTATCTTCATTAATAGTTAATTGTTTATCTCCATTGCTAAATCGCAGGAATATACATTGACCAAAATTGAAGAATTGACAGGAGGACAAGTTCCATCTTTAATCTCTTAAGAATCAAATCTTTGGATAATTGTGAATTTATGCCTGTGATCTGTCGCATAGTTGCTAAACCTAATCCGGTAACTATCAGGAGAGAGCTGGGCAATACACACGTCGATTCCTGGAAAATTAGATGCGAATTAATTAGATATATATGCTTCCCTTGTTTTAGGTAGGGATGAACAGAAAGTAACATAATACTCTCATGAAAGGTCACCATTTGATTCTTCCATTATTTTAAGAACTTCAGTTTGACTCTTGTTATTATCCTATAACTAATCATCAGTATCTGATCATGCACGAGGGAAAATCAAAATTTTTTATCTCTACTTTTGAAGATATGTTTGAGTAAAGATATTCTATGCAAGATTTGATTTAGAAAGCAAGTTTCTCTCAGTTTTTATGCGCTGAGACTGGGTGGTGCTGAATGTAGCTGGTTGTTTTACTGGTTGGAAAATAAAAAGATGTTAGAGTATTTTAAATTTGAAATTTTTATTGGTACTGCATGCACTATTTTATAGCTAGATGATGTAGCAAAAGAAGAATTTGCAGGCGTCATTGCCTCTTTCGTAATGTTCAACAAGTCAGATAAAAAAGCACCATTGTTGGTTCCATACTAATTATCTAAATAGAAAATTAGGGTTCTTGGCTTCTTGCTCCTGAAAAGAGTAACTACATATAACATTCTATGTATATGTATGCACGTACGTATACATTTTGCTATTCCCTTGTTGAGGGTAACAGTATATACATGTGTGTGTGTGTGTGTGTGTGTGTGTGTGTGTATATATTGTCGTGTGCTATATATAATATATATATATAAAATATATTTGCTGAATGGTTCCATGCATATTATTCATATATATATTTGCTATGGATTCCATGCATATTATCATATATGGATAGCCAGTGGCAATTTATTTCCATTAATCATTCTCTGTTGACCTTTGCAGTGGAGAATGAGTCAATTAGGGATCTGTCTTTATCATGCATTCTCCCAAAGTATCTATACATTTCAAAGAAGCTGGCAACTAATTACTGCTTTTAGATTACAGATATATACATAGTTAGAAAAAATAGGGAAAAAAAAATCTTTAGTGAAGAATATTGACAAACAAATTGCATAATTATATGTTTATAAATTTGATGTATTTTCAACTGAGAGATAAGATAATGCAATGTAATATAAAATAACAACTGGGGTTATTGCATGTATGAAAGGATTCTGATTCTAAGAGAATAAAAATATACAGCAATTGGCCAATAATCCAGCCTATATAAACACAATGGGAGGTTTTTATATTTTGTAAACCTACAAACTAGACAATAGAATTAATTATAATAATATTGCCATACAATATTTATGGTTGGAGAAGCTTCCAATCTCCCTCAAAGGCTTCCAATATCCCACCTGGAAGCTCTATATGGGTGGGTTTGTTGGAAACCTTTGGGGGGTCTGAAGGCTTACTCCCCATCATCAACTACTCTTTACTGTGAAGAGATTTGCGGTTCCTGTCCAATAATTTTTCTGGGCGCAAAACAGCAACCAAATTATATTCAAACTTCTGAAGGTATTATTAATTTTTATACTATATTATTACTACTAATGTTGTTAAATTGATCTAACTCGGAGTATGCAGATTTAGGGGAACTTAAACACTAGTTTAAAGATTGAAAATCGTAGAATTAAAGAGAGACAAATGAGGAATCCTTGTTGAAATTCCCTGCTAGGACCAATCTTTGACGTCGTCGTCTATGTAAAGAAACATATTTGTGTAGGCGTCGAAAGCTAAGAAGTGGAGTGGAGAATCTGTTATTGAATGGAAACTTGTTCTTGACGCCCTCCGCAAAACACATAGCCCCTTGAGATTGTTAAAGGCCATATTAATTAGCGCTTGTAGTTGCCGTTTGTTTTCAGAATATATTTTGCTGGAAAACATTTTTCAAGTTTCGAGTTAATGTTTGAAGTGCCTAGAAGAATCAGCCAATGAAAATGGTTATCTCGATCAAAGAAAAAAAATTAAATATTTAAAGCAAATTAAGACTTTTAGCTTTAAATCAAAATATTTTAGCTTATGGGGCGACACGTTTTGCATTTCTTTAGTTTATGACAATATTGAGAGACATAGATTAGTTCCTGAGTTATTGAAATTAATGATGTGTTTGTTGTGATTAGTGACATACTTACGAATACATTTGTCACTACTCTTTCCACCTTCACTGGAAGTAACCATTACCGAAGGTCGTGCTTTAAACAAATGTTTTCCTTTCCTTTTCAGCCTCAAATTCTTCTTCGAATATGATAGACAATGTGCATGAAGCTTCCTCTTGATTCTGAACCTATCTTGGGAGAGTCAGATAGTCGTTGTCTCGGTTCAGAAGAAAAAGGAATTCAGAAGTGGAAAACAAATGCATCGCTATCAATCCCTCCACTTCCAACCTGCATAAATACTACAAATCAGCAATTCTTTCTCAGCAATAGTTCAATCTTCAGACATATTTTTAGTTTCAAGATTTGAAGACCTAACTTTCTCTGAACTCTCCCCCTCAACGGCTACTATAGCTTGGCAAGTGTTTCAGGGTAGCAGTTGGGGTGGCGAGTTCAGCAAAAGTTGGCTTTCAGCTTTTTAAACCCTCCACCCCTCATTTTCACCATGCTAAGGTATTGATATAGCCAATTAGCCACAGTTTCTTACATCAGGAAATGTTAATTAATTGCTATACTGCTTTGATTAAATCAGCCCATAATGATTAGACTGGTGACAAAAATATCTTTCCTTTCTATAAGGTAATTGTACTAATAAATCTCTATAGTAAAGTAATATATTCTCTTACACTGTGAAGAACTGAATTTCACCGCATGTTTGTAAGCTCTGCAATGCAAGAAGAAAAGAACCAAACCGGTTTTCCTGTTCAACGAGAGGGTCCATTGAATCCTTAAATTCTTGTACTACCAGCAGCGGCACCGTGGCACTTGTTCTTATCCCTGCAAGACACAAAGGAAATGATTTGGTTGAACCTGCTAGCTAGTTCCATGCTTGCTCTAGCCAGTTACCTGTGTTTCTTGATCAAGCAATGTTTATATATGTAATGTACTTGATTAGCAGGTTTTTTGCTCCAAATATCTTATTCATGGTAGCTAGGACATGAAGAGCCAACTGTCGCCAAAGTCCTTTCCTGCTTCCTGAAGGAAATTATACATGCAATTGTTGTCATAAATCTATGTTTTAATGTTAATTTAACCTTACAGGTTTAGCTATCTTTTTATTATACATTGTGTATTAATTGACTGCCTCCTATTTTTATTTTAGATTGTCCAAAACGTTCCTATAAGAAATTCGGATTATTTTTTTCCCGATCCTTTAATAAAATGATTCATTTTATTCAAATGCATTTTTCAGCCCTAAATTATTATGTAATTTCACGAATTAATTAAAATTTAAAACTCATTTAGCCAATTATATATAATTGAATTGAATTTCTAACATGGAAACTGAAAACCCACAAATAAAAAAAACCTACCACCAATTTTTAGTGGGTTTGGTTGGAGCACTTTTCCAATTTTGTTATATGTAATCTTCACGTATTTTTGTTAAAAAGATAAAATAATTAAAATCAACGGGTTCCCTCTCATGAACTTAACTTAATCCAATGGACTAAGAACACTTATGATATAAGCACAAAAAAAAATAATTACTGTAAAATAAATTGATCCGTTAGTTGACCAACCTACTGATGCTGGACCCTAATTGATGTCCTAAAATCATATAAGTAAACGCTGGGCCCATTTTAAACAATACAACCTAAAAAACAATGGGCCTTGCCTTCCGTAGAATATTAGACCGTTTCAAGTCCGCAACGAGGAAAATATTTTCCACAAGAACACACTGCTGGAAGTGATTACGTGGCAATAATTGATTGGTTAATCTCACGTGGCTTGTATTTTGATTGGAGGAAACAACACAAAGTTAGTCTCTCCTAAGATCTCTATAGCACTATATGTATACCCTCATTTCTATGTGTCTCGGAAGCAAATCTACCATCTAGTGATTTCTTTCTTCTGTTAGATTTTAGATTCAGATTTACAGATCAGTCGGTTAAACCTAGGGTTTAAGATCTTGGGATTGATTGGTAGGAAGAAAAAATGGGAGAAGCGAAACGCATCTCTTTGCGATTGGCTGTTGTGTTTTTGGTTGCTTGCGTTTCCTTTAATCAGCTTCTTGCCTCTGATGACGACAAGGTAATTGACGCTTTTACTCTAGAAATCATTTCGGCCGCGTTTTATTTGATAATTCATGAATGTAATGCATTGTTATGTTGAATTTAGATTTTCTACGAGTCGTTCGAGGAGTCATTTGAAGGGCGATGGACTGTTTCTGGGAAAGATGATTACCAAGGTATTAGATTGTTTTCTTTTTTTTCTTTTTTTTGGTTTTTTATGTTTATATGATCTGGTTTAAAATATTTTTTGCAATAGATTTGAAGTTGAATTTTTGTTCTGTTTTTTGCTTGCGCTGTCTATGGTATTATTGCTGATGTGATACTGTAACTAACTTGGATGTATTCAGGTTACTTTTGCTGAAAATATGCATATATGTTTTTAATTAACTTTAAAAATTACCTGGTTGAAACAGCTGCGATGTGAAAATGATTACATGTTCAGTTCCTGCAATATCAGAAAAATGATAGGTCATTATTGTATCTTTTGTGAGAAATTAGAAATTAATTGGTAGTAAGATTGTTCTACTTGCGTAATGCTGTGCTGTTTAAATTGGATTAGATAAAACAAATATATTTTTTAGTTTATTTGCCTTGATAGTAAAAAGCTGCTTCTGCTTGGTGATTAATTGCTATTAATGTATTAGAAAAAAAGAAAAAAAAGTCAATTGGGTGAGGTCTAGAGACAAAGTTGAATTATGCACTATTAAGATAGTTAATTGAATGGCTAAGTAATATCTATTTCCTAGGTAAGAAGTTGATGATTCATTTATATATTTATGTAGTGTTGAAGTCAGAATTGCCATTTTTGCTCCAATTTCTGGTTTGTATAGACACACCAAGCCACCTAATTTTGTTTTGTATCTCTTTTTGTCTTGTCCCTTTTTTTTTTTTTTTTACTTTTGTTCTTGTCCTTTTTTTTTTTTTTTTTTAACTTTTGGCATTCATCAGTTTGTTCTTGTTTACTTGTTTGAATAAGTATTTGAAGGATGATTAAAACGTTTGACATGGAATTTTGAAGGTTAAAGGATGGTATTTGGTTCATACTTTTTTTTTTTTTTTTTAACTTATTGCATTATCAGTTTCTTGTTTATTGTTTGATAGTATTTGAAGGATGATTAAAACGTTTGACATGGAATTTTGAAGGTTAAAGGATGTAGTTTGGTATATTTTTAAAAATTACCATATGCTTAAGTTTATCATGCCTATGGGTTATTTACTTAAGTTAGAGTTGTCATTAGTTCGTGAAGTTGTTTGCTAAGTTGAAACTTTGAAGGAAGTGTATTTTGACTGTTGTGGTTTGGTTTTAGGTGTGTGGAAGCACGCAAAAAGCGAGGGTCATGATGAATATGGCCTTCTTGTAAGTGAAAAGGCTAGGAAGTATGCCATAGTTAAAGAGCTTGATAAGCCTGCGAGTCTCAAGGATGGAACCATTGTTCTCCAATATGAGGTTCGTTTCCAAGAAGGGCTTGAATGTGGTGGCGCATACCTTAAATATCTGAGGCCCCAAGAAGCTGGGTGGACACCTAAGGATTTCGATAATGAGTCTCCTTATTCAATAATGTTTGGACCTGACAAATGCGGGGCTACAAACAAAGTGCACTTCATCGTGAAGCATAAGAACCCAAAGAGTGGGAAGTACATTGAACATCATCTCAAGTTCCCACCATCTGTCCCGTCTGACAAGCTTACTCATGTGTACACTGCTATTCTGAAACCTGATAATGAGCTGCAAATTCTGATTGACGGCGAGCAAAAGAAGACAGCTGATTTACTGTCAGCAGATGATTTTGAGCCACCTCTAATTCCTGCAAAGACGATTCCTGATCCAGAAGATAAGAAGCCGGAGGACTGGGATGAGAGAGCTAAAATTCCTGACCCTAATGCTGTGAAGCCAGATGACTGGGATGAGGATGCTCCAATGGAAATTGTAGATGAGGAAGCTGAGAAACCTGAAGGATGGTTGGATGATGAACCTGAGGAAATTGATGATCCTGAGGCAACAAAACCGGAAGATTGGGATGACGAGGAGGATGGTGAATGGGAAGCACCAAAGATTGACAACCCAAAGTGTGAGACATCCCCTGGTTGTGGTGAATGGAAGAAGCCAATGAAAAGGAATCCAGCTTACAAAGGAAAATGGCATGCTCCACTCATTGATAACCCCAATTACAAGGGTATTTGGAAGCCTCAGGAGATTCCAAACCCCGAATACTTTGAGCTTGAAAAGCCTGACTTTGAGCCCATTGCTGCTGTTGGCATTGAGATCTGGACAATGCAGGATGGTATTTTGTTTGGGCATATCTTGATAACAGATGATGAGAAGGTTGCTGAGTCACTCAGAAAGACAGCATGGAAGCCAAAGTTCGATGTTGAGGAGGAGAAACAGAAGGCTGAGGAGGCTGCTGCTGGTACTGATGGTCTTGCTGGCTTCCAGGTAATGTTTATGCAGCCTTAGTTTCAGATAGTTTTCATCTGGTCTGTTGCTTCCGTGATCTGAGCTTTTCAATTTCATTTAACAGAAGAAGGTGTTCGATCTCCTATACAAGATTGCAGATATTCCTTTCTTAAGTGGGCACAAGGACAAAATCCTTGTAAGTCTTCTCTTTCTCTCTGTTTTTATAACTTTTTAGTTGCTGCGGTGGATGTAGCCTGAAGTATGACTGTGCTTTATGTAGGATGTCATTGAGAAGGCAGAGAAACAACCAAACCTCACTATTGGTATTCTTGTCTCCATTGTTGTGGTCATATTCACAGTTCTCCTTAAAATAATTTCTGGTGGAAAGAAGCCAGTAAGTTTTGAAACTCTTTCTCAGTTGCTATTATTTTCTGCCCTTACTAGTGCACTTGCAGCAGCTTCTCTGGAATCTAATTACGGAGGTAATTGTGTTGCAGGCAAAAGTAGACAAACCTGCACCAGCCACCGAGACTTCCAACAAAGAAGGAAGCAGTGGGGAGAAGGAAGAAGAGACTGAGAAGGAGGATGCTGCTGCTGCTGCTCCTCGCAGAAGGCAATCCAGACGTGAAACCTAAACAGATGTTTGGAAAGGCTGATCGGTGTCCTATGAATTTCACTTTTGTTAGATCTTCAGTTTAGGGGATTTTACACTCTTGCTGGCTGGGTTCTTGGCTATTCCTAATTTTTTTTCCTTTTTTCTTTGGCTTTGTTCTGGAGCGTCCAATGTATGAAGACTGAAGAGTGTAAATGACATTTTTATATGTGAGGCTTCCGTAGTTTCATTCTCCTGCCTCTGAAGCAAAAATTAGTTTGGCAAGGATTTCAGTATTCAGAAAACACTATGTAATGATGAAAGTAGTCGGTTTAATGATTTTTCTGATTTTTGATATAATTTTCAATACCATGGAGGAAAACACTTCTTCTGTTCTGTTTTTTCTTTTCTACTACTAGGGAAAGGGAAATGGAATTTTATTTTGAAACATTACTTTGAAAGCAGTTGTGCATATTTTGGTGAGAACGTCGGACATGCACAATAACAACAGCTTGGTATTTTACCCATTTGGCGCCTGCATTTGGTCACTAGGTAAAATGATTGTAAGAACCAAATCGTGTTTCTTTAACTACTTTTACCTTTCACCTGTGTAGAACTCGAATCTAATCTTTCTACTCTCGCAGTTTTTCTATAATTGAGCTCTTCATTTTGCTTAAAAACAAATATCATTCTTTTGCTTAAACAGTAAGGATTTCAGTTCTCAAATATGGTTTATCAGAAGTTAATCCTTGGCCCAGAACAAAATAAGACACGATGACGGCTGGGTTACTCTCTTTAGGCGAAAAAATATCTTCAACACAATCTGTACCTCCAAACCTAATGTGCGAATTTTGTATGGAGAGAAGGAGAGCAACGTGTAATGCCTTTGAGCACTAGATAGGGAAAAGGGATTTCGTACGAGTAAGATAGAATTAAGTCATTGGGTTATTTGATAAGAGGGTTTGAAGGAGGGAAACGTCTTTTTCAGTCAGAAATCCTCTGACCTTCCATTTTTTGAACTTACCAAATTGGGAGATTGAAGATAGTTAAAAAAATTTAGTTTACCATGTTATCTATAAATATTAAAAAAAAATCCAAAGTGCCTCTTTATATTTCCTCAAAAAAAATTGAACTAATTTATATATTTAAATAATCATTTATAATGAGAGTATTTTTCTAATTTTCATATTTTAGTTCTAGCATTTTCAAACTCTCACATAAGTGAGAACCAATCAATTACACATAATTAGCTTAATTTTACTTTCAAATACCTGTAAACCAAAACAATACAATGTGAGAAATCATCTACACATGATTAGCTTAATTTTAACCTTTAAACCAAACAATACAATAGTACGTATAAAAACTACAGTTAAACCAATCTACATTTCCCTATAATAGATTCTACTGCAGAGAAATTTATTCAAGTGACAATTTCTGCCCAGGAATTGAAACTCGTGCACGGACGAGTGCATAATTTCAATATGCTAGATTCGACATATATGGAGCTCGAAGGAAAGAATAATTCTAATGGACGTTTGAGTGCACACTGCTTGTTTTTATTTATTATTCAAAACATCATTTCTTTTTTTTGTTTTCTTCAAAATATTTCGGTTTAGTAAATGATTTGAAAGTCTTTGACCTCTATTTGTTTTTCCAAACGTATATGCTTTCAATTTCATTTGACAAACTTTAAAAATTACCCTTTAATAGTAATAGAATATTTATTTTCAAATAAAGAAAACTTTTTTCTTAGTTTACATCCATGTTATAGATTTCTCCCACAACACCCACCCAGCTACAGTATTCCAAGAATGAGATCCAGCGATATATATCCATTGCAAAAGAAAAGCAGGCAGTAAGACGACGAGAATACTGACACACTATTAACTCCATTTCGCAGCAAAACTTGTTTATAATGTTTTCACATAGCGACTGGACCAAACTGGATTTAGTTTACCTTATTAAGGAATGTATGAAAAAATTGTCCCCTCAACTACAATGGAAATTTTAGAACAAAAAGAAAAAGGAGAAAAAAAAAACAAAAAAAACAAAACTCCAGTTTACGCTGCAACATTTGTTTACTCTCATGTTCTAAAATGGAACGACATTTCCTATAACTTAAATCTCACCTCGCGCCAATCATGTCTTCTTGTTTTTTTTGTTCCTTCCACTTAATCCAGTTTATCTAAGTTATAATCATCGGCGACCACCAGTCTTTCTAACTGGAGGGGCCATGTCTTCATCATCTGACTGGATATCTCCATATACCCATATTCCACGTCTAGCAGAGCGTGCTTCATCCTGGAACTTCTCCAAATTGTCTAGGGCCACCTGTCTTTCCTTGGAGTCCCACTTCTTCCTCTTTTCTATCCTAGCCAATCCTTCCTAAAAAGTTTGAAAGGACCCGAATTAGCAGCTATTAGACAAAGCACAAACAGAAAGAAAGTTCATTCGAGGAAGTGTACATATTTCATATAATTTACAGAAGAATGCAGTCTGTCTTTCTGTTATTTTTTCCATCTAGTATTCATTTTGACCAAAACTATTGTCAAGTTTATAACTCAAATGGCATTATTAGAATGTGAGTGAAACTTCTTTATATTTATGTAAACAAAGGCCAACTTCGAGGAAGTATGATTAAGCTATCCACACAATAAAATTCTGACATGTTCACAAAAAAAAAAAAAAAAAAAAAAAAAAAAAAAAAAAATTGTCAAGTTTCATTAACTGCAATGGCATTTATTAGAATGTGAGTGAAACTTCCTTTATATTTTATGTAAACAAAGGCCTCCAACTTTCGAGGAAGTATGATTAACAGCCTATTCCACACAATAAAATTATGAACATGTTCACAAAAAAAAAAAAAAAAAAAAAAAAAAAAAAAAAGGAAAGGTAGCTAGCACACTGCCTCGTATCCTGTACGCAATGGCTGCAAATTTACAAACTGATCTCCAAAGAATCCACCAGCAACCAAAGTTAACGATAAGAACTTGATCCAGTTCCCCTGTCCTTTACTTTCCTCCAGAAGTATCCCCTCTCCTCTACCTTTGCCAATAAACTCTTTTGAGGTGTTTTAATGTATGATCACCAAATACTAGCCTGCTTCTGGAAAAAAAAAAAAAAAAAAAAAAAAAAAAAAAAAAAAGGAAAGGTAGCTAGCCCACTGCCCGTACCTGTACCATGGCTGCATTTACACTGATCTCAGAATCCACAGCAACCAAAGTTACGATAAGAACTGATCCAGTTCCCTGTCCTTTGACTTTTCCTCCAGAAGTATCCCTCTCCTCTACCTTTGCCATAAACTCTTTTGAGGTGTTTAATGTATGATCACTCAAATACTCAGCTGCTTCTGGACCATAATCCTCTTCCAAGCTTGGAACCTTAATATATGCAAGACTGCACAGCTGAGCAAGACCAGGTGCCAGCGAGACTGATGGATCAAGGGGCCGTAACTGACTGTACATGACCTCCTCCTGATTTCCATAATCAATGTAGAACACCTCAAACCTGTCTTTCATGGATTCCACTGCTCCACGAGGTGCAGTCACAATCTTCACAAGTCACATAACAAGAAACAGAACAAAGAGAACATCAGCATCACAAGTTAAATGGACTTCAAAAAGGAGGGGAAAAAAGAGATGATTCTAATTGGTTAGCACTGAAAACATAAGATTGCCCCATCTATGAAATAATTGCAGTAATAAAAGGTATATGAAATGAATTCAATAGTATGAAAAACAGAAATAAAATTAGATAAGAATGGAATTGATAACTTAGCAGATAGGAGATCTGAGACTCACCATTGCTCGATTCCATGAATTATCTGCACTGAACTGAGCAAGTACAATGTCACCTTTCTTAGGATTAAAAGCGCCAATCACAGGAGCTTCTTGGAGATTCAGGGAAGCAAGTTGTTGCTGAATAGAGGCAACTTTTTGATCCCCAACAGCCTGTACATAGAACTTGCCACCACCCAGGACTTCTGAAACCACCACCTGAAAAATATATTGAACAGCAAAATTCACAAACCATGTTATGACAAAGCAGAAATATTATCCAATTATATCACAACTACCTTTAGCACTTCTTTCTGTTTGCTTTCAACAGCTGGACCATTAGAGACTTCCTCTCCTTCAACATAATTCTCCCAAATCTGCAACGAATTTTTCAGTCTCATCCTAAGCAGAGAGACAAACATTATTATGACAGCAAAATATATCACATGTCTGACTTCTTACTTTCAGTTTCTTCTTTTTTGCAGACTGCTCAGCCTGTTCAAGAAGATGAGCATCACGAATCCTGTCAAGGCCAAAGGAAGTTTGCAACCTTGCAAGCCCAGCTTCAAGAAGAACTGTTGCCATGTTAGTCTTTGCTTCCCACAGGGTTCCCAAGAACGTTCCAGTTCTATCAACAGTTTCTATTTCAATCTACACAAAATAAACATTCATCAAAAGAATGTAATTAAGTATGCAGTAAAGTAACAGGCCTAAACAGGAAGAGCAATACCTCAACATCCCTCTGCATTATCCTTCGTCTCATTAGTGCAATTGCCTCATCTGAATATGGCTCATCACGACCGGGACACCTAACACCAGAAAATGAAAACGCAATGCTGCATGTCTCCTTGGGACATAAAACCTTAAAACGGTGACCACTGAGCACATATTCCACTACAGCAGCAATTTTTCTGCCCCGGTGCAGGAAAGGCAAGTATTCTTTTGCTTTCTTGGATGATTGCTGAAAGAACCATATTAAAATTGTAAGGAGGACATCATAAACGAAGGAAAAAGAAAAAAAGATAGCATGGGGGAGGGGGGGGGGTGTTTGGTGGGTGGGAGTGCAAAACAGCAGTGTATATTCCTAACCGTGGTGAGATCTAGTATATGCGATACTGGAGACTCCTTGCCAGAATGCATTCCTTTCTTCTGAGCAATAGCCCGTGATTCAGCAGCAAGAAGGGCATCATAATAATTTGATCTTTCCTCAAAGTCCCTATGCCGAATCACAGTGGCAAAGCCACGGGAAACCATCAACTCACCAACATTAAGCCCAGGTTGCTGATTGCTACCAGTTGATGAAGCTGCTGACACTTCATCACCATCACCGTCAGAGGAAGACAACTGGAAAACTGATCCAAAATCCATTATTCTCGAGTCCCCAGATCCAGAAGCAGGCATAGCTCCATCTCCCATGGTAACCTTTCTAGAATATTCCATTTGCACATTCACCTGAAAAACATATATTGTATAATATATAACATAACATATATACAATCGTGATGAGATGTGACAGCTATAGTTTTCATACTTGCTGCCCAATAAGGCGACGTCTGAGAAGATCCTTAGCTTCCCGTGCATAGTTCTCTGGCTTTTCATCTCTGCGAGGATTTCCCATTTTCGGGCACCTAATACTCGAAAGATTGACCCGTCTTTCTGCCAATGGACTTCCATATGGGACGGAATCATCGGCCACAATGATGCAATCACCACTTACAATCTCCACTACCTGGAGGAAAAATTAGTTTGCTGGAGATCCATGCAGAGAGATAAACAATTGTGTAGAAAATAATAGTTAAAAATTTTTACCTTTCCTGTGAAGTTCTGGTCATGAATTGCTTTTGAATTTGTTGGAGGGGGCACATAGTTTGTCCAGATCCTCAAGCGGTTTTTCTTAGCTTGAAGTTCCGCATTCTTCAGCCGGCGTTTAGCATCATCTTCCATCATGTTTGCACTCCATTCAACATATTTAGCTAGACCCTGCATGTGAGAAAGAGAGAGTGTTATTCAGAATCTCTATAAAAGGAAATAGGAAAATATGACATCTGATATTACTTTCGAGTATTTTCAATGCATAAACTACTGAGAAAGTTGTCAAATCTAACAAGCTAAAAGGCAATTGATCATTCTCTACTTCTACTAGCAACTAACTTAATAAAACACAAACATTTTATAGGTTAAAGCATCAACAAGTTTTACAGGAATCATCATTTTGTATAGACTAAATAAAGACTTCTACAAACATTTATGCAACATGCACACACATGTACATAGTTTCACTGTCAAGATTCATTTTGCCATTAAAATAAGACATAAGCTTATATTTCAATCAAAGCCCCTTGTTCTAAATAACTCTCTATGCCTGACAGGGCTGTTTCTTTCCATTTATTTTCCCAATTTTTTGGCTTGGGATGAACAAACAAACCTCAAGCTCTTTAACACGAAACAGGCACAGCAGAGATATGAGAATAGATCCATACAGAAAATAGTGAAACCATGTGAAGGTTAATGTAGAGAAGCAAAGAAAGACAGGCCAATTTGCTAGCTCTACAGATATGATTAGCATGTGCAATCAACATAATCTGGCAACATTAGATCATATACATTTTCCACAAGCTCCAACGCCAAGTCCTTTGCCGATTCCCCATCCTGATAATATACTGATCCAATCAAGTTGCTGAATTTGTCAACTCCTTCCAAGACAATACGGACCTGCAAAAACAAAAGTTAGATCAAAAAGGAAAACTAAAATCTAGATGTCATGTACAGGAATCTGAAAACAGCAATTTAACTTACATCTCTATTTAATACACGTTGCTCAGTAAAGTATTTCGCTTCCAGTGCAAATGGATCAGGAGCAACTTCTGATGATGTTGCTGCTGAGACTGCGAGTCTCTGTGCTGACGTTAAAGGGGCTCGAGGTTCAGAAGCATCTCCATTTTGCTCATCAGAGTTTAGGACTTTTTCCGCAGCAGTTTCTAGTGTAGCTCTTCTACCCATTGATGGGCCCTAACTTAAACAGGCAAACAATAGATGTTTAGGGAGCATAATAATGATAGCAACAAGTACAACTATGCTAACCACAGTGTACCTGGATTCCTGCAACAAACACCTGGACAAACTGGAAATCTGGAAGCAAATACACACGAACAGTACTGCCATCACGAACTTGCTCAACAATACCTTGCATGGGCCTGCCCTTGTTTGCAGCAAGCAGACCCATGGCATCCAAGTTACTAGGATCACCAATGGCAGAGGGAGGAAGATTTCTGATGGATGCCTCAGCAGCACCAGGTGTCTATGGTAAGAAATTTGGAAGATCAGAACATTTAATGAATATCTATTTTGTACAAAGTAATAAACAAAGACATCATTGTAATTCTTCATATTAGACTTGCCAAATGCAATAGCAACTTTTCACTATTTGAACTGTTGGTATAAACAGCCAAAATTTAAAGATGAACCATATTCAATATAATCAAAACCATATCACAAAGAACAGGTATTGCAGTTTGCAGCTCCACAGAAGGTGGCCATGCATCACCTATGGATAAAATAGTTCAACATGGAGCACTCTGATATTATTTTTAGAGATCAATAATTCACTAGCCTTAAGTCCTAAATGTTTCCATTTCACTTGGAATACTAAATTATTTATATTATGATGATAGAAGCATCAGTAAGAACAATGCAACTAAGCCATTGATATTGAGGTTGATAACTGCTTTTAGAAGTTGTTGCAAGAAGCAAATTGAAAATGTTGCTTTGGGTTTTTTATGCCTAATCAACTAACCTCTAGCTAGCTACGATGAATCAACATAGCCAACACAATGCTTTTTCGCTAAACACAACCTAAGTATTATGTATAAGTTTCTTTGACACTCTATGGATAAGAACTTCAAGAAGAAAAAATAGAAGGCCAAAATTCAGATTCACAATTGGAAAGAAGAAAAAGAGAAGCACCAGTATGCCAGGAACCAACCTTACTCCATCGACCTAGACCCTTTTGCTTTGCTTGTTCTTCATGGACTTGATATTCAGCAAGAAAAGGACTGGCATCACCTTTCGGCTGACCCTGCTCCCTGACCTGCACTAGCAGATTCAGAAAATGCCCACATGGAAAAGATATGAAATCAAAACCTGACAAAAGAATATAACCTTTGCCCAGCCTTCTGAAACCATTATAGTTCCAACATTTCGGTCATCTATAAACACAATTCCAAATTCTCGGCCAACGTTTGGTGCAGTGGGATCAATCTTGAACGTGACATCCTGTTTCATAAGATTAAGATGTTAGCACATGAATCCCCCCCTCTATACCCAATATACTTTACCCAATATAAAAGCATACCCCCAACAGCAGCAAGAATAATACATTTTAGTAATATTCACCTTTCCTATGCAGAGTTTCCTCAAAAACTCTCTGCTCTCCCAGGCAAAGGGTTCATCAACACCACCTCTTCGGGCCTGGCTTAGTCATAACAATTCAAAACATTAGCCACAGGTCGAATTTAGCATTTATAAAACCAAAGACGGTGAAAATGAAAAAATGAAAAAGTCTTTCAAACCCTGAGATTGTACAACTTAGAACCTCAATATAACTCCACAAACTAGATAGCCATTCAGCTATTCACTTAAGCAAGTAATCAAAAGGCATGCAACTTACATAATAATGCACGGAAAACAAAATATAAATCACATGTTTACCAGTCTTGGAGCGACAAGATACGACAAACTAATGGTCCTCTCAGGCGGAGGGCCAGGCCTATTGCTAGACTTGGCCGTTAATACCAAAGTGTCCCCTGACGGAACAGCTTTCACTTTTCCACTGTACCATCCAGTTGAGCCTTTTGCTGTTGCCATTTCAACAACTAAGATCTACAGGCACAACAAACCAATTCAAGTAAATAAATAAAAGAGATTTGAGAAAGAAATTCAACACCTTCACGACTCTGTTCACATAATTGCACAAAAAGAGTGAATCTTTTGTTGATCCAAAAGCGTTAGCAGCTATATATATCATATAATAATCAATTCTCCATCCCGATCATCCAAAAACGAATCCATAAAACATGCTAAAATTCAAAATTAAGGCCAAAAGCAATACAGAAACTTCAGATCCGAAGCATCGAATTCATCCAAACACAAAAACAAAGCCATTGAACAGGTACATACACAAAAAAGATCTGTAAACAATCACAGTATTAGACAGCCGCACAGCTTGATCTATAGCATTCTGAGGACAATCATATATTCCTTGTAATATATCAAATAACATGTTTTCTTTTGAACAACAAGTGGATCAGGGAGCTAGAAAATTTTCACTCCACACACATAATATAATGAACACAGAGACAGATCTGCTACAAAAATGGCTATTACCTGGATCTCTCAAATGAGAGAAAGAAACAGAGGAAAAAAAAAAGTCTCTACAGTAAGAGTCGAACAGAGAGATCTTTGCCAAGTTAGACGGCGGATCAAGGAGAGAGGCAGAGAGCAAGACTCTAAAATGGGGGGGAGAGAGGAGAGATATAAATTAAAGGTAGAGGGTGCTGACAATGAATATACCCTTCCTTTTCGGGTGAAATTACAGGAGTACCAAAAGAGATTTTGACGAGCACAGCTACTGTGTTGTAACAAAATCAATAGAAAGTTTAAATATCCTTTTTGGATTTTCCAAAATTGATGTCTATCCTCCTCCTCTGTTCTAATCCTTTTTGGCCTGAATTAGGAAATAACATTAATTAATTTCTTTCTTAAAAAGAAATATTATTTTTTTTAAATAAAGGATTTGAGATTAATTTTCTGTAAGAAACTTAAATGTGTTTTTATTTGGAGGGTTCGTGCTTTGATGATGTCATTAAAGCTGTTCTTCCATTACTCACCATTGCTCCATTAACCTATAGGCCTATTAGGCAAAATTAAGATTAAATGATACTGAAAAATTAGTCATAACTCGATAATCATTTTATTTTTATATCTTAAGAGATCAAATATTATTATAAATTCAAATTTCAGATTTTAAATATTTGACTAGATAGATGGAAATGTGATTGTGACGTATGAATTTTTGAATTTAACTGATTTTTTATAATTTTAATTTTCCATTAAAATATATGATATTAGTTTTAAAAACATCAGGGCTCTTGTGTAAAGAAAATTCACTTGTAAGGGATTTCTCTTCCGATTGTAACTTTTGGTGCACACCAAAAATTTTTTTGAAAAAATTCCAATTAATTTTTTTTTTTTATATAAAATAGAGCTTTTTTTTTTGACATGATTGATAAAATAGAGCTTAGCATATTTGTAGTTTAAAAAATAATCATTATCATTAAAACAAATAAAAATAATTACTTTTTTTTAAATGTTTACCATACAATCCCTAAAAAAAGGCATTTTGCCATTTTCAGTGTAGCAAAACATGGAAAAAAAGCTGCTCACCAAACTTCAACTACACCTTCAAAGCAACATTTATTAATAAAAAAAAAATGTTAAAGATCAAAAAAAGAATTCTTACTTCATCAGGTGATCTCCATTGCTCCACATGAATTTCCCATTAATGTAAATTTTACTGATTTGGAGAAACATACATACTTTTTTTTTTCTCTTATTAATAGTAATTATATTTATGGCCCAGATTTGCAGCAGTAAAAAAAAAAAAAAAAAAAGATTTGCCATGTAATCGTAAAAAACGCCAATTACTGTTGGATTTTACCTAAAACGCGTGGCAAGTGCCAAAGCACAACCAAAAGGACAAAATATGAGAAGAAACTGAACATTTTAAGATAGCATTTGCGCATTTGGATCCTCTAAGAATGCAGATAAAGGAAAAGGACATGACGTCAATGACTTGTTTTCCTCATCTTACCGTTTTTGCTTTACCTGAAAATAACAGAACAGATAGATAAGTTACGTACAATACGCGGTAGTTTCTTTTGCCTCTGGAATATCCGCCTTTCTTTTGCTTTAACTCGAAACAGTAATCTCCAATTCGAAAACTCTCCTCGTCAAATCAATAAAATATAGATCAAATCACGTGTTATTGACTATGTATAATTTAGTTTATTGATTCAAATAATGAATTTATCAAAAAGCATTTTCTTTTTGAGAATTGGAGAAAATTGATTTAAATGTAAATCTATTGTATATAGATTTACCGTTAGACTGTGTCTTGGTGTGCTTTAGAAAGTAATTTAATTGGTAAATTTAAATTACAATTTGATATAAATTTATTTACAATATCAAGATTAGAAATATAAAATTACTATTATTGACAAAGTTTTATCTAAATAATACTCTAGAAAATGTGTAAAACAGAAATAAAAAAAGTACAATAATTTGGCAGTGGGTGATTCAATTGAAGTTGCAGCCACGTATGGTAGTGATATCATTTAGCACTTGGTCGTATGTGGAAACTCGCACCAAACGTATGAAAAATTTATTGGCCCGTTCCACTTGGTTTACTCTTTCTGGTATTGTTAGACTGCAGTTCCCTGTTTTCAAATAAATAAATTTTCTATTGTGCTCTTGCTCGATGTTAATAAATTAGAAGTTTGAATTTCAAAAGTTATTATAAATAGAAAAAAAAAATGTAAAAAAAAAAAAAATTAGTAAACGAAAATGTATGAAGATCTTTATGTTTTAATAGACTTGATAAAAGGTATATAACCATCAAACTATATATGCATTTATTATAAGTTATATTGAAGCGTGCATCTCAATCATTGAAGCTGGGAAAACCCCTTTTCAACGGTGTCAATCGAAGAATAGATCTCCTGTCGATCAACGACCACGTGTTCTGTCAACCGTTCCTCGCAAAAACTTGAACGGCATCACTACAAGACGTTCATTCTGTAGTTTTTGAACTAATTAACATTTGTTTTACCCTCACATTCTAATACGCTTTAATCTTCTTCTTCCCTGAAGAGCTCAAAAGGTTGTAACAACATTTGCTTTGTGATGGAATCAAGATTGTGCACAAGACACTAGGGCTTCGTGGCTTGTTACTAGAAGCCATTCTGTTCTGTGCCGGCCAGAAACCTAATGTGTACAATTTAGCATTTATAATCTTCATAAAAGTGGAGAAGTAAAACCTCAAGAAAAAGGGCACCATCGTGCTACTTGTAGTGCTAAATCTTTCCTTTCATCCACTGTAATTTTCATTTCCCTTCATACATATATGAACAAAAATAAAGATGTAGACACAAACACTGTGGGATTTCCCAAACATTTATTTGTGCAACTTCCTAGGAGGGATAATGACCGTAGGTGGATCGGGTATCTTGTCATTTGGCCCAAGATTGTCAATTGGTGGATGCTGCTTATGATGATCAGTGACAGATTGGTAAGCCATTGCTAATGCCAGAGCCTGGACAAAAGGTAGACACAGTTATTCAGCTCAATAGCAAGAGTCTTACATCTACACCTTGTATGCAACACTTTTTTTTTTTTTTTTTTTTAACACTGTGGGATTTCCCCAACATTTAATTTGTGCAACTTCCCTAGGAGGGATAATGGACCAGTAGGTGGATCGGGTATTCTTGTCATTTGGCTCCAAGATTGTCCAATTGGTTGGATGCTGCTTATGGGATGATCGAAGTGACAGATTGGGTAAGCCATTGCTAATGCCAGAGCTGGACAAAAGGTAGAACAGTTATTCAGCTCAATAGGCAAGAGTATTACATCTACACTTGTATGCAACACTTTTTTTTTTTTTTTTTTTTTTTTTGTCAACAGAAAGAGGTAAAATTATTAAAACTTAACATAATTAAGGAGCTTACAATGTGATCATGGTTAGGACGAGCATAAATGCCAGTGTTGATAGTGGTTCTCCTTCGGCTTCCTCCAGAAGGTGGATTAGATATATTTTTAAATCCAGTTGGAATCACAATTACAGGCAGACCCACAAGATTCCCCAGACAAACCTTTTCCCAGTCAGTTGCATTGCCAATGAATGCGTCGACACTGAAACTCTTTTTGACTTCCTGAATTAATTTTCCTCGTGCCCTTTGCGCCTATGGAAAAGATTATCTCAATGCGAATACATGGTTTATTCTAATGCATGAAATTTATTCCAATATCGCTGACTATGTGTTCTAGACCGGATTGAGCAAAGTTTATGCCTGCTATGCTCTTAAAAATGAATGACAATGCATAATTTAAGATATTAAAATGATAAGCACTTCCAAGGTTGTCTTAGAGAGTATTGCATAAAAAAAAGGCCACGTAACTCCACCAAAGAACTTACAAAACCTTCGGGGTGACAGCAATTTTTTTTTTTTTCTTTTTTTTTTTTGCTTTTGGGGAAAAAAAAACAGAAAGAAACAAATGGGATGTATAATGCTGTTAGAAACCATATAGATGTTAAGGCTATCGATTGATCAATTGATAACAGAAAATATACCTGCACATAATCAACTGCTGGAATTACATGTGAACGACCCAACTCAGTGGGCCATTGATCTTGAGCTTCATAAACATCATCCTGACCAATGCGTTGCCACTCATCAAAGTGAGCCAACATTTCAATGTCCATTGTGAAATTTAATATTCCTTGGACAGAGTCAACAGTGTAATTCAGTTTGAAAGGAACCATATTAACACCTTTTTCCTTTAGCACATGAACAACCTGCCATTGCCGTCCCAATGAAATTCACTCAAAACTTTGATTGGAAGGGAAAAAAAATCAACAGAAAGCCGCCAGCGTCATGAATTAAGTTGGCTGATAAAAGTGGGTGCCATTCGTAATCTGTTTGTTGAACAACTTCTGAAATCAGTAATGTGACATATACAGCAAATGAATAGCCTACTAACCTCCATTTCAGCATCATCCATATATCCAACAGTAAGCTGTGTAATGTCAACAGAAAATGGATCATTAAAAGGAATATCTCTTGAGGAGACATCATCAGTATCCTTCCCCCTAATAGCATCCAGAACAACTGCACAATCTGCAGCGCTTCTGCAGAAAGGACCAAGCTTATCCTGTTAAATAAATGCAATTTAGATTCTACAATTGGCGCACAGCTAATGAATGGAGAAATACTATTGACATGAATAACGTAAGGCATCACCAAGCTTTCTGCTATGCTCATTACACCAGTTCGACCAACAGTACCAAAAGTTGGACGCAATGCTGTTACACCACAACGAGCCGCAGGGTATGTAATTGAGCCAGCTGTTTCTGAACCAATCGCAAATGGGACCATACCTGTTTATGGATAACTAGTTCTTAATTGCCAAAAAAGTTCATTAAAAAGGATACTTGTCTTGTGATTTTATTGAAATGATATTGGTTCAAGATTTCAGTGCAAACTTAAATAATTCTTGAGATTGTTGAACAAGTACTCAAAATCCTATAAAAATTTACATGATCACAATATGGAAGGGAATGTAACTTTGAAGATCAAAACCCATAAGACCAGAAGAATACCGGCAGAAGTGCAGGCAGCAGGCCCAGCTGATGAACCTGTTGAAAATTCCTCAATGTTCCAAGGGTTTCTCGTTCTACCCCCAAACCAGATGTCATCATATGCCAGTGATCCAGAAACAAGTTTTGCAACAAGAACTGCCCCTGCTGACCTTAACCTGTATTCAGCATAGCAATGAAATTGCGAAATAATTTACTTTCTGAATGCAATAAAAGTACTTTCACATTATACTCGATACCTCTTGTAAACCCAAGCTTCAATATTAAGAACTTGATCTTTGAAACTTTTTGAACCCCATGTTGTCTTGTACCCAGGTACTGCTATAATATCCTTCAGTCCATAAGGAATTCCATGGAGAGGTCCTGTAAGATGAAACCATTATTTAAATCTAGAGTCAAAGAAACAATTTCACAATACTTATAAAGAAGCAACATTAAGAATCCGAATTACAACATGAACAAAATCAAGGTTGAATCATTTTGATAATAATCAGTTTGATCTGTTTTACCAAGGTCTACAACGTTTACTAGACAAGCTTATCTTTCCCACCTATCTACCTGAAAGCCGCTTAATTAAAACCCTTTGAAAAATGCATTTCTGGCCAATGGCATTAACTTAAGAATTAAAACATCCATTTGATGGAAGGATGATACTAATACTTTGATTATGTTAATTGTGAAGAGATAAGATACCCAAATATACTCCTTTCGCAAGCAATTCATCAGCTTCTTTTGCTTGCTTATAGCCTAATTCGTCTGTAAAAGTTATCACAGCTTCAAGAACAGGATTGTACCTACGCATTTCAAGCAATTGATCATTATTAATAAAAAATAACTTGAAACTTACAATGAATAACCACCACGCTAATTTCTTTGACACACCTTTTCAACCTCTCAAGGAAAATTCCCACAAGCTCCTGAGATGTAATTTGCTTCGTCCTAATGAGTTCTCCTAGTTCAAGTACCTGCCATAGTCTAGCCAAATTGACACAGAGAGAGAAAAAAAAAAGAGAAAAAAAAAAAAAAAAAAAAAAAAAGAGAAAAAAAAAAAAAAAAAAAGACCATTGATATACCCACAAACAAAGTAGCAACTAATAATTTACACTCCATGAATGACAATATCTTTCTCAACTTTTTGGCTTTCGTTGTATGGCCAACGGGGAGCAGGATAGTTAAATCTTTTGCTTGCATGTTTCCACGTTGCCTCAGGCAGTCCACTTCTGGATTAAATACTAAATTAAGATGGGTTATGCAATTCCTCCATTTTCAGAAGCAATAATTTCTCCGATTAGCTCTAATCACGGGGCAAATTAAAGACTCCACAAAAAAAAAAAAAAAAAAAAAAAGACATTTGATAACCCACAAACAAGTAGCAACTAATAATCTTACACTCATGAAGACAATATCTTTCTCACTTTTTGGCTTCTGTATGCCAACGGGAGCAGGATAGTTAAATCTTTTGCTTGCATTTTCCACGTGCTCAGGAGTCCACTCTGGATTAAATACTAAATAAGATGGGTTATGCAATCCTCCATTTTCAGAAGCAACTAATCTCCGATTAGCTCTAATCACGGGCAAATTAAACTCCACCGCACCCTTTGCAATCTCCATCACCTAAATGAATTTTTTTTTTTTGTTAAATAAACAAACATAATTACATTAAATAGAATAAAAAAACGAAAAATGGAGAAGTTCTACACAATCACCTTAGCATCATTGAAGAAATTGGCATCTAGAATCTTAAATGCGCATCTAAGTTGCGAAGCTTCAGTTATCTTATCTGAGCATCTGCTATTTCTCTTACTATCCTGCTCATTAACAACAATGAAACCATTAAGCCATGTAATATATACAGAAACAAGATCAAATTATCTATGATCCTGCTTATTTCTAATTGCTGAGCGTCACCTTACCTGCACAAAAGATTTACGGGAACAAGTACCAAATTTGTCTCGAAACGTTACCCATAATTTTCTAAAAGGCCTAATCTGATTTTTCAATATATTGAGGAAAACCATTACTATAGAAAAAAAGACACCAAGTTTCAAATTTTCAGAGACAGCGAGAAAGATACCATGGTCACGTTACTTTCAGCGAGAAAGCGAACGGATTGCTTTGAAATGGGCGAATCAGAGGTGGGATCGTTTTGGGAGTGTAAGCAGACACAAGACCCAGCTACATAAAACGACATGGAGAGTACAAAAACGACGCAGAGACTGAAGCGTGTCAATCCAATCGGAAAAGAAAGACAGAAGTCAACCGCCATAGCTGCCACGTTTCAGTCCTCAATGGGTGCTTTCATTGGTTTCTGCACTTATACTAGCTCATCAGATAACTGCATAATATAATACTATTAGTATTTGATCTGAGTTGTTGTCGCTGATTGGAGAGACTGAGTAGCACCGGCATTGTCAGGTCCACCGCCAAAACACGGTGCCAGTCTTTTGTAAGCTCTTTGACTTTGCTGCACAAATGCCTGTCTCGGCCGGCCATCAGTAGTGGTAAATAATCTGACCGATGCTGGTGCTATAATTAACTAACAAAAAATCGAATCTGCCGTAAATGGTAATTTGGCTGACTTTGACCAGTCCGCATCTGATTCCCATACACTTGAATGTATTTGATTCTTTTTGTCATAAATCGAATTGCCTTTTCAAAAAATAAATAAATAAATAAATCCGACATGAAAACTCTGTATTATATATACAATCCACTTGTATCAATCGGCCGAGAATATCTCCAACCTTTTTAGCCTTTTCTGGGACCCATCCGCTTCGGTTAGCGTGAGAAACTCCCTCTAAGCAATTTGCAGTTTTCTTCTCAGAATATGATCGATCTAATCCTCGAGCTTGAGCAGTGGATTCTCTAAAAAGCTGTAAGTTAATTTTGAATTGTTTCATTTGGGATGTTTGTTATTCGGCATTGTATTGAGTGAGGAAAATATTAAAATTCAGGTTTTTTTTGGTTTCTGTGCGATCGTGAACGTATTTTGAAATTTTTTATTTTTTTTGAAAAGATTTGAAATTTTTTATTTGCTGATCTTTTTTTTTACTATGTACTTTGTGCTCCATGTATATTCTAATTTATTCTTAATTTATGGGCTTAGAAAATTTCTTTTCTTGAGCGATAACGGGAATTAAGATAGGGCTTCTGGGTTCTGTAAATACTGTGTGAATTAGGAGATTACGAACTACCTAATTTTTCAATTATCAATTTTGCTTCTTTTCTCAACTTTGAGTAGCAATATTCTTCATATACCCTCAGGAAGTTCTTGAGAAAAGTATTGTTAGAATGGTTAAAAAGACTTGTTAGATTTTTGCGGTGTTATTTCTTGTGGTTCATTTTCCCAATTTTGAGATTCATTTTCACATGGGATTTTGTCATAATAAATTATTTGAGCATCAAATTTAGGAGCTTTTCTTTCATAATAAGCGGAATTGGAAGAAAATTTACCTGAGCTTTTTAAGGGAAGACAGAACATGCAAAATTTCATGAATATGTAAGGTCAAATTTTCATTTCGTTTACATTTGAGGGATTTGAAATAAGGAGGTTAAAATTTGAGAATGTGTTGGTTTCATTTATTGATTAAATATAAATTCATGAATCTAACCAATGCAAAAATTCACTTGGATGTGTGTTTGTAATAACGATAAAAAGTGTTAATTCAGATCCATCTGAAATAATTTCTGAATCAGATAATTGAATCTAATCAATTGAAACTGTCATCAAAACGGTTTGAACTAAAATCATTTTTAAGTTACTCATTTGAAATCCTTTAATGCAAATTGGCATCCACTTGGCTTCATTGAGGGTCTGATCCCAATAAACGGATAAGTAAAGAAGCACGATTCATTTGTAGAAAAGTGGTGCAAGCCGGTTTTGTTCTCCCATTTATAGTCAGTTTTTCTATAGTTAGCAACTTATTGGAAATGTTTGTTTCTTGTTCTTTGACAGTTTTCAGCATTACACATTTTATAAATTTGTGGTCTTTATAATGTCTGAAAGCATTAGCATGGGAGAGCTAATACTCTGGTAATTTGCCTGAAATTTGCAGATTGATTATCCCTTCAAACACATAAAGCTCAAGGGAAGAACTTTTCTTTGTTGTAATATTCTTCATTAATCTCACACACCATGCTTAAGATCCCAAAACATCAAGTTGCTGGTCATAAAGCATCTGATGGACTGCTTGGCCCTCTCATAGATGATTCAGGGCGCTTCTACAAACCTCTTCAGAGTGATGAGCGTGGCTCCAAAGAGGTGGCCTTCTACACATCCTTCTCTTCCAATGCAATGGTCCCAGAGCACATCCGCAAATTCTTTCCTATCTTTTATGGTACCCAACTCTTAGAAGCATCAGATGGATCTGGGTTGTGCCCCCACATTGTCTTGCAGGATGTTGTCTCAAATCTTTTGCATCCATCCATTATGGACGTTAAGATTGGTTCTAGAACATGGTACCCACAAGCACCTGAGGACTATATACATAAGTGCCTTAAAAAGGATAGGGAAACCAGCAGCTTGTCATTGGGTTTTAGGATATCTGGCTTGCAGCTATATGGCAGTGAAGAATCAGGATTCTGGAGACCTGGGAAGAAGGTTGTCCAGAATCTTAATGCAGATGAGGTTAGAGTAGTTCTGAGAAAATTTGTTTCTTCCTACTCATCTGCTGATCCAAATTTTGTACCAGATTGTGCTTTTGCATCTAGTGTTTATGGTGGTTCAACTGGGATTCTGGCCCAGCTATTGGAGCTAAAGTCATGGTTTGAGGATCAAACCATCTACCATTTCAATTCCTGTTCAGTACTCATTGTGTATGAAAAGGGGTCCATGCTTAAACGTCCAAGTTCTGGTGCTGTAGTTAAACTTGTTGACTTTGCTCATGTCACGGAAGCCAATGGTGTTATTGATCATAACTTCTTGGGTGGCCTTTGCTCTTTGATAAAGATGATCTCTGAGATTCTTACCAGTCCAGATGAGTGCCGAACCAAAAATGGTTTGCAGGACTCCGACAAGAATTGTATTTATATTGGCGACAGCAAAGGGGAGTGAACACAGCATTTCAAGGTGCTGAAAGATCTGGACAAAAATTACTTTTTGCTAGGAGAGGCCTTATTTTTCTTTTTGCCTAGCTCAATGAGACTGTCAACTAATATGCATTGACCTGTTGAATAAATTCTGCGTAGAGTTCCACGGCTATTATTTGTCCTTTTAGCCAAGTGGAAAAAAAGAAACAAACTTAACTGTAAAACCTATTTTTTTGTTCTCAGTCCATTATTCTGTTAGTTCCATTCTCATTCCAATACACAGATTTTTTCGTGATTCTGTGTTTATGTGATGGAAAAACTAAACTTATGCTATTATTGTTGTTCGTGTGATGTGGTTTTGAGGTGAAAAATGGAAAGTATGGCCTTATTATAGTTCTATTATAGTTCTAGTAGTACTACATCTGACTTCTTTAGTCGCAGACATGAAACTAGAGTCTCTCCTCGAAAATTTGAGTGCACCGAAGAGGTCTTGAAAATGTGAATGTGAGACAGAGGATTAGTAATCTGAAGTCCTCCCGTATAATAGACTCTCTAGTCTTTTTGTAGTTACCTAAACAATTAGATTCAGTGCAGGAAAGAGAATTAATAAGACAAACGGAGTACGTTAAGGCTGATTGCAAAAGCTTCTTTATATGCCACTCGACCACTTTCAGCTTTAATTTTACAATACATGATAAAGAAAAAATAGCTGCCAACTTGCCATTAAATATCATTTTGGAGCTCTTTCTCATGGCAACTGACTGAACAGCCTTTTTAAATTAAGTAATCAATCACATTTATTTAATTGCAATTAGCTCCAGTATCCTGCATCCTCAAATTACTTTCAAAATCCCAAGGTAATGTGTTGCATTCAGTGGAGTAAATTGCTTTCCTGAACAAAATCTTTATATAATGAAAATAATTAAGGACATTTCCATCGTGACTTTGATAACATTTCTTTCAAGCAATGCTATTATTTAAATCTGCTTACAAGATAATCTATTTGAAATCTAGCAGTGAACTCCAAGCCTGAAAGAAAAAAATAAAAACTTCCATTTCTTGCAATCTCTAAACAATGCACACACATATATAAAACAAATAAAAAAGCAATCAGTTATTCAAGACAGATAAAAAACACTCATCTGCTCCAAAAAAGCTAACCAAGATGAATTCCTTCATCCTCTTTTGCATGGTCTCGAGCGTTTGTATTAAAATATGCCTGGCAGACTTCGATAATCTGCAGGATGTTTGTCCAGCAGAATCTACAAGCCAGCAGACAATCTTCATCAATGGCTTGCCTTGCAAGAACCCAGCAACCATCACTCCCTCAGATTTCAAGTCATCGAAACTAAGTCGCCGTGGCAATACAGAAAACTTCTGTAGTTCCTCGACAACTATTATCACAGCCTTTGACTTTGCTGGCCTGAACACACTAGGCCTCTCAATAGCCAGAACAGACCTTGATGTGGATGGTGTAGTACCGCCACAAACCCATCCAAGAGCTACCGAGATTTTCTTTGTCGGCGCAGGAGTAGTGATTATTGGATTTGTCGACACCCAAACTCAATTTTTTCAAAAGATTCTCAAAGAAGGAGAAGTTTTTGTTGTTCCCAAGGGTATGCTCCATTTCTGCGCGAATGCTGGCAACGAGGATGCTACTGTTTACTCAGTATTCAACAGCCAGAACCCAGGATTGGTGAGTATTGCTGGTGCAATGTTTGACCCTGATCCGGAAATGATAAAGAAGCTTGTGAGAAAAATCAACTCTCTTCCTGGAACAGAAATGGAATGAGAAATGCTACACTATACGGGTGCAATCTCTTTACAACCAGTGATTAGAATGTTGAAATATAATTTGACAATGGAAGCAATGCTTCTCCTACGTTTATAAAAAATAATAATGCCTCTTTATTATTTATTATATATGCTGGTTTTACTTTCATCTTTTGTTGGATTATATGTTTTGGCTTCATGTATCGGCAACTGATGCGGTCTAAAATTTTATTTTTACAAAGCCATGTAATGTACTGGTCTAATTACCCAAAAAAGAAAACAATGGGATTTTTTGTGCTTAATTACTCCAAAGTGTCAATATCTAAATCTTCTTAATGATAAATTTTCTTCTGTTAATGTTAGAAAATAATGAAATTATAGCAACAAGCCTTAAGATCAGCAGAGTGAACTAAGTCATGGATTCACTAATAGATTAAATTATTGAAAAATATTTTTTTTTATTGGAAAGATGATGTTTTTGATCATATATTGAAAAAAAAAAAAAATTAAAGTGGATAATATTTAAAAAATTTTATTTTCATTTGTTTGGTCAGCTAGATAAGTCTAATCTTGATGGCATCTATAAGTACGGCCAAAGAAAAAAAAGAAAATAATGAAATTATTTTGTGCTCAAAATTCTAAAATCAAGAGATTTTATTATCATTTTCAAAACAATACACGGGGGAATTTCATAATTACTAAACATAGGGGGCAAAAATAAAATTCCTTACAAATTTGTTACTACCGTTTAAAATCGACATTTCATTTCTAATCATTCCGCGCCAAACTAGAAGAAGAAGAAGAAGAACAGATGGCAGTCTTATGCTTTGTGTTGGATCTATGTAGCCTATCGCCTCCATTGCTTCGGGACCTAAAGCAGGTACTAATATAGCTTCTCCCTTTCTCTTTATTGGACCTCTTTCTGGATATCGTATCGAGCTTATCTGTCCATCTATCTCTTCTGTGAAATTCTAGAGATAGTTTCCTTGTACAGTTGATTGATTCATTGATGGAATTGCAAATTTTCGTCAGTGCTTCTTGCAGCTCGCCAATTTATACGCAATTTCATCGCATTCGTCGTTTCAGCCTCCATCGGACTCCCTCAGGGACAGAATCGGCTTGTGCTATGTCTCCAATAATCGCATTTCTTCGTCTCATGAGGTAGTTTCGTCTTTTGATTCTATAGAGAAGAAAATGGTAGACAATTAGTAAATACAAATATATTGGCGTTTTTTTTTTTTTTCCAATTTTAAACAGCTAAAAATCGCATATAGTCCTAGAGGAAATTTCAATCTCCGCGATTTCCATCATGCCGTTAACAACTTGCCTGGCGATGCCTTTTTGCCTGAGATTGACGATTCTGGAGCTCTCCTGTCAAGCGGTATCTCTCTGTGGAAAATTGTATCATGCATGTTTGTTTTTTATTTTAATTTATTTTGTGGACTGCTACTAGATGTAAAATTACCAAGCGTTTTGAGCGATCAAGTCCTATACTCCTGGGGAGGTAAAGATTTTATGAGAAAAGTGATAGTTTTGAGCTCCTGCTTAACTGAGAAAATAGACTCCGACATGAAAGGTATTCTCGCGGTAAGCCAAATATCATGCATTTTGTTTCTCTTTCATTTTTAGGCATACCGCATACATGCTTTTGCTTCTTGTTGACAAAACCTCCTGGTTTATTTTTTCGAACAGGATGCAGCAGACAAGTGTGTTTCAGTAGAGTTTGTATTGTTTGAACAAAGCGCAAGCTATCTCAGCAATGTGCAGGAAAATATCAACTGTTTTGCAACAAGTTTATCTGATCTTGATAATTGCTCCTTCCAGACCTATCTCCCAGGTTAAGTCCTCCCATCATGATCTCTAGTTTTTTCTATCATCCCATCCAAGATTGTTAATGCTTGACCGCATGATATTACCACAATTGTTGCAATAAGCTAAATTTTCCTTGAATTTAAATAGTCTTAGTTATATTTGCTAGGAAAACCAAAACAAACCAAAGTGTGAAACTCCTATATCATGTGTCATTAGTTTTGACATTAAAAATATTTGCAGATACCAGAGTATTTCATAGTCTGGTAAAAAGATGGCTACAGGATTTAAAAGATGACATGGAAGAGCCACTGCAAGCTCGTTTTATCTTTAAGTCCAACCTTGTAGGCTCTTTGAATCAAATAAGCTGCAGCTTGTCAATATCTGTCAGTCAAATTATTGATGGCTTCAGTGCTTGTCAGGTAACTATGAGAATCGCTTTATGCTTTACACATGGTTCATTTCTTCCCTGCTTCTTTTCTCATTCCATTTTCCTTCATGTCAACAAAGCAATATTATGAATCGTTTACTCTGCCCAATAGACATGCAGGTGTCATGGCATAGTGTTGGATAATGCAGTAAAAGATAAAGCTGATAGGCCTTCTTGTCCAGTTACAGGCAATGATCTTGGAACAGCTAACGTGATTGATAATTCTGTAAAAGTTGGAGACAAAACAATCTTGTTTATGCCCTCTTTTCAGAGCTCAATGAAGCTCCATCAAGTTTCTTCACCCATAGATTTCAATGTTATTGAGAGGACTAATCTGAGTTCTTTAAGTGAAGGTAATGTCATGTGTGGGATCTATCATCTGTTCTCTGTTGAATAGGACTGTCACTTTGCTTGTCCATTTTATTCTATTGTCATATAAGCAGTAAGGAAACTGTCATTGGGATGAGAGAAATTCTGCTTAATACGATAAAGCTGTTATGCTGAATTGGATTCTCTTTTTCCTCGCCATGGAGTCACATATACTGGTGTGATAGTGAAAATAATGAAATGCACACAAGCTTAAATCTGAAAAATATTGCCTCGAGCTGCAGTTTGAACAGATGACTATGTTATACATTTAAATATTATGAATAGATGGCTTCCTTTTATCAATTCATTTTACAATTTTATATTTTGACTCAGGGGTTATGTTTGGAACGTCACATTATGTAGCTCCATCAGCTTGCAATGAAATAGAAACCTCTTCAGATGAAATGTTCAAGCCTGAATTGAATTTTCAACGTATGAGGAATCCTCTCATTTGATTTCTCTTTTTTTTTTTTTTTTTTTTTTTTCAATCATCCTGTCAGTAAAATTATTGATGGCCCCTTCAGTGCTGTAGGTAACTCATGCACGAATCGCTTTTCATGCTTTACACATGGCTTCATTTTCTTCCCTGCTTCTTTCTCATTCCCATTTCCTTCATGTTCAACAAAGCAACTATTATGAATCGCTTTACTCTGCCCCAATAGGACATCGGCAGGTGTCATGGCATAGGTGTGCGATAATGCAGTAAAACAGATTAAAAAGCTGATAGGCCTTCTTGTTCCGCAGTTGACAGGCAATTGATCTTGGAACCAGCTAACGTGATGATCAATTCTGTAAAAGTCTGGAGACAATAAACAATCTTGTTTATGCCCTCTTTTCAGACGCTCATGAAGCTCCATCAAGTTTCTTTCACCCATAGATTTCCCAATGTTTCTGAGAGGACTAATCTGGAAGTTCTTTAAGTGAAGGTAATGTTCACTGTGTGGGATTCTTCATCATTCTCGTTCTCTGTTGAATAGGACTGTCACTTTGCTTGTCCATTTTATTCTCCATTGTCATATAAGCAGTAGCAAACTGTCATTGGGATGGAGAGAAATTCTGCTTATACGATAAGCTGTATGCTGAATTGGGATTCTCTTTTCTCGCCATGGAGTACATATTGATGGTGTGATAGTGAAAATAATGAAATGCACACAAGCTTAAATCTCGAAAAAATATTGCCTCGAGCCTGCAGTTTTGAAACAGATGACTATGTCTATACAATTTAAAATTCATTATCAGAATAGATGGCTTCCTTTTATCAATTCATCTTTACAATTACTATTTTGACTTCAGGGTCTATGTTTGGAAACCGTCACATTATGCTCAGGCTCCTTAGCTTGGCCAATGAAATAGAAAACCTTCTTCAGATGACACATGCTTTTCAAGCCTGAAATTGAACTTTTCAACGTATGAGGGGAATCCTCTATTTGATTTCTCTTTTTTTCTTTTTTTTTTTTTTTTTTTTTTTTTTTTTTTTTTTTGCACCAATAATCTATATGTAACAGAATTAGGGGTTTTCCCAGTTCCTTTGATTCACAATAGTATTATAATACCATATATGTTTTGAGCCTTAAGGTGATCCGATTTTCTGGGTGTATTTTGTGTAAATCTTTACGAACCTGTGACGTTTTCATCTTTCTAACTGAGGATGTGATTTGACAGTTTTTCAAGGGATTTGCAGTGCCCTACATTCAATGGATCAAGGGTTGATATGTTCTTCATATTGCAATGTGGAAACCATGAGAGAGACAGCATTCCATTGTTATTATATTCTTCAACCATCAGAAAATGGACCAATGCTCCTCAGGGTGAATGTCGATCCCCTTATTTCATTAACTAAATAAAATATTTGTTTCTTGTAAACAGTAAATGCCATTTCATATCATCTTTTTATTTCTCATACAGTCTCTTCCTCTCAGTTCAGTCCTTTTGCTTGTGTTTGTTTTATATTTTCTTCCTACGACTTACTTTCTTCTTTGTTCCATTTCAATAAAATACTCTACAATTTTGCAGCGTCTTGCTGCTCTAGAGGAAGTCTTGCCTAGGCCTGACATCAATCCATTCATTCATTCTTCAGTCTCTAAGGATATTCAGAATGCCATTCATGAATCTGTATTAAAGGTTGACTTTGTCCTAATTACTTCCTACTAAAATTGCCTTCTTGTTGTGGACTTCTTTTGCTTTCTTCTCTTATTTGTTTGCTTTAAGTTGAATGTAAATTTTTTTTTTTTTTTTTTCTGGGTTTGCATAATGTTTCTAGTCATGCTATGCCATAACCTCGAAAGACCAAGAAATTTAATTCTTGCTCAGTATTTTGAACTTGTTAAGAAATAGAGATTGTAGAGTGCATATATTTGGAAAGATTTTTTAAGTATTTACACTCGGAACATTTTGAGACTCTAAGAGCATCCAGTTAGTAATTTCTTGTTGTCAGTGCATGTGAATCAACTTAGAATAATTGGATTAGAAGGCTTGGCAGCTATAGGCATGACTTAGACTGCACCATTCTTAGTTATATTGCTTGAGGAAATTTTTCTACTGATTCAAACCATATACTTTTCTTAGCATGATGGTATCCGTACTCTTTTTTTTTCTTTCTTTTCGTCTGATCTTTTCCGTAAGTTCCTTTTCATCCTGAATTCCCACAGATTGAGTTGAGAGACTATAATCCAGTCCTACATGAGAGAGGGTTCCATCAAAAGCTGAACTTGCTTGTGAAAGAAAGCCTACAATTTGGGTATTGTTTTCTTTCCTGCTGATTAAAAAGTGGTATATGCTCACATATATACTAATTTTTTTGAAGTTCCAAGTTAAAGATATTCTAAATACAGGTAGAGTGAATAAAAAGTCTTAGTGCTTTAAAGAGATCACCAATCTTTTTTTTTGGGGAATTCCCTAAAATAAATTGTCTCGTTTTTCAGTTGAACTTATAAATAACAGAATTTGGACAGGACTCTTCTGTTACTATTTTTTCTTCCCAGAAGAGGCTATTGCCAAATTTCACAGTCATCCTTGTGCATTTAGAGAGTCTTGAAAACAATTTATACATTTTTTTGTTCTCCACAATTGTTTTGGCTCAGTTTTCTCACCATAGAATCCAAATTGAGTTTATTTTACATCTGCAAAAGAGAAACTTTTTTAGTTTGGGACTGAGCTTCGTTGTATTTTTCATGACTAAACTCATCAGTGGGAATGACCTCATTTCTGAAGTAATTTTTAACTTTCATAAGCTTGAGACCGAGCTTAGCTGGGTATCTGTGTTGTGTGACTAACATCATCAGTGTTTTAATTGTGTTTGGAATTTTTCCTGATATTTTCCTTGATTAATTGAATGTTCCAGGTCAATTCCACCTAAACAGAATGAGGCATCTGAACTGAACTCAAAGCAACCAAATTCATCAGAATTGAATATAAAACCAAATCGTATATTAGATACTATAGTTGTTGAAGATGAACCCTCACTGCTTAATCGGACAGTTAAAGAAGACAAAACCACTTCCATTGCAGAAGAATGGGAGCAGCTGGTTGTCAGTGAAGACCCCAGTATATATTCTCCCGCTTGTACTTCCAAGCCTAAGATTGATATATTAGTTTTATCCTCACCAGACAGTAATAAGCAGTTGGATGTAAAAACTTCAAAAATATTAGAGAGATTAGAGGTGCCAAGACAATTGAAAACAAAGATAACTTCTCCCATTCTCACAGGCAGCAGCCTCTCAGAAACAGGCATGCCAACCAAAAGGCCTCTGATCCCGTTCCAGCACACCCATGCAACAGAACAAAGTTGGAGTTCAAGCCAGTTAATGAAACCCAATTTCCAGAGGGCTAAAAGGAAACATAAATGAAAAGAAGGATCCCTTCCTGCGTAGCAGAGTTGTGCCAGGTGTCTCTGAGGTTAGTATATGCTTTCATTTTAGTAGGCTTACAATGAAAACTTTTTTTTTTCTTTGTATAGACTATCCATTAAGTAGCATGCCTGTGAAATTCTGTTATAATGATTCTCCTGAAGGCCGAAATTGAGAGCAACTTATCTGCTTCTATGAAATGGACTGCTTTCAAATATCCTTCTGTATCTTACCTGCATATTTTTGCCTGCATTCTTTTTTTTTTTTTTTTATTTTTTATTTTTTTTTTTAATTTTTTTTTTTTTTTTTTTTAATTTGTGCTTGAAATCATTGCATCAGAGCCGCTAAGCTGTCCAGATTCTGACAGGTAGAAACTAAAGGTGACACCAAAATTTTTCGTAGTATATATATAGCTTTAAATGTGCTTACAGAGAGAGAGAAAGAGATAGATTTCTTGGACTTCGTAAATAGGAGCAGTGAGAACCAAAATGTAGCGAGTTTGAGTTGAAGCAGACAGGTAGACATTGTGGCTGGAAAGGAAATATACAGGTTCTTAATCTTAGGTATTGGATGAAAGGACTATTTTGGACAGGTGTGCATTTGAAGTATAATCATGCTACTTGTAGAGATCTCTGATGACAATTAATTATTAGTTTCGCTACTTGGAGTGGTGACTTCAAGAAGGATGATTAGTGAAACAGCACAGCAGCTTATCCAACATGCTGTAAATAGGATAATCTGTTCGCTTATGATAGTTCTGTCGGAACTTGGAGGTCTGTGTGCATAGTTCGATCATCATAATTTAGGAGTAGAATGGGGGATTTTCATGATTATGGCAGCAATTATAAGATAATGTCTCGTTTTGCAACATAATTATATTATGCAGATTACAATTTGTCTAAATTATTGATATTTGATAGCGTACAAAAATTTCTGTCACGAACAGTAGTGATATTGTAAAAGTTGAAAATTATCCTACTTTGGAAGGTTTAGTGGCACTTTGTTCATACCATACCATTGCAAAATACTGTCTATACATGAGTTTCAAAACAAGCTGAAAAAGCAGAACAGCAGGTTTGAATGATAGTAGGGGGTTAATTTTATCACATAAGGCTGAAACGAGAGTTAACCTGGTTGGAATAAAATGAATTTAAATTTGTTCAGTAACCTATGATCTGATCTGTAGGGAATTAGTTTCCTAACTAGAAGTCTTGAATTTAGAGTCTAGAGCGGTCATCCCATGAGGTTGGGCCTCACCCTAATCGGGCTGTCTTTTTGACATTGGATTTGGGCCATGATTGTGGACCACGCTCAGTTGAGGATTTAGCCGATGCCCGATTGTCATTTTGCGAGTACCCTGCTGCGGCCTTATACGGAGAGAACTATACTCGATTCATTGCTGTGCTCCGTCCTACTTTCTTTTTTCTTTTTTCTTTTTTCTTTTTTCTTTTTTTTTCTCAAACTTCGTGTGTTCTCTTGACATTTTGGACCTGAATTTCCTGGAGGTCATAAATTGATAAATCTTGATTCAGATATTATAAATTAATTTAAGAATATTTGACACGTTCAATTTCCTTTGAACAACAAAGAAAATGACATTTTCTTTGACATTTGTCCATACATCAACATCTCATTAATATAAATTTACATTATCAAAAAGAAAAACAAGAAATCATTTCATAATGATTAAAAAATAGTGATCCCAAAAAAATGATTAAGGATAGTGATTTGTGAAGCCGCTAACTAATAATTAACTAATATTTTTCTCTTAAAAAATAATAATTAACTAAAGCATAATTGATTTAAATAAAAAGAAATGAATTACAGTTGTCCTGCCAAATACTTTTAACATTGTCATTGCAAAATCTACAAAAAAAAAAAAAAAAAAAAAAAAAAAAAAAAAAAAAAAAAAGCAAATGGAATAATCTACAGTTTGTCCTGCCAAATACTTTTAACCATTGTTCATGAAAAATCTTTACAAAAAAAAAAAAAAAACAAAAAAAAAATAAAAAAAAAAAAAAAAAAAAAAAAAAAAAAAAAAAAAAAAAGAAGAGAAGGGAGAAGGTGCTTTGCATTCCTCTTGTATATAGACATTCACATAGGTGATCACAACATGTAGCCACGCTCACATACACCTACTTTTTGTTGGTGCCTTGGTGGTGGTGGGCTGCCCCTGTCCCTTCAGTTCAATCAACCAAACGCACTATCCTTTGCGTGCATAATTTACCAAATTTTCTATCGACAAACGCAATAAACAATACATTATCATTTATCAATATTCGTTAAGGTCAACAAAAGGAGCCCAAATCTGTATAACGTGCTAGAAAGTGCGATCTTGCTGGAGCTAAAGAGGGACTCGTCAAGTGGGTTTTCTTTTTATCTCGCTTTTTCTTCTTATCCATTTAAAAATTAGAAGTTTTCTTTGTGAAAATCAAACTTGGTGTTTGTCTTGTGCGAGAAATCCAAAGCTAAGTGTCGTAGCTCTTTTGTTAGAGCTGGTGCCCCGCAGTAAAACACCCCTGCGAATAGGGAAAAAAGACAAATCAATATTTTCCTTCTATAAATAATGCATGACATAAAATAGTTTATACACCATCCTATTTGTTATACTCGGAAAATTTGTGTTTCTATTTGGACCCAGATAAAGAAATATCTCATTGTAAGAAATTATATAAAGAAGAAATAAATAACGAAAAAGATAGAGGAAACTCTTACTGTGAACTACAAACACTCTCTAACTGAAAATTTGCCAAGAAAAAGGTAATTAATCGTTAAGATAAATACTAATCTTTTAAGTAATGTCATCATTAGGAAAAAGCATTAGCACTAACGCTAACACCCATTATCAAGTAAAGTGATATCTCTGTCTTTTTCTTTTCTTTATGTTAATTGACAGAAAGAGCAAAGAAAGGAACAATAATGCAGAAAAAAGCTCTTAAACTGAAGATAAGCTTCAGAATGGAATAAAATTACTATATTTACTAAATACATGTAAATGCACTTGTCAAAATCACTATGGGCCGCTAGTCCAATAGTTGAGTTTTTATCTTTTAATGCAAAAGCTCAGGATTGAAATGTACTTACCAACTCGAGAATCTGGGTGGTTAAGGGCAATGCGCTTGTAGACATTTCGCCAATTAGGTTTGGCGAAATGGGACTTAACTCGAGTCCCAGAGACGATATCAACACCATTTTTGGCATGATGAATGGACTGAAGCATAGCAATTAGCGCAGACCTTGCATCTCCTTCTTCATAAACACTGGTGCAATAGTTATGAAGCTCTATGACATGGTTATCGTCTAATTCAGCCACTTCATTCATTATCCCTTTAAACCAATCAAAAGACCCTTGTTCCCTCGTCACCCAGTAAAAGTATGCCCTTCTTGTCTTGAAATTTTCTTTCCTTTTAAAAGTATTAGGACTTGGCGTTTTGGGTAATGTTCCATTTTCTATTGCATTCTCTTCTTCTTCATCCGTTGCCCTAATGTTACTCACTATGTCCTTTACTATACTTATCATTGGTGTTGCTCCAATTCCTAGACCCACGAGTAGAACCACTTCATATTTCTTGTAGTCTTGTGCTGGTGCACCATATGGACCATCAATCAGAACTCTTGGGAAACTGTTCATGATCATCATTACAATAATTGTAAGAATAAATATCATCTTGCACATCAAAGCAATAATTTTTCACTTTGAATTGAAAGGTAAATAATTTTCACTCCAAAACAAAAACCATTCGCATGTTTTGTTAGGTGTCCCTATAGTGGGACAAGTTAGTTGAACTTTTATGTATATGACAAATTTATCTATTTCATCAATTTTAGTTTGTTTGTTTCATTGTATTTAACTGGATTTTTGAGTGTGAAAAATCTTCTAATTGGATCATAGTTGGCAATCTGTTTCTTGGCTAATTAATTAAATTTCATAACCAAGGATTTCGGGAGTAACCAATTTTTATTAGCCTATTGTATAATTAAATAGGCATACTCTAGTCAGTCAAAGATGCTAATCCTATCTATCTGACTTCTGGTATATATTTAGTCACATGTATAGTTTGATTAGTTGATAAAGAATGCGTTAGAACCCAAATAATTGATATAGGTAGAGTGTGGTATCATGTGGCAAACAATCAGACCACTAGAAAAATCAAAGTTCGTAGTTAGCTATCAGGACCATTCTGAAGTGGACAGTCTTATATAATTCTAACCTGTAGCAAGAAAATGGGGGATAGAGATGACAGAAGATCAAATAATGGCCAACTTGTGGGCCCTTAATACAGGTGGAGAGGTGCTTTTTTTTTGTCTTCTTTCTGATGTCCTTAATAAACAAAGTTAAAGGTTCTTTATTGTTACCCTTTTCTTAAATACTTGAAAATTTCTGGAATATTTGCGTATTTGATTCTATACCATTAATTAACTACTCCAAAAAAACTGCCATTAAGGAGTAGAAGCAAGCTAGGTAAGTTATCCTTACAAGGCTCATGTGATATTTTGCTCTTCCTGGGTAGTTACATCAGCAATGGATTGTTACACCTAATCTAACTGCCCAAGATTCGCTCGTAAACTAAAGTTGACCTTATGTAATAATGCCTTTCACGTTCACAGAATGAATTCACTCACCCTCTAAATATTGATTCCTTTTCAGATTTTAATAATAAATGTGGGTTCAACGTAAAATTTTATAACCTGTAGGCAAGCCAGTAAATATATAAAAAAAAAAAAAAAAAAAAAAAATGTAGGCAAGCCGTAAATTAATAAAAAAAAAAAAAAAAAAACTTACTTCGGGTTTAGTTGTTTCCCTGAAAAGCCACATCAAGCTTCTGAGAAGTCCGCTTTTCCCAAGTATACCAGGTGTTGGCAAACCTAAAGAAAACAACGAATAGAAAACTATTAAGCCTTCAATAATCGCCATGAACAAGGGGGTAAAAAAAAAAAAAAAAAAAAAAAAAAACTTACTTCGGGTTGTTGTTTCCCTGAAAGCCATCAGCTCTGAGAAGTCCGCTTTTCCCAGTATCAGGTGGTTGGCAAACCTGAAAAAGAAAACAAGAATAGAAAATATTAGCCTCAATAATCGCCATGAAAAGGGGGTAATCAATAATCAATTAATAATCTCTGATTCTCCCAATGAAAAACACATGCCTGAGAAAATACTGTTCTGAGCTGCCTTGTCCAATCACCCAAAGTTCTAATGTGAACACTTAGATAATCATCTCCAGGAGCTGAAGTGATGGAAAATGGGTGCCTGTTGACATGTGAATTTTAATTACCCTTTAAGTAAAAGCAAAGCAACTACTAAACAGATCTTATAACAATTTAATAACTAATAACAAGAAAGAGGTTGAAAAAGTTCCCTACCATTCAAATGGAGAGACGGCGGCACAATTGACGAACATGTACTGTCCACTCTTGTATTTGAATCCTTGAGGCTTTGACATGTGAAGTGCCAACACATTTCCAGGGTAAATAGCCACCTTCAATGTCAAAATAACTACATTAACCACAATTTCCAAGAATGCTGTCCTTTTACACGTATTAATAGCAATAATGAAGTTATTTACCTTTTTTATAGTAACAGGCTTGATGCTAGACCTTAATGCCCTGGTCAATCTTTCACTTGCATAAAGAATTACTGGAACAGCTAAATACATCCAGGTCTGCAAATAAACAAGAAAGAGTCACTGTAATCACTAATCAAAAATATAAAATGGTTAGTTTGTAATTAGAGGAAGTTCTTGTGATTAGTCTGTAATTAGAGAAACTGCATAGTGCTTACCGTTTTCTTGTACCATTCTTTAGTCAAGTAGAGGTATTGGCCATGAACAATGAGTAGGGTATAGACTATGACAAAGAGATGGTGAGAGTACCAGAAGGCATTAAAACCAGTAAGCTTCTTTAGGAAAGTTGGCAAATTGAGCTTGTTTCTTCTAAACCAAGGAGCAGCTAATGTAAAAGCTATTGCCATCAAAACTACCATTATAATTCCAGTTACTCCCTCTACTGACTTGACAAAATGCCAATAGCTTGAAGGTTGGTCCCCAAAATATTTCTGCATAAGCTTCCATTTTTCTTCACTTGCTTGAAGAAGTCGAGGGAAGTCACATGTTAAATGAGAAATTGCATGTAGACCAACTCCCACTGAAATTGCAATTGCTATCACCTAAAGAAATGAGAAAGAAAAAATAGCATTTTAATTTATATCCAAATTTGTATTTTTATAACTCTGCTTTTTCTTTTTGAACATTAACTGAAATTTTTACCTTGTGGAAGTTGAGGTTGTCATCAAAAGGAACCACAAGACCTAACTTAGTTTTATTTCTAAGCCAGGTAAGCGTGTTTCTGCAAACAGGTAATAAAATTAAAGCCATATTCAATTTGAGTGTCTCAGCTCCTCCTTTGGCAATGCAGACACATGCTCCCATTACTTTATAAGCAGCTCGTCGTCGATACTGCACATATTTATAGGTAAATAGACCAGCCATAACCCCAATCCATAGAGCCATCACCCATACTCTTTGCCAATTATCTAAAAGGAAGTATTTGATGCTCCTGCACCATGTCTTTATTGGATTGTCATCTAGTGTAGGCTTAAGCTTTTGGCTGAGCATTTGGCTTAGATATCTGCTGTCTCCTACTCTTACAGATTGGTTTGGCCCTTGCAATAAAAGCATTTCCAGGTTCTCTATCTGGTTTTGACACAATAATCACGATGATTAGTGGGCTACGACAATAATTTGCAGAAAATTTGATAAAGAAGATACCGATTAGCTTGTGATTTTTTTGTTTTACCATGATATATCCATGTCTTTCTGGATCCAGCTCTTCCATGATCAAGGCTGCATATTCCTCTGCTTGTTTTTGGATATTTGATAGTTTATTTGCAGAAGCACTAAGAGTAATGATCTGTAAAATTACAATATAATTAAATTTAATCTTAATTAGTTCGAAATCTTCTTTTCATGTGAAGCACATGATTTGATCTACTGAAGTTAATGAAATGAATAAAAAAACTACACAACCTTTTATTTTCTGAATTAAATAAATATACCTCTCTAACTTCTTCTTCTGTGATTCTACCATCTGCATCTTTATCAACCCTGAAATTATTTCAACTACAAAATCAGAACTTGGTTATACTAATCCAAGAACAATAATCTTGAAATTAAACATTACATGTCAAAAAAGGTCTGAAGCCTGGAATCAAAACTCTGATCTGAAATTTGTTCCCAAAAATCCTTCAATTCATCTTTACTAATTGAATCGGCTTGTATGTTCCTCTTCCTAGCAAGTGCGTTAAACAACTCCCCTGCAAATTCCTTCGACTCTTTCATTCCTGCCATTACAAAAAAGTTAACATAAAATTAATTTTTATCCAAAAACAAGATAATAAACAAAAGTCGGTGTTGCCACTTATATATATACCTATACATTCACAGAAGCGCGAACGAGGAAGCAAGCCGTGGGTAGAAGCAGTAATTTCATCAAAACGCTTCTCCACTGCGGCCCATCCTGCACCTCCATCAGTCTTGCTAATGAACTCAAGTCCTTTCAAAGCATGTGCAGCCGCAGTTTTTGTTCTGTCAAGACGACTAGGAGGCTGCCTTTTTGAAAATGAAGCCAAACGCTTTATTTCCTGTCTGATTTTTGCAGAAGCATTTCTAACAATTTTAGATGCTGATCTTTTTTCTAGTCCTTTAGCTAGTAATGTCACTTCGGGATCTTCTGCAACACCATTTGCTGCTTTAACACTGTGGACTGCTACAGAATCATCACGAACATCGAGTGTAACCTCCACATATTGTTCATCTTGAGATGAACTAGATTCTGGAATGTTAAACCTTGCACTCTTTCTTGTTCCTCTTTTGTTAAGAGGTCCACTTAAAGGTCCACTGTAAGGTACCTTTTCGCCTGACAAAAGCTCTGTATCAGAATGATGATGCTGGTGATGGGGATCTTCTTCTCCCATTTCTTGAATCTAAGTTGAAGACGGCCCTTTAAAAGCTGAATTCTTGCAGACTAGATTTGTAAAGCAAATGAAAACTATAATTTTGTTTTGTGTTTTGTTTTGTTTCTTGTTCTTTTGCAGGGGGAAGTGTTTGTTTGTTATATATATTCTTGAAATCTAAAGTTGAAGACGGCACTTAAAGCTGAAATTCTTGGCACGACTAGACTTTTTGTAAAGCAAATGAATAACTATAATTTTTGTTTTGTTGTTTTGTTTTGTTTCTTCTTGTCTTTGTTCTTTTGCAGGGGACAGTGTTTGTTTGTTAATATATGATATATATATATAATAATATATATATATATAGGAGTGGAAGTGAGATTATAGGAGTGGAAGTGAGAGAGATATTTTTTTTTAAAAAAAAATATTATTATTAATAATAAAGTATGGTGTGGACACATGGAATGAGTATGTCAGACATTTTATTTAATCATGTTGTAATTAAATAAAACCTTAAAGTTTGGTAGAGATTAATGATAATTATTAAAAATCAAATGAAGATTAGAAAACCATATGTTGTTGAATTAATTTTTGGCTACTTTCATTTATGTTATATTTTGAATCCTGAAAGAAACTTCCTTTTTCCTGCATAGTTTCCTCGTGGTGCTTGATTTCCAGTTTCTTCATCCTTTCCTAGCTGTCCTGGTACACATTCCCTTCACTTGCATTTAGCTTTTTTTTTTTTTTTTTTTTTTTTTTTTTTTTTATATTTTTTTTTAATTTTAACCATCCAGTATCCGAAGTCATATTGGACTTGACTTAATCCCGGATTCGCGTCGAGCAGGACCCATAAAGAAGATGGCAAAGCGGGGGCTTTTTTTTTGTTTTTTTTTTCCTTCCCGAATGTTTGTATTTAGCATTTGGAACTCTAATATTGTGGGGATTATAAGATGTGTGAAAAATAATTCTTGAAAATTTTTCTGCAGAGAAAAGAGAAAAAAAAAAAAAAAAGTAAAAGAGAAAAGAGGAAAACGGTGATTTTATTTATATTAGATGGTGTAAATTTGCAAATTTGTTCTATTTAAAGGAGGAAACAACAGTGTTGAATTACTTTAAAATAGATATCTTTGTTTTGAAAGTAGTAATTTATTTACTGTGCATGGCATAACTGTGGGACTGATAGCCAATAGCATCATTAGTAACTAAATTGATTTTTTTTTTTTTTTTTTTTTTTTTTTTTTTTTTAATTTTAACCATCCAGTATCCGAAGTCTATTGGCTTGACTAATCCGGATTCGCGTCGAGCAGACCCATAAAGATGGCAAAGCGCTTCCTCCCGAATGTTTGTATTTAGCATTTTACTATATGTGGGATAAGATGAAATAATTGAATTTTCTGCAGAAAGTGATTTTATTATAGATGGTAAATTTGCAATTGTTATTAAAGGAAACAAGTGATTACTTAAAATAGATATTTGAAAGTAATTATACTGTGCATGGCATAACTGTGGACTGATAGCAATAGCTTTAACTAATTGATGAAATCAATTTCATTAATTTCAGGTCATCAATGGTGCTTATCGGTTTAATACCACACATGATAATTGGTCTAGTTCATGAATTGTCTTATAAAACGGATTTAGACAAGTTAATTCTATAACTTCTAAGCATTAAAATCATCAAATCTCCTACTTTCCAAACCGAAAAAGATCGTATATCTAGTTCATGTTAGCTGGTGACTTTCCATGAAAGCAATGCTTAGCTAAATTGAAGGTGTCACGACTTCACACAACCGTGTGATATTACTGGTCAAACATTGTGTATCTAAGGTTGACGACACATTAACATTGTTAGTAATTGTATTATCAGGAATTCAAATATCCCTGAACATGCCTCCTTAAATTTTTTATGAAGCTGCATTAGCTCGTGCCACCTGTCCACTTGTAACCTTCAATTCTACATATAATTTTTTAAACTTCGAGACTTTGATATATATAAAAACATATAAAATCAGATTTCAAAATGAAATTGGTCTCATAAAAAAAATGTAATTATTCATAGTCGCATTAATCATTTCTTTAACATCACAATACGTAATGTATGAGTTATGACTCAGTTGACAACGCAGTCTGGACATATAAAAAGAGCTATCGGATTTGATTCCCACCAAACACACCTGGAAGGAGGGTGAAAAACCTTAACTGTGATTAACCCCCAAGCCGAATTAGGTGATCTCAGATAATAGTGTCCGGATACAGGTGGTTTAAAAAAAAATCACAACTTGCAATTGGATTTATAAATTTAACAAGTTTATCCAATTAAAAAATAGAGAGAAAATAATTTATATTTGTTAATAGCCAAATTGGACCGTTAGTCTAATAATGTCACCCGCTGTCTGGTCTTTATTTAATCCATTAATTAATGATAAGTGTCATATATATAGTTCTTAATTAATTCATTTGATTATTTTCGAAAAAAAAATTAATTTGATTAATTTAACAATAATTAAGTGCAATAAACAACTGAAAATCCATTGTTTAATACTGATTACCGTACAAGATCTCTAAACGAATATTTTGCAATTTTCAATAAAAATATTCCAATTATTGCTTAAAGCTTCAACAAAAGATTAATTGTTGTTTTAAATTTCACTAAAAGATACAAACTCCATTATTTAATCCTATAATTATTAATATAAAATTTAATTTGTTTCAACCGCTGGACCAAACTATTTTGAGTAAAAAATTTCAGTTTTCAGTTAATTAACTAAAATTGAAATGAATAAATTTTTGAAGAAAAATTGAATCAATTAGAAATAAACTGAGTCGACTCGGAATCGAGAAGGGTGTAGATCTAAGTTTACAGCTAATAACAGTTGACAAATAAGAAATGGAATTACAAGGTGTCTTCGAAAAGAAAAGATCACATGACTCCACTCCTTCATTTTAATGGGCAATGGGCTGGCTGCCTCTTATTATTTATTTCCATGTTCGTGGTTGAAGCTGAGGTCATATATTTCTAATAATGACGTTATCATAATAATTATCTTTAGGCTAAATATCTTAGAAAATAATTAAATTACTTGAAAATATAAATGAAATAATTATTAATTTGAATAAGTTACCATCTATCTCATTTACCTACTTTAATATTAAAACTCCTCAATCTTCTTAAAAGAACATATACATTTAAATAAAAATGGTTGATATAAATAAACGGAGGAAATGATAAATAATTTTTAAACTGTACATATTTTTTAATAATCATTGAAATTTAGGAGTAAGTCTTACTTATTATTGTTGAAATTTGAAATTTATCGTATAATTATTATACTTGAGTAATAAAATTTAATGATTTTTATCTATATATTATATATAAATTTAAATTCATTTAAAATGATAAATTCAGTTTTAATTGAAATTTATAATAAATATAATAACAAACACTATGCTTTTAAATAATTTCATAATTTACGAATTTTAATATTTATATTATTCAACACTTAATTTTCAATTTATCAAATATTATATAAGTTATAAAATACTAAAATTGTTAATCCATCTCTCTCTTTTTTTTTTTTTGAGAAAAAAATTGTTAATCCATTTAATAAAGCTCGTCATTGATCATTTCATCAAAAGGGCAAAAGAAGAAAAAAGTAAAAAAGACAACAGTCCAAGTAAAACACGGGCTCAAAGCCAATAGAAGGCCGAGACAAAAAGCCCAATTGGAAATGAGGAGGGAAAATTAGAAAGTCAATTAGACCAAATTGATATCGAGGGTTTTCACGTTTTTGCTGTTACAGAGGGGAGAGAAGGATTTTCCCTCCAATTTTTGCCTCCTCTACAGAACTCCTCATACAAACCCTATGCCGTCACCTTTGTTTATTTGATTTTGTTTCTAGAAATGAAAGATTCGATCTTTTCTTCAACTAACACCAATAACAAGAGAACTGGAGAAGCTGATGCTTCACCATCAACTTCAATTTTGCCTCGCAATGTTAAGAAACCTAAACACATAACGAAATCGGCACTAATCCATCTTCAACTTTTCGATGTCCCTTTGATTTCGCATTCTGGCTCGCTTCTCGATTCAATCTGCCTTGAACCAGACCGACCGTACACTATTGGCAGAAGTCGAACTGACAGTGACTGCGATTTTTTGTTCAATGATCGCCGAATCAGTAAGCAACATTGCCAAATTTTATTTGACAGTGTCGAACGCAAAATTTATATTCTTGACGGAGCAATTCTATTGAATGGTATTAGAACTAGTTGTGTCGTTAGTGAATTTAGGAGAAGGTTATTATGTTATGGTCAGGTGGAAGCTGTGGAGGAAGAGAATGCGGAGTGTTCTACGATAAAGGCTTCTTTGAATGGAGTTTTTCGTAATGGGATTAGGGTTAAAAGAGGCATGGTTAGAGAGTTGTGCACCGGAGATGAGATTTTGCTTGTTTGTGGTAAGGATGGTTTGTGTAATTTAGGTGACCGAATTGGGTTTGTGATTCGGGGAGTTCTTTTCAAGGAGGAGGTTGTTGTGGGCTTAAATGATTTTCAGTTGGAGAGACTTAAGTTGTTTGGGACAACAACCTCCATGGGACACTCTCAAGGATCAGTGTCTAGTGGGAATAGGAACAAAAGAGTTTTTGCTGTTCGTGCAAATGAAGTTGTGTCCTCAATAAATGATTTTCCAAGACTGAAATCTGGAGGAGTAGTTGGTAGGGCGAAATTTTTGTTAAGTCAGTGCAGAAAAATATTGCATACTGATGACCCGATTTCTTATATTAAGAAATGTGCTTTGTCAGATTTCAGAGTGGAGACCACAGATGCTTGCAATAGCAAATTAAACTACAATGCAGGTTTGACCGTATATGATGCTAGTAAAGTTCGTGTGGGACATGAACTGGGAGAAACGACTGGACCATTTATTTTTCAGCAAGAAACACAGCTCTGTGAGAACTCAAACGTTGATCAAGTTATATCAAATACCAAGAGAAAAGGTGATGAAGAGCTCGTTTCTTTTAGAAGTGGCAATTTATGTCAAATAGGCATCTCTGGAGTCCATTCTGAGAGTGATATTGTGGATAATTGTAAGGATTCACCATTGAATTCTGAGGGCAAGGATAATTCCCTTCATCTTGGTGGGGTCCAAATGAAATACCGTGAACCACCTGGAAAGAAGTTTTACCTGAATCGCCTTCATTTCATGGACCATGATTCATCAATTCATCAAAATGTTATCTCATTACCAGAACTTCTTCACCCCGTGAGGAGTATTATACGGATGTTTGTTGCAACATTCACAAGTGATATTTTGTGGTAAATCTATATACTTTGCTCCTGTTGTCTTCTTTTGCTTTCATGATCTGGTAGTCTCCTGTGTAGAAAATATTGAGCCTTATTACTCATTCATTTTATAGTTAAATTTTCCGTCACAGTATTTTCAACTTCAAACCAATAATAAAAACAGTTATTGTTTTTTATGGCTGCTGCAATATGACTTCCTGGCCATTGAAATTAGCATATTTAAAATTTTGCTATTTGATTAGTATATTTCTTTGTTTAATCCCTATAATTTACCATGTTTTTCATTTTTTTTTTCTTTAAGAAAAGTACATTCTTTTTGTCAGGTTTTTATCGTATTGCGAGATTCCATGCCATCTGCCTGTAACAATTGCATGTCATGATACTGAGAGATGTTGGAGTGCCAGCCCTGATAAACGAATCTCTGTTCCATATTCAGGTTTTCCAAACTTAGTTGTATTGTAAGTAAAGTTTAATTTCAGTTGGTTGGTTTCGGTCACATGAATTTGTATTGTTTTGATATTTAACATGCATTAGTCCAATTGCTGAAATAGGTATCCCCCATTCCCTGAGGCTATAGCTTTCGGTAATGACCGCAAGAAACAAGGCATTGCCTGTCACCATCCAAAGTTGTTTGTGTTGCAAAGAAAAGATAGTATTCGTGTTATCATTACTTCTGCAAACTTGGTGGCCAATCAGGTGATTACCTCAAAGTCATTCCTTTACACCATTTAAGGTGTTCATCGGCAATTCAGCATGATATGGAATATCCACAGCATGTTAAATAATGTGTGGCCGCTTAGCATAATGTTGTCTGAATATTAAATATTTTAATGAAGAGTTTTCTATTCCAAAATCAGTTATTTCTAGGTTTTGTCGAAATGATTTTACGGGAAATGTTTGGGATTTGTTTGTTTAATTTTGATTGATGGAAATGTGTACATTTGTGTTTCTTTCTTTCTTTCTTTGTTTTTTTTTTCTTTTTTTTTTTTTTTTTTTTTCATCGGCAATTCAGCAATTGATATGGAATATCCACAGCATGTTAATATAAATGTGTGGCGACGCCTTAGGCATAATGTTGGTCTGAATACTTTAAATATTTTATATGAGAGAAGAGTTTTCTATTCCAAATCAGTCTAATTTTCTAGGCTTTTTGTCGAAAGGATTTTACGGGAAAAATGTTTGGGATTTTGTTTGTTTCAATTTTGATTTGATGGAAATGTTGTACATTTGTGTTTCTTTTCTTTCTATTCTTTGTTTTTCTTATTATTTCTTTTTTTTTGTTTTTTATTGTCTGATATGTGCTACAATGAAAATATCACTCATCATTCTACAGTGTGCAGAGATATCTCTGGTTTTAATTGATTAGTTCATTTAGCTAATTGGAGCGGAAAGCAATGAATGTGCTTTGCAGGATTTTTTTTTTTTTTTTTTTTTTTTTTTTTTTGTCTGATATGTGCTACAATGAAAATATCACTCAATCATTTACAGTGTGCGAGATATCTCTGTATGATTGGTTTTTATGCTAATTTGGAGGAAAGCATGAATGATGCTTGCAGGATTATGTATGTTGCAGTGTTCTTTTGATTTTTCAGATTATTGCTTGCTTCTCTTATTTATCCTGCTAAATGCAACCTGTTAAATTGATTCAATGTTGCTCATTAGTTACCATGAATCTTACAGTGGAATAATGTGACCAATAGCGTATGGTGGCAAGATTTTCCTAACAGAAGTACACCAGATCTATCATCTCTTTTTATTCAAGTTTCTGATGGAGAAGTAAATCAAAAATCAAATTCTGATTTTGCTGCTCAGCTTGCTGGCTTCATTGCATCCCTTGTGGTTGATGTTCCTAGTCAGGCCCATTGGATTATGGAGTTGGCAAAATACAACTTCGAAGGGGCCATGGGTTATCTGGTTGCTTCAGTGCCTGGAGTTCATTCTTGCAGAACTCCTTATGTAAGATTTCTCATTTCTGATGCTTGCATGTATGCTTCGATGTGCATATTTTTGCTTGAGTGCAAACCTCATGCGATTGTTACATTTCTTTTGTTTGAGGAGTTCAAATCTTAATCTTTGCCCCTGAAACTGAATGACCCTAGTTTTCTCATTTTCTGCTCTTACTAGAAAAGAGGCTTGATAAAATAGACTTCTATCTTGCATCGTTGAATTCTTATCTCAGTCTTATCAATCTATGTTAGGGTCAACTGATTTGAACTTCCTGGGCTTGGTGGGAATCTCATTCTTTGCCCTTGAAACTGAATGACCTTAGTTTTCTCATTTTCTGTTCTTACTAGAAAAGAGGCTTGCAATACTTATACTTACATCATTGAATTCTTATCCCAGGCTTATCAGTCTACGCTGGGGTCAAGTGATTTGAATTTCCTGGGCTTGGTGGAAACATCTGTTGTTGGTTTAAGCCATCTTTTCCACTCTGCAGCTGACACAAATGGTGCCCTGCTTAAGCGATTAGCTGCTTTCCTTGGGAGATCTTGTGAAAATTCATATGAGATGTCAGAGATTGCTTTGAGAAGAAACACCAATGTGCCTGCAGATGTGAATGCTGTGAGCGTTCTTGTCCCCAATCCTGATCAATTTTCTGAAGGTTAACTTTCCTTGCTTAATTAAAACTTACAGTTGCAATATCATTATTGCATCAGTGACCTTTTTCCTTTCCCTCATGTGGTCTACTATTGTATTTGTGACCATATTTGGTCTGGCTTCGCAAAATGGCTGCAAAAGTAGAGTATAGCTTCACTGGAACTTCCCCTGACAGAAAACACACTGAATACAGGGCATTGCTGTTTAGATGCATTGTGACTGTTTTATGTTGCTTGGTTCTATTCTATCACCTGTCATAGCTTATTTTTATTATCTTAAATTTAATTCTTATGTTTGGTTTTGTGCGTGTTTGATGCTTGGTTGTTTCTTCATATTGTTTATACATGCATGTCCTATTGAAAGATGTGATTTCATGCTGTTAGCATCCTGCAATTGTTAGATCTGGAAATGTTTTGCTCTGGGTTTTAAATGCTTAGGGTAGTCTTACAAAAAGAACGGGTTAGGGGGTAAGACTGGCTTATACCATTTCATTTGTTGGATTAGATTGCGTTCAACTTGGTTTTCTGCCTAGACATGTTGCCAAGTGGGTTTCTCCATTGTGGGACAGTGGATTCTTCAGATTCTATGGATACATTCACCCTAAAGAAGCCCTTGCAGCTGCTTTAGGAGGAAGCAACAAGAGAGTGGAACTGATACTACATGTCTCACAGGCATGGTATTTCTATCTTTTACCTGATTATGGTTTTAAAGAAATTACAAGCTTGGATTTTGATTAGGCACAGCACATCTTAATTATATCATGCTGACTTGTGTAGGGGTCTTGCTTTGCGGATATGATGAGAATGATGCTACCAGAACATGTCGTTGCAATTTCCTCTCTCATTGCTTCAATTCCGAGGTCTATTGGCCTGTGGCGACTACAAGAGGTAGAAAATTGAAGTTGGGAGGATCAAAGCTTTTATATAAAAGATTTAGTTATTTGTAGCAAGTATAATTTTAAATGTGATTTTATGGAATGCCTTCATGCATGATCTATTCATAGAAATTTGTTTGACACTGGCCATCAGTGGTTGGAGATGTGATGTTGGCTCTAAGATATCATGTTTCTGCGGATGCCCAGATCTCTTTTTTCTCTTTTGACATGCTTTTTCATGGGGTTTTGGTGAAAGGAATGTCCTGAAAAATCAGTATACACATAACTATATGTATTAATTTTCTGTGTTTGACGCAGTAATATCTTGAACTGAATCTTAATTATGCATTCAAAATCACATCAAAAGTTTTAGGATCATGCAACCATTAATAAAAAGATTAAGGTGACAATAGAAATTAGATTGTTGGCATAAGGACATTTAGCTCAAGAATTAGTGGCTAGGATGCAATTGATTGTTTGTGAATGTCTCTGCTCTTATGATTTCTTTTTTGATTTCCACAAGGTTCTAGATCAATTCAAATGGCCCCAATTGGAACAATCTGATTTTCTTTATGGTGAGTGTCAATAGAACAATCTTAGTTCTTTTTCCAGGTATATATAGAATAGACTTTCTTTGTACTTGTGAATTCATGTAGATTCTCTTGTGAAGGCTCATCCTCCATTGGGTCATCAGTCAATGCACAGTTCATGGCTTCATTTTCAGCTGCCACTGGAAAGAGATCATTGCAACTCTTTGATTCAGAAGAATCTGATCCAGAGGTAATATGAATTGTCTCCTCTAGATATGGATGAAATATTGAGATCACAGTTGTTCGTATATTCACTAATCTAGTTTATTGATTCACTGGACAGTGGGGCTGCTGGACTGCTAGTCAAGAATTGCAAAATCCATCCATTAAAATCATTTTTCCTACAATTGAAAGAGTGAAAAATGCATGCAATGGAATCTTGCCGTCAAGACGCATTCTTTGCTTCTCTGAGGTATTGATGTCCTTCTGATCAGGTCATATTGTTAAATTATGATATTAATGGTTCTGCATGTGTTACATATCCTATTTGGAAGTAATGATGCAAATGGGTACAAGTCTAGTCTGATCAAGCAAGGGTTCCAAGTTAGCAGAGTACATGGCATTAAGTTGGAAGGTCTCCAGGCAAAAGCTATGGAGCAGCATGATTAGATTGTACTTTCTACTTTAACCCCCTAACACCATATTTTAAATGTTGAATTCATGGCTAGCAAGGGATTCAATGTTATAAGGACATGTTTGATCATATTATGTATGTGCTTAGCAAATTTTGCTGGCTTTATAAAGAGAAGTAAACTAATTGTTCTTATGATATTAATCAATAAATGGTAATATGGGACAGATATAGTCTATCATGGAGATATGTATGTGAAGGTACTTCACATTTTTGCTAGCTTTAGGGAAAGGTGAAGGTTGCTGGGGAGGATTCTTGAATAATAGTTTCTTAGATTAAAAAGTAGAAAAAGAAAGGTACACTTGTGGTCTGTGTTTTACTTGTCACAACATGGACGAAAATTGGGTTTATTTACAGTTTCCCCCCAGCTCGCTCTTTCTCTATCTTTTAATTGTAAAGTGTGAGTTTGACTTTGGAATTTGATGTCTATTTCTGTGGTTATGTTTTCTTCATTTGAGAAGGTTGTACTAATGCCATTACTTTTTTCCGTTTGTTGCAGAAAACATGGCAAAGATTGAGATCTGCGGACATTCTTCATGATGCAGTTCCTTATCCTTACGGTAGAGTGGGGCACCCAATGCACGTCAAGGTAAAAGCATTGTTTTAAAATAAATAAAATCTTTATGAAATGAATGATCTCATGAAGTCAGTTTAAGATCATATCTGGCTTTTGGAAAAACAGAGATGATGACACAAATTGTCGCCCCGTTTTGACTTTTGGAATTTGATTCTATTTTCTGGGTTATGTTATTTATTCATTGAGAAAAGGTTGTACTCAATGCATTACGTTTTTTTCCGTTTGTTGCAGAAAAACATTTCGGCAAAGATTGAAGATCTGCGGACCATTCTTCATGATGCAGTTCCTTATCCTTACGGTATTAGAGCTGGCGGCAGCCAAGGCACGTCAGGTTAAAATGCATGTTTTTAAAAATAAATAAAAATCTTTATGAATATGAATGATCTTCATAATCAGTTTAAGATTCATATCTGGCCTTTTGGAGTTCCATAATACTTGTCACATTTGAGAAAATAGTTTGTTCCAAAATACTTGTCATATTTGTGGTTTCAAGGAGTAATAAATATTTTTTCATATTTACCCTTTGTATATGACCACCCCCCCAAAAAAAAAAAAAAAAAAAGTTTCTATATTCATTTTTGCGCATGCAAGTGTGTTCTACTTCTGATGCATGACTTCGATACCCCATTCACTTATTCACCATGGCACATACTTACACTCCGCATTATCTTTCTCCTGTCATACAAATCCTTAGTTTGTTGTTCGTATCATAGCAGCCACTGAAATTTTGTACATGAAAAAAAAAAAAAAAAACTGAAAGACAACTTAAGCAGGTGGCACGGAAACGCTTCCAGTCTAAGGCAGATGCACGTTCTTTTGGTTGGGTCTATTGTGGGTCACATAATTTTAGTGCTGCTGCCTGGGGACGGCCTATATCCAATCCATTTGGTCTAAGGTCAGATGAACCTGGGAAAACCAATTCTTCTCCGGGTTTGAGGCTTCACGTCTGCAACTATGAGATAGGTATTGTTTTTGTCTTTCCTCCATCAGGGACAAAAGACACCGGTAACAAAGATCAAGCTAACCTGGATGATATTGTTTTGCCATTTGTTGTGCCGGCTCCAAAATATGGGCCAACAGATAAGCCTGCAACAAAGCGGGCTTTGAGAGAGGCATTAACTGAACATATTGATCGAGAAAAACTTGCAGAATCAGCAAATCTAGAAGAAATGACAGAAGAGATTCCAGATGAAGAAGAGGAAGTTGTCGAGGCAGCTCACTATGCTGTAGAGGAGAAGGACGAAGAAAAAGCTTATGCTGAGATGCTATGGAGCCAGGTTGAATCCTCTCAGAGCTGTTGATTTCTGTGATAACACCCCCCCTCACAAAAAAAAAAAGATTTTCATCATAGGCCCTGTGATACAGGGAGAAGCAGCTAGTATAATCTTTATTCAAAATGACAATGGATTAAGCCCTAGAAGAAAGTGGTATAATTCTTTGTAATCTGGGGAAAAAAGCATTATTGATTTGCTGTCACAATTTTATTATTGTAGAAATTGTACATGTATATTGAGATGTTAGTGGACTGTATGCATTGTTCAATTTGAACAGTGGAGAATGACAGAGTTTGTATAGTTCGATTCCTTTTTTAGTAGGGACTGTCATCGCGAACAAGGTCAGCAATATCTCTTGTATTCATTAGTCTTTTTTTTTTTTTTTTTTTTTTTTTTTTTTTTCCCAACCCAAATTTCCCCCCTTTTCCTTTCCCCCC